ACCAGAGGTTATCTTTCCAGTGTTCGTCAAAATCGAGGAGGTCTGAGCCGGCGTTGACGGCGCGGCGACCTTCGTCGTTGCGAGCGAAGAGATGTTGCATGCGGTGCTGGAGTTCTTCGGCTACGTGTCCGAGGTGCATGTAGTCGCCTGAGCCCTTGGGGCACTCGACTTGAAGGGTGTCGCCGTAGAACATGTGGAAGCGGAGGAGGGACTCGACGAGGAGGAAGTTGACGCAGAGCCAGATGGGGCCGCGCCAGTTGCTGTTGCCGCCGAAGAGGGAGGAGTCGGAGTCGCCGGGGACGTAGCCGACTTTGAAGGTTTGGCCGTTGACGTCCATGGAGTAGGGGTTGTCTTGGTGGAACTTGGACATGGAGCGGATACCGTGCTCGGAGAGGAACTCTGTTTCATCGAGCATTCGCTCGAGGATCTTGATGAGACGGTCTTTGCTGACAAGGGCGAGGAGGAGGCGGTCGTCTTTGCCGCGGTTCTTCATGCTGGCGATGTTGCGCTCGGCGATGTCTGGCTTGTTCTCGATGAACCACTCTACTCGTCGCTTGAACGAGGGGAATTGGTTGATGAGCTCGGGCTCTAGGGTGAGAACTGCATACAGCGGGATCAAACCGACAAGCGATCTGATGGGCAGCTGCTGGGTCCATGGTCCACCGTAGGAGATGGCGTCGTAGTAGAAGCTGTCTTCTTCGTTCCAGAGTGACTGGATAGTGTCATCACCCGAACGGTAGGTCATTGCATCACTGATGAGCAGGAAGTGCTCGAAGAACTTGGATGCAATATCTTCGTATGTGCGACGGTGCTTGGCCAGCTCGAGGGCGATGTTGAGCATGGTCAGACAGTAGAAAGCCATCCAGCCAGTGCTGTCAGCTTGCTCAAGCACACCGCCGGTGGGCAATGGCTCCGAGCGATTAAACAGACCGATGTTATCGAGTCCCAAAAAGCCGCCCTCAAACACATTCTTGCCACCAGAGTCCTTGCGGTTCACCCACCAGGTGAAGTTGAGCAGCAGCTTTTGGAAGACACGTTCCAGGAAGTCCAGATCCTGACGTCCGTACATCTTCCGCTCAATCTTGAAGGTGCGGAACACAGCCCATGCGTGCACGGGAGGGTTCACATCGCCAAAGTTCCACTCGTACGCAGGCAGCTGACCGTTCGGGTGCATGTACCACTCACGGGTGAGGAGGTCGAGTTGCTTCTTTGCGAAATCGGGATCCATCATAGCCAGAGGGATACAGTGGAAGGCAGTGTCCCACGCAGCAAAGAATGGGTACTCCCAAGAGTCCGGCATGGACAAGATATCGTCAATGTACAGATGACGCCACTGCTCATTACGAATACCCTTTCGGCCCGGCGGAGGAGGAATTTCAGCGGGGTCACCATTGGCCCATTGATCCCAGATGAAGTTGTAGTACTGCTTGCACCACATCATTCCGGAGAAGGCTTGACGCTGGATGTTGCGGAGATCGTCGCTCATGGGGAGAGGGTTAAGGTGGTAGTAGAAGTCATCCGCATCAGCGCGGCGCTGTTCAACCACATCATCCAGAACTTCTTCGTCGACGAATTCTTCCTTCTTACGGGACACCTTGAAACGGACGACGGCACATTCGCCAGGAGGGATTCCCTCGCCGTTGTTGAATGCGTACCAGGCAGCGAACTTGGTACCTTCGTTGTCTGGGTTGATGGCATCTTTCTCTTCTCCGACGATATGGCGGTGGAATGCATCTTTGACATAGGGTGTGGTATTCTCGCTATCCCACAGCACCTTGTTGTTGGTCTCGTTCTCGGTGAACATCATCTGAGGCTGGATATCTTCATCGCTAGATCCAACTGGAGGCGATGGCGCAAAAGAGACATATCGCTCGCCAATTTTGCTGTGGTTTGATTTGGCTACCAACGGACCCTCTTGCTTGATCGATGGTCTTTCCGTTTTCTTCTCGTCGCCCCAGGCCCAGGTGTTTCGGAACCAGACATGAGGGATGATGTGTAGATGAGCGGGCTCGGGGCCACGGTTATACGCAATGACACGGAAGTTCAATTCTTCCTCATCGTCGGCATCCTTGGCAGTCTCGATGAAGATATCCCAGTAGCGGTTATCATCGAAGATGCCGGTATCAAGAATCTGATACTCTTTCTCCAAGCGTGAGCGCTTTGCGTTCTCATCGACAAGGTCTTGGTAGGGGAACTTTCTCTGGGGGTATTTGTAGAGGAATTTCATATATGAATGCTATATTGGGGGTCAGCAGGACGAAAAGTGAAGGTTGGATTTATAGAGTTTACCGTGGGGGTGTTGTCCACATGGAAATGTGCCTCCTTCACACTCTCGCCATGATTACCCTGAGGGTTCGACAAACCGAACAGGCGTTCCTTTAGGAAGTCGCTGTACTCTAGTCAGATTCCATGCGGGGGACCGTAGGCATAGCGTTCAATTAGATTTTCGACTTACTCTTCCCCATTCCAGAATGCAAAGGCAATGTTCTGGATGCCGTGTGTATCAGATACACCGGCAATTCCATCTTCACCCCAACGGAAAGTTCTCGATCTTGCGTGATCGTGGGTGAAGTAGCTCCAGGCGTCGCCATCTTCACTGTAATCCTCTCTAACTATAACATAGAAACGCGGACATTAGCCTGCTAGTTCTCGATTTGACCTCGGTTTATGATTTGCAAGCTCACCTGTGGCCCATTGTCTTTCTGCCTATACCAAAGACGTTTTAGCACTGTCAATATGTTCCAGAGCTGTGACTAGCCTCCACTTACCACATACGGTCCCCAACGCTGTTTTATTCAATTAGCATGATTGTCTTGGGAGCTCCAAAGGTGGAGATCTTACCTTCCAATATTTTGTTCTCTCGCGGTCTTCCTTCAGGCGCTTCTCCTCCTCTGTGATGACTTCTTTCCCGTTGAGTAAAACCATAATGAATGATTGCGCAGAAAAAATATGAAGTTGCCCAAAAAAAAAAAGGAAGAAGAAGAAGTAGAAAACAAAATGGAGGGGCCAAGTCCGTGCCAACCTGGGGGGGGGGACGTGGGAGAGAAATGACGTGAACCACCGGGTCCACAGGTGGATTACCTTGGAATCGGGTCGGAGTGAACGATACAGATCTCTGATTGGTCGATATGATATTGTTCGGTTCGGGCCTGGAAGCTGCACAGGTCGTGGACCTTGTTTTTTTGTCAGGGAAAATATCTCAATTGACTTTGCATATGTACCTATCGCTTTCCGTTTTAGTGCTCACCTCTTGCCGCTTCTTAATCACTGGGTAAAACTGAGCACGTCCCCTGGCTTGATCACGATTACATAATAAACGTGATCTGCTCAGCATCCCCTGCCCTGATCCCACTCATTGATCATCATCTGAGCGCCCTGATTTGCTCAGTGCTCACTGAGTGTAGGGATGAGTGGTCTAAGCTACATCAATAAAATACGACAAGCGAGCCTCATCACGTGCAACCTTCCCATTTAGATCGCCCAATGTCCCATCAAAAAAGGGCTGGCGTCGTCAACGTGACTGTTCATCCTAGCGGTCTCGATCCTATCCAAGTGAAAAAGCTCACAGGCGGGCTATTCAATTGACCTATCAATTTCCCATCTCAGCCTATACTCCTGGGAATAGCTCGTTCAACTCAGTGACGGTGATACTAGATGCAGATAATGCGTAGATATGCAGTTCTCTAGGGATAGAATAATCGTTGGTGGCAGAATTTCGGGGACGTGGTCGCCTGGATCTTTGAGATCTGCGCAGTCTCAATGCCTATTATCGAAGGCAGGTCGCTTCACGATTCATTGGCAGAGGTTGATATGGACGGATGAAAAGGGCTGGGTAGCAGCAAGAGCATCGCGCGGACCGCAGATTATAGAGTGGGCGTGTATCTAGTTATTAGAGAGTCAACCCAACCCAACTTAAAGTTAGCTCAAGAATCCATACGCACTCGTTATTTAGACCATTGGATAGACATACCTATGTAGATAGTATATTTACTTGTTAGCTTCGCATACCTAGTGAAGAGGGATACGCACGACGACAGTGTACCATAGGTAAATGGGCTGATTTAGTAGGCTTCGAGACCATGTGATACCGAGAATGTGCAAAGAAGGAAATGATGGAAGTAAAGAATCCTATGAGAGTATTAGAGAGTAAAATATGGATGAAGCTGGAGAGTTGCAGCAACGTTGAAGCTAGATGACCTCTGTACTGCGTAGTAGTAGGGCTGCAGTCATAACTGCGCATATGACTGTATATTGACAGGCAGAGAACTGAACGACTACAACTTTCTCCTATTTCCAGAATCTGAATTCAATATGCAAGACCAGCTCCCACCTATACTATACTTCAGTCTTGGTGTCATAGCAACACTGATTGTCTTTTCCACTAGCTTTGTTCTTGGAAATTGGCAGAAAGGTCGATGTAAATGTTGTGTCCTCCATCATCTTGCATCGAGTCCAAGCGATTACCGCAAAGATCCCGACAGCCTCCCCTACGTCGACTTTTCCACCTTTATTACAACGCCGGATCCCGCAAGATCGCATTCGAATCGGACTATTTTGACCCACAACACTGATGGAGAGTTGACTCATTCTTCGATTTGCAATATGAAGGCCGCGACCATATAGATATGGCAACGCAGTGATCAAGGACGAATGGAAGATACTACAACAATTCTTTCCCGTCGTTTCTATACGCCTATTGATTCTCTAAAGTCTTTACTTTCATATCAAGTCTCTCTCGCTATGCCTCGCTTCTCCTTTCGGTCGCTACGTTTTCCGTTGTTATGCTTTGCTCTTCCTTCGAAACCGCTAGGCAGTACTTGGCTCTTGGATTTCTATCTTATATGAATAATAAAATTTGCTCGAAGCACGCTTTAATTGTCGCCCCCCACCTTCGATATGGGCCCAAACCAAAAGCCTGAAGCCCGCTGCGAGCTTTGCGGAAGTCTACATGCCAGTGATTGTTTGCTTTCATCGTTTACTTTCTTTGTTCTTTTACCTATTTAGGAAAGAGCTTGACTCTGGCGCTCTTGAATCATGTCATCTTCATTACAAAGTAACATGAAGCGACGAGCAGCGTCATCTACTAGAATCGCATTGGTAGTGCCGAAGCGCTCAACAAATTCCTGCAATATCTCAATCTCATTCCAGGTTGAGGGATCTAGGTCGTCATCCTCTAGGTTCGGATAGAAGAAGAGTTTCCATTCGGCTTTATGCTCTTCCATTGTGGTGATGGAAGTTGTAGTACTTTGATCAGGGGTTGCCCTAGCCAGTGTTGACAACGAAGGCATTCCTTCAAGCGAAAGTGCTTAGGAACAGATCGCTTTTACAGGGTAGTATGGTCATACAAGAGACAAGCAATGGATGAGCACTCACTGAGCACTCATTGATTAGGTGTTCTGCACGTGAGTGAGCATGAGCACTGATCTGACCCCGTGCTGACATCTACTCAGCCTGAGCCTGAGCTCATAAAAGCGGCGGCAGCTCAAATAGGAAAGCCCCACCAGGGAAAATCCGGTATACATATATTATACCTATATATAGCTTATAATATCCTGCTTCAATATATTGTTTAATATGTATCAAGGCTAAAGACTCAGCTTATCTTACATTGTTGCTCAGACCGCTGTCTTAAAGATCGGCATCTGCCCGATGAAAATTGCTATCGGGAAGGATTGCCGCGTTCTTATCATCCCTCACCGTTGGTAGTACCTACATCATGCACGCACATGTAACGCAGAAAACTGAGACATTAATGCTAGCTCGGTGAAGCGGTGAAAATAAGCGCCCAGTATTAGATGTTTAGAAAATCGCCGAAATTCAGAGGGGTTTAGAAGTAGGGATTATCATCAAATGGCTAATATTAACATGGGTCTCAAAGGTTAAATATGGAAAAATTTGTGCAATTTATGCCATTTTACCGCATGTATTCTTACTAGTTAATAAAGCGAAGAAATGTCCATAAAAAATTACATCCAAAAAGACATCTGAAAAGACTACCGAAAAAGACCCCGGGGATTAAGGTTAAAGGGACGGCAGAACACATACAAGGTATTGAGAATAGAAGAAAAGCCGATGTGTACCTCCGCCGAAAAGACTCCAAGTTCTAAAGTAACCGCTGACATTTCGGGCCGAGATAAACCATAGGTAATCAATCATCGAATCCTAGGCACTAATAAATAGACTATAATTGTGGTACAGGGATGTCCAGACTGCTGAGTAATTTGGCGACGTTAAGGAAGTGGCAGACAATTATCAGCTCTGAGTAAACAGTCCAGATACTTTATCTCTCTTATACTTGAACCATGATGGACATTATCTGAGCTCCTACAGCTAACTTATTTGGTACAGGCAGAGGTATGAATTGGTAACCTAATATTGTCAACCATTCACCATCCATTTGACATAATCACTTTCTTACAGTGTTTGCGAGATAGATATTCTTGTTCAAATCAGTCAACCGTAGCATTCGAACATCCACGGGTATCCGTTTATATCACATTGAACAGGTAATTATTCCTCTCGACAATGACATCACATGTAGTTTTAACTGGCACATCCAGACACGACAATATATATGGAAATTATAACCACTTCAAAATCTGCACTATGCAGCGGTTCTCAGTGGGTCTCAAGTATAAAATTGCTGATTTGATTGAGATCATCACATAATACAAGCTTCATTGATTGCTCATGAAAACTTGATAAAAAGAAACAGACTATAATACATGTAATGAATCCTCCCCATGATGAATCCTCCTTATGGGGCAGTGGTCTTGTGCAGCTGCTTGCCATCAACGCGAGCGCTGCTGCTGGCAGCTGCACCCTCGCGCAAACCACTGTTATCAGGAGGGAACTCCAAACGTCCAGAGCCAACATCAGTGGTACGGTGGTCAAGGGAGTTGAAATCACTGGCGACGGGGGGTTTCTCGGGCAGAGGCAGGTTGGCCTTGGTGTTTTCAATTTCCGCAGGCTTGTTGGTGTTTTGATCGATGATGGACTATACAGAATTATGTCAGAGGTCTGCGCTATGCTTAAACATCTTACATCTTTCATGGCAGATAACTCACCTTCAATTGAGAGACGTTGGAGTCTCCTGGGGTCTTGCCATCGTGGGATTGGGCAACCTTGGACTCAGCCTTGCGGATGTCTTGTGTAGTGGCGTGGAAGGTAGAGTCTGACATGGTGATAGGTTGTGAGTATGGTGGTTTATAGAGCAGTATTGCGAGAGGTAGCTGTTTTTGAATTTGACCAAGGGAGTGGTAAGACAATTTATTTATATTCTTTGTGCTAAGCTGCTATGACGATTACCACGATAATGCCATGGCATCCAAGACCATGGATATGGCTCCTCGAAACAGGCTGGATGTAATGCAGGGTCTCCACCCGAGGCCATGTAGATAGTATCAGGTTGGCCAGATTCCCTGTTTTCTTACTTCATATCGGAAATATGTCATGTCCTGAGAAACAAGGTAAAATGGATGTCATATTCTGGCTGAATAGTGTCCAAAAAGCCCCGAATAAACCATTTTTAAAACTCCACAACTGTTTTGACATTTGCCTCCTGCAAAGGTCAATAATCGACCATGTATGTAGCGAGAGTTTGCCACAGCTCAAGTCTTACACCACCTCACTATCGACCCTCACCAATGACTGATCAAACGCTTTACCATTACTTTTTCTGCGGCAATCTAGCCCTCATGCTTACCCTTCACAGTACCGACGAGACAAAGTCCGAATATAATACAAAGTCAACGGTCATTAGACCAAGCAATTCAGCGAGTTGCCCAGCATAGTTGCATCACCGGACAGCTAAGAAACAGACAGATGCGAATACTTACAGGACAGTGTCTTAGATAGACAGCTCCCACTACAAAGTGAACGTACGCCATCAAGGGAGGGGCCACGCCTATAATATTGATTGGCAGCAAGCTTATATAAATCAAGGTGTACGTCCACCTGGACGGGTACACGTCGCTAACCTTGGAAAGGGAATCAAATTAGCTAATAAAGCTCAGGTTGAGGTCCCAACATCCACTAAAGTCGACGGTATAGAACAGGCTATGTTCAGCGAAACGTTGACGCGATGCCGATATATTAATGAGTATGTGCATAGCCCTTGATTTCAGCTTTTATCCCTCCGCTTTTCTGTAGCGAATTTAATTGAGGGGTCTCCTTCAACAACTTGCTTATTGTTGGGGCAGGCCGGAACTATATAGCCAGACACGAAAGAGGTACGCGTTGCCCGGCTATGAATAGATATCCCAAGTCCGATAAGTCTGATTGAAAGAGTTTCAATTTCAAGAAACAAAAACACGGGTGAATCGCAGCGCCGTAGCAGTGCAAACGAAGAACGACCTTGGGGAATATATCCCTCGGCCAGATCCATACAATAGGGGGTTTCTCAAAGGATGCCAGAAAAAAAAAGATAACACTAAAAACATCATCCCAATAAAATAACCTCGACTGGAACATATTGCGTCTATCAGACGCGGCGCGGGTCCAATATCACGGATAGAGAGACTTCTGCCCTGCGCTCGTCCCAGCCTTCTAGTTCCGACTCCAGGACCAGACGGCCAAGTGTTGACCCTTCCGGATCTCGAAATGTGTTCGGAAATTCAGTTGTTCCCCTGCTTAGACTGATCCGACTGCTCATTGGATCCCTGGGAAGCTGTTACACAGTCAGATCCCGCAGCGCAAAACCAGGCCAGCTATATCAATCGGCCCAAGAAGATCAGATTGAGCGCTCACCAGCTGACTGGCCTTGTTCCCGGGGTTGGGACGAGGTGTTCGCACCGGTAGACCGGGACTGGAGGCGTCTCTCGGCCTCGCGGATTCGGTTCTGTAGCTCTTCCAATTCGCGGTTCTGGATCAACACCTGCTGCTTCCTTGTGGTTGAGGTTAGCGTTTAGCGGTCAGGAAATGAGGGTAATCACAGCAAAAGAGTCGCGTGCGATATCAATGATAAGGAAAGCATCCAGTGGCACTCACTTCTGGTCGATAGTTTGCGAAAGGTTGTCGACGTCGGAGTCAAGCATAAAGGCGCTGTCCAAGGCAGACGAGAAGGCTTGCGCCATGGTCCTGTGGTCACGGTTAATGCCACTATTCAGAGAACCAACGATATAGGGAAACGAACGACTGAGGCCGAACCTTCGGCTTCCACTCGCGATCCATGTCAGACATTTTGTGAGGGATGTTTTGATGTTGGTTTCTGTCACAGAACGGGGTTCTAACAGCTGAACGGCGACAGAGGGTGTGCGACCTGGAGGCGGGGCAAGAGCAAGTCGTAGAATTAAGGTATTAGGTGGTTTAGGTATCGTCGAGACCAGGACCAGCCAAGAATCAATTAAAGATGAAACTGAAACGAGGATTTTGATACTGTTGGTAAAATAAAAAAAACACAGTCAGTCTTATACTTCACGACAGATAAGCCACAATCTGGGTGAAATACCGGGATATCAACAGTCGCAATGAACAGATCGGAGAGTCAAAGAACTTGGGAGACCTACCAGGAATCTAAAGGGGGAGAAGGAGGGTGCGAAAGAGATGATCATAGCCCACCTAATGTTACTAGTGTAGGAGGACCCCATATATCCGCAAGGAGAGAGCTCGTAAGTGTTACAGCTGTATTACAGGGGGCCCTACGCCATTATGTGTCGCATTTAGGGGCTTTTGTGTTTCAGGGGTTAGATTTTATACTTCCATTTCTATTTTAGACGGAAATAGGGGGTTTGACAGTACAACATACAGAGTATACACAATGCACTTCTATAATGGAAATTAGGAAATTTCCTTTTATAAAGCTAAACCCCTGACATGGGGGTTTAGGAGATTTGCGTTATTTACCTATATTTCAGGCACAGATATATAGACAATATAAGGTTGAAAATGTCTATGCTTTATGGACAATATAATCTCTCATAGATATAGTATAGTATACTCCATCGTACGTTGCATTTGCGCATTCTGGCAGATTTCTCCCTGGCAACTGGTCACATGACCTATACCATACAGTACAGCGTGAAGTCTTCATTCTTCCATTTCCATCGTCATTTCAATTCTACAGAGACATTTCATCTCTTTGCTTCTTCTAACTTTAAATTTCACGCGTTTATACCCCGTTGTGGTGCCGTTCATTTTTTTCTCCGCTCAATTTTTCGCCCAGATTCAAGGGCCATATTGCGTTTCAAACCTGTCGCGCTCGCTATCTCTAAATACTAGCCAACCTAGCCAACTTATTCCCCGAAACTCGCAGTTCAAGCGATAACGAACGTTTTCCGTGACCACCCCGATCGCCCACCACCGTGGCCCCCATCCTTCAAGCCTTTCCCCCAGTGGCCGACCGGACGGGCAATGGGGGATGCCTCCTCTGTCGGCATACACTTCGTTTGAGTCCCTCCTGTTCTTCCAGTCTCTAGCAACTTCGGATTCCCGACCAACAAGCTTCGGCACAATCTCAACCCTCCTGCGCAACAACCAGCTGGTGCGCGAGAATGTCGATTTCGATGCCGATCGCCTGACCCCGGAGGCGCTGGAAGATCTCTATGCGACGTTGATGCGCGATGGATTCAGCCGTGATAGTGCGCCCTCGGTCAATGGACGACCCTCAGATACCTCTAGTCCGCCTAATCCGAAGAAACGCAAAATCTCCAGTCCGCGACCAGATGGATTGACCGGATTCACCCATGCCACGCTCGTCCCGGAGTTAGTGGCACACCTTTATGCCAAATACAGGGATCTAGTCACCAGGGAAATCAGGGACGACGAGAAAAAATATACCGAAATCAGGGCTGAGCTGGAACGGCTACAGCAGGAGGACGCAAAATCAGCCGCTGCGGCAGCTACAGCACCCACACCCGTGAAGCCGGTGCCCATCGAAGTGAAGGATGCTGGTCTAAAGGAAGAGACGCTGCATCCACATGTACAAGATCCGACAGGTCAACCTCTTGCGACGACCGTCCCGCTCGCCCAGGACAAGGCAAAGCCCGAACCGCAGCATATCGCAACCAATGTGCCCCCTACGACAAATGTGCCTCCGAAAACACACGTCCCTCCTGTGACCCAAACTCAAGCTCCAATTCCCCAATCGCAAACCCCAACACCCAACCCGCAAGACGTAGCTGGGCAAGCACCTCAACCACAGCCGACCACTCAACCCCTACCAAAACCCTCCATCCAACCTCCACTTGCTCCAGCTATCCAGAAAGCCCCTCCAACCACACCAGCCGGACCGCGAGTCACACCGGCACATCCGTCACAAATCGCACCTCGTGCTAATCCCGTCCAACCTGCGCCCATTGCTACGGGTAAGGCTGGCCCGTTGGCGCCGGCGTCCCAGCGAACACCCGCTCAGCCGAGTTTCCAGCAGTGGCAGCTGGATCCTTCCCCCCACTCACCATACCCGGCCGTCTCCCCAGGTGCTGCTACACCTCAAGTAGCTCAGGCCACTACCAAGCGACCTGTACCACTTTCCGTCAACCCACCTTTGCCAGGACCACAAGCCCAAACTCCCCTCCAACCTCTTGTTCCACAAACTCCTAGCGCCATCCCATCTACAACTCATACACCTGTCCCGATTGGCCGCCCGCGTGTTTCCCAAACCCCCAGTGCCACCTTCCCCTCTTTCTCCGAATCGCGCGGCTCCCATCCACGCCTGTCAATTGACACACAAGGCTCCTCCACACCATGGAAGAGAACTCCTCGCCCGAGGGTTTCGGTCTCTCCAAGCTCGCCGCCACGGCCACGGCCGGAGGATGTGAGTCCCATCAGTGAACGAGGCGACTCACCCATTGATGCGATGGAAATGTCACCTCCCCCGAGAATCAATCTAGGCCAACGAGCTCCATCTACAGAAGACAAGAAACCACGACGTGGCCAGGCTGACACCAAACCCGCCCCTATCATCAAGACCGAGAAACTAGCCTCAATTCGGAGGACACGTGCCGTAAGCTCGGGTTCTTCACGGAGTCGCGGGCGATCCATGGCTTCGCGCGATGGGTCTGTTGCACCATCGGAAGACACTGTACGCGAATCGCGAGCAACGGGCCGCCGAAAGGGTGCAGCTGCTACCGCCGACGAGGAGACACCCAAACCGCGGATAAAACGCAAACGCGGCGCAAGTGAAGCATTAGAAATTGAACCGCACCCCGCCGATATCCCCAGATTCGACACAACTCAGTATGTCATGGCTACGCGCAACTTCCACCGGACCGCGGCACCCATTATGAACGATGTAGCCACTCACAAGCTCGCGTCTATCTTTGCCAAGCCAATCAGCGAGCGCGACGCCCCTGGCTATCACGATCTCATCTATCGACCATCTGATCTCAAGTCAATCAAATCTGCCATCCACCAGGGAAGCAAAGCCGTCGCCACAGCAGGAGAGTCAGCCAGCACCCCAGCCGGGGATGGAGAGTCTCCGGTTCCTGGCGGTACACCATCCAAAGGCGGCATCCTAATGTTACAGAAGAGTGAGGACTTCGTCCCACCCAAGGGAATTGTGAACTCCGCACAACTGGAGAAAGAGCTTATACGCATGTTCGCCAACGCTATCATGTTCAACCCAATTCCCCAGCGAGGATTTGGACCCGCCTTCCCCATGTCTAGTGACCGTGGTTCGCGTGAGAGTACCCAACTGGGCGATTCCGACGAGGGTGGTATCATCCAGGACTCGCTGGAGATGTTTGAGGATGTTCAGCAGGCTGTTACTCGATGGCGGGCTGCTGAGCGCACTGCTGATGAATTGGCTAATAAGAATGTCCTCTCTCTTCGCCGTGGAAGTGCCAGTGATTTCAACACTGACAGTACTGATGATGTGAAAGGGTGATTCGTCACCATCTTGTATTATGAACTTTGTATTTGATTAGGATCGGTTTATTGGTTTTGGAAATGAAATGCCATGATGTCTTTCGTCGGTGCCTTCGATAGCCCGGCGGTTATTAATACTCCTGCTCCCTTGTATATCCTCTACTCCCATGATAATGATAGAACCATCTAAACCGAAAATATCAACGTGTATTTCATTGTCATAACCTTTCAACCAGAGCCAGTCCCGCTGCCTGAGTCTATAATGGGGTATATATATTTTCAATTTTCAATCCAACCTCTAAACCTGCGGCTTCGTCCGCCCAAGTCCCTCCTTCGCATAAAAGTCCATCGGATAAACACCCTTATTCCCCGTATCCCAATTCTCCCGTACCCCCAACGCAACAAGCGCCTCATAAGGCGTCAACAACGGCCGCGAAAACGCATATCCCCAATCAATACTCAACCGCGGACAAGCAATCTGCACCCAACATTCCACATCCGCCATAGAAGCCAATTTTCCAGGGAAGATCTCACTCAGCAACAAGTTGACAATTGGAATCCCGCGTTCGCGGAGGTGTCGCTCGATCATTGCCATAGTATGCGGGTTACCCTGTCGACCGAGCGAGCCGAGGATAATGCCCCACTTACGGGCTGTTTTCGCTGTCGCGATCGCGTCACGACGGATCGTCTGCATCTCCTCGTGTTCATAGCTCTCGCGTGTAAGGGTTCGAGAGTACGGATCGTAGCGGTAGGCTGGGATGGAGGGGTTGTGGATCATGGCGGATTCGAGGTGGAAGCGGCCGTCGCCGAGGTAGAGGATTGCGTCGATTTCGGTTTCGGAGAGTTGGGGCGATGTGCAGCCTAGAATCTCGCCTTTGGAGAGTGGGGTGATTTGGGGGATTATGACGCGGAAGCCGGCGCGTTCGAGGACGGGTTTTAGTCCGTGCAGCGTGGCGTTGAATTGGATCGTGCCGACGGTTGCGATTGATTGACCCGGCTTGAAGTTGCGCTCGAGTGTTGCGAGGAGGTGGCTTGTGTCGATGCTGATGTCTACGAAGATGTAGAGGGTTTTGATTTGGGTCACGTCGACTGGGATCAGGCAGCTGTGTGCGTAGTGTACTAGCAGATCGCAGCCTAGGGCGCGAGCTGTGTAATCGTCGATGCAGCAGGCGCCGTAGGTGACGTCGCCCATGATGAGGGTCTCGATTCCAGGGCAGAACTGGGTGAGGATGTCGGAGATGGTGGTCGCGAAGATTAGGAGGCCCTCGGGGAATTGGAGGGCTACTCGCTTGGCTCCTGATGTGCGGACTCGGTGGATTGTCTTGGGGATCTCGAAGGAGTAGTTCTTTGGGAGAAGTTCCATTGCTTCTAGGATCTCGGGATCGTTTAGAATCTCTGGTGGCACTTGGTTGAGGGTGCGGGGAGTGCGTCTGGGAGCGGCTGGAGGGAATGGAAATTAGTATGTGTATTTCATTTGAACCAGAGGACGATATGTACCTGTTTGCACCGCTGTGGACTCTACATCTTTCTGACTGGTTGTATCCTTCTGGGCTTGGGCATCTGCGGTTCGTCGTCCGACGAATCTCTTCTTTGGCTGCCGCAGTTGGCTAGCGGCTTGTGAGCCATCTTCAGTAGAGGGTGTAGGGATATTTGGCTCCATGATAATAAGGTATAATATGAGTCAATCGAAATTGGACTTTTCACTAATCTTGATATCTTCAAATATCGGAATTGATATCATCCCACTTCTTTTTTCTGCCAACTGACTCAGCAGGTGGGGTGATCAACTAGTCCGGAAGGGGTAAAGCGCTCTCCGCATCTCGGCCTACTACTGTTCCATTCTCCAAGCTCGCTTTCCTTCACTTGCTATTTCCCTTACAATTCTGGTTGCTCAGATCATACAAATTGGCCTAAACATTACCATGATGACAGCTCGCCCCAAATCGAGTCTGTTCTCAGCCCTGCGGTCTCCATATTCTGCACGCTGCTTCGCAACCGAGTCGCGGTTAGCCTCGGACCATGTCCGCATCGTGGAGGTTGGCGCTCGAGATGGACTGCAAAATGAGAAGAAATCCATTCCAATGCAAACAAAGCTGAAGTTGATTGAGCGACTGGCGAAAACGGGTGTTACTACCATTGAAGCTGGCTCATTTGTACCCGAAAAATGGGTACCCCAGGTATGACGTGTAGTACGACGATTTCAGTCCTTGAAGACTGACAATTTGGTTACACTATGACAGATGGCAAGCACAGCTGAGATTTGCGAGCACCTTCTCACAAAACCACCCCAAGCACAATCTACAATCGCATACAACTATCTTGTCCCCAACATCAGAGGATTGGAGAGCCTGGTTAAGATCCTTGATGCCACAGGAGTCCCCGCGGATGCGACTGGAGAGACATCAAAGGCAGCGACAACTACGGAGGTGTCTCTTTTCGCAGCAGCAACGGAAGCTTTCTCGCAAGCGAACACCAACTGCTCTATTGCCGAGTCACTGGAGCGCATCAAGCCGATTGTCGCATTAGCGAAGACCAAGAATATTCGCGTCCGCGGATATGTCTCTGTTGCACTTGGATGCCCTTACGAAGGCCCAGATGTCGATCCTGTCAAGGTAGCTGATATTACCGCCACGCTACTAGAGATGGGAGCGGATGAGGTGTCAGTCGCAGACACAACAGGTATGGGCACCGCTCCCCGGACCATGGAGCTTCTGCAAGCGCTCAAGGCTGCTGGCATTCAAAATACAGACTTGGCATTGCATTTCCATGATACATATGGACAGGCCTTGGTGAACACAATCGTCAGCCTGGAGCATGGTGTCCGTATTTTTGACAGCAGCGTGGGTGGACTTGGTGGTTGCCCGTATTCCAAGGGTGCAACGGGGAATGTGGCGACGGAGGACCTCATCCATACGATTCACAGCCTGGGAATGCACACAGGGGTCAGCCTGGATGAGATGTCGAAGATTGGAGGTTGGATTAGTGAGGAATTGGGCCGAGTTAATGGTAGCCGGGCTGGAAAAGCGACACTTGCTCGTCTCGCGGGAGAAAAGGCATCACTCTGATCAATTTGTGCTATAGCCCGTGTTTGTCGTCGTTCGGAGTATTTATTAGTCCCCAACGGGTTTCATACATTTGCCAACACCGCATTGACCAGTAAATATGCTTCGCATCGTCAGTCCACTCCATTTTGTTATGTACACTGTAGATGTGATCAACACCAAACACCCACTTCTCCGTCTCCAATTACGGAGGATTATATCCCTAGGCAAGAAACACCGACGCCATGATGCAAATCTCTCTTGTCAAGCCGAGTTCACTCAGAAATCAGTGACACGGCCACCGTAGCTCCAATCGCCCGCTGCGCCCCAGCGCAGAGGCTCATTCTTTGGTCCACCAACTTCACCAGTCTTTGGGTTCTTCTCGCCCTCAAACTCGGGCTTCAGTCCCTTTGGCGCATCGGGGTGAAGCTCGCCACCTTTGCCGTCCGCCTGAATCTCGGCCTGTGGTGACTGGTTCACCTGGGGTGTGCTGAAAGCGCCAGTTGAGCGCTTCTGGAGTTGTTCGAAGATCTCCTGTTCTTCCTTCGGGAGACGCGGGGGAGCCGGGGAGTCTGAGAATGGCATGGGCTTGTCGTCGCTCTGGCGCAGGAATCGAGTTGTGGAGAGTGGTCGGATTGCGCCACGGGCTGTGGCAGCCGAGGGGATTGAACGGCGAATGAGAGAGAACATCATTGTGTTTGTGGATGAGGGATATGAATGTCCAATGAGGCAAATTTGAAGTTGTACGGGGAGATCTCGGGACTCGGGCTGTTTCAATATTGACTCACTCCACTGATGTGACTAAGACTGCCGATCCCGATATCGCCTTTTTTTATTTCTCCCAGGTCGCGGATCAGATCATACAGTTCTCCTACGATCTTCACCCCTATTTTGCTGCAAATTAGCTTTTGGTTTTTTTCTTCTTGTATTCTTATAAAGCAAAAGTTTGTCATGTCTGCCCTTCGTGTGGCCGCGCGCCGTCTGCCTCGCGCATCCAAATTCGTCCCTGCTCTCGAGTCACCAGTACAGCGCCGATTCGCGACTACGTCCAATGCTCCTCAAAATGTGAAGTCTCAGATCAAGGTATGTGTGATGTGAAGTGTCCAAGACAGCGTTTAGATCTGGTACTAATAATCGCATAGAAGGAGTCAACTCTCCCCAACCCCGACCCTTCGGCGGACTCGGTCACGGCGTCCTTCATTAATGAGCGAACTCCTTTCATGGTCGCGACTTACGTTCGCCCGGTTCCCATGATGATGAAGGGACAGGGTTGCTACTTGTGGGATATGGAGAACCGACGTTATTTGGACTTGACCGCGGGAATTGCGGTCAACTCTCTTGGTCACTGTGACCCGGAGATTGCCAAAATTATTGCGGAGCAGGTGCGAAATGCTTTTATGGACTATATGGTGATCAATATCTAACAGAAAGCTCTCAATTACAGGCCGAAACCCTCATCCACGCTTCGAACCTTTACCACAACCCTTGGACCGGCGCTCTGAGTAAATTGTTGATCGAGTTGACTCAGAAGTCCGGTGCTATGCGCGATGCCTCGCAGGTCTTCATCTGCAACTCCGGAACCGAGGCCAACGAGGCCGCCATCAAGTTCGCTCGCAAGACCGGCCGGACTCTGGACCCTTCCGGTGATAAGCACGAGTTCGTGTCCTTCAAAAACTCGTTCCACGGCCGCACAATGGGTGCCCTCTCGGCCACCCCCAACCCCAAGTACCAGACTCCGTTCTCGCCCATGCTCCCCGGATTTAAGTACGGAGATTACAACCAGATCGAACAGCTCCAGACTCTTATCACAGATAAGACATGCGGTGTCATCGTTGAGCCCATCCAGGGCGAGGGCGGTGTCAACATCGCTACCCCCGAGTTCCTTGCTGCTCTCCGCAAGCGCTGTGACGAGACTGGCGCCGTCTTGATCTACGACGAGATTCAGTGCGGTCTGTCCCGTACTGGTACTTTCTGGGCCCACGCTCATCCCTCTCTCGCCCCGGCCTCTGGCGAGGCTGCCCACCCCGATATCCTGACTACCGCCAAAGCTCTTGGTAACGGTATTCCCATTGGTGCCACCATTGTTTCTGGCAAGACGGTTGGCCAGAACATTAAGACTGGCGACCACGGCACCACCTTCGGTGGTAACCCGCTGGCTTGCCGTGTCGCTCACCACATCGTCGAGCGTCTCGCTGAGCCAGAGCTCCAGCAGTCCGTTCAGACCAAGTCCGACCTTTTTGTTTCGGGCTTCAAGGCCATGCAGCAGAAGTTCCCAGGTGTGATCTCTGAGATCCGCGGACGCGGCCTGATCCTGGGTCTTCAGCTTGCCCCCGAGTACACCGCTAAGGCTGGTGATATTATCACTGCTGCCCGTGAGCGCGGCATGTTGATCATCACTGCTGGTGAGGGTTGCATCCGATTCGTTCCCGCCTTGACGATCACCGAAGACCAGATCCAGACTGGTCTGCGCATTTTGGAGCAGGCTGTGGATTCGGTTGTGGCTAAGTCATAAGTGTCTTGTCCTGAATGCCGGTTATGATTTTGTTTTCCTTTTATACCATATATTGCGTTGGATATGAGACATATTTTCATATAGAAACTAGAGCAATAAAGGAAAAGTGTCGTGTGTCCAACTTAAGTGGAGAAGCCAAGTCTTAGCTGGGAGTGTTGAGCTTGACTTTTTTTTTTTTTTTCATTTTTCGTTTTACTTAGAACATGTTATAGAGATTGCAATAATTATGTATACAACATATAGTTCAATGCCCAAGCACTGTATATGGCGGTCGACACGGCAGTTCCTTTCCCCACTACCACGTGGATGTGGAGATAGTCGTCACTCTTCGCGCTTGATATCGGCCCCTGTTATGGCCCCGTACTCTTTTCTCTTTCTCCTAATCCAATTAAAACAAATTATGGACTGAAATATCTTTTGCCATTTTCCTATAGCTTCTTAGCCAATACAACCGAATGCCTCTCACAGCATCCGATGAGGATGCCGCAACGCTTTCCTCTCAAGAGCAATGTTCCTCCTGGGATCGTCTCAGCGCCCGTGTTGGCGGCGCCTTTAAAGGCGCAGACCCCCGAGTCTGCATAGCTTTCTGGCTCTTCGGTGCGCACCCCCAACCAGCCCAGTTCATCAGCTCAACTGACACCCTTACCCGTCAGGCCTTATCAACAATGTCCTATATGTGATCATCCTCTCCGCAGCTGTAGATCTAGTCGGACCAGATGTACCCAAAGGCCTCGTTCTCCTCGCTGACGTGGTCCCGTCATTCGCGACCAAACTCGTCGCCCCGTACTTCATCCACCTCGTCCCATATTGGATGCGCACTCTCGTCTTCGCTCTCTTGTCATCCGTGGGAATGCTGGTCGTCGCTATGAGCCCGGGTTATACAGTTGGTGGAACGATATCATCCAAGATCGCGGGAATAGTACTGGCTAGCTTATCTTGCGGTGCTGGGGAGCTGAGCTTTGTGGGTCTCACGCACTTCTATGGCCCATTTAGTTTGGCTGCGTGGGGGAGTGGTACTGGCGCTGCTGGACTGATCGGAGCTGGTGCTTATGCCCTCGCGACTTCCGCGATGGGTTTCTCCGTTCGTGTCACATTGTTGGTTTCGGCATGCTTACCAGCCTTTATGGTTTTAAGCTTCTTTGTCGTGCTACCCAAGTCCCCCCTGAGATCTGCCGAATCTGGCGCTGATAGATATCGTGTCGTCGAGGGCGGGGGTCAGGTGGAAGAAGATGAAATGGATGATGGTGTTGGTGGGGAGGACGAGGGGCTCTTGGGAGAGTCGCGCGATTCCTCCGCCCACAAGTCTGTCCATGTCAGTGACGATGCCCCCTGGCAGGACCAGATGCGCAATAATCTACGTCGCGTCAAGGCACTGTTCATTCCTTTGTAAGTATTGGAGTATTCCAGTTCTTCCAGGTTTACGCTGACAGCTATCTAGCATGGTCCCGATGCTGCTGGTCTACATCGCCGAGTACGTGATCAACCAAGGTGTCGCTCCAACTCTGCTTTTCCCACTGCATGAATCGCCATTTGAGCACTTCCGCTCGTTCTATCCCACCTATAATGCCATTTACCAGATTGGCGTCTTTATATCCCGCTCCTCCACCCCGTTCTTCCGCATCCACAATCTGTACCTGCCATCGCTCCTGCAGGTAGTCAACCTTGTGCTGCTGAGCCTCCATGCTATGTTTAATTTTATCCCCACTGTATGGCTCGTGTTCATCATTATTTTCTGGGAGGGCCTCCTCGGTGGAGTGGTATATGTCAATACCTTTGCCGAGATTGCCGATCGTGTTCCCAAGGAGGATCGTGAATTCTCATTGGGAGCTACTACTGTCAGTGACTCGGCCGGTATCTGCATTGCTGGCTTCATCAGTATGGGGTGGGAGGTCTGGTTGTGCAGTTGGCAGGTTGGACATGGGCGTGATTATTGCCGACAAATGACATAGAATAGAGTAGATAGATGTGAATCACATATTCACATATACTTATGAACATAAAACATCCTACAAAAGCACAAAACAGAGAACGAACTATATGAAATCAACCCCGGCCGGGGAAGTCAGCTGATGTCGTCACTGGCATGTGAATGTGGGACTTTGTTGGCATGTGATTCAGCTTCCTCCAGCTTTTCTCCAATGACAGGTTGCATTACTGGCATTATTCTGCTGATCGCACTATGTCTTTCATCGTGGCTGATCTAAAGTGGTCTTCTTTGTCTCAAGTCTTTCGTTCTGTTTGACTTTCACTATACTTTAGACTCGACCTTCATGCATCCTTATCCCTTGATATAGAATACAGGCTGAACTGGCTAGACTAGACTTAGCTCTAATTTCAAGAAATGATAGGTATGCAACCTGCAGCCCACCTGAAACCCAAGCTAATCCATGTTCAGACCACGTCTTGGGGAGACCTTCCACCCGCTTCCGCAAAATCCAAGTATTTGCAGTTGTCTCTTTCTGGTCCATTTACTTATTAAGGTACAGCATACCAAGTCCACCTCAGTCTAAGAATCCCAACTGAACATCCAACAGAGCAGATAGACATGGCCCACCATTTATTCGATCCCTGTCATCCCGCTTCACAGGAAAGTTGACAACATGGCAGACAACGGTTATCATCTTCCTTTGGCTTTATCTCAGCCGGAACTTCGCCAAGATCGTCGGGCTCGAATGCCCTGAGCCATTGGCAAACATGTACTCGCGGTCTTTCTTCCGAGCAACATGGATCACCACTGGTCTGGATGCTGGATTCTGGACCGCGATGAACATAAAGCCAAAATGGCTACGAGATATAGCATCACTCGTCTTCACAGCTTACTATCTGATTGCCGCCGAACAGGCCGACGAGAAAGTTCGTCGGGTCCGTGCTACCCTGACACTAGAGCATCTGCGCGTGTCTTGGAATAAAGCCACCAGCCCTTACCTATGGTCATTGGCGAAACTGCTACGGCCCCGAATGACTCAGTTCCCGGCTCGAGCGATTCGTATTCCTCGCCCAAGGAAGTCTGTCTACACCGAGCCAGTGAATGCGTGGCTATATTTCGATGGTCCCTTAAGCGCGCTCCGAGATCAGAGCTTCATCGTCCTGGATGTACCCGGTGGTGGGTTTGTGGCTATGAGTCCCAGAAACTCAGAGGACAAGCTATTGTCTTGGGCAGGACGACTCAAGGTGCCCATCCTCAGTATTGATTACCAGAAGGCACCGGAATTCGCATACCCGTACGCACTACATGAATGCTACGATGTCTACCATAGCATCATTGCCACGAACGGTCGTTGTATGGGTCTGAGTGGTAAGACCCGTCCTCGGATTCTTGTCACTGGCGAAAGTGCCGGCGGCAACCTGGCAGTTGGTATGACCTTGATGGTGTTGCAGTCTGCGATGGCTCAGGGCTGGCGTGGAGAGGATGTGCTCCCGGCCCCGGATGGTGTGGTTTTGGGATACCCTGCGTTGAACATGAAGGTTGAGAGCTGGATGAGCGATGAGCAAATGTCGTTGATCCAGGAGAAGAGCACCCGCCAGACAAACCGCAGTGTTCTGCAACGGAAACAAGATGAATATCGTAAACTCACGCCATTCACATCGCCAGGTCGCTCGGTCGAGGATCTAACTTCTATCTCACCACCTGAGAAGGTAAAGGATAGCAAAGAGCCCAATGTGGCCGCCGAAGCTGCCAAAGCACTGGAGAAAAAACTCCAGAAGAGCGAGGACCTAGCCCCGAAACCTGTTGCCAAAGCAGAAGACGAAGTCAAACCAATCAAGACTAGACTAGCCGTCTCGTCCATGATCACCTATGTCCATGACCGTATCCTCACACCTGAAATGACGCGTGCGATGATCATTCTATACATCGGACCCCATCATCGCCCTGACTTCAACACCGATTTCCTCCTCTCTCCCGTCCTGGCCCCAGATGCTTTACTTGCCCGCTTCCCGAAAACATATATCATGACCGGAGAGCGAGATCCTCTGGTTGATGACACGGTCATATTTGCAGGCAGACTGCGCCAAGCAAAGCTGCACCAGTTCCGTGAGCGCCAGGACCTAGGATTGGAGAGGTCTAAACGCCCCTTCAATGAGAGAAACTACGTCGAGATCTCTCTGATCCCTGGTATTTCACACGGATTCATGCAGATGGCTGGCTTTTTCCCCGACGCGTGGAAGTATATCCACCGTAGCGCGGACTGGCTTGAGACTCTGTTCCAGAAGATCAAGACAGATGACCTCGAGGCGGATTTGCTTTACCCTGACCGGGATGTGAATACTTTGAGTGGCAATCCTTCCCTTGAATGGTCTAGCCCTACAGAGCACAAATCAAACGCTTCACAGAATGGACGTAACCACTCTCGCAAGTTCACTGGCGAGTCTTCGGGTGATGATGACAGACCACTGGAAATGAGCATGAGCAAGATCGCACCCGTTGCTGGTACCGAGGCTGCATCCACATCGAAGGCTGAACACCGCACGCGTCGGAGGAGATCACATTCTTCTTTTGCTTCCTCGCGAGTCACTGGGTTTACATCATTGGCAGATGATCGCAATGCTAAGGAGGATTTCCTCGCTAAGCTTCGACATTTGGAGAGAGCGGGTCGTTCGCAAGACACTTTCGATCCTGATGAGACAAACAGTGCGCCTGAAAGTCCGGGTGCGGTTCGTCCGAGAGGACGAAGCATTGCTTCTCTTGATAGCGAAGAGGATTTGCTGGATCGTCGTATGAATGGACTCGCTGGTGGGTTGATGGGGATCGGGGAAGGGGCTCAGACTCCCGGGCTGTGAGACTTTGGAGTTACGATTTACGACTGATATTTGGATTTATTTTCGGCTTAGAGTGAGATGAATCATTTCTAGAATATGTATGCCTTCTACCTGAACTCGTGGTACCGCACATATAAGTCCTCTAGTACGCAGGAAGATGAGAGGGATGAATGTAATACTCTAAACAAGAACATGCTACTTCTTGTCTGATGTTTTTGCTAGTCTTTTTACTGTCTGTTATACCACGCTTTTATGGGTTTTTTTCTAAATAAGAAATCAAACCAGTTTATAGGATGGATGTCAGTTTTTATCATATCGAGAGGAGATTTTGTTAGATTTCACAGCTTGGTAATGGTAAATGTTGTTAATGTACAGTCTATATTGGAAGTTTTCTCACGATCCACAATCGACATGTCCCCTTCGATCTCTGCGTGGTAGAGTATTTACATCAACCACTTCATTCTACGCCCTGCTGCAGCATCAAGGGTAAGAATGGCCTCTAGCCGCGCCCAAACCACAGCCAACGTCGCCGTAACCAGAAGTACACCAACCATAACGCTGGTATTCTCATAGCTTCGCGGACCGACACTCTTCTCCCCACTTCCGCGGATCAGTGCACCTGCAACTGGGGTTCCTACTAACGTCGCAAAGCCTCGCACCATGTATAGCAAGCCGTTAACACTGACAAAGTTCTGCACACCGAATAACTCTACCAGACTCGTCGGGAAGAGAGCGACGTATGCTGATGCGAAAATGCCGTAGAATATCGTAAATGCGATGAAGAGTGTACTCCCGGTGGATTGTGTAGTGGATAGACACGATGGAAGCCACAATGCGAGGACAGAGACGGCTGAGATAAGGGTCGTTATAACCAGGGTGTTGAGTCTCCCCATACGGTCAGCCGCGTGGCCGATGATCACCTTGCCTAGCGCATTTGCAGCGTTCGAGATGGCAATGAAGTTGGCCGATGTTGCCTGTGAGTAACCTAGCGTACGGGCAAAAGAGGCGAAAAAGAACACAGGTGTATAGTATGCAGCAGACTGCAACGCTGCACCCAGAGCATGAGCAACGAATTTCCGGCTTTGGACGACGCGCCAGTCAACCAATGGAAGGCGGAAGAATGTCGACGAACGCGTAGAAGCGGCGTTCTCGGCTTGAATACGAGTGATCTGACTAGCAGGCCAGCGTATGAATGTCCCCGAGCCGCAGATGAATACGAAAGAGATTCCCGCTGTGACGCGGAGTGTGTTGCGGAATCCAACGGACTCGATGAGGTATCGAAAAGCGAGGGGCCATGCAACACCGCCAATTCCAGTTCCTGCTAGGATTATTCCCATCGCTAGTCCACGGTGCTGGGAGAACCAAGTCGGTGCCACGGTTACAGATGGCATGTAAGTTAAACAGGTGGCAATGCCGAGAAGAACACCTTGAGTGAGGATGAATTGCCATAGGTGTTGACTGAAGCTTGCAAAAAGCAGAGCGCTTGAGTGAATTATTCCACTACCCCAGATGACATATCGAGGAGGATATTGCTTTGTCCACGCTGTTGCGAATGGAGCACCGATTGTCATTAGTGCGATTGAGAGTGTACCGATCAAGTCAATTTGTGCTGGTGTTGCGCCGGTAAATGGTGTGTTTGGTTCCTTTGACATGGAGTCATAGAGCTCTTGGAAGACACCGAATGCGAAATTTATTCCGCATCCTGTAAAGACGAGGGTTGTTGAGGCAATGATGATTATTATAGGCTGTCTGTGGCTGTGTTAGTCCAGTTCTTACGGTGGCAACTGCAGTACATACAGACGAGCTTGTGAACTTGTTAGACTGCTTCCATCCACATGCATTGTTAAAGTACGTTCCATCTTACTCTAGTGCCGATCTTTTATGGAGTGGGAGTGCAGTAGTATTGAAATATGAGCATGAAGGCTTAGAGGCTGAGATAAGAGGATATAAAAAAGATAAATAGAACACCCAGAAGATAAATTGATATTTAAGCTTCTATCGGCCCGGTTTAACCCTAACCTTCTGAGTCATTGCGGGGTATATAAAAACTTGACCGAGGGTGTTCAATTATATAGCCCTTTTTGCTTCATCAAGGTCGGCATTCTTCATACCCTCACTCTTGAAGTGGACTGCATATATTTATGATACGCGTAGCATCCAAGTCCGAAGAATCAAAAGAGTGATCAATGATTACTATAAAGAGCACCCCTGCTGCCATAAGGCCCTCTATATAAATTCATGGGAACAAAGAAACCCAGGCATGAAATACCACAAACAGGCGATGAGGGTTGACAAGCTTGCATGAGTACGACGGTGTATAACTAGCCTTAATATAAATGCCTGGATTTGATGCCTTTGTGCCTTGTTTTGGCCTGGCAGAAAAATAAAAATACGTGAACTACTATTATAGCTCCCTTACTAAGCAATGTACACTGGTTCCGCTAGCCTAAGGTAGGAATGAAAATGAAGCCTTTTATCATTGAGCGCTATACACCGTCGTACATGAGCAAGCAATGCCTCGGTGTAACAGTTGCACCATTGAATTGGAAGGCTAGCAATTCGGTTCGGGCTATAATGCGGATGAGGCTTCTATCCAATCTTGGAATGCGAGGAGATTGTTTAAGAGAGCAATTTTGAATAAGTATCTAGAAATATCCAGTGCATCGAGAGAGGAAATGGACTGCTTATATGGCTGGGAATAAACGGATAGAGGTCACATGACCGCTATACGCAACGATGTCCAACTAACATGTCTTTGATCATGTTCTTTGTCTGTTATCAAAAGTGATAGTGGGTATCGTGACCTTGACCTTAAACTATCAATCTTCCCGCCTCCACATGGCACGGTTTTTCGGTTGGCCCGTGGGCAAAGATGGCACTAACGGGGTATAGGGAATTGCGGACAGATTCTTTGATCATTCCTTGTAGGTAGGAATGGTTTATCAGAGCTTTCTACAAGAAGGTTGCTCTCTGAGTCCTCGGAAAAAACCGGTAGAGAGATAAATCTCCTCGGTTCGTAATTGCCTAGGTTTTCATTTTTAGTTATAGCAATCCCTACGGCTGCGAGATATTATTGATCAACTATAAGAAAGGGGATTCAAACTTAAGAGTATTGAATATCAGTGATCGCGTGACCATCTGAAGTTGGAATACCAGTAGAACAATTAGTTAAGGGAAAAAAGCTCAGAACACTAATAAAACAAGCACTATTCGGAAGCGACCAGAACACCAATTCAATAGCGGATGACTATAGCTGGACATCATAGAGCCCATGTCCTCAAATAGTAACGTGGTGCCATATCGGAGGGCGAGACCTCTGCGGCTAAACGTTCGCGTCTCATGCAGGTCCGATGCGAACCCTAGATCGAACGTATGATGTGTAGGAGATCCACCTGTGGATCTCCACCGAGCAACCCTCGAGGGATCGATGCTGGCTTTTATGAAGCTCTGAATATTGATGGGTAGATCTAGGGAAAGAAATTGACTTGATGAGAGTTTATATGTAAAGTAGTCGGATACCTTTCGGGAAGATGGAGTTCAAGTGCCGTGTTTAGGTCTCGTATAGAATAATAGGGCTATTAAATATTAGTCTAGATTCGAGGGTTCCATTTTAAAAATTTCAAAACAACGTACGATGTTCCGCCCACATCCATATTGACATAGTGGGATCTTGACTCGCGACTGCGCGGCTATCCCCGCAAAATGGATCCTTTTAAACAATAATAGAGACGTAGAGAAAAATGTCAACAAAATGTCAGAAAAATGTCCCCAGAAGAGGAATGAATTAGGTCAATTGTCTTGAATCCTATCAAGCGTCTCACAGTACAAAGCAGTTTAGGGTCCACTCGGGCTTTATATCGATGAAAAAAGGCCCACTGGTGGCTGCCCAAGTCCATGGATTCGCCTATTATTCTTTTTATTTGTTTTTATTTTAATTGGATGAAAAGTCTGACGTTTTTTCTTGAATATGCTTGACCTTTATGTGTTTATTAAAAGGTGTATAAATAAACTTAATGAACTTCATTCTTTTGATCTATAATATCAGGACCTACTTACTGCTTCTAATATGATCATAGTTTTCATCTGATAATTCTACACCAAATTCATCTCCCCCTGAACAATATGTCTAAAGATTAATCTCCGAGATCTGTCACATTTCTTCACGTAGAGACTTAGCCCCATACTGACCCTTGGAACCATCTTCTCTAACGGCTGTCACACTAACCCCGATATGGATGTAGTGTTTGATATTTAAATAATAAATACACCCCCAATATCGAGAGATATTCTATTAGAATCTCATTGACCCTTCACACATGCTTCATGTTCATTCGTGTCAATGAAAGCCACGGGGAATTTTGGCCCTGCGCCTCCGGGCATTGACCTGGCCGAGAACCAGGAATCCCAGATGCTGGGTGCAGTCATTACGATGATGATTATTGGAAGCCTGGCGGTTCTATTGCGCGTATATACACGTGCAAGGACAACTCAGACGCATTTCGGTGTGGATGACTTTTTAATCTTTGCTGCTTTGGTTAGTGATATGGTTATACTAATTATCCCTTCCAAGCTTGTTCTTGAGGCTTACCTATCTTCTAGTGGTTTGCCTACGGCACTGGTATATGCGCGATCATCAGTAAGTAACCCAATATCTAGCATCCATATCTCCCTTGCTGACTCTTTCTTCTTAAAGGTATCAAATACAAAAACGGATGGCACCAACAAGCTCTCACCGATTCCGAATTCACCTCGCTCTGGAAGCTCCTTTTCGCACATGTCTTCATCTACTGCACCACGGTCACCTTGACTAAATCCTCAATCATCATGTTCTACCGTCGCATTTTTAACCTGCGTTGGTCCTTATATTACGCCATGGCCGTCATTATAGGCTACTTCGTCGGTGTTATTGTCACCATTGCAGTCGCGTGTCGCCCTACATCATTCTTCTGGGAGCAATACACGGATTCCACGGCCGAAGGAACATGTATAGACGTCCCTCAATTCTTCTTGATCAATGGCATTGTTTCTGTCGTGATTGATGTCATGATCCTGTGTGTCCCAGCTCCTATTATCTGGAGATTACAAATGCCCAAGTCCCAGCGTGTTGCGGTTACTAGTATCTTACTGCTCGGTGGTTTGTGAGTATTCCAAAGGATATCGAGGTTCCAGAAACATGCTAATTAAAACCATTATAGCGTCTGCATCGCCGGTATCGTCCGCGTTATTTTCTTGCATAAACACACACAATCCGACGATCCATCCTGGACAATCGCCCCTGTCTTCATGTGGTCCTGCGTTGAACCTTTCATCGGAATTATCTGCGCTTGTCTACCGACCTTTTCGCCCTTATTTCGTCGCTGGTGGGCTATTATGGGTATCAAGAAGTCTGGGACCAAGAAACAGGAAGATTATGGTTCAGGAGGTACTCGGACCCGTCGTTCGAGAAACCACGCCTCGGAAGATGAGGAGGGTCCTGACGGTGATGAGGTTCAATTGACCAGCTTCCCGGGTTGGCCATTGAACTTCTTGCGTGGAAAGGCTAGCAGAGATGATGTGGGATCTTCCAACGCGAAAATTCGGATTAAAGAAGAGGTCACAATCTCGTTTTCCGTGGACCAAAGATGAGTCACTGGCAGGAATGGTAGTCGGGTCAAATTTATATCAAAAATTATATATTCAAAAGTCTTCTGCACATTTTAGCCTTTTTCCACTGTTTCCCTATAAAACTCGAAGGGCAAGAAAATATTTAGAAAGATACGAATAAAAATGCTACACGAGGCCGCATAAACGGCCTACTATATTGTCGACTTAGATTAGTATAGCACATTCACAAAATAAAGTTACATTTTTACAAATGATAGCATATTGAAAGATTGACACAGATCAACGATGCTGCGTCAGTCGATCACTCGTCGAACTGACGTATGTTCATCGCCCATAGAAACAAATTCAGAAACCCCCTTTTCGACCCATAAGCAAGGATGATACGTGGGATCCACAAAATCTCACGATCCAGTATGAGTCAAATATCCATCGAACACTATTTTCGCCGCTTATCAGACATTTCACACCCCTTTAGGAAATCGTCATGTTTCGCATCTTCAACATCAATTCAAGTTCCGCTCTGTTCAATGAGGGGGAAGTGGGATATCTAAGCTCCTGGACTCCCACGAGGTACACCACGAGCCTGGTATATTATTAGTACACATGGCAGACCCGGGAAGATAGATAGGATGTCTCGTACCTGTCGTGAAATACGGTTGGAAAGTAACATTTGAATCCTCCTCGTGGGGCCTCTTCCATGTGCAGCCAACCTTTCGTGGGGCATGATAGCATATCCTCACTTGATGGGTCGAAGATAAGGCCTTGAGAGTCGTGGTAATGAGCATGACGAAGAACTTCAAACTCCTGTTCAGGAGGGAAAAAGGTTTCGGGCGAAAGTGGAAGACCAACAAAGTCTACAATTGCCGCGATTGTAGCTTCCAGAATGCAGCGAATCTGAAAAAGATTGACTAATTTCATAGTCGTCGAAGCTCATGAGGTCAATTTGATCTTTTTTGTACCATGCCTCGTACCACTAGCAACATGTCAACATGACAGAACGTAAACGCTTGAATATCACTTACCATGTCGCAGAGATGCATGAATGCATCCATCAATTCAGGCTGGCCCTCAGTTAGTCCAAAGATTCGGTCTTTCAAAACTTCGCAGATCTCATAGTCAGACCCTCGACCCAGGAAATGCATTTCGATGTATAGATCGAATTCATCTCGGGTGTAGAAAAGGGTGATCTCCTCAGCAAAACGCTGGGACAAGAAAAGACGTTGATTCTTATTGAATACCAATAGGTCACTCCCCATGTTGTGGGGCATAACACCCCTATCGGGGGTACCGAATGCACTGAACATACAGAAACGGGCCCCTGGGATGTTTGCGAGGCGATCTTGGTTCACCGAATGCAGAAGTAACCACAGCTCAGAGTTGTTGTAAGTAGTGTGTGCGTCATCAATGATAAAGACAAATTTGTGGCGCATAAGGTCGTGACTGGATGCCGCAAAGCCTTGCATGTTACAGGCGTCCATCAGATACTAAGAGCCGTTACCACTCCAATAACAGGCTCCAGTTGCCATATTGGGGGTCAAGAATCAGGCGGATGGGTTGATATGGAAGCTGAAAGGAGCAGCGGATGCGTGGAGGCTCATCCAAGCCGTGTGCTAGGTAGCAACGAGAAGAATGAATGAGAAAAGGCAAGAGAAGAACTGAGTCAAAGACTGGATTGACAGTGGAAGAGATAGAGAGAGATAGAGAGAGATAGAGAGAGATAGAGAGAGAGAGAGAGAGAGAGAGAGAGAGAGAGAGAGAGAGAGAGAGAGAGAGAGAGAGAGAGAGAAGAGCAAATAGAAATGTGGGATACAAAGTAAACAAACTATAATGGAAGGCGCGAGGGTCGCTCTTTCCCTAATGAGACTATCAGATAAAACTCTATTTCCTTAGTCTTCTTCCCATGTACTATGTCTATTTCGTCCATATTGTCTTTGTATATGGATTCCAAGCTTGTCACCTTATATACTTCGACTGCGATTTGATTGGCTTTAAATGCTTGGCCCCGGATATCTTTACCCCGCAAACTTGATAAGAGATAAGGATATTCCCTGCTCGTCGGGCTAACTCCTTAATCTTCACCAGACTATCTTGGTATATACCGACTTCCATGACCCTCGATCGAGAAGCAAACGGCAAGCGTAAGCGCGGGGAGAGGAGACGCGCTTCCCTAGCGTAAGTAAATTCTCAGCTCTCAGCCTCATCCCGAGCCTCGCATTGACAATTCTCAAAAAGTTGCGAGACTTGCAGAAAGCAGAAGGAGAAGTGTGAGGGGGGTCCACCCTGCTGGAGATGCCAACGACTAGGCCGATCATGCCAGTTTCAGGGCCAGCCGATTCAGAGAACGACATCCCCATGCTCCTCCGTCCCTGTCGCGTCGGTTCCAAGAGACGAGAATCGGCGAATAGAAAGCTTAGAGCATATTGCTCGCCATTTTCTTGGCGATGTACCTTTGGACGAAGAGAATGTCTGCCGTATTGCGGATAAATTACGAAGCTCGACGAACACAACCCTGCCGGAAACCGCTCTGGATATCAATGAGTCGTGCGACGTTCATTTCGTATCAAATAATGTGGCGCATTACGCGGGGGAGTTTTCTCACTGGACCTTTTCTCAGAAGTTACGTCGCAGAATGAGCTGCCAAATAGATCAGTTTGATTCCAAAGTTTGTATTTCTCCCCGCAAAATCTCGAGCGTGTCTGACGATTTACAACAGGTCAAAGAATACTGGCGGCCAACACAGCTTCAATCCTCACCAGATGTCATACTGGAGACAATGACACATTTACCACCGAGACCTATTGCCGACTTTCTCATCACCATGTTCTTCAAGTACGTCGAGATCAACTCTTTTTACATGGAGCGGAAATGGATAGAAGAGAAGGTAGCGCTCTGTTACAGCTCAACAACTACATATACGGCCGTTGACTTTCCATGGGTATGCTCTGTTTTTGTTGCTCTGGCTATTGGAACTCAAGTAGCTCATATGGAGGATGAAAAGCCGAAGCCCGATTTAGAGGTCGCCGAAGAACTCAACTTGTGCTCTGAGGACTCTGTCGGGCTAACTTTCTACCACGCAGCATGCAAGCTGATTCCAGATGTTCTTTTGGTTGCTTCTCAGGAAAGTGTGCAGGTCTTCTTGCTTCTCGCCACATATTCACTGCCTGTTTCCACGGGTGGCCTTGCATACACCTATTACGGTCTTGCAATGAAGATGGCAATTCAAAATGGGATGCATCGCAAATATCAAGGCGGTAATTGCGACCCTAGAACTATCGAATTCAGAAATCGGTTATTTTGGACAACATACACCGTTGAAAAGTATGATATCCAAGAGGGCATCTCGGAGTAAAGCTAACCTTCGAGCTTCACAGATATATCAGCATCTTGCATGGACGCCCTATGTCAATCGCGCGGTCGGAAATAAACGCTGATATGCCGAAGGACTCTTCTACGTTTGAGTCACCACGATTTGCCAACCTAATTGCGTTTCATAAATTGATTTCGTACTTGGGAGAGATCTCTGAAACACTGTAAGTGTCTCACAATGTTGAACCAGTACATCGACGAGACTGATACTGCAATAGCGCACAATTTAAAAGATGTCCGAAAAGGCTTCTCTCTGGTTATTCAGAGCGGCTCTTGCAGCTGAGGGCAAGTATCAAGCAGTGGTGGGACTCACTCCCAGCGACTGAAGAATGTCGAGACCTATGCTCGCAAGGCCCAAATTTTCGACAAAACGCGCATCTCAGACTGTGTTATTTGCTCATATATGTCTACATGGGCCGTGCATTTATATTTGTTGATAACAGAAAAGAATCAGATGAAGCCATAATTGGTGCAGATCATGATTCAGGACGGGCGCGTCGGTCAGTTTTGGTGGACGACTGCGTAGCAAGTGCTTTGGACATCCTGAACACTCTACAATCCTTATCCGACCATGTCGGTCTTTGCCGCGCTTCTTACAATGAGTTTGGTGCCTGTCGTGCCGCTCTTCTGGTCATCCTTGCAGAAAGCCTCAACTCGGGGAGATCCCAGAGACTCCAGGATGGCCTACATCGTGGAATGAGTCTCATACGTCAGATGGTTGGGGGAAGCTCTTCCAAATCCGAGATATCATATCTTGAGTCTATCGAAGCAGCTATCAGCCAGCTTCTAGCTGTTCCCGAAGAAGACTCCGTTTTCCAGCCACAAACCGATCAAAGCTCTATCTCTGCCTATTCAAAATTCAAAGACTGGACGCAGTCGCTAAAGAAGGACAAATCTGCAAGTGGAAATTTGGAGCTGTCTTCTTTTAGTCCGTTGTCGCATCTTACTCCAGGCACAGAAGCTTTCGCGAATCCAGAGCTGAACGATATGACAGCTTTCTTTGATCCTGACTGGTCGAACGGTGATTTTGAGTTTGATACGTATAATCTTTCATCTCTGTCAAAATGATTTCACATTGAGGAACTTAGAACTATAAAATCCTTCGGCGCTGCTTCCCCTATCCAAATACCATATACTGAGCACGCTTTTTCCAAGTTTTCTGCTTGCTTTTCTCTAGATCCCGCTTCGCATCTTCATCGGCTATATCATTGATAAGGTCCTGCTCATCAAAGGCTTTGGCAGGACCAAAGTCCATGTCCATCGGCTTGACTATCTTTGTTTTGAAATACCACTGCGAAAGTCAGATATCTTCAATCGTCAACTACAATTGAAGCACTCACCTTGTATCCAAAGTAATCAAAAAAGAACAACGGAGCCGCGAGATAAGAAGAGAAGAAGGTCTTTACTGAACCCTTTTCTCCGAACGGCCAGCAAGCCAGGTAGAATTGACAACCGAAGATAAACACCACAATGGTGAGACTGATGTATTGCGCCCACGGGGTGAGAAGGCCTTTGAACGGAAGTTCGTTAAGATCCTTGCCTTGGGCTCGGAGACCTTGCCGGAATCGAAGATGAGCAATATAAATACAGGCCCATTGGAAGAGGGTTGCTATTGCCACCTACATCAAATCGTCAATAAAAGTCTTCACACACATATCTTTCCCCTAGGCTGGGTGTACTCACCAAAGCAGAAAACCAACTATACACCAATGTTCCCACACTGTTGCAGTTGAGATAGCCCAGCCCACCACCAAGGCCCAAGCTGATAGCCAGGGACACATAGGGCCGACCTTGCGAGTCCTTTCTTCCAAAGAACGGATGGATGATCTTCAGGTCAGCGAGTGCTGTCAAACTTCGACTTGCGATATAAACACTGGTAATGCCACAGCTGATCACACTAAGGAAGATGAACCCGTTGATCGCGTGTGCTAGACCATAAACGTCTGCCCGCTTAATCGCAATGACAAAGGGGCTTCCCAAAGTCCCGCTGGCATTGACAAGATCGGTGTCATTGGATGGAACGCACATTCCGACGAGCCAGATATTAACCACGAAGAAGGTAAACATTCGCCAAAACACGGGTCGAACTGTCTTCTTGATAGTTCGACGGGGGTCAGCTACTTCGCCAGCAATAACAGCAATATGCTCGCCTAATTTCAGTCAGTATATTCTTCTCGGACTTTTGTTGTGTCAGATATCATACCGCCGCCAAAGCTGAAGGCCGCCTGCACAAAGGCTTTAGCGATACCCTTTATTCCATTGTTGAAAGCTCCTGGGTTCTTCCAGTATCGGAACTCGATTGGGCCGTTTGTCCCTGGTATACCTCCCGATGTCATGATGAACATGAAGAATATCATCAAGATAACTGCAAGGCACTTCACAAACGACATATAATACTCGATATAGCCGTAGACTCGCACGTGGAACATGTTTGCGGCGGCGAAAACTACCAGAAATATAGTGATAAATGCCGCGAGGGGTACGACGTCTGTCGCTGGCCAATATTTCAGGACGGATATCGCTGCTGTTATCTCTGCTGGGATTATCATAACCCACTTTGTCTGCGTCAGTGTATGCGATTCTCAGATTCTGGGAGGCTGACATACCGCAAACCAAAAGTTGACACCAATCGCAAAACCGAATGCCGGGTCGACATATTCAGCGCATTGCCTGATAAAGCCCCCATGAATTGGCTTGTGTGTAGTCATCTCGCCGATTGAAGAGTATTGAGCGTACACGATCATCCTTCCCAGACAAAGTTAGTCATAAGAGTACAATAGTAGAGTGTTCCGGAGTACCCTACGCTGTGATCGTATAGGTGATTGCCATACCCGCAGGACCGGCTATCTAATGTTAACCTCTCATCTTAGAGTGCACATGATTTCACTTACCATAGAGCAATGCCTGTCCAGTTCCTACCCAGAGACCAGTGCCAATGCCAGCGCCAAAGGTCATCATCATTATTTGACGCCTTGTCAAGGAACGATGGTACCCAGCATCATCCGTCGCAGATAGGATAATAGTGCTGCCATGACGCTCAGTTCCTGAACTCGCCGAGCGTTCTATATCATGTGGCTCGCTTGTTTTGAGATCGATTGCGTCCTTCGCGATTTGCATTGGAGGTTCGCTCATGCTGGTGACTCCGTAAGTCGTGGATGAGAGTTTTATTGCAATAGGAAGCCAATAGGAAAGGTACTATCCATTGATATATCTGAGATTTACCTAGGTAGTCAAGGCCAAGCGTATCCTTATCGTTATCTCATCGCCGTGTCCCCAAGTCGCATTCCCGCCGGGAGGAATTGCTTCCCGCCGGCACTGCACTTGACCGGCTAGTGATTTTAGGGCTATGTAAATAACCATATGTTTACCGTAATTACTAGTATGAGTATACTAACTTTAGTTACGACAATTTAAGCATAATATGTAAGGTGGTTGAAGAAGTATATGTAAGCATCGAGGTACTCTAGGGCTAACCCAGAGCAGCGGCAGCAAGAATAAAACGAGAAGCTGCCTGAGACAGCCAAAAGATATATTTTGGTAAAAGATGAAAGAAGGAAGGTTGTCAGGATGTATATCTGGATCAAAGGTTTGGTCGAATTATTGAGAGTGCCTTGTTGCCTTGTTAGTCAGGTTTCCATTTGCTATTTGGCTAGCTTTAGTTCCTTTGTAGAAAAAAACATATTCCTTATTCTCTATACTCCCTTATCAAAGACCAAAGCGCAAGAAAATCTGCCTCTGAACTGTCTGGCTTGGCAAGTTTCCTACCCCATTCGTGAATCTGAACGCAATAAGCCTACTAGGGACCAAAGCAGTCAACTCAATACACCTGTCCTAATCTTACTTGTACTGGCTAGTAATATTTATATGCATTACTAGGTCTCTCTGACTATTATACGATTATCTACGATCTACAACGCTGCGGGGTATATGATTCATAGTTTGGAGATAAGTCAAAAGGTAATCCTTTCATTACTTATCTGATCTGTCTCCCTTTCTTTATCTATAAGATAAATCATTATTCTTCTGTTACAAAAGGTGATTCAGGATAACGATATCAATTCTTCTCCAATTCCCCCATAAACAACTCCAACATCAAGATGTCCTCATCTAAGCACGTCGTTTTCGACATCGTCGGTACACTCGTCTCCTACGACCATGTTTTTGACGCTATTGATACCCGTCTGGGAGATCGACTGCGCGCAGAGGGAATCAAGCCCCGTCTACTGGGATTCACCTGGATGGAAGCTGCCGAGCGCGAGTACACTAATCTGAGTCTTGCACAAAGCTACGTCCCCTTCGGTTCAGTTTTCCACGCACTTTTCTACCGCATGCTCTGGATGGCCGGTATCGCTGAGCCACGGACCTGGGCCTCACCTGAAGATCTGGAGTATATCATGGCGGAATACCAACTTCTCAAATTCCGTCCTGGTGCGGCAGAGTGTGTTCAGAAGCTACGTGATGCCGGTTTCACGGTGTGGGCATTCACCGCGGCGGATATTAACCGTGTTGGTGGCTATTTCAGGAATGCGGGTGTTGAGCTGCCTGCGGAGAACTTGCTGTCTTGTGATGACGTCGGTGTCGGTAAGCCTGACTTGGAGGCTTATCGTCCCTTGTTGGAGAAGCTGAAGTCGGAGAATGATGGGAAGACACCTTGGTTTGCGGCGGCGCATATGTGGGATGTCTCTGCGGCGAGGAAGGCTGGGTATGTGTCTCATCCTGAAATTATGGGTTGTCAAGACCTGTTACTGACATTCTATTATACAGATTCAAGGGAGCATACTGCTCTGTGTGGGAGAAGGAGTCCTTGTCAGAACTCTTTGGAGAAATGGATGTTATGGATGATACTTTGCCAGGAATGGCGGATAAGATCATTGCCCACCAGGCGTCGTCTTGAGTTTTCGTATTTAGTCTAGCATTGATCAATCTGAATATTATGCCGTTTAACTGAACATATCCAGTTCCACGCACTCGTAAATTTTGGAAGTAAAATTCCTCCACTAAATCATAACAAAAGCCAAGGTCACATTCTATATTCTTGTTCTGACAGTAAATAATTCCCAACCTCGATCATTTATACTATTGTTGATTTAATTTCACATTTATTTTCATTTATTGTTTTCCTAATCACACATTATTCGATTCAAGTCCTCTAATCATTAGATATCTCCTCATAATCGATGCGTTATCACTGCAGTCGCTGGCCCTGGGCATCTAGCGTTCTGACTTAGTGGGGCGATTGGACCGGGAAAGTTACCGGTGGAAAAGCCGCCGGGAGAGAAGGCAGCCTTCCTAGTCCCTAATGTCCAATATCAATAAATGCCAAATAATTCCAATGTCTCCGCTAATTGTCTTGGACTCTTCAAAATGGCGAAACATACCCCGGTCCCAAATGGGATGACGTCATTCTGGCGGACAGAGCCTCACTTTCTAGACAGTCATCGATCGACTGAGTCTCTCCCTCAAGAGTGCGATATTGTCGTTATAGGAGCTGGGTATGCAGGAGCATCTGTTGTGCACCATATCATCGACCAGATTACCCCCGGGTCAAAGCCGCCGTCGATTGTGATTTTGGAGGCGCGACAGGCTTGTTCCGGTGCCACTGGTCGAAATGGTAAGATTGGGATAGTCACAAATGAGAAATGAGAAACTTGGCTAAATTGATTTATGATTTGTTGTAGGAGGACACATGAAACCTGATGTCTATAATGGTATTGCTGGCTTGGCCGCTGATCACGGCGCCGAGGCTGCTGCCGAGGTTGCGGCTTTCGAGGCTAAACATGTCTCATTTCTCAAGAAGTTTGTCGAAAGAGAAAGCATAGACTGTGAATACACGGTCACAAAGGCTATCGATGTTCAGCTATCTCGGGATCACAGCGCAAGACTCAAAGAGGGATACGAAGGATTGATCAAGAAGGGATGTGAGCCAACGATGAAAGCAAAATATATCCCTGGCAACGAGGCAGAGAAGGTGAGTACATGTTTGAAGCATCGTATGCGAACATACTAACCGGTAATGCATCAGTTCTCTGGAGTCAAAGGTGCGCAGGGCTGTTTCACATACGACGCTGGTCACATTTGGCCATACAAATTTGTACTGCATCTTTTGGAAAAGGCAATTTCCCAAGGTGTAAATTTACAAACGCACACACCGGTATCGGGGATGACACAGTCTACCTCCTCAACATCGGGTCATCCTTGGACAGTGTATACTGCCCGAGGCTCCATTGCCGCCAAGACAGTGGTTTTAGCAACGAATGCCTATACTTCATCGCTGGCCCCTCAATATAAGGAGAAGATTATCCCTGTCCGAGGAACGTGCAGTCGAATCGTCGTTCCTCCAGGTACTACCGCACCTCGCTTGACGAATACCTACACCCTACGCTGGAACAATTGGAATTATGACTACCTCATCCCACGCGCCGATGGGAGTATAGTCGTCGGCGGTGCTCGTCCGGCTTTTATTAATGATCTGGATAGCTGGTACAATGTCAGTGATGACAGCTCGGTACTTGAGCCTGCTGTTCGATACTGGGATAATTATATGCAGCGGAATTTTGTCGGCTGGGAGAATAGTAACGCTTATACGGACAGAGTCTGGACTGGGAGTATGTTGTTCGATTTATGGTACCACTTAGTGAACAAGCTAACTCAATTTCTCAATAGTCATGGGCTATTCCACAGATGGGCTTCCGCATGTTGGCCATGTTCCAGGACAGAAAGATCAGTACATCATCGCTGGATTTACAGGACATGGAATGCCCCAAATCTTCCTGGCGGCTGAGGGTTTGGCAAAAATGGTACTCAATGATGTTCATTTTGCACAAACTGGACTCCCGCGACTGTTCGAGTCTACACAATCCCGACTCGACAGTCGCCTGAACAAGATATTTGCTAGCACCCCTGGGAAACAAGCAAAATTGTGATCAGAAATTAAATCTTAGATCAAATCTTGGATCAACTATTTGATCTACATGTATACATCTAGCTACACCGTGGTGTTTCCACTTTCGGAAATGGACACCTCAGGTAGACTTTAATGCCACCCATGGATCATAGAGCCTACTATTCCCTTTTTAGATTCTTTTGCTCTCTCTCAATTCTTCCATCAACTGATTTCATCTCAATCCACTTGACTGAACAATACACCATTCTTGCGCTTCCATTCAAAATGAGCAATTCCTCTATTTCTCAAGCATCACTTCAATCCTTAAATCCGAGCTATGACCATGTGGAAGACATCCACGCAGCGCTGCAGGAGATGAAAGATTCAATGCCTGACGAAGACCCTGAGCAGGTATGTATCACAATCCCCGAGATGGAGCTAGAGACTATGTCTGCCTCTCCTTACATTGCATCTAATAAAGAACCTCCAGATCATTATCTGGTGCGAAGAAAGGAGCAACCGTTTGCGTGCTGCCTTGGGGATTCCTGTAGCCCAAGAGAACGACGACAGCATCCACGAACCCGAGGAAGAAGTTTGTGAGCAATACAATGTTCACATTGAGGATGGTGATGAAAGCCTCGAGTGCGAGGAAGAAGATATTTTCGACCACGATGACAATCCGCTCGGCCATGAAGAAGATGCTCTCGGCTTTGAGAGAGATGGGTTCTGCTACGAGGAAGCCACGTTTGATCTCGAGGAGAGTTCGTATAGCTACGACGATGCTTATAGCTACGACGGAGATTCTTTTGACTACTAGGAGGCAGGTGGATGGGAGAGGGAATAGTGAAGTGATAAGGGAAGTGGGGATCATGCAGAACGGCGCAAGGGACTGGAAGAGGCGCAAATGAAGATGGAGAATATCGAATTCGGGGTGGTCCATGGAGTATTTATCAGTGGAAGTGAAGCACGAAGTCATATCATTCACAGTCTTATATCATTATTCAGACCGTGCTTCTACAACCAGATCAGGATTCCTCTACATTTGTATTCTCTGGGTAACAATACAAGTATTCTCTGTTAGTTTGATAAAAGTCAGTGTAGAGGTACACCTGGGCAAGTTGGAGCCTGAGGGGGAATGAGGTCCAGGGCTCCTTCCTGTTTCCTTCTGTTCCTTCCTTCCCGGTTCCTCCAAACGGCCTTACATCATCAACCCATCACAAGCCAGTTCGATCTTGAGCTAGAGAGACCATCCAGATACACTATGGTTTTTCCCATCAAAATAAGATATCAAGGTGGCGACTACCGCGATCATCCTCGGATTCCAGGGTTGTTCAACAAAGCCACCTATGACGGAGCTCCATGCAGAAACACCAACCAACTGGAGCGAGTCGGAAGAGCGTGAGATACTTGGATTAGGAGTATAACCCCTAAAATCTCCCCTGCAAACGACACCTCTCCCTCCCCGTTGATATTGTCGCCCCTCGCCAAGAAAACAAAACCTCATGGCCACACCTCGCGCAATCCAAGCCGTGCAAAGGTCGCTGAAGATTCAGTACAATCTCCGATCTACCCAACGTCGGCATAATTGGCCTTTCCGAGGTCATGACCATCAACCCATACAAGGCTCGGGGTGATGAAGTCAAGTGCGGTTGTTTGTACCGTGATGAACTGACAGTCGACGCGGCGCAGGGTCGAAAGGCGTTTATTGTGATCGTCTTGCTGACGAAGCCCTACAAGGTTTCTAAGGAAACTCGGTTCATTGCTAAAAACGAGAGAGTCAACGTGGCAGAGAAGTACGACGTCAATCATTGGCAGCTAGAATGCAGCGATATTGAGCACAGGCAGATTGGTGGTTCCCTGGGATCAGGAAGAAATGGCCTACCTGCTGCGGTTTTCCCTTGCAGCCAGGACAACCTTTTAATGTGTGATACTATGTAAGTGAGAACATAGTAGCACTTTTCTTCTCTTATTTGTAGCTGAAGTGATCCTTACAAAGTACTACGGTCGGTTAGACTTGAGGACCACCTATTCCAAAGGGAAATTTATAAAAAGAGTAATATTCATTCATCCAAAAGGAAATTCGCCCACTCCCAGCATATTGACTCATTTATTGTAATTCCGCAGCCCCCGGCTTCTCACATTGTCTCTCCAGTTCTCATGCCACGAGATCTCCAAATCATTTTCAGTGGTTGTCTTCCCATACCCTTCCCTCTGCAGAAAAGGGGTATCTAACGTTCTCAAAATCAACTTTTCCGTCGGCCGCAAAAAGTAAAGTAATGCTAGTCGGTCATTGTGCGCCTGATCCTCCGGAGGCGCAATCACCCGATGGAATCCTGACTGCATGTACCCATTTGATAAAAAGTTGAATGCATTGGCCAAATTGACTGCCAATGTTCCAGCCGGTACGTATAGATACTCCCAGTCAGATTCCGGACTGCGCTGCACCTGTAACGCAGAAATCGGCTGTTGAAACATGAACGTCATGCTGCCGTTATCCGTGTGTCCGTTAAAGTAGATATCCCGACACACCTCGTTTTGTTTCTTCGACCGCGCGTGATAGTACATGTAACGGATGGAGCTGTCGCAGAGATCCTCGTAGCGATGGGACTCTAGGAAATGGTCTTCGGGTAGTTCGAGCATGATTGCTAGTAGCTGTAGGAGTTTAAAAGATATATGCTCGTGCACGTGGCGGGAAAACCTTTCGATCTCGGTCCAGTATTCTCGGATGATTTCCGGTTGTGTTCGCTCGGTCTCTGGGATGCATTTGAAGATACTGTAGAACTCCAGTGTGTCTTTCACACCGGGTCTGATGTCGACCGCTCCTAGGGGTCGGTACCCATTATAGCTTCCTTCTTCCAACGGGGCCCGGTATTTGAGTCGCTCCTCTTCCGGGAGAGCAAAAAATGCTTTGGCGATGGCGAACTGTTGGTCAATTTGGTCCTGGGAGAGGCCGATGTTGGTGACGTAGAAGAAGCCTTATCGTGCGTCAGTCGTGACCCTGCCTGGGCGTAGGAGATGGCGAGACATACCGACTTTATGCACAGATTCCTTCAATTGCTCTGCTAGCCTTTGTTTCCCTCCCGGAAGATCGAACTCGGAGAGGTCTAGGCTAACAAGGTCCGCGTAATTCACTTTTGATCTCTTAGCTTGTTCGTATTCTCTTCCGTGGGAGTTGGAGTTGCTCACGCTGTTTCCCCGTCTCAGGCGGGTACTCATATTTTGGCAAGGGTGTCTTAGACACGACCGAAGGGCTACCCTGGATAGCTGGTTGAGAGCTCATGATCGGATAAGGAAACGAAAGATTATTTGGGGAAGAAGCCGTAGTCCAAGATTCAACAATACAGCGGAACCTACAGCTAGCTGATACTAGTGTCGGTATTCAATATTGAAGTCCACTTGTAGTACACGATCTTCAACAATACGACATCGTATAGAGTATACAGAGAACCCATGGATTGGCTAGACGGCCCCGCTTATGGGGAACCTTGGAACAATAGCGGGAGTAGAACCTTGGAAGTGGAGCGGCTCGGCTCACCTGAAGAACTACTAAGAGCCCGCTAAGGCAAAAGAGCAGTATGATCAGCCATCGCCGCATCGGAGATTTCAATCTCGATCGATTCAATCTTGCAACCTTGGAACGTGCTGACTCCGAAACCATGCGAAACGTGTCAATCAATACACTGTAATGGTCCACTAATTCGCTCCACAATCGACTACACCGCTACCAAAACCGAAGCCAAGGGCACGAATACAAAACACATTGCTTTTAAAATGGATACCCGCGCAGGGGCAAGGGATTTGGCACTCAAGTAGTGGCCATCTCTATGTTGTAGAAACATGTGGATCCTGAGAGCCCTGAGGACTACCAATACGTAGATCGAGCCTTTCTTTTCTTTCGATGAGAAACTGCCCCTAAGAAGGTTTCATTTCCGTCCACCCGCTAATCAGCCTTTTCGCCGGCAGAAGGTTAACCAGCTGCCATGAATCAACATTTATACATACATGTATGCAGTCTCGTAAAAGCCTAGAAATAGCTAGTATCAAAGGTGCTCCACTAACAATAGTACGGGATAATTAGCCAGTATATTTCAAAAAGACCCTAGAAATGACCTTGAGAAAGACCAATAGAAAGATGATAACGATGTGGTTTTTATAGCGCTAGACTTTCTCCAGCATTCACGAGCGATTTAGATATTATAGGCGGTTTAAAGTGGGCCATGTATCAAGTTCATAAAACTATTCAAAATGCAGAAATAATCTCATGCTTATAAGGGCTTGTACATTGCCGTACACGGCTTGATCTTCTTCGTCAAAAGTCTCTTATCATTGTTGCTTTCAATCCCCGTCATGATGAGGATACCCTTTCTGTCGGGTTAATAAAATAACTGCCAGTCTCATTTCCCCAGAATTCCACACCAGGCACGAAATAATCATTGGGTCGATAGCCGGATACTTTGAAGTATTTTTCACGCATTTCGTTTTTCCTTCCTTTTTCCGAAGCTGTCAAAGGAGCGACCTCTTTTTCTCGCAGAATTCGTAGAAGTCTGGGTAATTTGTATGACTCGGTAGTCGAAGAAAGATCATCACGAATCTTGCAAAGGTTGACCTCAGTATAATCGGCTTTCACCCGAATGACTGCCGCAATCAGGTTCCTCACTTCGTAGTCCATGACAGGGAGCACGTATGCTTCCGATACGTATGGAAGTTTAAGTAGGCGCTCCTCGACCTCAAGCACTGATACTGTGAATGCGGAAAATCTAATCCCTATTTGAACTTTAGCGCATTGCTCAACTTGTTTCGCTAGTATCAACATACAGTCACTTGATGCTCTTCCGAGAAATATGTATTGATTCCCCTCGCGACGAAGAATATCACCTGTCCTAAAGAAACCTTCTTCATCAAAGGCAGCCTTGGTGGCCTCCTCATCGCCGATGTAGCTATACCAGCGGTCAGAACCAGTCGTGACCTTTAATTATATTCACACTTACTGGGTGAACATCCCAGGGGCCTTGACGAAAAGTTGGCCCTTGTCGCCGTCGGACAGCTTGACCATCATATTTGGCATAGGCTCGCCGATACTTCCCTGGCAAATTCAGATGTGTCAGCATAATAGAACATAGCATTCTGAATCCACTCTGACGAACATCGACAAAAGGACTCCGAGGAGAGGTCCGAAACACCCCGCCTCCTAACTCGGTTATCCCATATGCAGTGACGATGGGCATGTTGGTAAGATTCTTCCAGAATTTCGCCGTCGCAGGATTCAACACAGAACCACTGGACATAACCGACTGCAGCTTGGACGCTCCAGCAACATATCTGTCCTGGTCTTCCGATGAAAACTGACAAATAGTGGAATAATAATATTCTTGCATGGCTTTGAGACGCACGGGGGTTAGCGAGGTTCTTGTGATGATGCCTTCTTTGAGCGCCTCCCAGATGTGAGCTGGGCCAGCGCCACGCTTAAGGCCGCTAGTCTTCTTTCCCACCAAGACATTTATCAAAGGCGTAATTGCACTTCCTATCCAGTGCACCGGGCGGTACGTCAGAAATAGATCCGTGGGGTCCACCTGGATTTCGAAAAAGAAGTTTCGCCGTGGGATGGCTATACCTTTCGGTTGCCCGGTGGTGCCCGAGGAAAACATGATCCAGCATGTATCACTCTCAGGAAAAGTGAGGGACTCATCTATCTCGATCTTGGTTGAAGTTGACTTTCTTTCAGCTGGGTGCATCTGGATGGTGTGAAGCCGCTGGCCTGGGCTTTTCTGTATATGGTTTTTGATCGGAGCGGACTGATTGACTGTCCATGGATCAAATAAAATACAGCAGACATTGGCTTTGCTCAAGGAATAGGCAGTTTCTTCCAGAGTGGCCGTGGATGCTAGATGACATATGTTGTTAGCTATTGTTCGCCCCGATGCCATTTTCGGAATTATGGGAAAACTCACACAGCGGAACAGATGCTCCCCCCAGAGACGCAATAGTAAGGAAGCTAACAATAAAGTAGTAGATGCTGACTGTCATACTAGCAACGGGTTTGGCTTCTGGTCGCAAGAGACCCCTGCTGTCCATACAATCGGGGGGAAGCGTTTCTCGCAAGACCTGGCGCAAATTCACAATGTCTTCGAAAAGATCCCGATACGCTGCCTCAATGCCATATTCGTCATAAATCACCACGCCGGGGACAGTGTCTCTTAGCTTGACCAGGTTGGTGAATATCGCGTCATTCGGAAACCTTTCAACTGGAGTGGCCATATTGTCACGTACTTAAGTGAGAAAGAATAGACAAATGGAAGAGAGACATATTGTTCAGTAAATGTCTAACCTTCTAAGGTTAGGATCATTTCCACAAGATTGGTTGGTTTTACTAGGGCTGGAGCTAAGATCGGTACTATTACAGTATTTATTACTATACAGTGGAGATACCTGCAGGAACCTTGTTTTCCTTAGTCTTTTGTGTCATTTACTGATAATATACTTATTTCTCCACAGCGATTTCAGGGCTCCACTCGGAAAGATCGACAGTATAAGTCCAAGGTTCGTTGTATCTGCTAGTATAGCTCAACTGTATTCAAGCTCCACTCACATTCAACTGGATCTGCCCCTATCATGAATCTGTGAAATTTTGCATACATCAAAATCTCGGACACAGTAATGCACTTTCCAATTCCCATCGCGATGGAAACTCCATGTCCAACAGAAATCCTCGAGCAATTTCGAGAAGATCACCCTGAGATTACCTACATTCGTTTCCAATGGCAGGACTATTCAGGTGTACTTCGAGCTCGCGTACTCATTCTCGAGTCTGTTATTGCTCAAGTTGTCAAAGGAACGCCTATTCAGGCTGCTGGAATCGCACTCGACTGTACCGTCGATAACCACATCCTTCCTCGGGATCCTCCTAGAGGCATGCACTGGGCAGTCCCAGACTGGTCATCCCTTCGCCCAGCTTCTCATCCCGGAACTGCCATGGTGATGTGTGCTTTGAACTTCACAGTACTAGAACGCCCACTCAGCAGTGATCTCTGTCCCCGACAGGCGCTAACAGGGGTGCTGCAAAAGGCACGCCAGACCTGGGAACTAGATTTCCTGGTGGGTTTCGAGGTTGAGTTTATTGTGATGAAATCAGATCCATCCTCAAATGCAATGGTTCGATGCAGTAACGGATTAGGACACTTTGCTGTTTCTGGTCTACGTGATACGTGTTTCCAATATGTGGAGCAGTGCGTGACCCGACTACGCGCTCAAGGCGTGATAGTCCAAGCGGTGCACACAGAAGGCTTCCGGGGACAATATGAGATTGTCCTAGGGCCGCTCCCACCAATGCAAGCGGTCGATCAATTGATACTCGTGCACGATTACCTCAAAGACACATTCTCCCGCCACGGCTATGAGGTTACTATGTCTCCTAAGCCTATAGCTTCTGAGTCCCAAGCAAATGGCCAACATATGCACCTCTCGCTACAACCCGCCAGTTCTACCCTTGAAGCTTCATTCCTCGCGGGCATCCTAAAGCGTCTTCCCAGTCTATGGAGCTTTTGCTTGCCGCTAGAATCGTCTTACGAGCGGCGCAAACCACGCATGGCTGGAAATACAGTCGGCTGGGGAACACAATCACGAGTTGTCCCCATTCGAAAGGTAGAACCTAGTCACTGGGAAGTTCGATGCATCGATGTCACAGCCAACATGTACTCTACACTGGCAGCAATCCTGGGTGCCGGGCTTTTAGGATTGGCAGGCAAGGAGCCATTGACTTGGCCGGATCTTGGTATCCCGGCAAATCAAGCTTCTTTTTGTGGCGAGCCGCTACCACGAAGCCTTGATGAATCTTTAGCAATCTTGAATGCGGATGATGGCCTTCTGTCCGCCATGATCGGTCGGCCCATGATAGACCACTACATTAATATCAAGCGGTATGAGATCTCTCAGATGAAAGAGATGGACCCGCAAGCAATTAGAGAGCTTCTTATTGAACTATTCTAGACTCCAATTTTCATTTCATTTGTGGTTGTTCAATTTATATAGCCCTTTTCAAATATATAGACTAAAGGAATTATGCTTCACTAGGTAGGCTTATGTATTAAGATGTCAAATGTGTGATTAATCACTCCGGGGGTAGACTGACGTGAGGCGTCGTTTCATGAGGCGGGAGTGTCTGTTTCATATTGATTGGGAGCAATCGGAGACATTGGAATACGGCTCTGGGGAAAGATTGCTGTCAGAGAGGTGTCTCGATGACTACGTTGTATATACCACAGGAATGCTTACAGGCATCCAAGGATAATGCATCCGGCGCGGAAGAGAGCCGCCTTTCGCTTTCCAATAGATTCGTAGTATTCATCAAGACACAGCGACAGGCCTGGGATACACTCTGTCGGGTATGACCGTAAGGGATGATCATCGAGAAGCCATGGATCGTATTCGAATTGGGGGTTGGTTTCCAGGTTCAAAGTCTCCTTTGAGAACTCCACGGTAACAGTCTCGTCAGATGAACCAATAGCTTCCATAGCGAGCTGCACGGTTGAGACCTCCCTGGTTCGGTTTAGCTCGTATAAAGAACCAGGCTGCAGAGTCGCAAGTGTTCAAAGACCAATGGCGCGAGGAGCGTGGTATAAATATTGCTGATTCAAGGTATTCAGGACAGGGGAACATCGCGCAATTGTGCAAGGAATTGCGCGAAGCACGCAATCAAGATTGGCGATTGCATATGATCGTCGGGAGTTGAGGTTTGTTAAATTGGCTCATTCGAGTCAAGTGGTATATAATGTTAAGGCAATGAATCCTTTAGCACAGAGTATATATACAATATGTATAAGGGGGCACATCCGTAGATTCACTCGAATTAATCGCCAAGACGCCAAGACAAATGACCGATTAAGGATGTTGAGACTACATCAGGTAATCATTCATGTTATTTTATAACAGGCTGCTTCTATTCGACAAGCTAAGCGTGAATAGGTTAATTGAGACACCGCTTATACTTAGTCAAGAGAGAGATAAAGAGAGATGGTTGGATTTTGAGGCGCCCAGCAAGGGCATATCACCATGCATGTATATACATTGCCCAATACCAAGGGAGCTTGATCAAGGCCATATCCAACAGTTGCTGCTTGCTGAGAGTGACCACGACCTTTGACGTATTTGTGATTGTGCAAACCAAGCAACCCCTGTAAGACAGAGGTGCGGGAAGTTGTCACCAAGATCTCCTCTGGATCCTTTCTGGACATATAGTGAAGCCACGGAGTTTCGAACCCGGTGAAGACCAGGTAATGCTTATCGTCACATTACACCTTGACCATTCATCTGTATTTTTGATTAGCATCCATTGATTAGCTGCCGCGAGATTCTGGCTTACCGGTTTTTTGTGAGTTTCCTTCTGACATTTCGCAATCCAGAACAGCATATCCAAGGGATAGAAACGGGCGCAGAACAATAACGGTTTCTTTGGACGCGTCGAAAGACGGAGGCATAAATCGAGGAAATTTGCGTTGTACCGGCGAGTACGCCCTCCTTCAGCTTAGAATTCAACGGCACAGAGCGCCTCAAAGTCCATCCATTTCTCTCGCTTTGTTTCTCTATATCTTGCGTAGCTTCTCCCCTCCAGCTTTTTATTTCCCTGGTCCCGTACAATACGGTCAGTCGCATTACCCTGTCCTTTCTTTTAGCCTTTTTCGACTACGACAGGTTTTCGGGTCCATCACGCCAACCTATGTAAAAGCCCTTATCAGTATGAGATTATTTCTCGGTTTTAAATAGCTTTATGAACTCGACATATTCCCTACTCTAAAACACCTATATCTAAATTGCTCGTACATCCCGTGGAGAAAGGCTAGCGCTACTATAAAACCCACTTTGTTATCATCTTTCTTGGGGTCTTTTAGAATATAACGGCTGACTATACCCTAATATTATCATTGGGGCACCTTTGATAGCTATTTCCAGGCCTTCAAGAGACTACACATACATAATGTATAAAGTTTGACAGCAGCTGGTCAACCTTTTACCAGCGAAACACTCCCGTTGGACACAAAAACCTGCCGTACTCGACAGCCACTTTGAGGATTTCCGTTTATCTCATTTATACGGAGATAAACACGTTACAAGCAGCGGACTCAATATGTAAAGTATATTGTAAGTAACAAAGTTAATAGAATCAAGATTGAGTCAGGTACGGACCAGGGCTGCTCACTACACAACTATAAAAATATAATTTCTGGCGCGACACAGGTGGAATTTTTAGTGACAAATTCTTTTGCTTTTTTCAATTTCAAATGTTCTTCTCCCAGTAGAATTCTATCTAGGCAGTCCCCCTAAACCTGGGGGTTGAACGCTGAGTGCTATAAGACTACCGAGTCAGCTTCCCCTCATCAAATTCATATATAGAGCAGGCCCTAACAGAGGCAAGGAAATCGGTTATCTAGATAGCTGATAGCGTCAAGACACCGGAATGGTTCAGTGAGATCTTGTTTAATCTACATCACAAGGAACTGCCAAATGATGTCAAATGCTGAAACATCTCATTGATCGGGAGCTTCTGATATGCTGAGAATATGATCCACACCACCAATTGAGGAGTTCAATGAAGATCCTCGAGCCATTGCGTAACTAGAAGAGTTGAAATAAATGCATAAATTGTTCCCTCTTGTTTGATCTTTTTTTTTCTTTCTCTTTCTCTGCTTTGTTCTGTTTTTGGCAGGAACACCTTTCACCCATCAACCTTCCCGATCGTAGGGATAGATCATCTCAAATCAAAGTCACTATGGATGGGGAAAGTGGTCCGAGGGCGAGAGTGAGTCGAAGCAAGCACCTGGAAGAAATCATCTAATCCATATTATTCTTTTAGTCAGATGCTCAGCCACACTCACCAGTCCGGAACCGAGCTGCCAGCGATGTGGATTATATCTCACCCATGAGAATCCCCGTTGAAAATGGCAGTGGTACCCGGCGATATAGCTCAGTTGGCTCGAGGCGTAGCAATGGCAGCGGAGTACCCAGCTTGGTTCCCCACAGTACTCTCGCGCAACGCACGCAGGGTAAATTCACCTTGGCTGGACCAGACAGAACCCCCCAGCTGCAGTTGGCTCAGGAACCCTTCGTCCAGCCGGGTTATGCGGATCTGAACCCATCCTATGAACAGTCTTCCAACGCCAGACCGGTCTGGTCTTTGGCAAAGCCGCTGCCCCGTGTGGTGCGATCGAGCATGGTGCCTACCAAAGATGAGCTCTTGCAGAACTTAGCAAAAGCTCAGAATCCCACTGAGTACTCGCAGAGACTTGGTCTTGAGGTCGACCCAAATGATATTGAGCAGGGTCGCATTGATAAGTTTTCCGACCCGCGCAAAATAGCCGCCCAGGTTGAGGATGCTCGTTTGCAGCGTGAAAAAAATCTCATGAATAAGATTATCACGGGTGATGTCACCTCCGCGAGACGGACTTCGCGCATGTCGCGTACCTCCTCGGTCAGGGGAAGACGCCCTTCAGCCTGGGATCCTCCAGATCAACTGTTAATTGTACAGGAGGGACATTCTCCAAACGACGAACCAGAGGAACGACCTGCGTTCGGTGATAATCAGCTAGGGAATCAAGACCTGGGTGCGAGGCTGGACGAACTCTTAGATATTCCTGAACTGGAGAAGGCAGGCTACCCCGAAGACCTGCATCCACTCGTGCAGGAACTGGTCGAGGATGAAGTGCATAACAACCACACCACCTGGTCGGTCATTCGTACACACCACCGTGAAGCTCTTGCCGAGGCCCTAGGTGTGTTTGTCCAGCTCACTATGGGTTTCTGCGTCGACTTGTCCGTCACCGTCGCTAAACAGGGCAATCCCAACACAACCGCCTGGGCGTGGGGCTTGGCAGCTATGATGGCCATCTACATTTGTGGTGGTGTTTCTGGTGCCCATCTCAATCCCATCGTGACCATGGTGCTGTGGTTCTTCCGTGGTTTCCCCAAACGCAAGATGTCCGAGTACTTAACCGCTCAGTTCCTGGGCGCCTTTTGTGCGGCTCTTGTTGCGTATGGAATCTACTACGAAGCCATTCAGAACTACCTCTATCTCAATCCGGATACCGGTATTATTAACAGCTTCGTGACAAATCCGCGTGAGGTGTGGGTAGGTTCTACCACGGCGTTCTTCAATGAGTTTATCGGTACGGCCTTTTTGATCGTCACAATTCTGGCTCTTGGTGATGACCAGAATGCTCCACCCGGTGCTGGTATGAACTCGCTGATTGTTGGGCTGGTCATTACTTGTCTGAGCATGTGCTTTGCCCATCAGACCGGAGCGGCATTCAACCCAAGTCGTGACTTTGGTCCTCGGCTTGCGCTTCTCGCTATCGGCTACCCTAGCACTCTGTTCACTGATCCTTACTGGTTCTATGGGCCTTGGGCTGGGGCTCTGAGTGGTGGGTTTGTGGGTGCTTTCCTCTATGACTTTTTTATCTTCACTGGTGGTGAATCCCCCGTTAACTACCCACTTGAGCGCACCCAGCGCGCCATAACCAAGAGTGGGATGAGATGGAAGCGCCGACTGCAATTGAAGTAAGAGGTTCCACAGTCAAGTGTTGAACATTGTGTTTCCCTTTGATGTTTGAGGGTGATTGGTTCTTTTTATGTCCCTTTGCATTTTATACCTCGGTATCTTAGGACATGTCCGGCTGAAGAGGCTAAATATATCAAGTATACCCAAAGCCTATAACAGGATATTTTCCATATTTTATGCCCAAAGAAGATCATAGTAGATTTCCTGCATATGCAAGTATCCAAAAAGGCCTAGCACATAAGAAACAGGTAATACAGGACATAAACTCCAGTTAAAGAATAGGCAGATTGGGCATGAATGCCGAAAAAAAGGAATATGTTTCAAAACACTTTCTTTTCTTTTTCCTTTCTAGCTGCATGTCAAATGTACCTACAATGTACATAATCCCCGCATGCAAGATAGAGAGTCTTGGCCCACGCTAAAGACACCGTCATCGCTTCACCGTTTTTTCTCTCTTTCCCCCCAACTTTGGAAGAAATTTCACTATAAGTGGGATTCATTTTCAACCGTTAATTGTTGATTGATTGTGGGTACATTTACACCTAAACGCCTTCTTTCTGCACGCTCCCATATCGTGCGGGTCGCGCGATCAATCCTGCAGCTCTAGCCCGTTTCGATTTCCATCTTGTGCATTTCACTATTCCACCGCCATTCTGTTCTCTTCTTTCTTCATATCTTCTACCTTACTCTAGTTGCTGTCCAACACATTTTTGGACATGGATTACCGACGACTACAACACTCATACCCGCCACGGCCCTCGCCTTTGGGGGCCTCGCAAGAACCTCGCGATCCACGACAGTTTGCTGTGCCTTTTACCGAGTCTCAACCGGAGACCGACAAGCCTCGCCCGTACCCTTCTCCCTCTTCGAATAACACGCCCTCTCCGTCACAACTCTATCAGTCAACCACTTCGCGGAATACATCTCGTGGGGATCCTTCCAGCGCATACTTCCCGAGGAATGGGCCAACACAAGCACACCGTCGGCATGGGAGTCTTGAGACAAGGAATCATGAACAAACACATCGCAGGAATAATTCACAACCGCAGGTTGTTCGATATCGTGAAGGTAGGCAATATCTCTAGTTTTGTGTTTACTTTCCCTCCAGAAGGTTCCCCCCCCAGATTGGGGATTCTAAGGATCGGACTTGTGCCGTGACCTCCACTTTTGTTACAGTCCCCTTTCTGAGAATGGGCGACCGGAGGAATGGAGTTTTTATAGTCATCGAATTCAACTCAAAACCACGCGACACATCAAATCCCATTCAAACCCTTTTCCCTCTCCTCAAACACACTGCCCCTGATGGATTTTCCCCGGTGGCGCAGATCGACTGGACGACAGCTCGGGAGCGCTAGTCCAGGTCAGGTCTAGCGTGTTCAGAGGAGCCCCTGCCTGTTTGGGACTAGCGTGGGAGCTTCCGGAGTCACGGGTTCTCCTCGATCTGGCCCTTGCTTTCCCTTTTTGAACTGTTGCTCACTCGTTCACAGGGGTCTTAGGTGCTTCCGTTATGAATCATACGCCATCACAACACGAAACAACGCGTCGTAATTCCCAGGGCAGTAGTGGGAGTCCTGGATTTCCTGGTGAGCACCCGACCTGGGCCCGAGAACCCCGTGCAACCGTCCTCTGTCGCGATACATTTTGATTTCGTCACTCATCCGGCACATGCGCGGTCATCTTGGAATCCCCTTGTATCAACCAACATTTGCTAACGCCAACCCGTCTGGTAGGTCCGAACGAACAGTCCGCACCACCGGCATTTGGAAATCGCCAAATGCCGCCCCCATCTCCTCCACATTCATATTCCTCGCGACCACAACCAACCCACGCGCCTGGGGGATCTTTGATGTCGCGCGATGTACCTAAGGGTCAGGCGCACCGACCGGGCAGCAGCATGTCGATTTCCGCGATGTTAGGCTCGGACCCGGATCGACCTGCGCGAGAATCTACACGAGAATCTGCGCCGTTCTTTTCGCGACCACCTGCATCGTCAATATTCGGTAATGCACCATCTTCCGCTGCCATGTCCCCACCCACTGCCCCGGCAAGGCCCTCCCCGCTCGATAACTCTTTCTTCCGTCGTTCACATACACCGGAGAAGCCATTCTCCAAGCCTCAAGGCGCCCGTACATACCGGTCTGGGTCTGGTGGAGGTTCCAGTCTGGGTGGAGAGCAGTCAGTATTCGGAGGGTTGACGCGCTCGTCGCTCTCACAATATCCCGAGAAGCCACACTCGACCCATCCTTCGCCTCGAATGTCCACAGCAGAGCCACCGTACAACGAACCTCGTCGCATGAGTCTTAGCGGTCCGATCGCTCGGCCCAGTAGCCAGCCACCCCATGCTGACGCGTCCACACGACCCCCCGGCTACAGTCCGATCTCCCAGCCGGGAGGGGTCGCGGATCGCCCCTTCGAGTCCGGCCCTCGGCCTGCATCTGGGTCATACGGAAGTCATGATCCACAACATGGTCGGTTTGCCAACATGTTTGGCGAGCGGCGCTCGGAGGATACTGCACCACGGGAGCGAGAACGAGCTCCAGCTCATGGATCCGATGCCAAGCTGACCCAGCCTGGATCATATCGGTATGGCTCCCACTACGGTGAACGTGACCCGCTCGATCGTCACCAGAGCGGCTCTACATGGGACCATGGTCGCTCCCACCCTCCATCGCCGGAAAGTAAGCGCTTCCCTGCACCGGAGCATGGGTCGGGTTTCGGGTTTGGGGCCATTCAAAGCTACACTAAATCACTGGGGTCACAACCGGGTGGGAATAGACTATCACAGATCCCGATCACTATTCAGTCTCGAAATAGTCAACCAACTCCTCCGCCGTCTCATGATCCATATCTCAGACACCAAGGGCCTCCACGGATAAGCTCAACCCCTGCTATCTCCGCGTCGACAGCTGCCGCATCCTCGGGTCTAGCAGCCCTAGCTGATGAGGGACGACGTAAAGGAAGCGAGGAGCTGCTCCATCATCGCAGCCTGCTGGCCGTTGGTGCTGATGGGAAACGCGGTGGCCGTGCATCGCCTCTTCCCCAAGCTGTACAAGGCGCTCAAGCTCCATACATCGGTCCCGCTGGAGAGCCAGCGATCAAGAATGAACTGGGGCGAGTATTCTCCGGTATTGGCAGCGGCGTTGGTGGTGTCACCGCGGCTACTGGTGGCAGCGGACCATCGACGCCATTAGGCTCTAGTCCTTTCAAGCGCGATAGCCTCACCGGTCGCTCGAATGGAGATGGGATAGATGAGGCGTCTAAGCTTGCTCGGCCATCCTCTGCAGCTGGCAGACGGTCGAGAAAGTCGCGCGATGAGGAGCAGATGGAACTTGAGGCTAATGATGCCCGAGGAATACTATCAGCACGTAACGCCCGTCGCTCTCGGCATTCCCATCACCATCACCATCAGTATGTCCTACCCAATCAGATACATTTCATGTCATTCCTATGCTAACATTCCTCTAGCCACCACCATCATCGCCACAAGGCAGACGAAGAGGCAGCTACCCTGAGCTCCCTCCAACGTCCTACCTTCTTCCATCGAACATCTCCAGCGGATCCTTCTGCCGCACACCATCACCACCCGCATCACCATCACCATCATCACCATGTTCCTCGACCAGCCGCCATTCCGGCTGCATCGCCTATCCGTGAGCCCCGTACTACTGTGAACCTGGAGCCGTTGCTTTCTAGTGTAGCCCATCTTCCTCGGCACCACCTTGGCTCAACGCTCTACACGCCTCGCATCGGCACCCCTACTGCCAAGTCCTCTTTGGATAGCTCCAAGTTTGGATATACAACAACCCCCCAGCCTCTTCCCCGCTTCGAACAGCGAGAGAACTGCACATTTACCGTCCGAGTCCCCCGTTTCCGAATCAACCAATCTCACCGCGAGGAAATTTGCGCCCGGCGCGCCCTCTGGGGCACCGGTGTTTATACAGACGATTCAGACCCTGTCGCCGCTGCCATCCACTCCGGCTTCATTCGCGGTGCGTGGGGCGACGACGTGGACGAGTCAATGCTCGATCTCGAGATTAAAGATACCTACCATCACGCACCTCCGCCCGAAGCCACTCCCGACGGTGCCTCTCCAACCAAGGGTCCACGCCTTCCGCCGATCCCCCCAACCGACAAGGACTTGCACATCACTCTGCTCGTTCTTCCCCGCGTGGCCCAGTATGACAGTACTCTCCTGTTCGGGCTGAAGTCCCGCAAATGGGACGGTCGTCACGACGGCATGAGCTTCAAGGTGCATGCCGTGGACTGGGTGGACGAGGGCGTTGCGCGCGGTGAAGAGCGCAGTGGCGAGGCCCGTCGCAAACGTCTCCGTACGCTTATGCAGACCGGTCGCATCTGTACCGGGCCTGCCATGGCCAAATTGGATGAGCTACGTCGCAGCGGGGTGCAGGTACCTCGAGCGATTGATGGTCAGGATCAACCGGCAGCCGTGCAGCCAGTCTCGTAATGGCCCGGGCTTGGGCTACGTTGTACCAAGTATTCCAGATGCCTATATGACTTTTGATTTGTTTTTCTTTCCTTTTCCCCGTGTGCCCTAGTCGGTGTACATGATGTTGGTTGGCTTTTTTTTTTCTTGTGATTCTTCGTATTGATTTATTTTGGCCGGGTCAACGGGATCGGATGAAAGGGAGATTTGATTTATTTTTATTTTTTCCCATCTATACATAATCTCATATTTTCTATTTTACTGAAACTGTCCATGTATAACATACTACTCCGTGTATCGTACTCCATACGGAGTCTACGCTAGAAGCTCTCCCCGCATCAGTGATCGGCCGGAGAACCGGAGTATTGAAGTCTATAGGGGTTTTTTGTATACTTTGTATATTGTGTATAATCTGTATATGTTTCATCCCTTTTCAGATAAAATCATATATAGTGACATTCTAATATTCACAGGTGATATCCACGTCTCCCTCGTGACTGTGAAGATCAACTGGGAAATGGACCGAGGCTCATCCCGAGGTGGGTATTGGTATTTTCCGTATTATATACTTTTCTTATAAGCCGAGTTCAGATATAGTCAACACACAACCCATTACATATGTAAAAAGAAGACAATAAAACATACTATATAAAAGGCACAAAAAATAGTTGCCTAAGATACCTTCAAACTCCAACTCAATTTCTCGTCTTCTCACTATTTTTTTATAAAAACAACTTGAACGGGACTGAGTGAAATACATACACCGAGACCCATCCGTACCGGTTTTACCGGCTTCCCCGCCAGCCGAGGTCGGTATCTTCCCCAAAGTGTCTTCTTATTCTCCCCAGCTTCACGTTCATTTTCTCCTTAAACCAAACAACCTTTCATATAACCAAAGGGATGTTCACTGCTTCTGCCCGAAGCCGTCTCTCCACCCTACCAAGGCAACGCCTTCCCTCAAACCCTCTCCTCGCCCGCTCCGTAAGTTCTTTTGTCACGAATGCTGCGAGTTTCTGTGAAATCCCCTTGAATCAATCCATTGACTCGAATACAGACTCTCACAATGGCCCCCCGACGAACGGCATCTTCCGTCCCAGAGGGTGAGTAACACATGCGCCCGGCGCAACGCGGGCTATCCCTCGCCCCATCCATACCGAAACTAGAATCAGACACGCTGACAAAAGAATAGGGTACAAGGAGGACCTCTCCAAGGGCAAGATGCTTCGTTTCGAAGAATCTCTCCCCAGACTTCCCGTTCCCTCCCTAGAAGAGACCAGCCGTCGGTACCTCAAGTCCGTTCACGCTGTCGTCTCCGAGTCCGAGTATGAGCGCACCAAGAACGCTGTGGCGGAATTCGTCCGTCCCGGTGGTCAGGGTGAGTCTCTGCAGAAGCGTCTCTTGGCTCGCGCCGCCGACCCTAAGATCAAGAACTGGCTCTCCGAGTGGTGGAACCAGGCCGCCTACCTCGGCTACCGCGACCCCGTCATCCCTTACGTCTCCTACTTCTACTCCTACCGGGACGACCGCGAGCGTCGCAACCCCGCCAAGCGCGCCGCTGCCATCACCACTGCTGCGCTAGAGTTCAAGGCCAAGGTCGATGATGGCTCTTTGGAGCCCGAGTACCTCCGCAAGGAGCCTCAGGCCATGAGCTCCTACCAGTACATGTTCAACTGCTGCCGTATCCCCGCCGAGGGTGCGGATTTCCCTCGCAAGTATGCCGCCGCTGAGAACCAGCACATCGTGGTGGTGCGCAAGAACCAGTTCTTCAAGGTCCCCCTCGTCGTGGACGGTCAGCAGCTCAATGTCTCTGAGTTGGAGAAGCAGTTCGAGCGCATCTACGAGACCGCACAGCCCGCACCCCCCGTTGGTGTGCTGACTGTTGCGGACCGTGATCACTGGACTGCTGCTCGCAAGACCCTCGTTTCTCTTGACCCTGCCAATGAGCTGGCCTTGCAGGAGATTGAGTCCGCTGGCTTCGTGCTCTGCTTGGACGATGCCCGCCCGGTCACTCTGGCTGAGCGCTGCTCCCAGTACTGGCACGGTGATGGCTCCAACCGCTGGTTCGACAAGCCTCTGCAGTTCATTGTCAACGACAACGGTACCGCTGGTTTCACTGGTGAGCACAGCATGATGGACGGCACTCCCACCCACCGCCTGAACGACTATATCAACAACGTCATCTTCAACAAGAAAATCGACCTCTCCCCCCAGACTGTGCGCTCGCAGCTCGCCGATCCCAAGCCCATCAACTTCAAGCTGAACGACGCCGCCAATGAGGCCATCGACGTCGCAGCCCAGTACCACCGCAAGCAGATCGGCTCCCACGAGCTAGTCGTCCAGGCCTACCAGGGCTACGGCAAGGGTCTGATTAAGAAGTTCAAGTGCAGCCCCGACGCCTTCGTCCAGATGACCATCCAGTTGGCCTACTTCAAGATGTACGGCAAGAACCGTCCCACCTACGAGTCCGCCTCCACCCGCAAGTACGCCGAAGGCCGCACAGAGACAACCCGCACCGTCTCCGACGAAAGCGTCGCCTTCTGCAAGGCTCATGAGGACCACACCACCTCCCGCGAGGATACCGTCAAGCTCTTCCGCGCTGCCCTTGCCCAGCACACCAAGTACACCCAGGAGGCTAGCTCCGGCCACGGTGTTGACCGTCACCTGTTCGGTCTGAAGAAGCTTCTCCAGCCCGGCGAGAAGCTCCCCGAGCTCTACCAGGATCCCGCATACACCTACTCTTCCTCTTGGTACCTCTCCACCTCCCAGCTGAGCTCCGAGTACTTCAACGGATACGGATGGAGTCAGGTTATTGACGATGGTTTCGGAATTGCATACATGATCAACGAGAACAGGTAAGCACCAGTACCCCTTTTTTTCATTACATATTACTAACCCTTTCCAGTCTCAACTTCAACATCGTCTGCAAGCGTCTCGGTGCTGAGCGCATGAGCCACTTCCTCAATGAGGCTGCCACTGAGCTTCGTGACCTCCTCATGCCCGACCTGGCTGCCCAGGCCGAGAAGCCGAAGCTGTAGATGTGTCTTGCATATACCCGGTTTTTTGTTACTTTTGGTGCTTTTGGATTTTTGTTTCCTTCAGCGCCTGATAGATGAATATATTGTTTTGGACTTGGAATGTCTTGTATCTATACTTCCTTGTTATTGTACACATGATTTGTCTCTAGTTTTACTTCTAGAATTGGTTCGAAGAACGTGTCTATTCATAGTTCCTGTATACATTTTCTATTCCAGAGCGCAACACATAGAACCATAGAACCTTCAGTCCGATCGCTGCATGCAAAAGGATGACTCGCGCTCCATCGTACGAGCTATTGTGTCTCTTGAAGTACCCACCACATTTCGTGACCGTGTTGGCAGAACAAAAATATCTAAGATGTCAAGTCAGCAATTTCCTTGCATATGCTTTGACAAATTCTCACCCTTTCTTTTGCTGATGTTCTTGGTGGCACTTGAGCATCCATATCACCTCGATTCCTATTTGCATGCGCACCTTTTTCGCTCTTGCTGGGAGGATAGATGCCTTCACCTCGACGGTGGGTTTTGAGCGGATGGTTTTGAGCACTTCAGCTGACCGTCATGAGCAGCGACAATTGAAGCCTTGCCTAGAGTTGCCTTTGACTGGGACTATCGCTGGACGATTCCGAGTCGAGATTCCCTCTTAGGCACAAAGAGTGTTGATGAAGAATGAAAGTTGATTCAATCGATTTCTCGTTGATCTGTTCACTCGTTTGAGGTTCAGCAGCTGATTCGTCTGGGTCGCTTTTTACGGTTTTCCCGCATGTCTTCTTCTTGTAGCGTGTCCGACGCGTGTGTAGCGACTGGTGTTCGAAGGAGTATCGTCAGGCTCATTCGGTCTCCCCGAATTGTGAATTGGAGGCTGCCAATGGATGAAAATGGACCAATTCAACACGCAATCCCAACTCTTCTAGTTCCACCATCTTCTCTGATGTCGCAGTAGGAACTGGCATTCCAGGCTCTGCGCTTGGACTTTTGTGGCGAGTTTGAGTATTTGGGCGAAGAGGGAATGGAGGGAGAGGCGATGTTTCCTTTCAAAAGGTTAGGGTTATAGGAAGGCAGGACCTCTATTAAGGACAAAAGCAATATCAAATAGTCTTTTTACAACATGGATGTCTTTTGAGATATGTCTCCCCCTTTTCGGTTTTATAGGTAGACGGTAGAAAAAGGAAAGAAAAGCATACTTTATATAAGAAACTTTTCTATGCACAACCTTTGATAGTCGGACCATTCTGTAAGACTTATTGGTGGTCTGTTTGTAGAATCCATATAACACTGCAATCCGGTGATATATGAAAGGTTATCAGGCTTTGCTCATACTTCGTGTTTCGTAGTTCCTCCCTTTGTACCCTCATTGCATCTGGGATTTGCTCTATTATAGTAAATTTAGAGCCGCTGGAAAGAACTCGCTGTAGGTGTTCCCCGTAACTAGCCTGGTCCTGTCCCACCTCGAGCATTTAGTCCTTGAGATCCCCACTCATGTCACGACAACTAGGAAATGATGTGGAAGAAAGTAAGGGGTCACTGGATCGGACGTCGCACCGATATCTATATCCAAGTGATGAAAATCGATCCTAAGATGCTCAATCTTCTCATAAGTGAGGACTTGGCCCTCCAAGTTCCAAAGGGAATCACGAATCTCTTCTAGATCACGATAGCGACTTTCGAGCTGAAGGTACGAAGGGGCCATTTTGTACGCAGTGGTTGATCAAAGGGTGTAACAAGGGAGATCGATGCTAGATGGAAGTAGGGGTTTGAAGGGAGGATATTCCCATGCGTATGTTGTATATCCTCATCATACTTTATCCAAATAGACTTAGTAGTTCACAGAGGTTCAGCTTCTTAAGTATCTAGTTATCAGGCAGTGAATGAAGTCAACATGTATTGTCATGGATTTCTACATTGATTTCGGGGTTTCCATATCGAGACCCTGACACTTCCAATGGGAAGTTTTGCTAGTAACAGCACATCCTGCATAAGGTAAATCAAACTACAACTTTGAAAAACGCAATCATATTGCGTATTCCAAACAAATGCAAACACCGTTCTCGAAAGATGGGATATCGGAATTCATAAGACTCGATGACCACGAAAATCTAGACGCCAAGATCGCAAAATCACGCAACGTCCGTTGCTGAAGGGTTGAGGGGTTTTCTGTGGTCATTCTCCAGGTATTGCATCGTCGAGTATTGAACAAGGGATCCGGGATATTATCGTCTGTATCATATTCTGTGGGGGTCATGGGGGTCATTTCAACGGGCCGAGACTCGTGCTGAATGTGTTTTCAGTCTTTGCCGTCTCGGGTTGAACTCACGGCAGGCGGGTCCGCAGTCGCGGTCCCCGCTTGCCCGGAGGCACTGCCCGAAGTAGTTGTTGCAGAGGACGCGCTCTGGGAAGTCGTCAAGCCGCTAATTTGTCTCTCTGTGGAGGAAATTAGTATACGCGCTTAAATCGAGATCCACTCTCGGGGTGGGGTTACTCGGTAGAAATAGGCTAAAAACGCTAACCCAGGGATTTTCTTACCTAGTTCCCGAATCCGCTGCCGCAGGAGCACGTTCTCTCGGCTTAGCGAGCTCGCTTCGGCTTGGTAAAATGCACTCTCGTCCCGGCTGCCGCGCCGAGAGGGACTATCCCGCAACCCCGGGAATGGCTCCACGCCCTCCGCTCCACGCGAGTCTAGCGGCCGCAGGTTCGGTGACGTTGCTTGACTTGAAGGTCGTGAGTTTCGGCGGTTTGAAAATGAAGATGAGATTGATAATCTGTTCCCGGCTGGGGCTGGTGCCGGGACGGGGGGAAGAAAGTCGACCGTTCAGAGGCCGGGGTTGTATCGTCGATTGCAGCAGATGATTGCGGGGTCTGTTGCTGCTGGTATTGTTGTAACTGGGCCTGCTGGCTGCGGATCATCTGAAGAAGACGGTTCTACATTCCATCGAGGTTACTTGGTTAGCTTACTACAAGGCTTCCAGAGATAAGGATCAACCCACCACTTGTGCTTCCTGTTCTTGCTCCAACTCTTGGTGTAACTCTCCCAAAGATGGCGCGCGCTGGTGATGGGGATCTGCAGTCGCGAAGATGGGGCTTCCACCATGGCTCGACGGGCTGGCTGTGCGGAATGCATGTCCGATCGAGCTGCGATGGTGGTGGTCTGATGCGGGCAACTCGCTAACTCCTTGACCAGTACCCATCTCGCTAAGGTTCAGATTCATGCCGGCATTAGATCGACGTCGCTCGGATACCGATAGTCGACCTATGCTCGAGCCACGGGAGGGCCGTGGTGAGGCGGTGTTCGGGTTCACGGGCGGCCCAGTTCCAGGAGCGGACATGTTACGTGGAATGGAGGAGGAGGTTGAAGATGAGCGAGATGGAGGAAGGGAATTCAGATCCGGGGGCATCTTCTAATAACTGCGTAGGATGTTGACTAGAAGCTCTAATCTGTGACGTGAGGCATCCCGTGATGATCTGATGACTCATCACTTCTTTTCGCGGGGTCAGCCACGTGATATAAAAGCCGTTTGTAGTGATTCCGGCCTGAGGCTACTGCATATGGAATGCTCTAGCTCACATCGAGTCTTACACCCCGAACATGTACAACATACGACTCAAGATTATTTCTCTCGGGGCTTATAGGATTCTTCCGGAACATGGGCCAGGCTAGACGGACTTAGGTCGAACCACAGCAAATCACATCTTGGCCCCTGGTTGCGCGCAGGGTCAGAGGGGACGCCGGTTTCTCCGAGTGGCGCACCAAGTTACAAGTTCCAAGAGTTTATATTATGAACATGTAAACAAATTCCGGGTATAGGATCGCCGCAAAGATCATCCAAGGGTCGCGTGGCACTCCAGATACGATTTTGTCGATCCCAGCGATGTGATTTGCCACAGGAATGTACCAGCGTCCGGGTTCGGGGGACGGGGGACGTGCGATGGGGGGGTTATTTCCGGACGTTTATCCCTTGGAAGCCGTCGATGTGACTCGAGACAAACCTTTGGTGTTTTTACCCCAGTGGGCAATGGCGGTGAACATGTAATCATGGGGAAATGTAACAGGATGGGGAAATGTAACAGTCCGCAAAACCAAAGGGCTAGGTGCTCTGCAAGGGATTCGGTTCATCTAACCGCGTAGTGTGGTTGACAAGTACGTAATTGACAGCCTTCGACACAGCGTTCTGGAACGCATAGTCGGAAGATCGCCGAATAAGTTTTTTTTTTGCCGATAGGATTTGATAATCCGGCATTATAAAGAGAGAAAAAAATACCAAGCAATGCTCGGTCGATCATAAGCCACAGGGTAAGCGTAGTCCGAGCCCTCCCCAATATGACGCCCGAACGCCACGCCCGTAATATAGACCGCCATAGCGATTTCCCCAAGTGCTTAGTCCCCTTTAACCGTACCTGTCCTGGACCTTGACGTCACTTACAACGAAGGCAAGTAATGGGCGACTTGGCAATCTCTTGTTTTAACGGGATCAAGTTTGAGACCCATGGATGTTTTTTTATAAATATTCTTTTTTTTCTCCCCCTTTATCATTTTAGATGTACATAAATTTCCATCGCAGGAGAACCACCTGGGCATGCACGGTCGGCAATATTACTCCTTACTTCGCGGGGCACATGGGGTTTGATATCCCGATCTTGTGGAGTAGAACTTGATGTTGCAATTGAAAACTCGAAACGGACATATCTTTCGGCCCAGTGCGGCAACGGGGAAGTTCCAGACTGGAGATGGGGAGACCGTACATTTCTATGTGGGTCTGACTACCCCAATGCGAGCTTCCTATTCCGGTGTACTTTGGGAACATTGAACCATACTCTTTCTTTTTTTTTTGTATTTTATTTTAGTAGGAGATTAGGATCAAATTTCTTTTATGGATATGTACTAGTATACTGGAGAAAAGAAAGTCTGGAGACTCTGGAGTCTGGAGAGAAAAGTGGGGACCGATTGGGGAATATCGGCATCCCGTTAGGGTAAGTACCAGGGAAATTCAAGTAAAAAAAGAGATGAAAATTAACAGAATATCACTGGCCGATCACAAAAAAACGTGGAAAAGTGACATGCAAAAACACTGTACTGAATTGTACTGGAAATGTACTGGAAATGTACTGACCAGAGGTGAACCCTGGAAACCTTGTCTTTGCTGCATTTGGCTCTTGCCTTTTTTTTTCCTTTTTGTATTTAATTGCTCGATTTTCCTCTTTCCTCTTTCCCTTTCTCTCTCTCTCTATATTGAACTTCTCCATACTACTTGTACCCTCATTTCTTGGGGTTTCTACTTCGATCACTGGTCTTGATACCAGTTTACCCTATACTTCTACATCACAACAATGACGATCAACCCCGAGAAGCCCGGTATCCCTCCACGGGATACCGTGCAAGCTGCAGAAGCTGCCCACGCCCAAGCCGTCGTCAATGCCGCTACTGAAAAGTTGGAGGAAGATGACCAGCTCGAAGAGGCATTGGACTCACCTTCGGCCGAGCTCGAGCTCACTGAGGACATGTGCTACGATCGACTAGGATATTCATTCTCTGAAAAGAAGAAGTGGACCATTATCTCCGTCATCTTCCTCGTCCAAACATCCATGAACTTCAACACATCACTCTATTCAAATGCCGCCACGGGAATCTCAGAGGAATTCGGTGTCTCCATGCAGGCTGCGCGCTGTGGTGCCATGATCTTCTTGGTTCTATATGCTTTCGGTTGTGAACTCTGGGCACCATGGAGTGAGGAGCTGGGTCGTAAGCCCATTCTCCAGGCATCTCTCTTCCTGGTCAACGTCTTTCAACTCCCCGTGGCTCTGGCGCCCAACTTCGCCTCCATCATGGTCGGTCGTGCCCTCGGCGGTCTCTCATCCGCTGGTGGTTCCGTTACCCTAGGAATGATTGCCGATCTGTGGGAACCCGATGCGCAACAATACGCCGTGGCCGCTGTCGTGTTCTCGTCGGTTGGTGGATCTGTCCTTGGTCCAGTGGTTGGTGGCTTCGTCGAAGCTTTCCTGCCATGGAGGTGGAATATCTGGATCCAGTTGATCTTCGGTGGTTTCGTGCAAGTGGCCCACTACCTGTTCGTCCCCGAAACCAGAACTACTGTGATGATGGATCGGATTGCCAAAAATATGCGCAAGACCGGCGAAAACCCCCACATCTACGGTCCTACCGAGGGAGTGTCGTTCCGCCAGCGTTTCCCACCTCGTGAGCTTATGGCGACCTGGATTCGTCCCTTCAAGATGTTCCTGACTGAGCCCATTGTACTGGTGCTTTCTCTGCTCAGTGGTTTCAGTGATGCTCTGATTTTCATGTTCATCCAGTCGCTCTCCCTTGTGTACGGCCAGTGGGGCTTCAACACCTGGCAGAAGGGTCTGGCCTTCATCCCAATCTTGGTTGGCTACTTCATCGCGTGGTTCTCCTTCTTCCCGGTCATCAAACGCAACGTCAAAGAGCGCCTCGACCACCCGGACAGCGAACGGGCACAGTATGAGTCTCGCTTGTGGTGGCTGCTGTATACGGTCCCCTGTCTACCCATTGGTCTGATCGGATTCGCCTGGACCAGTTTGCCCCAGTGCCACTGGATTGGATCCATGATCTTTGCTGCCATCATCGGTATTGCCAATTATGCTATTTACATGGCCACGATCGACTATATGATCTGTGCCTACGGACCATACTCTGCGTCTGCGACCGGTGGCAATGGATGGTCGCGAGACTTCCTTGCTGGTGTTCTCACTATTCCCGCCACGCCGTTCTTCACGAGTAAGTTCATATGCAATATATTCTCGCATTCCTATACTAACGATTTTTGATAGACATCGGTGGCAAGTACCATCTTGAATACGCCTCGACCATTCTCTGTATGTCTATCCCCTATCTTTCTCCATGAGCCATCGGTCTAACGTTTTTATAGTCTGTATCTCCATTCCACTTGTCATTGCAGTCTATATCATTTACTGGAAGGGCCCAGCATTGCGCAAGCGTTCTCCATTTGCCCAGCAGCTCGAGGATGCTCGACACCAAATGCAGGTCGAGAGCCGACGGGGTTCCAAGATTGTTCCAGTATCTCGCCTCAATTCCTATGTGCGCTCCCAGCAAGACCTCCGCATCCGCCCAATCATCGGCAGCCGAGGAAACTCCCGGGTCAATTCTCAGGCGAACTCGCGTGCCAACTCTCGCCGCAACAGCATCAACATCGTCAACGTCCACGTCAACCATTGATCGCTGTTTGTTTTATCTTTTTGCCATGAATACCCAAATCCAGTGGGAGTAGTGATGGGACTGAAATCACTGTCATAGGAATATATGGGCATCTTCATATTTCTTCTCCGAGCATGTTTCCATCCGCATCAATCCTACGCTGTGCGTGGCTGGCTCTAATTCTTGCTCCCGACGCTCGGTGGATATCCCACTCCCGGTCTGTGGCTTTCCGTTGCTATACACTTCAAGTATGATAGGCGCGGGTTCTTAAAACTAATTGTCTTTTGCTTTTCTGTGCTTGCTTTGACTCGAAAGACAAGATTTACGATCTGCGGGGCGTCATGTATGCTATGGGTTCTCGCGAAGCGATACCAGTTATGAATTATACCATTATTATTCGCTGAACGAATTGCTTTCTGGCTATTAGTATGTTAGTATATGCAATGTAGTGAGGATGGTAACATTTGATTTCTCTTGAACCAACGATTTACAATCTCTAAAGGGTAGATATTACTTGGACAATACGAGAACTACGAGTATATCGAGTTTGAATTGGTACATCATTAATACAGTACAATATTAGGCCATCCCGGGCATTCTTGCCAAGAGTCTGGGCCGATCTCTATCCGGTTTCGGCCACGGGAGATAGTCAATGAAGCCGAGAGTCTTTGGTTTGAACAACCCGCTTCTAGTATAGCCGTGAATCGCTATCGGTCCCGACGCTTAGGTCACATCGGGGGGATTGTGGCTTTGTCTCGGCTTCTCGGAAGTAACCCCCGATAACTCGGCACTGCTTGGGGTTAGTGCTGAATGTTAAATGTAGTTTAATATGACTCGATCACTTTCCAAGCTTCTTTCTAAGCTTCTTTCCAAGGTTGTATATTGCATATGTAGATATGGGCTTCCGTCGTGAGCCGGTTACATTCTACAAATGCACATGTAGGTAGTTGGGGATGTATTGAGACAGGTTGGAGCCATTTATGGGTAATGTCATTGTATTTGAGATGGAAATAAGAATACTCGGCAGCTCCCGGGATTTATATGGAGATATCCATCTCCCTTGAAGTGCTTTGTCCCACATTCACCTGACATAAGCATCTCCTTGACACCTGTAGTCCCCTGATCCTTTTTCTGCCTGACTACGCAGAGGGAGAATCAAACATAGTGGATGACATTCTCTAGCTGAAACAAGCTATAAACAATGCCTGTGGCATTGATGGCCTACTGCATTACGTTTGTAACACTTTAGCCATGGAGTAAGCTAGAAGAATATTCTCTGCTTTGCTCTGCATAGTATGTATTGCATATATCAGCTAACATAAATTGACTCGGGCTCCTTCATTAACAATTTTGTGAAGGGAACATCACATTTCATTGTAGCAACATGAATATTCACCGTATAACGCTTAGGAAGATGGCTTCATTCGGAGCAAAGCATACCTATGTATGCACATACATAAGGTGTGTACTTACAAGGGGTAAGGGGCTAAAGGTATTATCGTTCTAGTATCTCTTCGCGTTCCGAAGTAATTTGGGCGATGAAGATACTTCATAAAAGGACTAGGATACCCTTGAAATGTATATGAATAGCCGAGGGAAGCTTCTGTCTGGTAAATTATCGAGGTAAGTTGGGAGGAATCTATAAGGCATACCTGCATTTCAACATTTCAACCTGGGCAAGATGCATAGATTTGGAATAAGCAGTTCTATGCCAAATATCCAAGAAATAAGACATATGAACAAGAATAGCATTGAGGTCTCAGCCATATAATTCCGATAAGATACTCCTTGGCCCGTGCGCCTCAACATTTGAGCTCTCCCCTCCCGAGGTCCTCTTTTATCACACCACATAGAAATGAATTGTCTTACTTCCATGCGCCTCTGTGCGCGACGCACAAATACCCAACCTCTCACGCGACTCTCTAGCCTGCGCGCACCCGCGTTCCCGCTCACGCGCCCATTCCCGAGAATGGCATCCAGCGCGTTTCAGTTCGCCGAGGGCGAGGATACCCACCAACTTGCCCGAGACGCCGATGCTTTATTGAAGCAGGGCTGGGCAAAGGATGGAGACGGGATGGGGATTACCAAGACGTTTCATTTTAAGAGTTATTTCAAGGCTGTGGTGAGTTCATTATTTTTTTTATTTTATTTTTCTGAACTGGTCTGGGACTGGAGCTGCTTCTACTTCTTAGGACTAGACTGACAATATGGAGGCATTTGTTAATATGATTGCGGCCGAGAGTGCATCCAAGAAACATCATCCCACCATGACTGTGGTAAGTGGGACGTTTTGATTTATCGGTGCCTGGATCATAAAAATAAATTAAGGCTGACATCTCGTTAGCGGATTGGCTCAGTCGATGTGCACTGGACAACCCATCGCCCACGCGGATTCACACAAAAAGATGTTACAATGGCCCAGCATTGTGATCAAGGAGCTGGTCTGATGGGTGCTGTTGATCCTGGTCAAGGACTAAAATGTGCCTAAAGTCTCGATTTTGAGACTTTCGCATGTTTCTTTATCCCCCGGTCTGGCCCCTCGACACTATCACCAGTAGATCCCCCCACTGGCAGTTGGAACTAGTCTGAATGCGAATTTCCCCTTGAAATCCTGCTTGTTTTTTTTTTTTTCTTCTCTCTGGATGTTTTCTCTCCCGAAAGGGTCGTTCCTCGATTTCGATTTCAATTCCGATTTCGATCTCAATCTCTCCTTTATATTTATAGATCTATTTCAACGGCTATTTTCTGATGGACCTGCCATGACGTCGAATCAGTCCATGCCCACGTTCCCTTTCGATGATCATTGCCTACTTTATTAAACCCTGTCGCTCCTTTTCTCCAATGCGCTGAACGCCCTAAAGTCCCAAGTCTTGAACTGTTTTGAGGTGTGAGCTGTCTTGAGTACGCTCGACAATGAATCCAGATCAGCCATCAATTGGCGAACGCAGAGGGCATCGACTTGCGCCCTTACAAACCAATTTCAGTCGACCAGCTGCTCAAAAACGGCTACATCGCCCTCGGCCAACCGAGTACCCCAGCACCAATGGATCAGAAAGTCCCATTCCGCTCCAGGCCCAGGGCCCCGTTAAACGGCAATCTTCTAAAACGAGTCTGCGCAATCTCTTTGGTCATAAGTCTTCGCGCGCCGACCCCAAATTAGAGGAGATTATAGAGACACAGCCGGAACCTCAAACTGCCATTCTCTGGGAAACCCCCATGTCGCCCTCTATCACGAGCCCCGGCACTATAGACTCCAATCCCACCGTTACCTCCCCGACAGAACCATCACGCGCAAACTTGAGGGCCTCCCGTCCGAAACTCGATCCCAAACATGCGAACCAGGAACAGTATGGCTGGAAGCCTCCACCATTGTTCCAGGCCTATCCCCAATCCACCAAGCATGACTGCCTCCCGGCGCCTGCTCTCTCTGCGGATTCCATCTTGCGCCTGCACGCCACAACCGCCAGGAGCTCTACCGATGACAACCCTATCAATCCGTTGGAGCAGAACGAGGCCGCCGATGCCGCTCGTAAAAAGCGGGAGCAAAGGCAAAGGAAGCATCTCCGGACACTATCTGGTACCATTAACAAGGTGGAATGGACTCAGAAAATATATGTCCTGGCAACTACGGGTTACATCCTCCAATATGCAGGCGAAGGAAAGCACGACCGTCTTCCGGAGAGGATGCTGCTGCTAGGACCCAACTCTGTCGCATTTGCTAGTGATGCTATTCCTGGGAAACATTGGGTAGTCCAGGTCTCTCACAATCCGACAGATGATGATTCCGCCGTACCGGAGGCCCCCAAGCCTCGATTCTCGCGCTTTGGCTTCCACAAACATAATCCCCGGCGGTTTTCGCGCAACTTTCTTCTAGTGTTCGACAACCCCGATGCTATGATCGGTTGGTTGGCCGCTGTTAGAGCTGAGATCGAAAAACGGGGAGGGCGCAAATTCACGCAAGAGAAGCAGTCGGATGAAGACACGATGCCTCAACTGCGGTCCAAATCGAACGTTCGCCAAATGGTGAAGAAAGATCCCCATCGCATTTCCAGTCTTTTCCTCCAACCTCAGACCCTCCAATCACCCACCAAGGAGGAAGATGGCCAGGCTGTCGGTACAGCATGGCCATGTCGCCGCAGCTCATATGTGTCGATTAATCGTCGTTCACTAATCGAATCCCGATCTGGATCGGTGTCGACTGGCCGAACCGAGGCCACAAATCCTACCAATGGCTCTGCTTCTATCGGGTCTGACATTCGTTCTTCGTCACTTACTTCTTCGAGTATACCCAACTCGCCGCCGATAGGCGCCGGCGCTTTCAGGTCTGACGAGCCTCTGCCGGAAGATCTTGACCGAATCTACACGCGTAGCCCGCCGCCTTCTAGTCATGAGCGACAATCCTTATATATGCCCATGCCACATCAGCCTCCCCCCATTACCGACTTCACAGAGGAGCCACAACCGAATCACCAACCACCTGTTCCCGAAACTCACATCCGCTGTGCTTCGCCTCCAGCGCCTAATTTCAGTGTCCCCTCGTTTAGCAAGAAATTCGTTCCGAGATCTGGGCCGACCCCCGTCCCTCATGCCTCCCCTCCTTCATCAATCAACGGCTTTGCACACCGTGCTGAGACCGACCCAAATATTTTCGCTTTTGCATCTCCTCCGCAATCTCCGACATTCAGCGTCGCCAGCTCACGCTACACGGATTCATCGGAGCCCAGGCGCGTACTACGACCCTCCAATTCAGAAGATGCCCTGGCCAAAACCGTCCGTTCAGCACAGAATGCCCAAAACTTCTCTCGAACGCCCAGAACAGCCCCTCCTACAGGCCCCCTACCTGATCCCAGAGCATCTTCCCGTCCACTCAGCCTAGTTGGCCGCCCTGTCCTGGGTCGTAAAAGCGTCAATTCAACCCAGGTCCAACCTATACCGCCGCCGGTAGAACCAATACCGCGCAAGAGAGTCTCCACTGTGAACCCCGACAATCAAACTCATCTAAGCATGTCGCGCCGCAAGAGCATGCCCGGTATTGGTTTAACAATCGGGCCTCCATCTGCACCACCGCCCAACTGCCCACTCCCTAAGCTCCCCTCGCCCGCTCCTCCTATCGCCAATACCACTCCCCCTCTTCCTTCCACCGACACTACCGCGCCACAGATGCTATCCCCCTTCTCTGCAACGTCCCCAACGGAACGATTCTATGGATCCGGGTCAGTGCGGGATCACGTCGAAGATCGGAAGAGCGGTGTCGATTCCGTAACCAATGAGCCAGCAACCAATGTCCCACGAAATCCGCGATATTCGAAACTGATCAAGGTTCAGACTCCCATGGTCTAACTCCTCCCCTGCTGTGACTTAACATCACATCCATGACACTCCACCTCGCTCTAACAATACTCCTATACCCTCTTTCCTTTCTCGCATCCGTCATTACTATATCTGGCATTTGGGCCACTCAGCAGCAAATACCCCTTTTGCATATATGCATAACTGAGCCTATCATATCCATTCTCTCATTGTGCGCATTGGTGATACCAACCCCTGCGTGCATACCTCAGTTCCTCTTTGTCTATATATATACATTACTTCTCTTCGTTCCGATTGTGTTTCTATTGACATTTGCTCTTGTATATACCCCGACTTATCTTATTTTCTTATTTTGCATTGCAAGCTTCTCTCTTCTCTCCTCTCGCTTTCTTCTCTTCTCTCAGTATTTTCTGTCTTCTATTTTCTACCGGGGAGTTATAATCCACGGGGCATTGGTTAGCACTGAGCATAGGGCATAGAACCGAGCGTGCACATTAACAGATTTCCTTCTTGTCTATTGTCTGCAATATTCGAATACAACATAATGCAAAATAAGGCTACATCGATCTGATACCGAAGCAAACCTAAAATCATATGGCCTTGGTTATAATATCAACATCTACACGAAACCTAAAGAGAAGTCGTGCAATAAAATAAACCGAGAATTGAAGAATTTCGCAATGATATCAATTCTTAGGATCAAGGCCCAAAACGCCAGAATGAACATGGAATAAGGATCTGGAAAATAAAAATCTCATGGGTGATTTAAGATAACCAACCATGCCAGACCGAGTTCGACCAGTTCTGATCTATCGGCTTTGAATGTCGTTCAGAACGTAGCAGCACTACTCCTCTACCTCTTCCACACTTGCGGTCAGACCTCGTCGCGCTGCGACTGCAGATGGGGTAGAAGTAGGCTCGGCAGAGCTTGTGGTTGCCGAGGGGGCGTTTGCTGAGGGAGCAGCTGCGGTAACTGGGGCGGGAGCAGAGGCTGAAGCCTTGGATTTGCTAGACTTTTTGCTCTTTTTTGTCTGTGTGGTGAAACGGTCAGTTTTACTATTTCTGAGGATATAAGAATGGAGAAATGCATACCTCTTGCCAGCCCCATAGAGGCTTGAAGCTGTCGAAGAATCCAACATCCTCGAACAGATTGGGGAATAGCCAGAGACCCGGGGCCACGGTGAAGACGGTGATGCAGAATAGAATCAAACGGAAGATAGCCATGGCGAAGAAGAGACCCAACAGTCCCATCATACCAACACTCAGGTACCACACTCCCTGGCGCATAATCATAGGCCACAACGGGAAAAGGACAACGGCGAAAATACCCGCAACCACAGCGGCGGCCATGGCCTTTTGCTTCCACTGCGGACCGTCGTACAACCAAACATAATGCATCATAGGGTCGGTCTCCTGGTGCTGTTCGATCTTTACGGTCCATAGGCCCTTGGTGCGGTTCTTGGGTTTGGCATGGTCGTGACCTTCATGGGGATCAACCTTGCTCACTCGAAGAGCCAAAAGGGAAAGTGGAAGGAGCTTGAAGACGTTCTCGGCGGAGGCGCGGTCGGTCACTGGGGGGAGGAGGGAGTTCTTCTTGGAGGCGGCTTTGGCGTAGGCGGGGGATTCAATGGCTCGGATTGCGCGCTTGACTGCATTTAAGAAAATCCTGTTAGATAAAAATTCCTTGTAGGTAGTTAGATCTTGGTCGCTGCTCACCCTTGAACATGTCTTTGCGCTGTCCGTCCATGATACATGTACGTGGCTTGAGGTTTTGCGACCGCAGCCAGTTGGCCACTGCTATCGCCTTTGGGTCTGGAGGATTATTGGGGTTCACAGGAACCTGCTGTGTGGTTGTGTGTTGGTGCTGCTGGGGGGTGCGGGCGACGCAGCTTGTTGTCCTTCTGGTGCTGCTTGACCCTGTTGCTCGGCCTGGAGCTTCTGTTGCTGTTGATGGGCTTGCATTGCTCGCATGCGCAACTGCGCAACATATTGCTCAGTAGTCAGACCGAGCTTTTCAGCATCAGCAGCCAGCTGCTCACGTTGCTTTGCGGCGAACTGCTGCGGCGTCATCCCTCGTTTGGCGGCTTCGGCGGCGAACTGTTGTTGCATGGCCGCCATCTGCTCAGGACTAGGCTGGCCGGGAGTGGCCATTTTGAATTAAAATTGAATAAAAATCAGAGAGAAAAGGAAGAGAGTCCAAGGGAGTTGTGAAAGAAAAGAAAGAGAAGTGGCCAGATTGACTCAGCTGATTTGTCCGCCCTCCCGACTTCCCCGGCCAAGCTTAATCTTCTTCCTCCAACGTCACGAATATCCAACATCCACTGGACTTTGAAATATGCGCTTCAGAGCTATTTTAATGTCGATTTCCAATGTCTGTCCAATATGACTCTTCAGCTACCCTATCAAACGCTACTTGGGTGGCTGTCATACTGGTATGTGTCTCAGTTCGAAACTAATGCCTCCCCGCTTATAATATCTAGAGCGAACGAGATGTCGCAGGTCAAATTCCACTCAACTATGTGACGAACCCTGCTGTATCACTGTCGGCTGCCTGCTTTGGAAATCGCATTTATGATCGAGATAACGCTGTAAAATGTTTCTCTAATCTCCTAGCAATCGGGTACCGACGTCTGGTTGTCGATCTATATTGGTCGGTCAGCCGTAGGACGTGGTATTTCTGTCCGGTGTCTATTCCGGTGCCTATTCCAGTCAGATCTGAAGCGATTGTATCCTCGGGGTCCAAGAGAAGGGACTCTGAGATTGAGGAAGATTCACCTGAACCCACTCTCTATGAGCTAGGCTCATACAAGTGCACCGACGACCTCGATCCCAACACCTTGGCAGAAGTACTAATTGGTTATTTCAAAGACACAAACGACCAGTTGACTGTGTACACCACCTATCTCGTTCTCAATCTCCACGTCGCTGCAAGTGTCTCTACGCCAGATGAGCCTGCCTCTGCCATCTCAGGAGGTCAATTGCCATCGGAAACTGAGCGAGCAGGCTCAATCCTCGGGAAGGCCCTTCATGAGTTTATCTACACCCCGGCTCAGCTTGCCTCGGACCGAAGCAATTTGAACGAGTCATGGTATAAGGTCGACCAGAGCTATATGCCCATCACAGAATATTTCACCGTCCATGAAAATAAAAAGGGCGAACAGAGCACCCCAGATGGCTGGCCATCATCAAAATACATTCAGCTCGCGAAACGCGATCGAGTGCTCATTGAATATGGCTCTGTCGATTCCCAACTGGTGCATTACAATCTGTCTACTGAAGACAATTCTGTCTTTCCTCCCGGGCAGCTGACTTCTGATGTGAAGGTGTCCGCAACCATCAACGGCACTCTCACTTCAGGCTGTCTGTATGAGCCTGGGCTCACACGCGTGTCTCAAACCAACTCATCATGGGCTGTATCCAATCACCTCCCTGTCCCTGATGGTCTTTCCACAGATGATACGATGGATTCAATAGCAAATGTTCTCTCTGACATTACAGCTTGTGGTCTCTCGCCAATGCTCAACACCACTCTCTTCGGCCAGACTGCAGACCAGCAAGTTGAACATTACCGTAATGTCTCCCTCTCGTCTTCCTGGGCTTGGGCAATTGGCGAGCCACATGATGCAAACTATGCCGGCGGCGACGGTGATCCAAAGTATGACCGCTGTGCGATCATGGATCTAACTCTCGATGGCCACTGGCGATCCATGAACTGCACTGAGCAGCGGCGTGGTGCCTGTCGAATAGGTAATTCGCCTTTCTCCTGGGTCCTGTCAGACAAAACCGACACTTTTTCCAACTTGTCAAATGCCTGTCCACCAGGATCGAGCTTCGCTGTACCGCGCACCGGTCTCGAAAACACGTACCTCTACAAACATCTGCTCTCTCTGCCAGATACAAAAGTCGACTTGAGTTCGACAGATCCCGCCCTTCGAGAAGTCTTTGTAAACTACAACTCGAGGGATATTACTTCCTGCTGGGTATCCGGTGGCTATGATGCGACCTGTCCCTATGCCTCTGACCCGCAGCAACTCGAGCGCCAAACTGTGCTTGTCGCCGCAATTGCGGGTATCATCATTCTGATTATCACAGCTTTGACTTTCTTTGTCAAGTGCAACGCCAACCGCCGCAATTCCCGGCGCAGAAAGCGTGTCATTGGAGGGTGGGAATATGAAGGTGTTCCCTCGTGAGATTTATCGGTGATGGCTCGCTCAGCACACCCCAAAGGTGCTGTCTCGGCCTTTGGGTGTGATAGCAAGATTTAAGATCTTGTATAATATGTGTATTGCCTTCTGTTTTCACTTCACATGGTGATATGTACAATGTTTAATGTTAGAAGTTGAATGGATAGTTAAATGTTCATTGAGGTCCAGAACTACATACAACAAAAATGAAACCATAATACACCAAGACAATTCGAATCCATACATATTTTCATGAAAATCAAACCAATCGAAAGGGGATATAAAGTCCCAAACAAAATCAAGTCGCTACATGCCATTCATGAAGACAAACCGTAAACTCCTAGAGAAAAGACCATAGGTATCACATTCAAAGTCCAGCAAACCGAGCCCATCCTGCAGCCCGATTGGGCGAGGAGCTGGCTGTTTGGCTGCGGCTTTCGTTCTGATTGTGGCTGGGCTGCTCGTCGAGAACGTTATCGCTGCGTCCTTCTTCGGCAACCTTGCCGCTCACATCGCGGCGGCGTCCGACGCCCAGACCGGCGATGTAACTCCCGTATGAGGATAAGGATGCACCAACTCCAGCTGCAACACCAGGCCGGGCAGTGTCTGCACCGGTGTTACTCACGACACGGCCCTTGCGGTCGCTTTCGGTGGCGCGAGACACGGCAGGCTTCCTGGCTGAGAGATATCCATTTTCTTCGTCGCTGTCATTCTTCTTGAGAGACTCATAAGCAGACATCTTGTTGTTGCGTTTCTTTGTGAGCTTAGTAGGCTTACGGGCCACCTGGACGCTTGACTCGCGAGACGCAGCCAATCCAGGTTTGCCATCTACATCCAGGTCGCCATAGAACCGCGTCTTGGTCGAAGTGGGTTTGGGACTCTCGTGTGGAACAGACACTGGTTGTGTGCGTGGATTGTATGATAGATTGGGGCTGTCGCCCAAGACAACCCGCCGAACGGGATCGGTGTTCTCGGGCTGTTCGGTCAGAATAGGTTGCGGGGTTGGTGGGTTAAGCATGAGCGGGTTAAATGGAATTGCACCATCACGCTCGTCATCAATGTCGTCTCTGTGATCTTCTGGGTCTGGGAATATGTCCATGCGCTGGTCACCCACATCTTGTTCACGGTGGCCATCATCAAGCCCATAGAATTCATGCATAGCGACCGACGCATATTCTCCGCGTACATCTTCTGGAATGACACTTCCGATGCTTGCCTCCGGCTTGGAACCATAAGCAAACCAATCTCGAATGCCACTACCGTTGGACGTGGTGGTCTTGGTGGTTTTGCGGCTGTAAACAGAGGAGGACTGACGGAGAGTGTTTTCGTTCTCGTTCTGCGTCTCGCCCATTGGCGACGGAGACCGTTCAGAGTATGCTACCCAATTATTCGACACTGGGCTGACAGTTTCCGATCTATCAGCAGTACGTGACGACAGATGGCGCATTTGAGCGGTAGCATCGATGATTTCAGGGGCGTGCGAGGCCACTTTTCGAAATTCTGGGGCAGGCGGCGTCTGTGATGTGAAGTCATAGGGCTGGTACGCGGTTTGTTGGAATAGAGTCTCGGGGCTAGAGGAATCCATGTGAGGTTCCGTTGGGGATTCCAAGTGAGATAGGCGATGCTGATAAAAGGAAGGATGTGACTGCCGCTGCTCATCGAGCATACCCATTGATCCACGGCTGGAATCACCACCGGAAGACTGTTCACGGGTATGCATGAATGGCACCGTGCGAGGGGATCCAATAAGCGGATCCTCGAAGCCGGAATCCAGGGTGGATTGGCTGAGATGTTTCTCCTCCATTTGAGACTCCTTATGGCTCTTACGGGGACGTGCAGTCAAATTATCTTCAAGTGGGTTCATATCAGGCGGCAGGCGGGAGATCTTCCGGAAGGTGATTCCCAAGAAAATCGATATGGCAAGGGAAATGAGGTGCAAGCTGCCATTTGCAATAGCCAGGATGAAGGTGATCTCGGGGATTTTTTCAGTCATGTCGCTGTTATTGAAGAGAGTTTTCCAGTGGTATGCATTGGAGTTCCACTCTCCATACGCCATATATGCAGTAAACACGTAGAATGGGATGAGTCCGAAGTCGAGAGTCGAAGCAAATAGCCCATAGCTGGCTTGAGAGCCTGCGGGCCGGTTAAGAGCAGATCTAGAATTATGGTAGATGCCATATATCGTGTGGAGAATTGCAACTATGGGCTACAATAGAGGTCAGCGAGAGAAAAAAAATTTGGGTGGACTGTACTCACGCCAGCGCGAATGATCCAGATGACGGTCGTTGCAGCTCCTTTAATAACGATAGAGCAGAACAGGGACCCGAGGGCCCCCAAAAGAGTGAGCACTCGAAGTCCGAGTTGACTTGTTCGTGCATACTTGACCCGATCCTTGGTTTTGTAGCTCATCGGTGTAAATGAGCTGGCCGTATTGAAGAAACCCCACTACGTCAATTAGCAGAATCCACCGTAAATTCCCGAAAGGTGGTACATACCGTGTCAGGGTGCCGGTTTAGCTCCACCAGCGGTCCTTTTTGCTTGGGTTTGACCGCTGGACGGGCCCAGCTCGCCTCTGTCGCGGCCCTCGGGTTGAAATCGCGGTCGGTGGGACCTTTAAAACTGTAGGCGGACGGACGCTCATAAAGGAATGGAGGCGACGATCTACCCATGGTAGCGACTGAAGGCCACTCGTGGCACCCACGCGAAAGGAGAGAAATGTTGACGGACAACCTTGGAATGTGGAATTGCGACTTGTCTCCTTGGGGTGTGAGTATGTTGTACATGACCAAGGCAGCAAACATGTGATAGTAACCAGGGCAACCGACAGTGTCACGTGCACTATCTCATTATCTCCGATCACCTCCGCGGTTTCTTGAATCCATGCACCATGCGCTTAAAACAGGCCTTCGTATGTGGTCAATGCACTGTGCGGCTTAATCGCCCTCTTCTACAGTATCAGAGAACTGCCTCTCAATTTACATCCAAACGCTTCAATAGTCATGTCGCCCAAACCGATCGACCCGTCCGTGTGGCCGTCGTGGGCTCCGGCCCAGCGGGGTTCTATGCTGCCTATCGTCTTTTGGCTAAACAAAAAGATGCGATAGTTGATATGTATGAGAAGCTACCTGTGCCATTCGGCTTGGCTAGGTACGGTGTTGCCCCAGACCATCCCGAAGTCAAGGTGAGTCACGGTAACCCACGATTCAGTGATGAGTCGACCATTGAACATTGTATCTAGAAATAAGCTCATGTTTAAATGAAAACTAGAATTGCGAAGACAAATTCACAGAGGTGGCCGAGTCCACTCGCTTCAATTTCGTCGGTAATATCGACCTCGGGCATGATCTGCCGCTCTCTGCCCTCAAACCACACTATGATGCCATCATATTCGCCTACGGAGCCACAAAGGATAAGGAGCTGGGAATTCCTGGGGAACAGGCTCTGCATAGTGTGCACTCAGCCCGTGCCTTTGTGGGGTGGTACAACGGTCTTCCAGAGCACAGAGATCTCGATCCCGACCTAAGCGGAGAGAACGCCGTTATTGTCGGACAAGGCAATGTTGCACTAGACGTTGCCCGGATTCTTCTTTCAGACGTCGATGCTCTCAAAAAGACAGATATAGCAGATTATGCTGTGGAAAAACTCGCCACAAGTCGCATTAAGCGAGTACGAGTTGTTGGGCGCCGCGGACCCCTACAGGTGAGTGACAATGCATCGACTGTTAGTGCCCAGGTTATTAATTACTTGACGCAGGCCTCCTTCACTATCAAAGAGCTCCGTGAAATGCTACAGCTTCCAGGTGTATCATTTGATCCCATTCCAAAAGATATCTCTCCCCCGGAAGAAGTAGTATCAGCACTACCCCGGGCGCAGAAGCGTTTAATGCAGCTCTTGGCTAAAGGATCAGCCAATGACCCTCTAACATCCCCAAAGTCTTGGTCTTTGGACTTCTTACTTGCGCCTGATTCTCTTCACTGGTCGCCTGATTACCCATACCATCTATCCCATGTAAAGTTCTCTCGCAATGAACTCGACCCATCCGACCCCCACAGCCCCAGCTCCAAAGTGTCTCCAAAGTACTTGTCGAACGGGAAGCGTGCACAGGTCAACCTACCAGCTAGCGTCTTCTTCCGAAGCGTGGGCTATAAATCCCTCCCTCTACCAGGACTAGAGGATCTTGGTATCGACTTCGATGCGCAGCGCGGTATCATCCCTAATGATGGCTTTGGCCGTGTAACGAGCTTGTCGAACAAGGGCGAGCCTGAAGGTTTACCTGACGGATCTCTCATCTCCCACCTACCCGGCCTGTACTGTGCTGGGTGGGTGAAGCGAGGTCCAACGGGTGTAATTGCCTCGACAATGACCGATGCATTCACTACTGCAGACACCGTTGTGCAAGATCTGGCAAAACGTGCCGATTCAACGTCCTTGCTCCATGCACCCAAACACAGTAGCGGTCTAGGCTGGGACGGTGTGAAGATCGAGGCCCAGCGCCGTGGTCTACGCCCCACGTCGTGGCAGGACTGGCAACGAATCGATGCGGCAGAGCGAGAGAGCGGTCAACTAAAGGGCAAGCCTCGGGATAAGCTTGGGCGTGTAGAAGAAATGTTGAAGGTACTTGATTGAACCTTTGTGTATATTATGAACTATCTGTATACATCGTGTAGTTTGACAAATCTAATCCCATACTCGGTCCAACACTCATATCTGCCCTATCCCTTTCGTGTACCATTATGTTCCTTCGTTGTTACATTCGGTATATAACATATCTAACCCTCACAGCACCCTCACAGCCCGCAAGCGCTGCCCTCCACTTCAACATAAGTAGCGTCAACACGACCGAGCTCCTCCGCCAGACCGTTGGTCAGCGTGTTCATGGCTTGCAGGCCAATGTTGAAGCCACCCGGGGCGGCATCGACAGCAAGGACGTTGATGGTCTTGTCGATCTTGCCGTTCGAGTAGTGCAGCTCGTAGCATTTGCCGCAGTTAGGGCTGTTCCAGCCCGGGATGGTGATCGCACCGCCAATGTTTGGGAAGCTTGGCAGCGATGCAAAGTCGGTATAGCCTTGAGTGATCAGGCCGTTGATTCCATTGGAGCAGGATACGGTGTTCAGAGAGGATGTTCCGATATCATATTTGGGGTCAAAGGAGACGGATACTGTTGCCGCTACCACGGGAGCCGGGCCAGCAGCAACAAGGTTGAGGGTTGCCAAGAAGGCAGAGGTGAACATGATGGTAGACTTCATATTTGTAGAGGATTTGATAGTGCTTCGAGGAAGAGTAGGATGTTTTGGTTTGTTGTATATATTTTGCTCACTCCTCGGCGAGGTTTATATATCTTCATCGGTCAGGCGTCCCTCCATCTATCCAAGATTGTCCTATTTCATCTTTACTGGCAGCCTGCATCCAGCGCAGGTCTCAGATGAAGGTCTTAAAATTACAGGTGACACGGCCCAAATAGGATACCTTCATCTTGGGCCCATCGTCAGCCGATACTCCCATAATAGATAGCCAGAAACAGGCGCAATAAGGCCAAGTACTATTGTGGGGTTCACGAGGAAGCATGCAGGCAGGCTGAGACATGGCATTTGTTGGCTGCTATTTTGATCGGATCTGCAGAGTCAGTGCATAGTCGATCCACATACAGCTCACACGAGACTCTGTCTATGATACGGTACTTCGTATAGGGCGACTGCATTCGAGGTTGCATCGCAATACAGCCGAAATGAATCACCATAACCATATTTTATTTTGATCTGAGCCTGAAACATAATGTAATTTTAGTTATAAGCTGATCTTATTAGAGCAAGAAAAAAAGGGAAGAAGAGGATATGTAGGTAGGTAGGTAGATGAGACAAAAAAAAGCAAAAAGAAACGTCCCCGGGAAGGCTTGAACTTCCAACCTCCCGATTAACAGTCGGACGCGCTAACCAATTGCGCCACGGAGACGTGCTGTGGCGAAATCAGGAGATTAAAACTTCATGAGCGGAAACTACCTATAAGATATACGCTAGTGTTATGTCTCATTGCATGGGCATAGTCACTCTGTAAGAAGAGTGTTAACACCCCTTCTGCTACCGCCGTCCTAATTAAATATACCGTCTTCTTCATTTGTTATACCGCCCGCTATGGTTTCACTTTAGATTGGTGAGCATTTAGCCGGCAGAACTTGGGGTGTTAAGACTTTTGCTGTGTCACTGTATCTCAGTGAACCATAGGCATTTTGAGGGCAGGCTATACACTGTATTCAGATCTCTTCTTTACATCGAGTACTAAAATAGCTCTGGTCTCTTCAACAAGCACGTCTCCGTGGCGCAATTGGTTAGCGCGTCCGACTGTTAATCGGGAGGTTGGAAGTTCAAGCCTTCCCGGGGACGTTTCTTTTTGCTTTTTTTGTCTCATCTACATACAAACATACTTATTCTCATTTTACTGCTCTACCTAACGGATCTGAAGAGCACCTTGACATGATATATCACTGGTTATTTGACTTCATGAGTAGGGTGTCTGTCTCCTTGTCCAAATCAGAGGTTAATATATAATGCCGTGCTCTATCTCTGCTTGTGTTTTTGACTAAACTTGACTTGGTTTCATAGTGTTAAGACCCACCAAGTATGAAGTGAGCGCCTCTGGGCTTCTGGATTCCCATTTCTGAGTGGTACTTTACACCATCATGTTGTCTATCTTCAACGACGTTATGTATGCAACAAGCAAACATCGTACGTCGCGGTCAAGAAGAAAATCTGCAACGTCGATGTCAAGGCGATTAGTCTGTTCGAGGGCTCGACCAACGGCATTCTGCGTATCAAGAAGCTATGGTTGAGATTTCAATGCACACGAGCCTCGCTCTCTGCGTATGAGCCTGATATATGTAGAGCGCGGGCATCAATATCAATAAAATAGTTATAACCTGGGATTTATCGTGTCCCGATTTTGTATAAATTGTAATCTCTACAACATACATACTTCTCTACTTTTTATGTACACCAAGTAACACTGACACCATTCAATCATTCTCTCCAACATGACATTATACCGAGTTGAGGTGACATTCAATTCAATAGATTTTGATTATGGACAGCTACCATTCATTTACTTTCCATGATTGCACATTCTAATTAAACCCACCAATTTTCAGTTATTGGCTATCTGCAGCAGTCAGAGCCAGCAGTGACAGTCCAGCACTGTACTTCAGGCTAAGTCTCTAGTCCTTTATTTCGGCCAGCGACCGCGCGATCCACTCTGCGGAGATTGCTTCCAGCTAAGTGTAATTAACTGGAAGATGCAGAAAAAAAGAAGAAAAAAAAAGAAGGGCCCGAACCGCGATTTGAACGCGGGACCTCGCACAAGTTTTACCCGAAGCACGAATCATACCTAATATTAATTAGTTGAGATTCGCAGGACAGCATTATTCAGTGGAACGTACCACTAGACCATCCGGGCGGTTGTGTGTTGTACTTTGCTCATTAGGGATATTTCATGGATGTGCTTATATCTATATCAAGACGGCCATACAAATTATTTTTCTCATATAACATCTATCTTATCATTTGTGCAGTAACTTCAAAAATAGAATATGCATAACATATAATATATAATATGATACCATAATTGTACACCCATGATGTTAGTTAAAATGTGAGGAGGCTATATATATATATACTACCGTACTAGGTGAACTAATGGAGCAGTTCAATTATCATTCAAGAGAAAAGTGTAGTCATTGGAATTGTCTGACATGGAACAGAGTAATTAATAACTGAGGGGTTATTTTCGCTAATTAAGGTGGAGTATCATAGGGACCCCATGGGAAGTGAAGCTCTTGGCTTCATTGCGGGGACCTCCACTCCTTCACTAAGACATTAAGACACTACAATCTCAGATATAAAGATACAAAGACAGGTCAACAATGATGGATCCAAACTCAGTCGCCATTATTGGAGGTAAGAGAAATACCCAAGTGTACGGGTCTTTGGAAATTGCTAACAATCTTTAAAGCGGGCATATTCGGTCTCTCACTAGCGATTGCCCTGCGAGATAGAAGTAAACAAGGGACTTCCTTGAAAACAGATTATAAATAGCTCATACCTTTCAGACTATGAAGTGACCGTTTTTGATCGAAGCCAATACGATACAAATGGATATGACCCCACAGCCGATGATGTACAAGCTGCATCCGCCGATCAAAACAAAATCGTGAGGGAACTTCAACTGGAGTAGATCCAAGTCCATGCTAATGACAAATATCAGTTCCGTGCATCATATGGAAAAGAGATTCATTACCAGCGTCTCGCTCTGGAAAGCCGAAGAGCGTGGGTTTTGGAGGACGAGAAGCGTGGATCAATGGAACAAGATGACGGCAGAAATATCGGACTTTTTGTTAACAGCGGAATGCTCCGTGTACAGCCTTCCGACCACTTGGCCGCCCTAGAGAAAGAGACTCTAGCCAACATGGAGCGTGATGGTATACGAGACACACAATTCGTTAAGAGTGACCCAGCAGACTGTGAACGGGCTGAAAAGCTGGGCTGGAAAGACAAGATACTCAACTTCCATATCCCAGATTCTGCTGAAAGCACATATGAGGCGGTACTTGACTCTCTGGCTGGATTTGTGAGGTGCAGTAATGCCTGTGCTCATCATCAAAAAGTGGCCGCCGACAAGGGTGTGAAATTTTGTTTCGGGCCAGAGGGGGCTGTTGATTACTTGGTCAAAGTGAAAAGCAAGCTTGAGCCGAGCAAAGATAAAGTGACAGGTTTGAAGACGAAGGATGGTGTTGTGCATTATGCGGACTCCGTTGTTGTGGCTGGTAAGTCGCGAGAGTCCCCGATTTCCATCTCGTACTCACGTTTTCGAAGCCGGATCGTTTTCGACCCAGATTCTCCCTGAATTGAGCTATCACCTCGAGTCCTCAGCTGGTAGCCTTGCAACCTTTAAGATAGACAAGAGCAAAACTGAGCTATGGGACAAGTACTCACCCGAACGATTTCCCGTCATGACCTGGAAGAGTACACCACGAGACATTTCTGGAAACGACACGGGGAGTATTTACGTTCTACCAAGAACCCCTGAAGGCCTTGTCAAGATTGGATACCGTGGAATTAAGGTATATGATACTGAATAGTTACATTTCTCTCGATATCTGCTGATTGCATTGTGTTCAGTGGACCAATTTCCAGCCAGCGCCGCAAGATACTCCCTTCACCCAGGACGGTCAATGGTCTGTGCCTCTTCCAGTGGAGGAGTGCTCACTACTTCCAGAGCCAGCATTGTATGCTATCAAGCAGTTTGTGTCTGTATTTCTGCCTGAGTTCGAGAATACACCATTTTTCTCTACAAAGCTTTGCTGGTACACGGACTCGCTGGACAATTCATTTGTGGTGAGTACAAAATTATTCTCCCCCCTGGATATCTCTGCTGACATGACTCTAAATCAGATTGATCATGTCCCAACTTACGCAGAGAAATCGGTGTTCGTTTGCACTGGGGGTAGTGGTCATGGTGCAAAGTTCCTACCGGTTCTAGGAAAGGTATAAAAACCTACTCACATCATAAGATAACGACTGACAGCTCATAGCATGCCGCGGATATATTCGAGAATGGTGATCAAAGCTCCTCTTTTATGCGCCCATTCTGGCGCTGGCGGCCCGACGCACCTAGAAGAAATGGGCTGGAAGAAGGTCCCGGCGGACCACGAGATATCTCGCACAACTAATAATTCAACATTGGACTTTCATATATACAATTCCTTGTTTGATTCTAAATTGACTTGAAATATTAAACTAAATGCGTTTGACTCACGCAGGATACATCATTGACCCTGTGCTCACGGGCTTCAAGATACCCACCTGTTCCAGATCCTCGATGAGGTTGACCAGCATCAAATCACAGCCTCGGGCTGCAACAAAACTCATCGTAACAGGCATATACTCAGTTTGAAGCGAGATGGTAGAGTAATAGGGGATCTCTCCCACAGGAACTACCAGATCAGGGGTACCGGCCAAGACAGCCATCCGACCGTCCGAAAAGCCCATCGGAGGCCCAGAAGGTGCACTGTAGATGTGAGCAATAGATCAACTTGTCTCTTCAAGTAATTTTCACTCACGCAAAATAGGCGTTCCGATACTGTGTCTGACCCTTGCTGTAAGGATAGATGTAGATACCCTCAGAGCAAGTCTTTTCGTCTGCCTTTCCATATCCATCTGATTCCCACCAGTCTTTGAAAATTGTTTTGTTCCTGAAAGCTTCGTCGTATATGGCATCACCACCATTATTCTGGCCCCAGGCCCATCGCGACAAGGGACCTGGGTTCACAAATGGTCGGCGACCTTCGTGCTTTGCTGCGTAGTCGGCGTAAAACGGCAAAGAAAGAGAGCGGTATTGATCAACAGATACCAACGCAGCATAGGTCTAAGAATATCAGTGTCTGAATATGTCTTTCAACACTGCTGGAACTCACTGTATTTAGTAAGTCATTTATCTTCGAGGGTGTGTCGGAAGGGCGGCTTTTCTCCCAATGCGAAGCGATATCAATAAACTCCCTCTTGGTACCTAGGAAAGCTTCTACTTTCATAACTAATTCCTCAAGCAGTGCACCGGATGCTGTGTTGGACTTGGGGAAAGAAGAGTTCTGGTAGAACAACTTTTTCGGATACTCTCTATAGTCAGTGAAGTTCTGGTACCATGCATGCATAACCTTTGACCAGGTGGCAGCATCGCGAGCAAAAACGCCAGCTGTATCAAGTACGTGACAAAGTGGAATAACATTGTCAAGAGATACAGCCCCGGTAGAAGGGCGATTGGCAAAGAGTCCCTGCATTCCTCCTGGGCTGCGCATAGAGCCACCCGTGTCACTTCCAATGGAAATATCGAGCCAGTCGTAAGCCGCGATACCAGCACCAGGTCCTGAAGATGAACCACCCGGGGCTTGGTAGCCATCACCCTGAGACAACGGTTAGTGGAATCCCATCGATTTCGATGGTTGGACTAACTCGAGGGTTGAAAGGACAGTGGAAGTCGACCCAATCCGCCGTGGGATTATCTCCATTTGCAAATTGCACTGTGCCCATTTTCCCTACAATAATGGCACCCGCGTCTATGAGTCTTTGGAGTGCGGGGCCGGTGGTGTTGCGCGGAGGATATAAATCGTAAAAGGCCCGATTGCCACCGCCAGTCCGTAGTCCCTTCATATCAAAAATATCTTTCACTCCCACACGTAGCTGCATATTGTTAGTCAAAAAAAGAAAAAAAAGACATATCGGATTATCTTGCTATACGTACCCCTGCAAGTGGCTTCGCCGAGGTTGGCGTATAGTATAACTTAGATGGTACAGCAACGCTCTTCGTCATTGCGCCCTGGAACTGATCAGCAAAGGTTGTTGAAGATAGGTCACGATTTTACTCACCGATGAGGTTGCTGGCAAGGGCTTAAATCCTCCGGTGCCGTCGCCAAGGACAGCTTCAGTGAATGCGAGCTGATGATCGGCATAGAGACGGAAGGCCTGATAGATCTCGCCAGTCCGCGGCGAGTAAAAGTAGGGCCCATTTGGTATATCACGAAGCAACCTGGCAGATATGAAGTGCTTTACAGATCGATAACTGGAAGAGGTCATCGCATGTTTATTTCCAAGTCCCTTCAGAGCTTTTTGAACAGCAGGCTCGACCTGGCCCCGACCATGTCCATCATAGAAAAGGAAAACCGCTATTTGAAGTCAACAGATGGTCTTTGGCAGAAATATTGACTTGATTAACACCCACTTTCAAGAAATCCGGTCTGAAAAACATCATCGGTAGCCGAGTAGTTCGATATGGTTTCCTTTATAATGTTCGTGGTGAGCAGGGGTTCATCTGTCCGAATGACCGTCAGGGGAACGATTTCGTCCAATCGAGTCGAATCAGAATCCGAGATGACTATTTTCGAGACTGCATCCCCGCTATAGTAGTTGATGCCATTAACCGTAAACAGTTTGCCATTATCAACACTTGAAGTGGCAGAAATAGTCGAGACAGCCAGGAAGAGAAGAAGCGAAGTAGAGATACGCCAAAGGCCGGTACCAAGACCGTTAGGAGCCATGATGTGTTTTTCTGGCTGTCATCTTTGAGCAGATCGGAGCTTTAAATATGCCAGCCCATCTTACAATCTTCGAATGCTTTCACGTACAACCGGCTCGACCTTCCGAGAGCATTGGAATCACAGGCCTCATTAGTCCTGTAAACTTCAAATAGCGAGATAACAGGCATAACTTGCAGCCATTGGCCCTTCTGTTCATGTTTCATGATAGATAAGATATGACGATATCTGTTCTCCAACTCCTTGGCAATTATTTCTCGGTGTTTCAATCTCTTGGCAATGATTTCGGTGATTGCGGGATTTCTCGGTCTCAGGGGGGGGGACTTGGCGGTTGAATGCCTGAACGTCTAAATGCCTTAACTGGAAGTAGATGTTAGGGCTTGATAGAATTGAATATATATCACAGAAGTATGGCCTTGAATTAAATACAATGCTGACAGTTGGCGTGATGAGTCCATCCCTGATTGGCCCGCTTCACACACTAAGCCTACCCTAAGTATAAAAGGAGGGGGCGCAGTACTTTATTTTCTTTCCTCTTTTGTTTCTTGAAATAAAAAGAGCCCTATATCAAAATCACTCATGATAATGACCTCCACTGCAAACACAGTATACGTTGTGACAGGTGCAAACAGAGGCCTCGGTCTCGGACTGACCAAACGGCTACTAGAACGCCCTGACACCACCATCGTGGCCTCAGTGCGCAACCAGGACGCTGCCACAAGCCTCAGGTCAGACGTTGAAAGTGTTGTTATTGGCAAAAATAGTGCCCTCAACATCATCGAACTAGACTTTTCAACCGCGATATCCCCCGAAGAGATTGCACAGGCGTTCTCCACAGCAGCTAGTACAGTAACGCATATCGATGTGCTCATCTGCAATGCTGGATTCGCGACGTCCATGACTCCAGCTCTTCTAACATCGGCGGAAGACCTCCGTAAATCGTTCGAAGTCAACACCATCGCCCCGCTCCTCGTGTTCCAGGCCTTCTGGCCACTTATGCAGAGATCGGATTCTGCGCCCAAGCTCATGGTCATCTCCTCCTCTGTCGGTTCGATCGCTGCCCAAGAGCCTGTTCCCGGTGGGGCATATGGTCCTAGTAAAGCAGCCTTGAACTGGCTTACCAAGGCTCTTCATGTTGAAAATGAGAAAGATGACTTGGTTGCGTTTGCCATGCATCCTGGCTGGGTGCAGACACGCGCGGGGGATTTTGTTGCAAAAGAGTGGGGATATCCTAGTGGTCCACCGTTGACTGTTGAGGATAGCGTCAAGGGAATGCTTGATGTTATTGATAGTGCTACAAGGGAAAATGTGTCGGGAAAGTTCATATCGCTAACTGGAGATATTTTGTCGTGGTAGAGGTATTTAAATTACTATGGGGAAAATGACACAGTATCGCATCACAGTATTAAAACGTTATACTACACTTACGGGGCTTTTAGGGACCATCACGACAACCGGCCTAATTGAACGAATCTATACTGCGTAGAATCGTATAGGGGCATAAGGAAGCGAGGAAAGAACCCGCCGTGGGACTACGGTAGGTTTTGGGGTCCATCGCGCCAACCCATATACAAGCCCTTATAAGCATGAGATTATTTCACCATTTTAGATAGTTTTATGGACTCGAAATATGCCCTCCAAAGCAACAAGATCTAAATCGCTTGTATATCCAGTAGAGAAAGTCTAGCGCTATAAAAACCACTTTGTTATCATCTTTCTGTCGGTCTCTTTTTTAGCTCTTTTCCGGAGTATTTTGGAATGTAATTGCTAAGAATCCCCTGATATTTTTTAGTTCTGAACTAATAGAGAGAATTAGTGTGACATTAGTGTACCCAGATGTATAATCTACTTATATTACAAATATACTGCAGGCAAAATCTGACATGACGTACTGGCGGTTAGAGATCGTACATCAACTTCTTTCAAGTGCGCCAATATCGGGTTGCCCAACTGTGCTGCTTGACCTCCATAGTTTGCAGATAGATCAATTGACCACTGGTGTAGGCACGGAATCCTCGAGGCTTGCACCTTCCCCTTTGGCAATACCTGTCTGGTCACTAGGTTTAGGCACATTGTCATCGTACTTTGCGTCATTTCCACTGGCGATTCCGTTCTCTCCCACTGGAGGTATAGAATTCTCAAATGTTGAATTATCACCATTGGCAATTCCATTTTGGCCCGCGGGGATGGGAAGATTTTGATCGAAGTTTGCGCCATTCCCATCGGCGATTCCGTTTCCGCTCGCAGGAGGTGCAGTCTCTTGAAACTTTGCACCATTTCCTTTAGCGATTCCTCCAGAATTTAGGCCTTGATCTTCACCTGTTCCTGAATCTGATTCTGCACACCCGGAAGTACAAGAAGGCCCAGCAGGGCCCTGTTTTCCATCGGCACCAGCGGGACCCCTAACACCCTGGTCACCTTGCTTCCCTGGAGATCCTTGAGGCCCTGTAGACCCTTGAGGCCCTGTAGACCCTTGAGGCCCTGTAGACCCTTGAGGCCCTGTAGACCCTTGAGGCCCCGGAGATCCTTGAGGCCCCGGAGATCCTTGAGGCCCTTGAGGCCCTTGCTGTCCCTGGGGCCCTGGAGACCCCTGTGGCCCCTGTGGACCAGCAGGTCCCGGAGGACAAACAGTACAAGCCTGTGGCTGTACAGGTTGAGGCGGGGGAACTGGCTGTACAGGTTGAGGTGGAATGACTGGCTGAACAGGCCGAGGCGGAATGACTGGCTGTACAGGTTGAGGTGGAATGACTGGATGTACAGGTTGAGGCGGAATGACTGGCTGTACAGGTTGAGGTGGAATGACTGGATGTACAGGCTGAGGCGGAATGAATGGCTGTACAGGCTGAGGAGGAATGAATGGCTGTACAGGCTGAGGCTGAATATATTGTCCACCGGGAATAACCTGGGGTTGGTACGGCATATGCTGCTGCCCATGTCCAAATAGCTGGCCTTGGACGCCCATATTCAGCATACCCATGAATGGAGGTTGCTGGGGTGGGAGGAAGTTTGGCAGGCTAGGGCCGCCGTGTGAACACATGCATGGTCCACCTTGACCATATCCAAATTGAGGAAAGTGATTTTGCATACCACCCATTTGTTGCTGCATTGAGTTGAGGCATGGTTGTTGGGGTGGTTGAGATAGCGAGACGGGCGTACATAGTGTGTTAGAGGTGCAGATGTAGGCAACTTGGGCGAAGGAGAAATCAATGAATATGAGGAAAGCGATTGAATTCGTTGAAGTGTCTCTGATCTTCATTTCCTCGTTGATATGGCGAGTTAGATAATGGGGCAAATATGCTGGATTAGGGCTTGGTGAGTTGGTAGTGACAGGAATGAGGAGCTCAATAATCGCAGTTAATATCTATCCATCTAGAGTATGTAGCAGATAATTTGAACGAGTAATAATCCTATAATTCTAGCGGATGGTTACAAGCCGGAAGCGGGCATACGAAGGTTATGGGACCAGTTGTCAACGCGACGAGGGGGTTTTTTCCTTGTCCGGGAAGGCCAGATACCACCTTGTATGTAGGTCGCATAGAGCATCGGAACGTGGAGGTATTACAACGCTAGGGGCTGATAAAGACGGATTTAGTGAAAAAAAAAATTAAAGCAAAATATTCATAGTGGCATTCGTGAATGTAAGAAACTGCGTAGAAGTCCAATAGTACAATTCTTGCTCAGTTGCAAGAGCCTTAAGAACGCGACCCTAACTAGGGCTATGTAAGACATAACCATACTTGTCCTGTACAGGAATGACAGGCAGCTGCATAGTCTTTTCGTCAATTAGGTTGAAGAACAACTTGTTGGCATAGTCCTTGTATTTATTGACTCGCTCCAACTCCTCAGGCCCGACACCATGAGGAAAAATGAAGATCTGTGCATGAGGACCTGTTTCAAGTCAGATAGAGCAGTTGAATATGAAGAAAAGGGTTTGCATACGTGGATCTTTGGAGTTCTCTCTGCTCTTTTTGTAATACTCCTGATAGTCTTGCATCACCTGGCCGAAATATGCATGGGCAGTGAATGCATTCTCAAAGACCAGAACCCATTTGGGACGAACCTTCTGCCCGATACTCTGCATGCCATATGCATAGAATACATTGAGTCGACCTGCTATCAAGTCTTCTTCCGCCTTTTGCTTTGTATTCTTGTCGTTCTTTTGATTATCCTTGATTTTTTGCTTTTCATCCTCAACTGTACTATTGTTCTCTTTGGCACGCCTTGCGGCCAGAACGTCGATCTTTGCTTCGCCCTGCTGGCCTCCTACACCAACGAGTTTCTGTTTGCAGTCATTTAATTAGCTTTCCTTTATCGAGAGTTTTGAGTCATATAGTGATGCATCTCTCGGTATAGCGTACCTTTTGATTGTCTAGGTCAAGATTGAGAATTTGATCAATACCAAGACCCTGAACTGTCTCTCCCAAACCCCCTACCGGAGTGGTTAATACGTCTTTTATCTACCCCTCGGTATAGGGATGGAAGAGCTCACCTTTCCCACCAACTCCCGGTACAGTATTACCAAGTCCTCCACCAGCTGCGCCGCCTGCTAAGCCGTCCGTTGACGGAATATCCAGGCCTAGCACTACTCCAGATAGATGTGATATGAGAAGACCAAGGGCCGCCAGTTTTAGGCTGGAAAGAACAGGCATTTTGCCCTATAAATGGCTCTTTTTTTTCGTGTTATAAAAGGCAAGATCCCGGGGGGAGCTCGAAATATCTGCGTGTCGGCAGCCTTAGGATAACAATTGGCTTATGATAAGAAGAAATTACAGCGGCAAGTAAATGCTGATGCGCGTAAGCCTACTTACTGCCTACCCACAGACTCACACTGTAGATTTCATGGATGAATCATAGAAGATAACCAGATGGGTCACGTCATGCAACTATGTGAACCTTGGGAATTTGACAAGACGGCAAATTTGCTTGATGTACTATTGCCTTCCCATGTTAATTGAATATTACTGAAGGTAAGTTAGCCGATAGGTCTGGTAGAAGTTGTGAAGAGGCGTAGCTGAGAGTCCTAAAACGTCCTTCCCACTTCCACACCACCTTGCATCCGTCATTCTGGGTCTGCTTTTGACAGGACCGGCCGTTTTATGGAAGAGTCATAGAATTGTGTGAATCGATGTCGAGATAGGGTCTTGGACCGAGCTGAAAGTCATACTTAATCCTGGGCCCGTGCGCAGCCCTTGATGATAGGGATGGAATGCAAAGGTACAACCTAGAACGTAGGGAGCGAAAGCGGGTGTGGCACCTTCTGACAGCTTCTGACAGCTTGTAATATCCCGTCTAGGCCTGATTAGTTAAAATTTGGAAACGGATATGTCGGATACTTACGTGGGTTCAAGAAAGGTAAAGTATAAATCAGCGCATTTATGTCAATAGACAACTTTTCTTTCCTCAGCCACAAGGGTATCCCTATCACTTCATCTGCCTATCACTTCCCGTGCAGAAATGCAGGCCAATTTCCTTCTACTATGGGCTTTTATTTCTAATCTGCATAGTGCCACTGCGCAATTCTACCCGGGATGCTTTGCTCCCCCTTGCTACCCACCAGGGTACGCCTCTTACTGCAGTGTTGTTCCCCATACACCGTTCTGCCTTAGTCCTGGGAATATGGGGGGCCCACTTCCTCCTCCTGGATGGAATGGGAATGGAATGGGCCACCAAGAACATCATAATCAGCATCTTTATCCTCATCATCAAGTACGGCCACCGCCTCCTCCGCCGCCTGGATATCAACCTCCTTATCATGTGCAACAACCCTATTATCCACCACCACCACCACCACCACCACCACCACCACCACCTCCGCCGCCGCCTGGATACCAGCATCCTTATCCTATGCCTTATCCTTATCCTATGCCTCATCCTTATCCCCATTACCCACAACCACCCCGCGAGCCAGATCGTCCGCCAGCTCCTAAACCTGATCCATGCCCCGTCAGTCCCGAGTGTAAGAGAGGGGACAAGGGCGAGAAAGGAGAAAAGGGAGAAAAGGGGGATAGAGGTGAAAAAGGGGAATGTGACTGTAAGATAGACAAATGAGGGATTGTGGAAAGCACTTAGGGCTACATATGTAATCTCAATGATGTTGCATCAGATGATCACATATTCACTCTTTAGACGTGAGAGAACACCAAGTGCTCTCAATAGAATGTTGGGGAACTGAGGAATGCCAGTTTGATATTGGGTAATTATCTTAACAAAAACGGTCTTCATCTCTTTACACTAGCATGGTCACAACTGTATGATGTCCGCTATGCATAATCTCTGCCAAATTTACTATGGCCTGTGGGCGAGGCTATGCACTCCGTTTGCAGATTGACCCCGTAAAGTGCCTTTTCAGTTGCCATGACGCTGATATCACTATGAGGAGTGGATAATTTCATAGAAGCACTTTTGGTAGCGGTGGGGTCAGGCTAAGCATTTATACGACCGTACTTGTATGGTCAATTATAGGATAATGTTCCCTAGGAAATACAAGGCTTCCTAGCCATAGTACAAGTGAATTTATTCCCTCACTATATTAACAGTACTTCAAACTTCCACCGAAGAAGCTGGGTATAGGGACATTACATACAGAACAGAAAGTCTTGATTAGTGCTTCTATAGTGTCATGAAACGTTTGGATAGGCATGGCATGCCATGCTGTATTGTGTACGGAGTAGTGGCATAAAAATGGCAACTGGAATGGGGTGCCTACAAATGCAAATGCAAATGCAGATATGCCAACATTGAGTTACATTAATATTTCCCAATCTGGCAGTAGGTGTCACAGCATTCTTCGGTATGCGTTCATCCGGCCTGGGCAATGCTTAGAACATTTCTGGCAAATCACCCCAGACTATCAACTAAGGGCCATTGAAAATGAATTTCAGACGCTGAAGCTTAAAGCATTGTTTACGAGAGGGTCTCTATGGGTGGACATAGCTACCTGCATCACTGACAGTAATCGTCATTGAGTCGCTGAGGATGCGGAACTAGGCTCTGAGTATAAGTTCTATTAACGTTTAATTCCGGCCATAATATAGCATTATTCGGTACATGCTTTTACACAGGGCTGGAATGCAAAGGTGGCACAATTCTTCAAGACATTTCTAGCGGAGTGACTGCATCAGAATTCCTACACCATATGTTAAAAGTATTTGTCCAACTAAAGAGTGTATTCTGGACATGTTCGAGTTGTATGCCTATTTAGATTGGAAAATTAGATCTAGTGTATTCTCAATCTTCTCTAGAGACAGAAGGACATGGCTTATACCAATACCAAGTATTTTCAAAGCCAATTATCCCCTATTTATGGCACGAGCAACCCAATAAATCCTACTCTCTCCTTTATCGTTTTCAAACCCTGACTCCTGTTTGTCAGAAACCGAACACTTCTGCGTAGGCCCTGTTGGTGCAATAACTCTGCAGTTTGGCTCTGAGGAGCATAGTGCAAGACATTCAAAAAGATTTTTCTCCGCACTCATTGTTTTCACGGGGTCTTTGAGCGTATTCCTCTTGCTTGTGCAGAAGATCTCATATTTGACGCCACCCATATCCAATGTTGATCCATGGATATCTGGACATTCACTCTCTCGGGCCTTCTTGATGTTTGGTGGAATGTCTTTCGACGGTCGAGCCTGCATTGCGACAGCAACTATTCCGTCAGGTGATGGGGCTGTTTCGACATCACGCTTGGGGTTCCATGTGACGATGGAACTGCCGCTAGCGCCAACTGCTTCACAGCCGGGCAGGGTTGAGCAAATGACCATAGCCTCTTCAAGACGATGCGTGTTGAATACGCTGTACTTTTCCCCGGCAATGACTCGCCGACAGGTGATCTTGTATGTTACGCCTCCAACATTGACTTCTTTGCCATCGGTATTTGACTTGGGCTGGCAAAGCCGAAGGGCTTCGAGCTCCGAGAGTGACGAGCCTTGTTGAGTTGTGCTATTAGCAGGACGTTGGTTGTCACTATTGCCGCCCTTGTCATCTTTGTCACCCTTATTGCCCTTGTCACCCTGGTCACCCTTGTCACCCTTGTCACCCTGGTCACCCTTGTCACCCTGGTCACCCTTGTCACCCTGGTCACCCTTGTTGCCTTTGTCGCCCTGGTCACCCTTGTCGCCCTGGTCACCCTTGTCGCCTTGGTCACCCTTGTCGCCCTGGTCACCCTTGTCGCCCTGGTCACCCTTGTCACCTTGGTCGCCCTTGTCACCTCTGTCGCCTTTGTCGCCCTTGCCACCTTTTTCGCTCTTATCGCTCTTGTCGCCCTTGTCACCCTTGTCACCCTTGTCACCCTTGTCACCCTTGTCACCCTTGTCACCTTGGTCACCCTTGTCACCTTGGTCGCCCTTGTCACCACTGTCGCCTTTGGCGCCATTATCTCCCTTTGGTCCTGATTCACCTTGTTTCCCTTCTGGACCCTGTTCACCTCTCGGCCCCAAATCACCTCTGTCCCCCTTAGGCCCAGGAGGACATTTCTTGCAATTGTCATTTGGTGGTCGAGGCCAATTGGGATTTGGCTGGGGATACCCTTGTCCTTGCTGTGCAAGGAAATGAAGCCATGAATCGTAGTGGCTCCCATCGGGGTATCCCGATCCTAGATGATTGAGTTAGTACCCTGCACCTGGTGGTGGATGGAGAAGGACTCTTAGTACCATATGGAGGTTCAAACCCGGGAGGATAAAATGGAGGCCTTAGACCAGGAGGGCCAAATCCATTCCCAGGCCCTGATGGTGGATAGGGATGGTAGCCAGATTGAGGAGGGTTCCGATAGCCGGGTGGATAATGGTAAGAAGGTTTCTCTGGCCCAGGATAGTACGGTGGATATATTTGATTCCCGCATGGCTGAAATTCAGTGCCACCACCATATGGATAGTGTGGACAGTATGCAGCACCACCGTTGCTTGGATGACAGGCGTTACCTGCACATATCTGAGTATGGATGGAAATGAATGATATTAAGATCAACAGGGATTTCATGGCTCGATAGATGTGGTTTGGGGGAGAAAGAAAAAAGACAAATCAAATCAAAGATCAACAATTGGGGAAGCACTATGGTTAAGAGAAATAACAACAGGACCCTAAAACAGCCACTCGTAATTAGTCAAGGTCTAAAGGACTGATTCTCACGGTAGGCGCAGAATGTGTCACTAGGAAGGTTGGTCATGATTCATCGAGTCTTGTTAGAAGCTGCAAACAATATCTTTATATCTTGAAGTTCTGCCAAAAGCTGATTGTGTCTGATTGGATCCTTTCATCCCACTCAATGAAACCATACAGGTTTGAAGAAGCTCTTAACTTTGTCCCAGAAAAGGCTGAACATTTCCTTATGACATTGGCGCTTCACACTCGCTATACCTACTTTGCTTCTGCATTCATACCATGGGTGAATATCCAAATAGAGGTTCTAGAGCTTAGGCATGTTGCCACTATACCCTGAATCTAATCTGTTTGATATTTCCACTAGGACTACGACAGAATATTTAAACCCTTCGTCTTTCTAGGATAGACGGGTAGATCACTCTAGCAGCTGATCAGGTTACCAACTCCTTCGTCCAACAAATCCTCCCCTAAAGTGGTCATTACGTCAATATGCCTCAACTATCTCTATATCTCAACTTCCTCCTAGCCTTTTTCCTCGTTCATCCTGTCCATAGTGCTCCCCCAAACCCGATGCCACCCCTTTCGGGCCTCCAAAGCCTCTTCAGCCCATGCCATGATTCTCCCATGCCACCAATCCAACCACAAAAGGACGAGCTAGGCCTCTTCTATGGAAAATGCTACCGAATCGAAAACAACATGAAGCAGAAGCTAGGCTATCAACAAGGCGCATACTACAAGTATGACGCAAATGATAACCGGCGCCCATTCCGCGTCTGCCGCTCCCCCCGGGGATCTTGCAAGCGTGAGCAAGACGACCAAAACGTATCCAAGAACGACCGCTTTTTCCTCTGGGATGGGCATGGTTCGGCTTGGTCCAAGGGTCCCACCTGGATCGGTTTCACTGGAGTGTTTTTGTATCCAAACATTCACCGCGACATCGAGAAGTTTATTGCGCCGTTCAAGGCGCATCAGAGTTGTGATCGCGATGATTCTATTGAGGGGGATGATTTGGATGAGCAGAAGAAGAAGTGTTCGCTTTGTGTCAATTTGAAGAACAGCTACAATAACTACAATGGGCTGGCGACATACCCAACCGGGTATGTTTACCAGACCTCGAACCCGGCCGATTGTGTTTATTGGGTGTTTAAAGAGGTGGATTGTCCGGATGATGATTATATGGAGGACGAGGAACTGTGAAGGAATTTAGGTCCTATGTGTGGGAATGGCTTTTGAAGGAGATAGGTTCAGGTGAACCTCGTTCACCTTGGTGATTATATGACTTTTTCTGGTTAAAGGCCGTCTGATTAGTAGTGATTTCAAAAAAGGAGCTTCTCTTCTGTGTTAAACCTTTAGTATATAATATGAATAAATGAATTAAGTCGATTATGTTTACCATGACCCTTCTCAATTAAGCGATTTGCAGACTATACCTATATTATCCTCGTAGTATCACGGAATAAATAGCTAATAGATCATCCACTTACGGGATTAGGTTTATCTTAGGTAGCCTCTATATTTAGGTTGTAAGGTAAGCATATCTGGTTTATTAAACCTATGGGTCTACTGAGCACTACCCAAGTGCTGTACCTAACCATCCCCGGGTACAGCAAGTTTTTTATGTCAATCGCGCCAACCGGGTTTTTCGCTGGCAGAAAGTCAACCAGCTGCCATTACGTTTATTCATATATATTGTCTCTTAAGTACAGTGAAAACTCGTATTCAAGGTGCACCCACTAAAAATATTAGGGGATAGTTAGCGGTTATACTCTCAAAGACCCTAGAACAGACCGACAGAATGATGATAACAAATAGTAGCGCTTAACTTTCTCTACGGGATGTACGACCGATTCAGATATAGTATTTTGGAGTAGGGCATATATCGGGTACATGAAACTATTTGAAAGCTGAGAAATAACCTCATGCTTATAAGGGGTTAGCGCAATGGGCCCTAAAACCTGCCGTACCCTAAGTGCCCAGGTGCCCAGGTGGGCATTATTTGAACATTACTAAGCCCGCGGGCATACAACCGGCTTATTAAGCAAAGTAAGTGGCCCCCCCCCCCGGGGCCTTACCCCTAACCTTATAATCAGTCCGCAAGACCCTAATAAAGCGGCACGGAAAATCGCGACCTAAAATTCGGTATATACACATATAGACATTATATATGAGTGTTTTCATTCTTTCAAGATAATATACCCCAGACCAACACCGAGACATTATAGCTTGATCCATCTTCCCATCCACCGCTGGTTAAGTTCTTTCGCCTCATCCACCAAACCCAACTCCAACAACAGCTGAACTGACCCACGAATAGAAGAATGCAACGAAGAGCTAACCCAAGCCTGCGTTGGTGCAGTGTGTTCTCCAATAAAGATGGTGTTATGCTCCGTCTGATGATAAGCCGGAATGTATAGTTCATGCTGTGCAACATCTGGCCGACACCAAGAAGTCGCAGTATGTTCATCCTGGAGCCAGCAGAGACGTTCATAATCTCCCGTGTAGAGGTCGCGTGCTTGTTCGCCATGCAGACTGACAATAGAATCCAGTACCGTCTGGACGTGCTCTTCGTCGGAGAAACTCACAAATCGGTCGCTCCAATCGCCGCCTCGGTAGTGCATGATTAGACCCGGGCGAGACTCGTTGAGTCCGTAGACTGGGTAGTAGAGTGCACCGACTGATTCACTTGATGGCTTGGAGTAACCGCCGAAAATTGGTCGGTCGCCCTTTTCCCAGAATCGCTCGGAGAATAGTAGGGCTACTTTGCATGCGGACTTGAATCGTAGACCGGCTTCGCTGATCGCGCGGTCTAGGACTGAGGAGAATTTGGGCAGATTCATGAAGCGGGTCATGGTGAATGGCGCTGCCATGATTGTGTAGTCGTACTCTTTAGATTCGAAGGTGCGATTCGAGACATTGGGGTACCATGACAGTCGAGTGCGGGTGTGACCATCACTTCCCTCGACTGGCTCCAGTTTCCGGATTTTGCGATTGAGAGTAAGTCTGTCGCGAACGTGAGGAAGAAAAGCATCGGACATGCGGTTAAATCCTCCATCGATGCAGAGCCATTCTGTTTCGCCCATACTGTCCTTGCTTCCATCTAGGCCGAGGTTGGAGTTATGATGCAGCTCATCCCAGAACACATCGTAGTCGGATGATGTCCAGAACTCGTCGGTGATGTTCTGACTGGCTTTGAAGACATGTCGCATCATTGCCTGTTCACTCCAGTCATCGAGCCCCTGGTCCATGGCGGTCTTGTGGGCTCTCCAGATATCCTTCTGAAGAGATTTGAGAGTCTTTTCGTCTTTTAGGATTTTGTCCATGTGGTTCTCAGTGTTGGTGTATTCGGCACTTGTCATTGATGAGGGCTCCTTCAGGCTTGGATCCTCCTCGATTTCAGCGCGCGTTGGGATGCTTCCATCTGGATGCCGGCGAGTGTCCCGAGCATACAACTCATTGGGACTGTGTTGGATCCAGGGGATAAAATTAATCTTCCATTGCGAGTCATTCCTGTTCATGTTGTTCAAGATCTTGGCCATTTGGAAAGTCAACTGATGATCAGAATACAAGAGTGTCTCATTGTCGTCTTTGTAAGTGACAGAGTATGGAAGTCGCATCGGTCCCATCTCAGCCCATTCTTGAGTATCGGCGACATATTTTGTGCGAAATCTGCCACCAACGCGGTCGCTGGCTTCGATGATCTCCCAATTATGTACACCGACGCTGTCTAGCATCAACCCCGTTGCAAGCCCGGAGATCCCGCCTCCAACAATTGCGATCGAGGTATTCTTTGGCGAGTTTTTTGAAGCGACCCCTCCGTTAATTTCCACTTTGTCTTTGATTTTGGCCACTCCGTCGAACCATGCTCCCTGCGCATCAAAGTCCTTCAGCAATGGGATGTTGGTGTCTGCTGCAGATCGTTTCTTGGGCTTCTTTTGCAAGGAGATAGGGTTGCTTTTGCCCAAGACCTTTTGCGTCTCATTTGGGTTGTTGACCCCATATACGTAAACACAGTGGTGCGCTAGAGCATTCTCTGGAACCGCCCAAGCCAGTCTCTGGGGAGGATGACCGTGGATTGAAAATTGTCCGATAATCTGCCCCTTCGTCGACAAATCCTCGCTATCACAGGGCGCGTAGACTGATTTGATCAAATTTGGCGGTTGACTAAACCAGTCGAGATAAATATTGGCCAGTTCACCACCTCGGACTGTTTTGGAGGTTGTCACTTTGACCGTTTCTGGCTGGATGACTCCAAGTCCGGGCAAAGCCTGGGCGACCAGTGTCACCACTGCGAGAGATGATTTGCTGAGCATTGGGAGTGTGACTGAGCTCAGCATCTGGCATGGCTTGCAGCTTTTATGTTCACACACTCGTTAGGGCATCCGTTTCGAGGCTGAGGACCTTCTGCGGCGCCAAGAAAGGCACGAGAATGCGATCGACCATATCCGCTGCAATTATTTGAGCTCATTTGGCCTAGCTCGCCCGAAAAAGTGGGCATATTCTCCATATCTCATTTCTGGAGAGTACCGCATGGAAGCCTGTGCGGACCTTGTGGCTGATCAGCAATTTCAGACCTCGACTTCTGCAAAGAAGATCGTGATCAGTAGTCATAAGGTCTTGCCCGATGATCTGAATAAGTTCTCAAACTTGATGATCATAGCTTCTGCAGGGCTAGTCGTAATCCGGTCGCTAGGTTGATTCGGTCGGGATATAGTGATTGACTGCCACAGCATAAGTATGCCTTCCCATAGCCCTTGATTGAACTCGGGGTTGTGGTCTATGCTAATTACGACGGTGAATCCCCAGTCGCCTGTCCACCAAAAGGTTATGACAGGTATCGCCCACTCTGAACCCTGCCAGGTTGTTTTGCCTGTATCTCCGAAGAGTGGACAATCTTGGTACGGAGGACCCTCTCGAAGGACGTGATCATGTACTGGATTGGCTGGGCATCGCTGGCCAGACCAAGCAGGTCTGCAAGGATGCGGCATGTCATGCCTTTTAAGGAACGTGAAATCTCTTTGATGATAATCAATGTATGAAAACCCCCCGTATTTGCCAGATCAACGGTTATGAACATCTGTAGTGTATCTAGGGCTGCTCAATGGGTGTCGCCCACCAGCTTTATTATCACTGACCGTGTAGCGCAACACCCGACGTGTGGGGAGTCTGAATCGTCCGACAGAATCAAAGTGAAGAGAAAGTTCATCTCTGACAATCGAAGTTAGTCTTGGTAAGTTTGCATAAACTTCTGTGTGCTCAGTCTCACCTTGTTGTAGGTAGAACATGTGTCAGCATACTCGGGCGGCTATCATCATAGCTGAGAGGTGTTGATGTGCTAGAGTGTGCTGGTGAGTTGTGTAGTTGTGACAAACAAAAGAAAGAGAGGAATGAAGGGCAAGAGAAGGTGACATCCCAAGAGCACTCTAAAGGAAGGAGCAGACTTTGCTTTTTTGCCCTTTTAGATCTATTTATAGCCCTGGAGATCTATATAGGTTACAGCACCAGAATGCACGGCAAATGAGTATGACCATTTTCGAATATATCATGCTATGAGCTATCTTATATTGTGAGTGGATTTTCCTTTCCTAGAATTGACAGGAAATTTACATTATGACTACTAAGATGGAAACATAAACAGATTTCTCCAAGGTAAGAATACCTCTTATTTACACCAATTGGCCTAAGCTATTATACATAGACACGTGGAAATTGGGAACTCATGCTGTGATATTCTGATCTGGATAGATGTCAGGTGTTGTAGCACCAGCACTGATAATCCTACATCATAGACATGGAGGAAATGTCATTGTTTAGCTCACCGATTCGCTGGCTGTGCTGCTCGGCAACTCATCCTTAGACCTTCCGAGTGATGCTGAACAGTTGCAGATATATTGCTGCCTTTTCCGTTTGCTGCAGTCTACTTGGAAAAGCCTAGGGGGTCCCTGCAACTGGAGCTGACAAAAAATGAATAAGCTAAGCCTGCCCTGCTTACGACGGATTGATAATACCGCCCATGGCGGCGCAATCAATCTGACCATAGTAGTACCAAACTGGATTTGTGTCATTGAGAGTAAACAACTCTTTGTTGTAATACTTACTGATCTCTCCATAATTAGGGCAAACCCACTAGAAAAGAGCCAATCATAGGATAGTAGGGGTTACAAAGATAGGCTTGAGACATTGAGTGACTCTGCAGGTTGAAATGAAGCTCGAGCTTTTCTCCCGCGGGGACACAATGATGAAGCTGTCTTCGGTAGTTTAGTTGTGATACTGGCATCGTCAGTGTTTCCATACAGACGTTGATGAATGGAAGCCCCAAAAGCAAAAACAACACAACTTATTCATTGCGGAGGATGTCTGTATTTAACATATTGAGTCACAGGAATGTCATAGAACTGTCTTCTTTTCTATATGATATTCCTGACCTATAGACATAGACATAACCTTGAAACTATGCATAACCCTATTTCCCCATAATCTGCATCGGTTTACGACAAAAGGTTAGGTAGCACATAGCACACCGCAATTATATAGACTTTGCCCTCGGAATGACATCCAATGTAGATTGACCACTTATATTTCCCCCAAAGAAGAACTCATTTGGATTGCGATAACCTTGATATTTGATGCGATCGGCAATTCCAGATGCTGACATGGGTCTGACATGGTGAGCCCTGGGGGTGCAGTAGCCTCGTATTACCCTCTGACTTGAGATAGCTCGAGACATAGAACGAGATAGTCAGTTTAAGCTACTCGAATAGGCATCTTCTAAGGTAACATTTCAACTCCTTGACAGGTATTGCGAATGTCTGTGGAAAATTGACAAGCCACAAAGACTCTTGGATCTGATGTGGCCCAATTGGGATGTCAACCGTGCAACAAAGAGCTGGAAGATATTTATTGAGATGATTCCCTTTCTGAGACCAGGTAGTCAATCTCGATTTTTGCAATGGTTCGGCATATTTTTTCTTGGCTCTGGGCTATTCCTGCCCTAGCCCAAGTTCAAAGCTTTCATCCTCAAGACCACGATGAGATCACTTATAGCTTCAATGTCCCCGATACTACTGCCAAATCGGGCTCGGGCCCCATTTACTTCCAGATGAATTCGACTCGTCAAGTGCAATGGTTTGCCATGGGCCAGGGAAGACAAATGGCAGGGGCTAATATGTTTGTGGTGTACACATCTGGCAACAATGTTACCGTTTCTCCGCGGTCGGGAGTTGGGGAAATTCAACCGTTGTATAACAAAGACGCCCAGATTGCAATTCTCAATGGCAGCGGTGTGCACCGCGGAGTCATCACTGCCAATGTCCAATGCGATACCTGCCTGAAATGGAATGGGGGAACAGAGAACGTGAACAGCTCCTCAAGTCCGTGGATTTGGGCTATTAAATACGGAGAGTCCCTAAATTCAGTCAATGTGTCTGAGGATATCACCCATCATGATGACCACGGTGTTATGCTCATCGACCTGCAAGGAGCGACGGGCGGCAGCTCAGTGAACCCTTTCGCCCAAATGGACCGAGTCTCCATCTCCCCCAGTGAAGAAGATCCGGAATATGCGGCTTTCCGAAACACAGTCAGAAGGAAAAAGACAGCTCATGCTGTGCTCATGGTTTTAGCTTTTGTGGTCATGTTCCCTTTCTTCGCACTCGGACTGCATGTTTTCCCATCGAAATGGACGGTGAACATTCATGGAACGTTTCAACTCCTCACTTTGGGCGTGGCAATTGCAGGCCTTGGAGTTGGTGTTTCCATGGCACGGCAGATTGAACTGATCGATTCTTACCATACCATCCTCGGAATGATCATTGTCGCATCTCTTGCTCTGTTTCAACCTGCCATGGGCATGTTGCAGCACATATTCTTCCGGAAGACGGGTAGAAAAGGACCTTTTGCTTATATGCACCGCTGGTTTGGACGGTTCATGATAATCTTGGGTATTATCAATGTTGGGCTTGGATTCAAGCTTGCGCATGGACCTCGTGGGGCGGTCATTGTAACTTGTGTTGTTGCTGGTATTATTGCGATAGTTTATATTGTGATAGTCAGTTGGATTGGAAGACCGAGAGGCAATTAGTAAATTTATGGAGAAGTTAAGAGAGAGAGATCGGGAGTTCCGATCGAAAATTATCCACCGCAGATCCGAGGTTGATTTCCCCGATGACATCATAGCCCCTGGTCTTTCTTTTCCTCAAATCAACTGGATCTTCTTCTTCTCCTAAGCCTTTCCCTCTCCTTAAATGACGTCCGGATATTTCATGTGATTGGATCCTTCTTGTCTTTCATTTAAATCTCGTTGGCTTTGGTTTTTTTGGACTTTCCTTGGTTTCTTCTGGTTTTGCGACAGCTGCTATACTACCCCTAAACAGAACCATCATGCCATTACATACAGTCGCACTAGGTGTGGCATTAACTCCCACTGTCCTTCATACCCTCATCAGTCATGTAAGTCCTTGTGGCAAGATATAGTTAGGGTTGTTTAGCTGATGCCGCATCTATAGTACTTGAATCGCAAATCGCTACATAACAAACCCACCGTTCATGTTACCTACGATGAGGGTATTCAGATTGTTCGTCAATTCTTATTCTATGCATCCAAACATCCCGTCGAAGACCTCCAGGCATTCACTCGTCAATGGGTACCAAGCCCACATTGGGTGAGAACCGAGATCATCACAATCCCCGACGAGTTCCTGTCCTCTGCTGCGCATGCTGTCACAAAGCAGCTGGGCCCCAAGGGTGTCATACGAGTGGGAGGAAAGAAATGGTGGCAATGGCGCGGGCCGTCCGAAGAGTTGAGGGGAGAGTGGATTGAGATGCGGAACCACTACAATCAAACGGAGGGGGCCGGCAGGCATTGTAATCGTGTGATGCTCTATATCCATGGTGGGGCCTATTTCTTCGGAAGTGTGGACACCCATCGGTATATGATGCAGCGACATGCGCGCAAGCTGAAGGGTCGTGTATTTGCACCCGAGTATCGACTGTCACCGCAGTTCCCTTTTCCATGTGGCTTGCATGATTGCATGGCGGCTTACCTCTGGCTGCTCAAGTCCCACGAACCAAAAGAAATCATTCTTGCTGGTGATTCTGCGGGTGGGGGCATGGCTCTATCAATGCTGGTCATCATGAGAGACCAAGGTATTCCCTTACCCGCGGGCGCCATCTTGATTTCACCCTGGGTTGATTTGACACACTCGTTCCCGAGTATTGTTGAAGACAACCCAGGCGATTATATTCCTGCTTATGGCTTCCGGCATAAACCTTCGGCCGCTTGGCCTCCTCCCAATGCCGATGATATTCTGGAAATCAAAAAATTATCGCGTCAACCAAGAGTGACTGCCGAGGAAGTTGAAAAAGTAATTCCCCAACCGAACAGCACTGCTGAAGAGACTGCCATCCGTGGTTATACTGTCCACGAGAACACATCAACCCCAGTCGAACCTGCCTACCCTGGCCTGCAGCAAACTCCGAGTCCTGCTACTTTGCATGCTGAACCCGATAATATTCACGTTGTTTTGGACGGGAAGACAGTCGAACTCAAGGACCAGATCCAGTTGTACACGACGAACCAACTCATGTCGCACCCTCTTGTTTCGCCAGTACTCCAACCCTCTCTGGGTGGCCTGCCACCTCTACACGTATTGAGCGGCGGGGGTGAGACGCTTCGTGACGAGCAATTCTACATGGCCCACAAAGCAGCCAATCCGACAGCATACCCACCCAGTGACGCATATCTGGATGAGAACGATCCGACTCGGGAGATCTTGAACAAGTACGAACCAACTTATGTGCAATTTCAGGTCTGGGATGACTTATGCCATGTCGCTCCCACTCTGAGCTTCACGCGACCCGCTAAGTACATGTTCCGTTCGATTGCTCAGTTTGGCTCTTGGGCACTGGCTCGTGCACAGAATGGCGAGGTTGAAATCGAGGATGATAGTGCTCTTTCGGCCGTATCATCGAGCAGCTCAGAAGATGAAGACATCCCGGGGCCTCAAACCGCGCTGAACAATCCGCCTGGCGGACCTGGGCCTTCGTCTGTCGGCAAGGCCGGGGATCCTCTTCCAGCCTTCCATGAACACATGATACGTCAAAGAATTGATAAACGAGGGCATGTCTTCCAGCTAGATCCTCCCTCTTCCTACCCAGTGCTAGATATCCCCCCTGCCGAAATAGGGGCAGTTAACCCCGTGCTCATCCGAATGTGGTTGGATGCAAAGAAGGAATGGGATATCAGATTTGCGAAGGAGAAGCTTCGGGTACAGACTCGACGCCTGAAAGAGCTGGCGCATGGCTTCCAAGACTTTGATGGCGAATGTCCTCCCCCAAGCTCTTTGGCTGCCCGGCGAGCTGCTCCTGGCGTACTACCAAAACGACATGCCAAGAAGAACTACGGCATGATGATGTGGAGCGGTTGGGGGAGCAGGCATGACGAGCGCAGAATCGAAATAGAGAAGCGGGCCGAGGAATCGGGCAAACGATCCACCCGTGTCAGCACTGATGCTGGGCAGGCTGGAGCATGGTCTAGCACTCCGGCGACGAATCCCCAAACTGAGAAAGCATTGGACAAAGACCTTACCGACAACAAATCGCAGTCCAACGGCTACACAGAAGTCAGTTGGGATGAAAAGGAACATCCCAATAACGGTGACTCTTCTAATGGACGCATGTCCACAGATCACGAAACTGGCTCTCGACCTCTCTCGGAGAAAAGCGCTGGACCAATCCTTATATTGCCCGGGGTGAACAACAACAAATTCACCGATGAGAACGCCAGCACGAGGGGCCTCTTCCACGCAGCAGGAACTCTCCCGATGAAATCCGATCTCTCATTGGCTCACAGCAGGTACCGGCCAACATCCGCTGCAGGATCAGGCACTGGCCGAAGCGAAATGATGTCGGACACTGGCAGTACCATTGGCGGCGACAAGGACTACTCCGCATTCATGAACATGGCCTCCGATAATGCTAGCAGCCGCGCTGTGATGGGCGCGCGAGGTGTTATTCCCCCAATGATGGCTGGCGAGAATGGCCGAAGTGAGATGATGTCGGACACTGGCAGTACCGTTGGCGGCGACAAGGACTCCGTCACCTACATGAACATGGCATCTGATAACGCTAGCAGCCGAGCTGTGATGGGCGCGCGGGGTGTGATTTCCCCAATGATAGCTGGCGATAATGGCCGTCGCTCTACAGATACTCTATCTGTGTTCTCCGCAACTGGTCGGGACTCCATGTCGCATCGCCCTGAAACGCTGGACAAGGAGGTTTACAAAACTGCCGAGTAAGCCTTGTAGAACTGCTAACATATCCTACTATCTGTGTCATTTTGAACTGTCGTTTTGAATCTTTTCTTTCGATTTCTGGCCCTTTTGTTGAAGCTCGATGCAGCAGCTTCCCATTTCCTTTTGTTATTTTTGTTTCGTGTTGGATATACCCGATTTTGGCAGTCAACTTCCAGGCCTTTGGCAGTCGACCATTGTTTATTTGTAGATGGAAGAGAATGAATATAATATATACCCCATTTTGGAAGTTGCACCAGTCTCCCTTGTCATGTGAGCCGATTATGAGTCTGCAGGTACTGATGCAGAGGCGTTTAATAAGATTCCAGGCAACAATTGAGAATAAACCCCCAAGGCGGAAGATAACCCAGTAGCCAGCCACCGGATGATGCAATTCTAATATAATAATACACAAGGTTTATAACTCTACGTCTAGGTAGGATGAATTGTCTCTTCAGCGCCAATCAAGACCAATCTTCCGAGCCACTTGCTCAGCAACACCAAGGAAAGCCTCCCGCCTCGCACTGCGCTCATCACTCTCCTCAGCAACAACAGTCGGCATCCCACGATCAGCATCCTCGCATACCCGAGCATCAAGAGGGATATCACCAAGGAAGTCGACTCCAAGCCGCTTGCACTCAGCCACGACACCGTGATTATCACCGTGGGCGTGGTGGTGGCTATCTCCGTGCGAGAATATACGAGTCTGAGTCCCGCATTGTGGACACGCGAAATAAGCCATGTTACGCACCATTCCGAGAACGGGCACTTCCATTCGCTGGAACATCCCGATGCCGCGGACGGCGTCGCGGAGTGCGATGTCTTGGGGGGTTGATACGATCACTGCCCCGTCGATGATGACTTCTTGGTTGATTGTGAGTTGGACGTCGCCGGTTCCGGGGGGTAGGTCGAGAATTAGGACGTCCAGTGGACCCCATGATACTGAGTGAAGGAGTTGGTGCATGGCTTTGGTTACCATTAGTCCGCGCCATGAGATTGGGGTTGTGTCCATGGGTAGTTCGCCTGTTGTACTGTCGGCTTGTGTTTGGGGGAGGAGGTAGCCCATTGACATTGATTTCAGGCCATAGTTGGTTAGAGGGACGAGGCAGTTGTCTGACAATGTTCATAAGCATATTGATTATCGCTGCAATGGCGATAAGCTTAGAAAAGGAGACTCACTTTCGTCGAGGCGAGGCTCGCCGGAGAGGTTTAGGAGGGTGGGGATAGAAGGACCGAAGATATCAGTGTCAAGAATTCCTGTCTTGATACCACGGCGTGCAAATGATAGTGCGAGATTGACTGGTAAGATCTCTTTAGCGATTGTTCGTTCCACTTGCGCTCACAGGTCTTATGCTGTGGCTACCTGGGTTAGGGCATGGATAGGTATGCAGAATATCAACATACCCGCTATTGTTGACTTGCCAACTCCTCCCTTCGCAGAAGAGACGGCAACAACTTTCTTGACATCTCGAATCTTGCGCTTTTCGGGCATCCCTCGGCGCGAACGGAAAGTTGGGGGGTACCAGAGCGTGGAAGTCCCTGTTAAAAAGTCAGTCGATGTAGGCAAAGATAGCCATTTTCGCAATGAATGATTCTTAGAAACAATCACTGAGCCAGGAGGAGCTCCAGAATGTAGAGTAACAACTAACCAAAGGATTGTCATGCTGAAGAGGTCGACAGGTGGAAAAAAGCCTCGTGCCCCTAGCAATGGCACCAGATGGAGAAGCCAACATACTAATAGGCCAAATGAGGCAGATGAGAAGGAAATATGGAAAGCTAAATAATCCGTGAGCAACAGAAGTAGTTCAAGAAGATGCAGTGCAGGATATCCACTGCGATACTGCTGGTATAAAGGCCGACCGCCTGTCTAGCTGAACCTCCCACGCCGTACACCGCCCACGTGAATATATACCGCCCACGGGCGCTAAACCTAGATAGGAGTAATAATCCGTTATCCGGAAAAACCACAAAAAAAAAGTTGCTCGTCAACCTCTTCTTTCCCCATACCAAACACCATGGGCAAACCACGCGCAGCTCGTTCCCTCGCTGATCAGCTGGCTGATTTTGAAGATCCAACTCCTAAAGGTATGCATGATACATCTACAGATTCTCTTAGGTATCGGACACTCAATGCTTACTTGGCGCATAGACTTTGACCCCGAGGATATCGATAATGGCCAACAATCAAGCGATGATGAAGATGAAGATAAAGAAGAAGTGAATGCTGGCAGAGAGCATTATCAGACTGTTGGGTATGTAAAAATAGGTGTATTTGGTGTCAACAACTCGCTAATAATCAAACAGGAAAGCGAAGCTCCGCAAAGATGATCCCCTCCCCCTGGGGAAACAATATGAGGGTGCCCGGGTCAGCCGGGCGGCGCTAGGCGCCGAAAGTGAGGATGACGAAGACTCAGAAGCCTTGTCCGTGTCCGAAGAATCCGATGATGCCCTGGCCCTGGAGGGCTCAGACGAGGACACTGAGGGAGATGACGATGATGAAGATGACCATAGTGAAGAGGATGGTGAGAGTGACGAGGAGGAGGACGATGAGGATAGCGAGGATCATGGCGAGGAGGTAGTCGACAAACGCCCCAGGAGTCGCCCAGAAGTCCGACATGGCGACACAAGCGGACCGTCTGGTGACCGCGACGAGATTCGGAAACTAATGGCGACGGATCAGAAAACTATCGCCGCGACAATCTCCTCGGCAGCCAAGGCCGATGCTACGAAGGGAAAGGCTGTCAAGCAACAACGTACCACTTTTGATGCGCTCCTTAACGCGCGGATGAAGCTGCAGAGTGGATTGACGTCTATCAACGGTATTGCTGCTGTTTTGGGTTCGAAGAACGAAGCAGACGGAGAGAACGCGATGAATGACGAAGAGGAAGTTGTGGATGAGGAAGCAATTAAGTCGGCAGAGTCGGCAGCACTTGCGTTATGGTCGACTCTCGAAGGCTTACGTACCGCCCTGGCCGATGCTACCGCCAAAGAAGGCAGCAAAAAGCGCAAGAGACCCTCCCCCGCCTCGCCTACTACTAGCTCTGCCTCCCTCTGGGAACGCATGGCTGAATTGGAGTCTGAGTCTATTTCCCACCGTCGTTCCATTCTCGACAAGTGGTCCTCGAAAGTCCGTGGCACTTCTGCATCCCTCCCCAACGCCAGAGGCAAACTGCTCGGTTCTTCCTCCGGTCGCCAACAGACCATTACAGCCGTCCTCGACGCTCAAGTCGCCACAGAGATTGGAGAACGATCCTCCAAGCGTTCGCGCACTTCTGAACAAGAACCTCTCTACGATGATGGAGCTTTCTACCAATCCCTTTTGCGCGATCTCGTTGAGCAGCGCATGTCCTCATCCGATTCCATGACCAGTGGCTTCGACAACCTGCACCAGCTGCCTTCACGCCTGCCCATTCACCCCATCACCGGTATGCGCAACGATAAGGTCAAGCGAGACATTGATACCCGTGCTTCCAAGGGCCGCAAGATGAAGTACAATGTGCATGAAAAGCTTCAGAACTTCATGGCCCCTGATGACCGTGGTTCCTGGTCTACACGTGCCCGAGATGAGTTCTTTGCTTCTCTGCTCGGCAAATCGGCCAGTGGTTTGCTCGGTGAAGGCGATGAGGGTGCCAGCGATGAAGAGGATGAGATTGATCGGGAGGAAGGTGGCTTGAAACTGTTCCGGAACTAAGCCTTCTACAAAATTCTTGTACAAATAGTGGATACGGCCATAAAATCAAAAGGCGAACCCTCGGTGCATTATTATTATACAAAGCTCCCCTTCCGCAGTCTATATAAAGTGTACTGCGGTTTGTACCCTGTGTACAAGGGAATCCAAGGCTCTGTCCAAACTGATCCCAATTGAACTTGGCAAATCATTTCTTCTCTCGGGGTGTATACGGCGGTAGTTGTAACTCATCCATTCCTGTAGTTCCGGTGGTCCCCCACGCCGCTGATGTTGCTGATGTTGATGTTCCCTGGTGCCATTCGAACTTTGTCGTTCGTGGTAACCCTAACATCGTCTCCCGCACCGCTTGTTGCAATCGATGCTGTCGCTCCACCTCTTCCTCTGGTGATAGAAATTGAGGTTTGCCATCTTGGCCTATAATCACGGCGCCGCTCACGTCATTGTAAGAAGGTGGGGGTGCGCAATATGGAGGTGGAGATATGTTTTCTTTTGTGGTAGGGAAATTGGAGCTCATGGGTGTATAGCAGAACTTCCATCCGAAATTTGAGAAATCAGATTTCCATAGACTTCTTGGGACCAGCCCGAGGATCGTATTCATGTTTGCGAGAATCGAAGTGAAATAAGTCACGCGCGTTCAGGGCCGAGGCAATGGGGATCCGCTTTTACTAGCGTATTGAATTTGCGGGGGTGAGGATATGAAGATCAAGTGTATTCTTCTCTGTGTGAAAATAACATAGAAGAAAAAAAAAAGGGAAGTGCGCTGCTTTAAATGAAAAAAGGGAGTGGAGTGCGACTACGTACGACGTAGATCCCCTGAGATTGTGATCTTCCCCTTGATCCCTTCTACGCAGCGGTATATACCCGGAGTGATGCCAATTTTCGTAACTCATCGGGTATTTTCACCAACTTTCTCATTCCTCCATAGTTTTATTGTTTTACCACTCAAGTTTCATCCTCTTGCCACTGCCCGCGCAATGTGTCGATGAGGGGATTCATATTCCAACCAGTCCTTGCATGCATGGCTTGCAATAATGACTCGGCTGCCCTTTGATCGAGGGGATGTCGAAGGACCCAACCCCCTGTCTAGTTAGTTGAAATACTTGAATAACCTTGTGGTAACTCACAGGCGACTAGACTATGACGTGCAGTAAACAAGGTGTTCTCCGCTTTCGTGTTGGACTGTGCCAATCCCATGATCATAAGCAGATGGTGGCGTACATTCTTCTAAAATTCATTGTGAGCACCGACCGAAAGAGTTAGTGGTTCAACAAACCTCCACTGTTCGGGAATGTCGCAAACTCTCATAGGTGGAGGAGGCCCGTGAAGGATCGGAAAGCGCCAAAACAATCTTGGCAATATGGTAGTATTGAATGCCAATAACTGTCCAATTTGAGTCAATGTCAGTCTCGAGACTACTATATACACATGTTATGGGGAGTTACCATGCACGGGTAGCAGCATCCACATGGTAGGGAGTCGTTGATCGGGCCCGGGCCCTTGTGGGACTGATCTAACCGGGTCGAAGGTATGCGGTTTGGTGGAATACCACTCTTCGATCTCGTGGTCTGTGCCATGTGCTATAGTGGAATTGGTAAAAGCACCCTGGAGAACATTAGCAAGCAAAAAGACCATTCTGCTGGACCATGCAAAGTCATCATTTCTTTGAAAGACATCTGAGTAGTGAAAGCTTTGTAGGTTAGTTCGCAAAGGCCGTTGACTGGTTAGTGAGATATAGATATCCTGCCGCAAACAAAGCCAAGCAGCAGCTTCCCCCAGGCCACCCGAAGAGCCAAACGTGGACACTGTATTCAGGATATGAGTTGTGCCAATGAGATGGAATTGATTGTCCTCCCCTGGAATGTGTGAGCATTTATTTGCTACTTGTCCACATTGATGACTGACCATCCATTTCCTCATGTTGACGGAGTATAGCGACTGCAGCTAGTATATCTTCGGTGATGTGCTCGTGAGGCTCAGAAAGGGCTGGAATAAGCAGTTGAACACAACAATTATGGTACTGCAGTGCCTCTGTTACATCGCTATTGTCCTGTCGGTCAAGATGGCGCGAGGAAAATGCAAAAATTGCATAGCGTAAGACAGGCTCTTTCAATGCCCGAGCTGACACCTCTGTTTCAAAATGGCGTTGGGGGTCTGTGATATCAGCCTGTTCTAATCAGTGGCTGCAGATGGGTAGGTCATCAGGGGGATACGCACCCAGAGCGCCATATTCTCCACGAAATTTCTCAACAATATGGCTTCCCTTTCACTCAGCGGTTGCGAAGGCTTGGAAGATGTTCTTGATTCAATTGATCTTGAAGACAATGATAGAACAGATGGCGACAAGTTTTCTGTAGGAGCTGGGAATTGGGCCAAGGCGTCTTCCTTCGTCCCATTAGCTGCATATGGTAGTCCGCTCAAGCTACCAAGCTCTTCTATCAGCCCAACTGGCGAGCTATAGTCAGGGCCGTTGGTAAAATCCGGCTGGCCATGAATAATCGAGTACAAGCTAGCGATCTCGGGTGTTTCGTCATGGAAGCGCACTAGAACTTATGGTTAGATTTGGATAGTAGCAAATCATTAGTTCGCGCCTACCTTTGCCACGCAGTTGGGGCCAGCAGCTTTTATCTGAGAAGGCAATCTCAGCTTCTTTGGGTAATGAGAGACCATTGCGAAACCGGACATTGGTTCTGTCACAATCCACACTGGCTTGTTGACAGTGCTCGCAACCCAGGACATTGATATCGCCTACATTGCTTGATCAGTATACCCCATTATTTCCAAGTTGACAATTCTTACATTTTAGGTGTCGGACTGTGCGATTGTCTGTGTTTCAGCTCTGTACGTCGATCCCTACCCCACGGGGACTTACCACGACATCGTTGGCTGCACAAGTCAGAGTCAATTAGCAGAGATCTTCATATATCGTTGAATATTTACCCACCAGCCAGCTACCAGGCGGGTTTTTCTTGGAGACATCTCTTTTCAAGGTGGGATGTTTGTAAAGAGGAAATTCTTTCCGTCTCCCCCCACGGGGCTGTATGCATGACCCACCATCATGATAATAGAGATATCTGCAAAACGGGTGGACTTGGCATTATATAGCTAGGCAAAACACAAAGAAAAGAATCGCATAACTGGAAGAATCGTCTAAATGAACAACCAATGCGGGTGGAACAACCCAATCTTCCCCTTTCATCGCATCCAGCAATTCTTTCCGTTCACCTTAACAACTTTCTACTTCGGGAACTTTTACCTTGAGATAAAATTAACAGCAATATACTGATCAAGATGCAGATGAAGGAGCTTTTTTCTCAGCTATTTAAACCACCTCGAAGACCCAGGAAATTGAGGGTTCAGAAAGACAATTATCCCCAACTCTCCTATTCCTTCCAGCACTATGGCAGTTCAAAAACTACAAGTTGGCATGGCCGGCCTTGGTCGAGTCGGCAAACTCCATGCTATCAACTTCCTGCAGAAGACACCCCGTGCAGAGCTTGTTGCGGCATTCACTCCAGACCCTGCTGAGATTACCTGGGGGAGAGTGAACTTGGAACCCCACGGTGTGACTCTGTACACCGACTACAATGAAATGCTCAAGCATCCCGGTCTCCAAGCCGTTGCCATTGGTACGGCCACCTCCGTGCACGCGGAGGAGACAATCAAGGCCATCGAGCAAGACCTGCACGTTCTCTGCGAGAAGCCCTTATCTACCGATGTCGAAGTGGTATGGGTCTCTCCCTGTTGGAAATTACACGACGAATGCTGATGAATATATTTTTCAAGTGCAGAGCAGTGGTTCAGGCTGCTAAGAAGAAGCCCCATCTGAAGGTGATGTGTGGCTTCTCCAGACGCTTCGACGAGTCGTACCGTGATGCCCACGCCAAGATGGAGCAAGGTCTCATCGGACGGCCTGCCATTATCCGCAGCCAGACTTGTGACAAGTTTGATCCCTCGGGCTTCTATGTCGAATATGCAGCTTGGTCCGGCGGCGTGTTTGTCGACATGTCCGTGCATGACATTGATCTCAGCCTGTGGTTCTTTGGGGATGAAATCATGCCCAAGAGCATCTCTGCCCATGGTATCACCGCAGTTCAACCCGAGCTGAAGAAGTACAACGATTATGATAATGCTGTGGGTATTGTGGAGTTCTGGAATGGCAAGATTGCTTACTATTACTGCTCGCGTATGATGGCCGCCGGCCAGGAGGACACCACTGAGATTATTGGCACCGAGGGCAAGTTGACCGTGAATGGAAACCCCCAACGGAACTTTGTCAACTTATTCCACAACGGTGGCATTACTCGCGAAATTCCTCACAATTTCATGGGTCGGTTCAGCCCTGCCTTTGTCCAGGAGGCTAACGACTTCACCGCGGCCTGCTTGGACAACACGCCGCTGCCTATGAAGTTGAGCAATGCTGTCAAGGCCGTCGAGATTGGTTCTTACCTCCAGGAGGCACTGGTGTCTGGGAAGCAGATTCATTTCGATGAGATTGGGCGACGAATTCAGAAGGCCCAGTTGTAGATACATATACAAATGAAGATAGAGATGAATTTGATGAAGTTCTAGTTCGAAATGAGAGACTTTTCTCGTTCTGCTAAATCTAGGCTTAAATATTAACCAGGAGACCATGAGAAAATGCATGACATGTGTACCATTGTAGCTTGTAGTAAAAGAACCCTAAACGAAAAAGCTCCTGTACAAGTCATTGATTGTGAAGAATTAGCTCTTTCGACCATCCTATTGCTATTTGCATCAAATCCCCGACAAATTGCACATATGCCAGTAATTAGGAAGCAGGCCAGCATGGATGATAAATTATAAAATGGCATTCCTCTCCGTTTTGGCCATGGCTATTTCCACGCCCTTTATCATAAAACAACGCACAGACACGCCTCGGGGGGGGCCGATTTTGGAAAGTACCTAGGTAGAAGACGCGATCCAAATGAGTACTGAGTCAGCACAAGCCATACACATTGCATACTGTTTATTTAAGTACTTGGTATTCTCCATCAATCCTTCATGACCCAAATTCACTTCCACCTATTAGAAAAATAGCTTGAACTCACCGATCTATCTTCATGGGCAAATCCAAATTCCGCCTTGAAGATCTTCCGTTGGAAAAAAGACTTGGAGTCACTCTGTACAATAGAGATGATGAACGATTACGATCGATCTGTCAATGTTGAAAACCCTCGTTCAGCACATCTGAATGGAGATACGGCGGTTTTTTCCGATCTTACTGCACGGATGCTTCATGCAGGAGTGGATAACAGCAGCAAGCGTTCCGTTAATCTTGTTGATTACATCGAGTGGGATTCGAAGGAGTACAATACATATAACCACTTCAACATCACTGAGGATATGGGAATCGACGATCATAGCTGCGGTGCGCCTGAGCCCTTGGCCAGGTTCTGGCCACTTCTGTATTCGCCTCTGCCGTCAGACCTTCCACCGGTCAATAAAGACAACCTGATTCTATCGGCCGCATATAGAGGTGACATGGATCGATATGTACGTCTACGACGCCCACAAATGATTGAACAAGAATTTCACGCTATCATTTTGGGGATATACAATCACCCCCTTTGGGCGCGATGGTGGAGCACACAGGTGCCGGAGGTCGCCGTGAAAAGTGAGGACGTATCCCTAAGGCGCGCAATCAATGCTCGACGCATCATCAGTGACGATATTACTTGTATCACACCAAGTACCCCGGAATTGCTGGTACCTCGCAGAATCTGGTGGCCTAGTGTTGCTTCTCCAGTGACCTACGTGCGTCTCGCGCAGAAAAGGCCTGATATGCTCGAGTCTTGTCTACGAGCATGTATTGTCGCTGATTATGAAGATGCGTGGGATGAACTTCTGACTGGGTCATCCGATGGGCCGGATGATTCCAAAGTCACTCGGCTTTCCGAAGTCATCAGATCGCAGATCTATGCCGAGGCTAAAGATTCACCCAATCCGCACTACCTCCACGACATAAATTTGCTTGGAGCAGCGAGGGTGGAAAAGCTTGAAGCCGATATGTACCACATGGATGATATGCGTACTGCGAGATGGATGTATTCACCGCGCTCGACCGCCCAGAGAGTTGTAATCAAAAACAAGCCCTTCGCGTTGACAACGGGTGAGAGGGGCTCGGATGGAATTCCGAGAGAGCCGAGTAATCTGGGATTTACAATTTTTGGCATGGATGCAATTGGCTTGGGTAATAAGATCTGGGAGCAGGAAAGTTTCATTGAGGTCGAGGATATGTACAGCATCCTTGATGCCAGAGACCTTTCAAGATAGTTTCAAGATAGTACAAGAAATATAGTTCACCTGGAGCGAAGGCTTGAATGTGAGAATCAATTGTGTATTGAGTATTCGGATCCCACCGCAAAGTCTAGTATATTAGCGCCAAAATTTGATCGAATAATATCAATCAGAGGCACGGTTGAGTCAATCCTGGCGTTGGGGGCTCTACATAACTTAGGGTGGAAGGAAATGGATTTCATTGATTCTGCCTATGGACCGTTGAAATGAGCTTATATAGCGTGGTCTCCACTCCCCCGAGTTTCTAACTCCGGGATATATTTGGCCCACAATTCTCATAAGTGACGAATGAGTGAAATGTTGTGATCATCCTGATATACTACTAGAGAGACTGGCCCCCGGGGCGGAGAACCCGCACCACTTTGTACGTACGGAGTACTCCTTGTGATGTACGGAGTATATGTTTTTTTTTTTAAATTTACTTTTGAAACAATTAATTCCAGCAGGTCAAGTGAGATTACTCTTTTTGGAGTTTGGGAGGACATTTTGTGCCGTTCAGTTGTCCCCGTCCAGAGTACTCCGTACTCCGTAGATCCTCCGTATACGGTGCGTGGCTAATTGTGTTTCCTGGGTCCTGAGATCAATAATGGGGATCTCTGCGCTTAAATTGCCGCCGCGCATGATATCACCATTGATAATATCAATGATTGGAATAAGAAGACCTGGGGGTGGCAAGGATGTGGGAACCTCCCTCCAAATGGTAAGCCACAGTTTCCCTGAGGTCAAATGCCGACTCTCTGGGCCTATCAGACCTGAAACCTCATACTAATTATGATAGGCCACATCATATGCATTACTAAAGGTGAACCACCTATGCCTGCAAACGTTCCGAACGCCGTCTGTGGGCCGCAGGTGATTGGAACTAAGAGACCGTCCTGACCCCTGTAGAAGAGGCGACGAATATGATCACAAATTTCGATGTAGTTAACATTGGGCGCTGCAGCCGAAGGATTATCGAGCTACTCAACGGGAACTCTACTTTGGGTAGTCGGGGATGTTTAGCTTGTTGCTTGGTAGAATCCTATATGCGAGTCATTCGTCTTATTTGTAACTGCACTTCCTCGAGCAGTGATAAGGCGTGCAGAAGGATCGGGGCTGCAGATCAGCCGTCGAATATTCGACATGCTGGGCTATTGACTCGTGTTTGCGAACAAGAACGGTGGGCCTTAGATTTTCAGTTATGCTGAGATGGGGAATGATTTTCAGATCCACGACACGAGTGCTTTAGGAATGCAGGGTGGAGGGGGTGATGTGATGTAGCCCTCTAAGCATCGAGGCCGTCGCGCTGTGATATCTATGTATTTGAATATGTTGAGATGCAGGATCCCGTTATTATGCACGATATATTACAACGCCGATTTTCGATACCAGATTGTCAATCAGGATATGCAGGATATGCAGGTTACCACTCAAATCACTGCTTACATCCATAATCCCATTTCCCCTGGAATTTCCGGTGTCTTGCATAAGGGAACCGAAACACTCATAAGGTTGTGGTTAATCCGGGCAATAGTACAGAGACAATGTGCCTACTCTGTATATGTGTGCTATCGTAGCAAGTTGGAGCGTCCCCCCGGGTCATGTTGATACCAATATAGAGCAACGACAATCCCTGAGGATCGAGTCGAGCCCTTGAGAATTACCCTCTCCCTAAGTCTGTATTGTGTTCCCTTGGTTTTTCCGCAAGGCCCTCCGGCCAGTATGGCACTTGGAAGACCATCCTGCCCTCTCGCTCATTGCTCTTACCTAAGCGGGATTTATGACACTCCCCATCGGTTCGCCATCTGTTGTGCCTGAAGTCCATCTCTTACAAAAGGATTCGGGCTTGGTTACTGACAGTGCTGTTGCTTACTTTTCTCAGGGCGGTTTCATAAAAATGACAGGCTACTTCGACATCTGCACTCCTCGCCTCTCGATTTGGTTGACGATTGAACTCTCCGCTTCTTGCGCCATATTTCGCAGTCGCCTTAACAAGCCCTACACCATAGACAAGACCATCTTGCCTTGCCGAATTCGGCAATCAACTACCTACAATTGCATCAGTTCAATCATCAAGATAATGATGGCCTATCTCAAGATGGCTATATATATGCCCTGCAGGCTGCATGGCACGTTCCAGCTCGCCTTCGGCTTCGCCATTGCTGGTTTTATTTCCACCATTTATCAAAATTTATAAGCTGCGGTCAACCCTCGAGAAGAATAACACAGGAGCACAAGCCCAAGATAATCGGAATCATGAACCTGGTGTTTGTATGATATTGATATTACTATTTGAAATCATATCTTAGCTGAAGACAGCCCTAGTGAAATACTCTAGTTAGTTATCTAGTTTGTATCTAATTCTAATTTAGTACTTTTCCTCTAGAAATACTAAAAACACTGGCTTGATATACTTAACATATTGATTCCATCATCTCGTTCTAGATCATATTTCAAGAGCATAAAATTTACTCCTATGCCCTCATAAAAGCGGCGCTATACAGTAAAGCCCCGTTAAGTACTATGGGGGTTCCCCACAATATGACGCAGGGAGATCGGCAAGGGGTTATTTCTATCTTCAGCTTCACACTATACTTCCCTCCAGGGCTTGGATATTGATATCTGCTAAACTGTTCATATTGCCACATATACGCCCGGTGCGCTTGGTCACGTACTTCAATCTCCAACGCATGGACTAACCTCAGCCATGCGATTTAATCTAAGCTCACTAGAACTGAGCTCCCTCTATGCATTGCTTTCCGTTTATTCGGGCGAGTCGAGTACTGTAACTCATCACCCTGTTCTCCCGCCATCCAACCCGCTAGCGGTGCGCAACCTGTATCTATCGGTATGGATGCCCAGCGACCGAGTACAGCAGCTCCCATATGCTGAACCTCAATTCTGGACCGGCAAGGAGCTGGGCTGGTCTGTGATTGTCCGTGTAGATGGTCAGGCATAGAGTCTGATGGGCGTGCCGGACGCGGACTCGAGCAATATACGCCCTGCGACAGTGCATCGTGCCGAGTTTACTGCGACACATTCAATATTTGATCTCACAGCTGGCCGCGTGACAATCACGGTGCATTCCTTGTCGCCTGTGTCGCCCTCGAACTATGTTCGGCAGCCGCTTCCTTTTAGTGGGCTACAGGGAATATAGTCGATTGTTTGTTGAATTGACTAAAAATAACGGTAATTTAACTGTACATGTGTCTGGATCGCGAGGTCAAGACATCCAGATTTATTTGGACATCGATGCCAGGTGGACTGGTCAAGAAAGCCGATTACAGGGCGACTTTGAAGAAAAAGACGGCCTGGCAATTTACTCGCTCACCGTGAAAGACGCGCCGCTGTATGCCAAGGCAAGCAACATGGCCCTTACGGGCTCAACAATCCTCGCCTCTCAATTTTCTAGCTTCACTCAATTGTCCGCCCTTTCGGGAAGCCCCAAGGAGGTACGAGGTCAATTCGTCGAGGACGGTGAACTATCTGGCGCGGGCAGTACCTGGGGCGAAGGAAGTGTTGTCGTATTGGCTCACAATCTTGGTAAAGTCACTGGTGGGCTTTCTGTGAACTTCGTGGTCGGGTACGAGAGAGAAGCCGCCATCAACTATCTGGGAGAAACGTACACAGGTTTCTATCGTGCAGAGTATCCCACCAAATCGAGTGCCCTCTCATTCTTCTTGGGTAACTACAACAGCGCATTGCTGGAGTCATTGAAACTGGATCAGGAGCTGGTCGCCATATCTGTCACCACTGCGGGTCCCAAGTACGCGGATATCATAGCTCTCTCGACCCGACAAGCATAGAGGCATCGACTGGGTTATTCCCACTGACTCTCTCGATATCAGTGAGGTGTTGGCTTTTATCAAGTAGCTTTCTAGAAATGGAAATATCAACACCATCGATGTGACCATGCCCGTCTTCCCAATTTACTATGTCATGGACCCGGATTACATCCGACTGTTGCTGGGGCCTGTGATGAAGTACCTTGCTGCTGGTCGCTGGCATTTGCTATACCCATGATCTTGGAACTCATTATCCTAATGCCATCGGTCACGATGACCAGGAAGCAGAGCCAATGCCCATCGAGGAGTGCGGAAATCTTCTTGTCTTAGCTGCTGCATATGTTCGAGCCACTGGCGATACCGACTGGACTTCGCAGCACATGGAGGTTTTCCAGAAGTATACAGATTACTTAGTAGACAAAAGTGTTGATATTGCCAATCAGTTATCATCGAATGATGTCGCTGGACCTCTCGCCAACGAGACAAATCTGGCAATCAAGGCTGCAGTTGGCCTCAAGGCGTTTGGAGAGACGAGTGGGGACGGGTTCTACTCCCGTATTGGCGAGCAGCATGCAAATATCTTCTTCCAGCAGGGCCTAGGAACAGGCAGAGATCAGACACATTTCGTTCTGGACTATCCTAACTGGCCAGATACTTGGAAGACCCCGTACAATCTCTTCCCTGAGGTATTGCTAGGTCTGGAGACATTTTACGACGCTGCCTATCGGATGGGAGATAGCTTTTCACATCTGTTCGTGGCGAATATGGCGTCCCTCTCGATAATCGCTAGGACTGGGCTAAATCAGATTGGAATACGTTCCTGGCTGGCACCTTTGAGGCTGGCACCAGAGACGAGTTTGTCGATGACCTATGGTCCTTCATGACCAACGGAAAACACAACTGGCCTTTCTCTGATCGGTATGTTGCGACTTCTGCGCATGGAAATGAGCCGGGGGTTCCTATCTTATGTCGGACCCTTCCAACTGTTGGGGGACATTTTGCGTTGTTGGCACTCAAAGGCCCTCGATCCATTCACTCTTTGTCATTTCGAGGTAAAACAGTGTCAGAGTCTGTCAGGCAAAACTTGGATATGCGGCAATATCTCGTTGGGAATCATATCGAAGACTTCGATACCCGTCGTTGGTCTGACAATAAGCATGTCATGTCATCATCAGCGGTATCTAGTTGGATAACTACCTAGCTGATAGTCGAGGCACCTTGAGACGTATTGCCTATAGATCATATGACAATTCCTACCCCGAATAATCAGGCAAGAAGGGTCTGTCTCACTTGCAATGTTAGACTATAATGACCTATATCTCGGGTTAGAGTGAATAAAAATACAAAAATCTCATCTCCTAGCAGCAGGTGAGAGTAATCCAATGTAGTCAATTCAATCAGATCAGTCAATTTAATGAATTTAATTAGTTGCCTGCATGAATAGTGAATAGAAATGTTGTTTGTACTGCCTGAGGTACCTTCCAGGGGCGGCTTACCTAATCTTCATGTCACGGCTGCTGCTTCATCGATGAGAAAGTGAATCTTCGACATCTTTTTCCCCCTCGACACAACTTCATCCTTTTCTTTCCTTTCTTTCCCTTCTTTCTCTCTTCCTTCATCTTCACCCATACCCCCACTTCCTCCCATCCACACTCACATTCAACAACTTCATGGCTTCTGTAGGTGGCTCCCTAACCTTACCTCCCCTCGCATCTGCGCATTTGCCCCCAGCTTCTAATCGCGCCGAATGCCATATTTTTGAGTTCTCGAAGAGCTTGGCTAATATTATCATTTCCTTCTTATTTATAGCCGCGCCCCAACTTCGGTGCTCAAGGCTACCCTATCTCAAATGGTGCGGCTGCGGGCCCTGTCCCCGGTGCCACGCCGCTCCTCCCCAACAATGGCCGTGTGATTCAGAGCGGTCCGACACGAATCTTGTGCATTGCAGACGTCCGAGGTGATTACATTCTGGCCGTGGTTCTCTTGGCAAAGTGACACAGTATTAATTGGACCCGTAAAATAGGCAACTTGAAGTCTCTTAACGAGCTTGCGAAGCAGGCCCGCGCCGACCACATCATTCATACAGGTGACTTTGGTTTCTACGATGATACTTCCCTCGAGCGAATTGCAGACAAGTGAGTATTCTTCCCAAGCTTTCCGGGGCGTGTTTGCTGCCCAACACATTCGCCTCACCAGGCACCAAAATATACTGGACAGCATCAGCTAACCCCGGATCTACGAACAGGACATTGAAGCATGTCGCACAATACTCCCCCTCCTCCCCGAGAACGTGAAACGATCCATCGCACAGGTATCTCCCCAGCAGTCAATTAAGCAGCGCTTCCCGCCCGACCAACTGCCCCTCTCTGAGCTCTCTATGCTTCTCGACAAGCGCATCACCCTTGACGTCCCAGTTTACACAGTTTGGGGTGCCTGTGAAGATGTGCGCGTGTTGGAGAAGTTCCGCTCAGGTGAGTACAAGGTAGACAAGCTTCACATTATCGACGAGGCCAACTCGCGCCTTCTCGATATCGGCGGTGTGAAGCTCCGTCTGCTGGGTCTGGGAGGTGCTGTTGTGATGCATAAGCTTTTCGACAATGGTGAAGGAAAGACGACTATTGCCGGCGGCCAAGGTACCATGTGGACAACGCTTTTGCAGATGGGTGAACTTATTGACACCGCCAACCGTGTCTACGACCCCTCCGAGACTCGTGTATTCGTCACCCACGCCTCGCCTGCCCGCGAAGGCATGCTGAACCAGCTATCAGTTACACTGAAGGCCGACTTTTCCATTTCGGCTGGTCTCCATTTCCGCTACGGCTCCTCGTACAACGAGTTCTCCGTGAACCCGTCTTTGGACCACTATCGCGGCAAGCTTGCTGCCTCCAAGGCATCATTCAACGATGTCTGGGAGACCGTCAAAACCGAGGTTGAGGCAGCCATCTCCTCCAATGATGGCCAAAAGACTCTGCTAGAGAATGCCCTGGATGTTGTTAACAAGATGCCTTCCATTGCCAATGGTGGTAATCCATTCGGTGGCCCTGTTGCCGCTGGTAATGCTGCTGGACAGGTCGACGAGAGTGCGTTCAAGAATATGTGGAACTTTAACTTGGCGGATGCCGCATTCGGATATCTCGTTCTGGAGGTTGAAGCTGGACGCATCGCGACGGAGATGCGGGCTCAAGGATTCAACTTCGCCCACCGCACTGGCAAACCCCAGGCAGGTGGTGCTCCTCAACCTGTCTCCAGCGGTCTCCCAGCAACCACTGCCTCGCCCGCCCCGACTGGCGCTGCCCGAACCCCCGTCGTGGCTCCTCAGTTCGGCCAAGCCCCTCCCGCGCGTGCACCCATTCCTCAAGGCCAGAAGGGCCCAAGAGCCTCCCCTGTCCCCGTGATTCCCAAGTCCGTTAGCCCGCAGCCAGCTGTTGCCGCCTCTGCTCAACCCGCCGGGGAAGAAAAGGTCGCAGCTGCCGACACTAACGGCACCGCCCCCCACGAAAAGCCAAGTGAATCACCTACGCCTCGGGGCGAAAAGAAGCCCGCGAATGCTCTTTTCGTCACAAGCGCCGAAAGCGAACAGGCTGTCCGTGACCTCATCGCTGAGGAGGACAGATCAAAGATTACCAAGATCGATAAGCTCGGCAAATACAACCACGTTGTGACATTCTCGGGTGCCGAAGAGGCTAAGGCGGCTATGGACCACCTGCCTATTGAGCTGAAAAAGCCTGGCCCCACTCCCCATGGTCAGCAACGTAAGCCCAACTTCAAGTTCTTCGAGGACCGTGGCCCCCGTGCTGCTGTCGGTAATGCCGGAACTTGGCAGTCCAGCACCCGGGGTGGCATCACTACCGCCCCGCGTGGCTACCAGAGCGCCAGTGACAGCGATGGCAGCCGCCGTGGTGGGTTCGGTGGTCGTGGCCGCGGCGGCCGTGGCACTGGCGAGCGTGGTCGTGGTGGCCGTGGAGGAGGTCGTGGTGGCTTTAAGAGCGGCCCAAATGACACTCCTGCCCCCTCGGGTGACAAGCCCGTCGCATCTGGTGACGCCTAAACGGTGACATTGAAAATTTCTATGTCTCATATTTTTTCCCCGGCCATCGACATTGCCTCGATCTTACCCGCCTGAAACTCTAATCCTCTTGTGTCTCTTTATCTCATCCCATTTGCGAATCCTTTTTTTTTTGCTTTTTTTGAATTTGATAGCGCTCAATCTTTATGTTCTTTGTTCTCAAGTCTAGTCAGAAAGACAGGACATGAACGCGAATTGCAGCGTTGATCTGGACTCCGAAGTTGAGTCCTTGAGGTCCAGACAGTGTTTCTTTTTTTGTTGAGGGAAGAGTGGGATGCAGAAAACATCTGAAGAAAAAAAACCAAGAAAAAAAAAACCAGAATACACCCTTTCACCTCGTTTCTCTTTGTACTTTAGTTTTATGTCCGTGGACCACATCGATACCCTTACAGCTTTGTTTTGGAGTCTGTAGATCTAGCTCCGTACTGTACAAGCCTTTCTACCGTATCCCGATCTCCAATATTACCCTGTAAATTTATATTAGCAAGCACAGTAAAAACTGTCTCATTGAAAGAGCTAAGAATACAAAACCTGAACAGGACTTAGATGCGCTGCACTTCCCAGAGTACACGCGACATATCTTCCAACAAACTCACCGGGATCTATAAATCATGCTCCTGGGGTATGGTTGGCGACAGAACAAGTCATCACACCATTGGGGTATAGCGGCTTTGTCGTAAGGATACGGGGTCTAGAATATCTTTGGGGTCTGGCGACTGATCGACATGATAGTCCCGCGCTTGACTTCTGCCTTCGAGTTTGCAAGCCATCATGCGGCATCGGCTTGTAGCTTTTGAAAGGATTCTGACACACCAACTTCAACCACGATAGTCCGCCATTTTGGATCATGTCCTGGGATAGGTGCTTGAGGTAGCATCGAATGGTCGGGTTCGAATACTGATTGCCCTGAACGCGTGCAGCTCTGAACCCCTGGATCGAATGTTTATGCAACCCCATACTGATTCACCAATCAGTCATTTCGGTCTGTAGGAGATCCACAGCCAGTTCATGCACTGGATCCCCCCGATGGGCTCAAAGGTATCCTCAGGCAATGCATTGAAACACTCTGCGTCTTGGGAGTCGGAGTCTGGCATGTCTGAATATCCGCAGCAACGGGAGATTTTCTGGTAAGGAAACAACCTAGTAGAGGTCAACCTTGGAAGGCACCTTGGTTCATCAAAGGTTATGCAAAAGTCATTTACACAAAGTCTCTAGAAAATATATAAACGACATCGGATAGCGAGAAAGGAGTCGACAGAGTAGAGATCCATTAACAGATTGTGTACAAAAAAAGAAAAAAGTACGCAAAGTAGAGCCTTCCCGTCCCAGTTCAAGGAAAGTAGTATATCAAGTTCGCCATATTCCCTTTCCGTACAATAGGCACTGAGCCATCCATCTCGTATTTCCTAAAATCTCATGGCCAGTGTGAGACAAGCTCCCCCATTCGCCAAGCTCAATGATGCGGATCAAAACAAGCATGAAACAATAAAATGGCAAATACTGTTGCAAAACCAAAAAAAGGAGGATAAATAGGCAATTGTGGGAGAGAGAGAAAGAAAAAAGGAATGTGTTTGTGCTCCTAAAATGGGAGACAGATAGATTGCCAACTATGGGCATTGACCGTTTTCAAAATCAAATATCCGCTGAGTTGGATGTTATTTCTCCGCCATGAGTTTTTTTCTTTTATCCTGTGTTGTATTCATGACGCCGAGCAGGATTCCTCCTATAAATGACAATCGATGATGGGTATGCGTAGAAATCAAAAGAGCGCAAGTATCAGGTGTTGGTCCGTGAATCGTGAATTAAGGCCCGAGTATGAGTTGGAGGGCGGTGGGCATACTGGAACCAAGCTACTTGGCTCGTCCCATAATGTCGTCAACGTCATTCTGGTTCACGACTACACCACTCTCAGAACATCGTGCCTTGGTGCGAAGCTCGGAGCAGAGGTTGTCAACATCGATCTCGCCGTTGCGGAATCTTTCCATAGATTGAAGACGATCCCTAGAGGAAAAAAAAACAAGGTCAGTAATCTGGAATATAAATTGGTGAGTAATTATATGAGCATGGACATACCAGATCTTCGTGCAAGAGAGCATCTGTGAGTGGTTTTCGCCTGGAACAACCTCGTCTTCCTCGAGCTTGCTATCAATCTGCGCAACGAGGTTCTTCTTGGGTGGAGCCACGCCAGTGGCCACCTCGGACAAGTTGTGGGATGGACTACCAAGGTCCGGCAGAGGGAATGCTTCATTGAAGAAAGAGCCGAAATCCTGAGACAGCACAGCATCCTGGGGCTCTCGCCAGTCACCAAAGAGCACTGGATCGAATTGGCCACCATTCTGATGGACCATCCAATCGATTCCAAGATCCTGAGAATCTTCGCCCTCCGCTTGGCCATCAATTGGGGTTGGCTGGCCGCTTGAAATACTGATAGATTTGGATCTGTTATCCCGGACCGCTGGGATGGGATTTTTGATGTTGCCGCATGCCATACCAAGCTGTGCACAGAAGGACTTTTCGCCATCGGTGGTGACATGTCCGCCGCACAAGTCACCTGGTCCCAGCTCGCGGTGCTGCCCATCTGGGGAGTTGAGACTTGGTTCTGGCGAGGTCCCGGTCGACGACGGCATCTGGCTCTGGTGCGAGTCGCACGAAGACGACGGAGAATTCTCCGAAGTAGAGTTGTCATTTGTGGAAGACTTGAAGCCAGAGTAGGGTGCTTTGGCGGAAGTGGCACTGCTAGGAGTTCCGTTATACATCGATTTGTTCGACTGGGCAAGAGAGTTGGACCGAGATGAAGGGCTGTTCAGACTGTCGCGACCCAAGACACCAGGTGCCTGAGGGATGTCATTGGACTTGGATTGGTCGTTCTTGTTGGCTTGTCCGTTGAAGAGATGACCACCAGGCAAATCGCCAAACTTGGGGAAATCGAAGAGGAACTCATTATTTTGGAGGCCATACGCACCCTTGGAATGGGCACTCGGAATGGAATTCGAGCTCAAAGCTGAGATGCCGTTTCCTGATCCCGAGGCCATCCAGGAAAGGCGCTTCCGGTACTCACGGAGCTCGACCTGCAACCGCTCAACCTGGGCACGCAGCAAGCCATTCTCCTGGTTTGTCATGTCGGATGTCTTCTGCAGCTTTTCCACCGAATCCTCCAGATCCTTCAAGTGCTTCTCCTTGCGTTCGCGGAAGGCTCGCTGGGCAGCCCGGTTTTGGGCCTTGCGCTTCTGCTCAATACGTCAGTTCACGACTCTAGTCCCAGCAACTTCCGCGTGCATCAAGAGTGGCATACCGTAGTAGGCTCTGAAGTCAGTGGCTTCCTACCAGGCTTCTTGGCCTCGCTTTCCCTACGCTTCTTTCCAGTCTCCTCTCCGTCAACATCCGACTTTCCGTCGAGGGACTTTCGCTTCTCGCCAATATCATAGTCATAGTCAACCGATCCCGGTAGGTCACCGATCAAGTCGGCGGAACCGGGGAAATCAAAGTCAACCTCCGGGGTAAAATCCAAGAAAGGACTTTCGTCATCCCCAAACCCGAAATTGTTGGCATGGGGATTGTCGAACCCACCCGAGGGAGGGCCACTGAGACCATTTGAGGAATTTTCGTCGGGGCTCTGAGAGGACTGGACTTGAGGAGAGCCACTTTGAGGCTTCCGGCCAGGGTTGTTGGAAGATAGAGCGGCGAGCAGGAGATCTTGTTGGTTTGGGGAAAGGTAAAGACCTTGCTGATATCGTTGATCGTAATCACCCATTGTGGCGGGTTACTTCCAATGGATAGAAGGGGTGAAAGATGAGAGAAGGGTGATAATGGAAATTGAATGGATTTCAATAGAGGTCCAGCCGGGCTCCCGCCCGTAACAGATTTGATGGATACCGTAAAACGAGGAGAGTTGGAGGATGATTCAATCCTCGCAATAAAGCTTCACAGCTCCGAATTTGTGAGTGAACAAAATTTCAAACCGATATGTGTTGATGAGTCGCAACTAAGAGCCGATAGTAGAATTCCCAGCTGTAGGGGGCGATATGGGGCGATAGGGGGGGGGGGGGGTGTGATATTGGATATGGAGGGGGAAAGAGGAAGAAGAGTTTCTAGTCTCTCGAGAGGGGCCTGAGGCGAGAATAGATTCCCCGCTAGTCAAATTGTGGTAGAAGTGTGGCTCAGGCAAACACTAGGCTATGATAAAATAAAAAAGCAACTAAAATATTATTGAAAGTTGCAGAATCCAAGAGAAATGATGAAAGAGAGAGTATGACTGGAGGACTGGATGACTGGAGGGGGGTGGGAATGGGCGATAGAGATAGGCGGTGAATTATTTACTGGATATGATTGGCTGTTGGAGTCTTTGCTTTGAAATCAGTTTTCTATTTTCTTCTCCACTTCGAGTAGCTTCTCTCAAGCCCTAAATTGCCCTTGCACTGATACCGGAATTCCGAGTACATACCTGAGTATACATTCTATCTGACTCATATATCTTGATCCTGGTGGCATAGGTATACGGAATACCACATGGAGTAAATCTGAAATTGTATTACTCTCCGAGTCCCGAGGTCTGGGCTCACAGATCTCCCTAATCCCCGGTCCGATATTTTCAGTATCAGACCATTTAATGACGTTGCCACTTCACAAAAACAGGGAATTTATTGGCTAAATAGTTGTACGCCATAGCTCCAAAGTACATGCAATGCAGACTTTAACGTCCATGGGTGCATATCCCCATATCGATCTGCGGAAAGTGGATTATCGGATTTGCTTATCGCAACCTTGTCTATGATGTATGCGATCTGATACTATACCTATTTACATATACGGAATAAATCATACAAGCTTAATATTCTTCTAAATTAAAGTCTTGACTACATGCCAAGGTTAGTACTGCATATCTATGTGGCGTAAAATAAAGCCCATCAAGGCGGACAAAAAGGCGGAAAGCAAATGCACGTGATCGGGGATGAATTTGCCATCAGATAATTATTTCTCCGCAATTCACCTTGTCACTCACTTCCAAAGCTTCACCGATACGCGTCAACCAGCTCAAGTCTCCTAATATCACTGTTTATCCTGTCACATCTGAATCAAACTCTCTCATCATGGCTGATCTCACTTCCTTGGAGACAGATTTGTCGGAATGCAATTCTCAGGTTAGTTCCCGCCAATTCCCAACCGGTAACCCACGCGCCATAACTAACTTGAATAGATTGAAACTGTCATGCTAGGCTTGGAGGTAGACCCTGATAATGCAGAACTAAACAGTCTCAAAGCCGAGCTCGAAGAATACATGGACGCCCTCAAAACTCAAATCGCTGAACTCAAGTCAATTGCGCCCAAACCAGCTTCCAAGGGTCGATTCAAGGATAATACTTCCAAGTCTACTGAGCATACAGAGGAGGCATCTGCTGTGACTACTCCCGAATCGTTCTCGGTGAACGACATCGTTCTCGCGCGCTGGGTCTCTGGCGATAAGGCTTTCTACCCGGCCAAAATTAACTCCATCACGGGCTCATCCACCAACCCAGTCTACCTTGTCACATTCAAGTCATATGCAACTGTGGAAACTTTGACAGCCAAGGATATCCGACCCATCTCTGGCACTGACTCGCGAAAGCGCAAGGCTGATGGAACACCAGGCAGTTCGGCATTTCCCTCGCCCGCTCCCCCTCACCCCGGTGTGATCTCCGCCGCGGCAGATATCAACCCCGCCCTGGCTACCCAGGCTCGCAACGAACCCCATAAGGACGGCGATGGACTGGCCCGCCCCACCAAGGTGCCCCGTAAGTTCAAGGCGCAGAAGGAGCTCGAAGAAGGAAAGAATAAGTGGAAGGATTTCGCTGCAAAGACCAAGGGCAAGGGCAAGGGTGCGTTTGGCAAAAAGGAGAGCATGTTCCGCACGGGTGAAGGCGTCAATGCACGAGGTATGCATTCTCTATCAATTATTCTTCTCTATGAACTATTCTCGAGTACATACTAATCGGTTTCATCTCTTAGTGGGATTTACAGGTTCCGGACAAACCATGCGGAAGGATCCGACCCGAACCCGCCACGTTTACCAAAAGACCGACGAAGACGGCTATTAGGTTGCAATACCTTATGTTGCCAGGCCTGCATTATGATGATACCCCCTGGGCGAATGGCTTTGCCAATTTTTCGCATGTGACATCTCATGATCTTTCTCTGAGCTCTACTCATTGTTCTCATCGCTAACTGAATCATTGGCGATGCAGACGCAGTCATATTTTGTCTCTTCTGTTCTGAGACTCGGAGTTCCTGTCCATAGAATGCGGTTCAGCTCGGAGTCGGTTATTTCTATGTATTATTTTCTGAATGAAATCATGATTTTAAAGGGCCATTATTGCTTTTACTAGCCCTGTAGAATCGAATTTCCCCTATTATTGTATGAGTCTTCACATATAATAAAATGTTTCATATCTATTTTGATCTGTGCTAAGATGATTCGAGCCATATTGTGCCTGACGTTAGCGCCAAATGGGTTAACCGTGCGGGGGACCGTAGGTCTCCGCCTTCACGTCACTCCCTTCCGAGAGCTTGCTTTACTCTCTTCCTACATGTTTTCAATATCTTGAATTGAATTCCGATCTTCATATTGAGTGAGCCCTATCAGATTGTCCCTTAAATTCTCATCTTGCGCTCCTGAGCTACCTTCCCTTCCCCCCACACGGATCGACAGGTGCATGGCCAACCTCCATTATTGAAAAGTGTCGTCCGAGACATAATAACTGGAGACTGGTATAGCGGGTCCTTTCTCTCATCACCCCTCCCCTTCCCACAATATGCGGTTACCTAGGGCTATCGCGGCGGTTGTTGGGCTGGGCTCTTTTGCACCCACTCTTGTCAGTGCGCAGGGCGAAACCAAAATCCACGAAGAGGGTCGCTGTGCTATCCGTGGTCATTGTGGAAAGCAGTCTATATTTGGAGGGGAACTACCCTGCCCCGATAATGACTTGGCGCAACAACCAGAAGACGCAGCACGCGAGAAACTGGTAAATCTGTGTGGTAGCAAATGGAGTGAAGGCCCGGTCTGTTGTCGAGAAGAACAGGTCAGAGATCCCGACCCCTGTTTTCAATAATGTGGCTGTGGCTATCCTTATCATTCAATCATGCTGATAAACCATAGATCGATGCGCTTTCAAGTAACCTCAAGCTAGCAGAGGGAATTATCGCGTCCTGCCCCGCCTGTCGAGACAATTTTTTCAATATATTCTGCACCTTTACATGCTCTCCCGACCAGTCGCTTTTCATCAATATCACCAAAACAGAAGAGCACCGCTCTGGCAAAAGACTTGTGACCGAGTTGGATAATGTTTGGTCCGAAGAATACCAGAGCGGCTTCTTCGATAGCTGCAAGAACGTAAAGAACGGTGCTTCGGGTGGAAAGGCCATCGACTTCATTGGTGGTGGCGCTCAAGACTATACCCATTTCATGAAATTTTTAGGGGATAAGAAGTTCCTTGGAAGCCCGTTCCAGATTAACTATCACACAGAGCCCAGTGGGTCTAACCCGCAAGGAATGCAGGCGTTGTCAATAAAGCCAAAGGCCTGCAATGACGAGGACAAATCATTCCGATGCTCTTGTGTCGACTGCCCGGAAGTATGTCCGGAGTTGCCCGCCATCTCTCCTCACAAGATATGTCATGTAGGACTTCTACCGTGTCTATCTTTTGCCGTCATCCTCATTTATTCCATCTTTCTGTTGTTTGTGATGGCTCTCGCGAGCTATGTCACATACAAAGAACGCCGATTCCGCAAACCAGAGCGGGTGCGCTTGCTGCAAGATCCCACGCCCAGCGATGACGAAGATGAAGGAGAAGTCATGCACCGTGGAGGATACATGGAGCGGACACAAGGAGTGTACAAGCTCAACTCTGCGCTGTCAGCCTTGTTCCATCGGATTGGTGGCACTTGTGCGCGGTTCCCAGCAATCACAATATTCTCCAGCGTCATCGGAGTGGCACTGCTGAGCCTAGGGTGGTTGAACTTCGCAGTTGAAACGGATCCGGTGCGACTCTGGGTGAGTCCGTCATCTGCAGCCGCCCAGGAGAAGGATTTCTTTGATCAGAGCTTTGGTCCATTCTACCGAGCCGAGCAGGCATTCTTAGTGAATGCCCGCCCAGAGAACGACTCACGTCCCCTCTTGGATTACGAAACCCTCACTTGGTGGTTTGACGTTGAGTCTCGTGTGCAACGCGTGATCTCGTTGGACCAGGGCCTCAACCTCGATGATGTATGTTTCAAGCCGACCGGAGAAGCCTGTGTCGTGCAGTCGGTCACTGGGTATTTCGGCGGCTCTGTCTCGAACCTTGACCCAGATACATGGAAGGACCGACTCAGCCATTGTACAGAGTCGCCTGGAGATCCTAGCTGTCTCCCCGGTTTCTCGCAGCCTCTGAGGCCCGAAATGATTCTTGGTGGATATGAAGACACAGGGAATGTTCTGGATGCACAGGCACTCATTGTGACCTGGGTGGTAAATAACTATGCACAGGGAACAGAAGAAGAAGCAAAAGCCATCGATTGGGAGAACACTTTCCAGGCCGTTCTCGGGGTTGTCCAAGAAGAAGCTGCCGAGCGAGGCCTTCGCGTGTCTTTCAATTCCGAGGTCAGTTTGGAGCAGGAACTGAACAAGTCTACCAACACAGATGCGAAGATCGTTGCCATCAGCTATCTGATCATGTTCTTCTACGCCTCGATGGCCCTGGGTTCGGTCACAGTTACCTGGAGGTCTCTGCTGACCAACCCTTCCAACGCTCTTGTTCAGTCTAAATTTACACTGGGGATTGTCGGAATCATCATTGTTTTGATGTCTGTCTCCGCATCGGTCGGCCTGTTCTCGGCAGCGGGCGTCAAGGTGACCTTGATCATTGCTGAAGTTATTCCCTTCTTGGTCCTGGCAGTGGGAGTAGACAACATTTTCTTGATCGTCCACGAATTTGAGCGAGTCAATATCAGCCATCCTGACGAAGAAATCGACGAGCGAGTTGCCCGGGCGGTTAGTCGAATCGGACCTAGTATCTTCCTGTCTGCTTTGACGGAGACAGTGGCCTTTGCTCTAGGCGCCTTTGTTGGCATGCCTGCTGTCAAGAATTTTGCTGCATACGCCGCCGGTGCGGTCTTTATCAATGCCATTCTGCAGATTACCATGTTTATCTCCGTCTTGGCTCTGAACCAGAGACGCGTGCAGAGTCTCCGTGCAGATTGTGTCCCTTGTCTGACCGTCCGAAAAGCAAATTCGTTCGGCTTCCCTGAAGAAAACTACGACGGACAGGAGGCGGAGAGTACCTTGCAGGCCTTCATTCGTCGGGTCTACGCGCCTTTCCTGCTAGATCGTCGGGTGAAAGTAGGTGTGGTCATATTTTTCTTGGGCCTTTTGACTGCTGGTCTAGCCTTTATCCCCGAGGTTCCTCTTGGGTTAGATCAGCGGATTGCGCTTCCCAGCGACTCATACCTGATTTCATACTTCAATGACTTGGACTCATACTTTGGTGCGGGGCCTCCAGTCTACTTCGTGACCCGGGATGTGAATGTTACCGAGCGAAGTCACCAACAACAGCTCTGTGGACGGTTCACGACTTGCGAGGAGTATTCTCTGCCCTTTATTCTCGAGCAAGAGTCTAAGCGTCCGGATGTTTCTTACCTTGCAGGCTCTGCCGCCAGCTGGATTGACGATTTTTTCTATTGGTTGAACCCCCAGCAAGACTGTTGCAAAGAAAACGGCAAGCTTTGTTTCGAGGATCGCGTTCCTGCCTGGAACATCTCTCTTTCGGGGATGCCAGAAGGATCTGAATTTGTGCATTATGCCAAAAAATGGATCGAGGCACCCACTGATGCCTCTTGTCCCCTTGGTGGCAAAGCGCCCTACAGTAATGCTTTGGTCATTGATGACAAGTACAACACGATCAATGCTAGTCATTTCCGTACTAGTCACACGCCGCTTCGGAGCCAGGATGAATTCATCGAGGCATATATCGCAGCTCGCCGGATTGCAGACAGCATCTCGCAGGAGCACGGTATCGACGTCTTCCCATATTCCAAGTTCTACATCTTCTTCGATCAATATGTTTCTATTGTGCGACTTACTGGTACCCTTCTTGGGTCGGCTGTGGCTATCATATTCGTCTTGACCTCTGTGATACTGGGGTCTATATCGACGGGCGCTGTCGTCACAACCACCGTGGTTATGATAGTGGTCGATATCATTGGTACCATGGCGATCGTTGGTGTGTCCTTAAATGCCATTTCTCTTGTCAATTTGGTCATTTGTGTGGGCATTGCTGTTGAATTCTGTGCTCACATTGCCCGAGCATTCATGTTCCCCGCTCGGCCTATTATGGAGAAGGTACCCGCCGAATTCCGTGGGAAGGACGCTCGAGCATGGGCGGCCTTGGTCAATGTCGGTGGAAGTGTCTTTAGTGGTATCACCGTGACGAAACTTCTAGGAGTTTGCGTCCTAGCGTTTACTCGAAGCAAGATCTTCGAGATCTACTACTTCCGGGTGTGGCTAGCCCTGGTGGTTTTTGCTGCCACACATGCTCTCATCTTCTTACCAGTAGCTCTCAGCTACTTTGGCGGTGGTGGTATGTGCAAATTGACTCCTTGAATGATATGAACTTCACTAACGGATTTAGGTTACTTTGACCCTGCGTCTGACGGTGGCCTAGAGGCCAATCTCGCTTCGCGTGGCTACCGCTCATCGCTCATCCATGATGATTATGACTCTGATGAATATTAAGTCCTCGGTTGTTTGGGGCTTTAGTGTTGTGGGTCTAGGAATGACCGGATGCACGGCTGGTAGCCCTGGAATCCATAACAAAGCGCTTGTTGTGTTTGAAGCATAGTTTGCTATCGAACAAGATGGAAGAAGGAGGAGTTTTCGGTGAATTTTTCTTAATTTCTTTTCTATTTTTCTTTCACTGTGCGAAAATTTTCATACTCTTTGGCATGTTGCAGTTTACTTAGGGATAGCTGGTATACTATTGATATCCCAATTGCATTAATAAATGAAATGATCATAGGCATTAACATCATAATATGCATTACCATCATAATATGATAATATTATAATAACCCTAATAGTTAATATAAAATCCCATATAAATGAAGTCATAAAGAAAATCTCTGCCCAAATTCCCGCGTGTTGACAATCCATGCGCTAAACTCAATTGGGCACCAGCCCACCTCCCCTAAATTTTTTTTCTTCTCCCTCTCTTTTCTTCTTCTTCTCCATCACTCTCTTTTTTCTTTCTTACTTTTTTTTCTTGTCAATATTGCTTTGTGATACCCCCTTTGAGTTGTTTGTCTGAGACAGACTGCTCAATCTTTGTTCGTGTGGCCTGAGTCTCTCAGAGACAGGGCAACTGAAACCCTTGAAAACTATCACATTATCCCTTCCATCATGGATCAACAGCGATTCCTGCAGCAGTTGCAGATTATCCTGGACCGTGAGTTCGTCTTGCACCATCCAAGCCAATGTTCATCTCGCTGACCCATTCTTTCAGCCTCTCAGGGAAACCTTAAGGAGGCCACAGGAGTCTTGCAAAAGGAATTCTACAACAAGCCCGAATCCCTTGTCTTCCTTATCCAGATCTGCACTAGCCATGATGACCAAAATCTGCGCCAGCTCTCTTCTGTCGAGTCCCGTTCGCTCGTTTCCAAGCACTGGTTGAAGGTTCCCGCCAGCCAGAAGCCCCAGATCCGCGAGCAGCTGCTTCGCTCCACCATGGGTGAGAGTTCTTCTCTCGTCCAGCACTCCATCGCTCAGATCATCTCTGCTATTGCCAAGATCGATTTGAACGACGGCGAGTGGGCTGACCTGCCCAACCTGCTCCTGCAGGCTGGTAACAGTGGAAATGCCGCTGAGCGTGCTGTGGCCATCTACATTCTCTTCACCATCTTGGACACTCTCGGTGAAGGCTTTGAGGAGAAGTTCCAGGACCTCTTCAACCTCTTCAACAAGACTATCCGGGATCCCGAGAGTGCCGAAGTTCGCATCAACACCCTTATGTCTCTGAGCAAGCTTGCTATGCACCTTGACTCTGAGGAGGATGAGGCTCCCGTCAAGGCCTTCCAGGAGTTGGTCCCTGCCATGGTCGCCATTCTCAAGGATTCCATTGAGAAGCAAGAGGAGGACCACATCATGCAGTCTTTCGAAGTCTTCCAGACTCTGCTTGGCTGTGACCCTGCCTTGCTGACCGTCCACCTCAAAGACCTGGTCATCTTGATGAACCAGATCTCTGCCAACACTGAGGTTGATGAGGATGTCCGCACCCAGGCCATCAGCTTCCTGATGCAGACCATCCAGTACCGCAAGCTCAAGGTTCAGGGTATGCGCATTGGTGAGGAGCTCACCCGTACTGCTCTCCAAATCGTAACCGAGTTGGGCGATGCCGCTCCTGGTGATGATGATATCACTCCTGCTCGTTCTGCTCTCGGCCTCCTTGACATGCTCTCCCAGAGTCTGCCCCCCAGCCAAGTCGTTGTCCCCTTGCTCAATGCACTGGGACAGTACTTCAACAACGCCGACCCTGACTACCGTCGCGCTGGTATCATGGCCCTTGGCATGTGTGTTGAGGGTGCCCCCGACTTCATCAGCACCCAGATGAAGGAGATCTTCCCCATGGTCCTCCAGCTCCTTGCTGATCAGGACCCCAAGGTGCGCCAGGCTTCGTTGCACACTGTCGCTCGTCTCGCCGAGGACCTTGTTGAGGACCTGAGTACCGAGCACGCGCGCCTCATGCCCTTGCTCTTCCAGAACTTGGCCAGCGCCATGCAGGAGTACAAGGGTGAAGAGGAGGGTCCTACCCTCGATATCATCAAGGCCGGCATTAGCGCCATTGATGCTGTCGTTGATGGTCTTGATGAGACTGCTGTTGCTCCTTACCAGGCTGAGCTTGTTCCCATTCTGCACAACCTCTTCAAGCACCCCGACTTCAAGATCAAGGCTCTTGCTGCCGGTGCTCTCGGCTCCCTCGCCTCCTCTGCCGGAGACTCCTTCCTCTCGTTCTTTGATGAGTCGATGCACCTCCTCCAGGAGTTCGCTGCTGTCAAGGACAGCGAGGACGAACTTGACCTCCGTGCCAGTGTCACCGACTCTATGGGTGAGATGGCCGCCGCTGCTGGTCCCGAGCGTTACCAGCCGTATGTTGAGCCCCTCATGCGCGCCACCGAGGAAGCTTTGCACCTCGGTCACTCCCGTCTCAAGGAGAGCACTTATATCTTCTGGGGCGCCATGGCCAAGGTCTACGGCGAGCACTTCGCTCCCTTCCTTGACGGCGTCGTAAAGGGCCTGTACGATTGCATCGAGCAGGACGAGAACGATCTTGATGTTGATCTTGGCAGCGCTGCCAAGGACCTTGTTGGCCAGGAGGTTACCTTCAACGGCCGCAAGGTCAAGGTCGCAAGTGCCGAAGATGACGACGAGGATGGTGATATCGAGGATATCGATCTCGAAGATGAGGACGATTGGGATGACATCACTGCCACCACCCCTCTTTCCCTCGAGAAGGAGATTGCTGTTGAGGTTATCGGTGATCTCGTCACCCACACCCGCAGCGCCTTCCTGCCCTACTTTGAGAAAACCATTGAGCATGTGATGCCCTTGTGTGAGCACCCTTACGAGGGTGTTCGCAAGAGCACCATCAGCACTCTCCACCGCTCATACGCTATGCTCTTCGCTATCGCTGAGGAGAACGGCCAGATGCCCAAGTGGCAGCCTGGCCTCCCCCTGCAGGTTCAGCCTGCCAAGGAGGTCCAGAAGTTCGGTGAGATCCTCATGACTGCTACTGTCAAGATGTGGACCGAAGAAGATGACCGGTATGTTTCAACCATCTTTTCTCTCTTTTATTCCCTTACCCAACCCATTTCTATGATGATGTTTTTCCGCTTAACCCAGCTCACTTTGATGCGCCAAAGGCGTACTTGATGTAAACGGCGAAGTCTACATTCTGAGATTTACTTCCACCATTGCCTCATTATTTATCAACTGCCGATTCAATGACTTGATTGCTGACCGATATTTAATAGTTCTACTGTCGCCGATATCAACCGCAACATGGCTGAGAACCTGCGCTTCTGTGGTCCTGCCCTCATTGCCAATGAGACCATGCTTCACAACGTGATCCAAATGGTCACTGATATCATCACCAAGCAGCACATCTGCCAGGTCGAGTTCGGCCCCGAAGAGGAGACTCTCGAGGCTGGTGATGAATCTTCCGAGTTCGACTGGATTGTTGTCGACACTGCCCTGGACGTTGTCTCTGGCATGGCCGCCGCTATGGGTCAGAGCTTCGCTGAGCTCTGGAAAGTTTTCGAGAAGACCATTCTCCGCTACGCTGGTAGTACTGAGTCTCTTGAGCGTGCCACTGCTGTTGGTGTCCTCGCTGAGTGCATCAATGGTATGGGTGCCGCCGTGACCCCCTTCACCCCTGTATTCATGAAGCTGCTCCTTCACCGTCTCGCCGATGAGGACTCTCAGACCAAGTCCAACGCTGCCTATGCCGTTGGCCGCTTGATTCAGCACTCCAATGCTGAAGCTGAGATCATCAAGGAGATCCCCACTATCCTTGCCCGTCTTGAGGCTTGCCTTCAGATGGACGTCTCGCGTCTCCAGGATAACGCTACCGGATGTGTCAGCCGCATGATCTTGCGTTACCGCGACAGTGTCCCCACCAAGGACGTGCTTCCTGCCCTCGTCAACATTCTTCCCCTGAAGAACGACTTCGAGGAGAACGAGCCTCTGTTCCGCATGATCTGCCAGATGTACAAGTGGGAGGATGTCACCATCCGCGAACTCACCCCCAGCCTCCTTCCCGTCTTCCAGTCGGTTCTCACCGGCGATGAGGATCAGCTGGATGATGAGCGTCGGGCCGAGCTCATTGAGCTTGTTAAGTGGCTGAACCAGATGCAGCCCGGTGCCGCTCCCTGGGTGGAGCAGCTGTAAGCCGACTGCTCTTTTATGGATTGATGAACGAAAAAGGATTTATTTAATGGATAGACGGATGGCTTGGAAGCCCGAGATGACTAGACGATACCCCAGTCACTGCGGCGATGATTGATGAAACCCCTCAAAAGTTGCTGCTGTATATACTGTCAATGACTACATACTTTGATCTTCAAGGAATTTTTGTGTAGAAGTCTCTAAGCTACGTACATGTGTACCGGTATTTATACCCCCGCCATGTAAACCCCCTGTCATGTCGTAGATCGCAGTAATTCAGCTCCGCCGAATGAAGTTCACCTCGATACCAGTTTGCCGCACAAAAAAGCTATTATGCGTCATCCAATCCTTATCCGGATAAGCCAGCTTCATATCGTACCGTGATACAAGAGTTGCAATTACCTTGTAAACCTCCAACAGACCAAGATGCTTCCCGATACAACTACGGCTTCCACCGCCAAAGCTGAGATCAGCCTTGTTCATTGAGAGCAAACGTTCCTGGAACGCATCTTCGGTCTCCCGTGTCTCATCGCGCAGCCATCGCTCTGGGCGGAACTCTTCGGCATCTTCGCCCCACACAGACGTATTACGCCCAACGATGTAGGGGTTGATGCCGACAATGGACCCTGCAGGAACAAGGCTTCCATCCGGGAGGACAAGTCCGCCCTCTGGTACATATCGTTCCAGGAGCATGGCGACAGCGGGATGACATCTCATTGCTTCCCGTACCACGGCATCTAGGTATGGGAACTGCTTGGAGGATTTGTAAGATACCACCGTGCTTTCAGAGGTATAATCATAAGCGGGAATCTCGGCCCTTAGACGCTCTATAACGTGAGGATGTTTCAAGGAGAAATACAATGCCGCGTTGATGGTGACGCCCGTTGTGTCGGCTCCTGCAACCATGTTGATCATTAGGTACGAGATGATTTGCATGTCATCCACCACGTCTGGGAATTTCTCCTTGGCCTCGATGAATTTGTCCAGGAAGTCGGGCTTGCTGGGATCATGGTAGTCGGTATCCTTCTTCTGAACTCGGTCCATGAGGTGCTGGATTGATATATTGGCGACGGTGCCGAAGGATGGCGGGCCGATTCGGTACACGGGGTTTTTGTCCAACAAGTGATCCAGCATTGGTATTTGTCCCACTAGGGAAAAGTAGTCCATGGCGACATTTGCGATGTGCAGAGTCTTGTCAAAGTCATACCCTTTTTCCAGGTATCCAATGGGCTGGCTGAATGTCGCTTTTCCAACCACATCCCAGGTATCTGCACGATTGATAAGTCCTGGGAAGGATGATGAAAGTGTTCAAACTTACAGTACGCAATCCATTCACCTAGATCGCATGTTTTAGGGCTGGGTCCATCGATGAATTCCTCCTCCAGGCGTTGACAGAGGTATGAAATCATATCATCGATATGGGGCTCCAGGGGAAGTACTCCAACCAGGGAGTAATGTCTCGAGATGGGTCGCTTCTCCTGTGCATGCACCTTAGGATCACACTCGCTGAAGAGGTTGTAGATGATTTTGCCGTTGTTTTTAGCACTACTGCCGTGATAAAATTCGGTCTGTCACAGGTTATGATCAATCCTAGTAACCACGTTTAGAGAGACACCCACCTTCAAATAATCCGATTTGATATTGTAAATTGTCTTGATCAACTCGGGGATATCCAGGTCGAGCACATTGGGGCCAATGCGTACCACCGTACCATACTTCTTGTGTAGCTCTTGGATGACCATATGGTAGTTTCCCTGGCGAACATGCAACATGCGCCATAGATTCGTCCAGCCTATCGAGATATGGTAGGTCAATATGGAAATGCGTCCTTCTGCTGTCAAATCGGCCTTTGGGAGGATACTAGTCAACTCACCTGCGAGAAATGGACCAGGGAAACGGCGCAGGGGGGAGAAGAGATATGTCGTTAGATACCAGATCGATATGACTATGAGCAAGGCATAGCCAAGCTTAGTCGCAACATATTGCCCGTGATCAAACATTGCAGAAAGGGGCTCTTTTAATATGGTTGAGTTGATAAACCCTCGAACCCTCGAAAATCTGAAAATCTGCGATATACAATAATATATAGACAGCCCGTGTATGGCGCTCCCAACGGCAATCCTACGTGGACCCGTATGGGCGTGCGAACCAAAAGCGTGTTGTTAAATGAGAATCCTTGATAGTTACTCCATATTGCTGGGTCTAGATGCAGCCGCACTTCAAAGTACGCCCAGTTAGTGCCAATTAGATAAAATATCAACTTCAATTGACTTCTCCAAACGGCTCATCCTCCGACAGTTGCCGAGCTGGCTGCCGTAAAGATGCATGGACTTTTCAAAATAGTAAAGCGCACCAAAAGCACAAAAGTACATAATACGGTGTGCGGGATATTCGATTGAAAGGATCCAATTAGCCTTGAAAACATCCTAAGCGAGCGTTACTATGGACCGCTTTTTAAGCTAAACGTTACCGTCCCGACCCGATGATGTTTAGTCTCCTTGGCATCAATAAAATGTAGACGATCGCAATTACAATGGAAGTACGGAGTAAAAGGTACTAAATTAGACGCATTAGCGGCATAGAGTTGTCCCTCAGTTCATGTATAACCCTCGCTTGTACGGAGTATAAAAGGTCTAAGCCTGATTTGTCGGCTCCTTTTACAAAATTTTTATCAACTCATTAAGTTGAGGAAGGGGATGCATTTGTATTCCGAAGATGCCAACTAATTTCTCGATCTCTCATTCTAGCAAGCTCTGGGCTCCATTGGTCTACAGTACTTGGCGTTTCTAATTTAACCGGCTTCCTGAATCTGGAAGATGTTGGCTGGCGAAGGCGTTCGTGGCATTTCGGTGATGTGGGTTATGAGTCGATGACTTTGCTCTCTTTTATTCCGGTTCCTCTCAGGCTCTACACGCGAGTCTACATCGTGAAGGCAATTGGAGTGGACGATCACGTCTTCAATCTGGCCTGGGTAGGCTTTTTTCCCATTCCATCGTGAAACGATCAAGACTAGTCCTATGATAGGAGACTGACCTAGCTCTAGGTATTTCTGCTTCTTTACACGGTCTTCGTCACGATTTCTGGTGTACATGGGTTCGGGTAACCGATAAAAACCTTGGAGGTGGACTCAGCCGTTAAGGCCGTGTATAACGCGATGATTGGACAAACATTTGCCGTCCTAGGAATGGCAATTGCCAAGCTGTCCCTAGGGATATTTTTGCTTCGTATTGTTGTCAAGCGGTGGCATCGCATTTCAATACGGATCTCGATGATCAGCTTGTTCATTCTCTCAGTGATGACCGCCATCATCTTCTGGTTACAGCGTCTTCCGTCTCAATCTGTATATGACCCTCGCGTCCCAGGGCGTACTGTTACCCATGTCACCCCTTTCTCCGTCTTGCTTGGATGTATGTTTGATGTCCTCTTCGGTTGTGTATATCAACTTTATACTGATGCTGATGTTCAAGTACTTTAGGTTGGTGTGCTGTTGTGGACTTCTACTTTGCTCTTCTTCCGTGGATCTTCATTTGGAATCTTAACGTGAGATACAAGGAAAAGAATGTGTGTCACTAATCCCCCACGTCCTCTATAGACACAGACTAATATTTATCTATAGAGCCTGTATTTTCGAAATTATCAGAACCATTGAGGTAGGGGGACTGGCCAGCTCCAACTACACCGGTAAGTCACTTACCTCTCAATCCCTATATACCACTAATTCCCAATGTCATCCTTGTTTAGAGGATACTGTTGGCCTCATACTTTGGTCCGCCGTTGAACTGGCAGTCACTCTTATCTGCGATGGTATTCCCACCGTCCGCCCCCTATCTCGCACCATTGTCCATGGATCGCGTCCGGAGAGCTCAGAGGGTAGATATGTCAAACATGAGGACCCCAATCATTCTACTCGCTTTCGTATGCGGAATCTAGCGAAGGACACTACGTCTTTTAGTGTACAGGAGGGGCATACCGAGTCGTATATTACTCGTTATAGCCGAGGTGATGAAGAGATTCTGGTGGGTCAGTATGAAACCAGTAATGATGGTATTCGTGTCCAGGAAGAGGTGCGAGTGGAGAGAACCTAAAGCTGCGTAGCCATACTATTCCGGTCGCCGTCTTCGGTTTTAACAGTAAAAATATAACAAAGAGCTTTGAATTTACGATCTTAACTAAGAATGAGATAGCCCGAGGTGTGAGCTAAAATGGCATTTTAAATTATCTCCATGTCGATCAAGGACCACCCACGTCACAGGAATATAAATGCGAAGGGTACGGAGTATATTAAGCAGAACATATATAGTGTACAAAGCTGTAGTATTTATATTTATCTGTACTTTGAACTTATTGTCAAAAACCAGTCAAAGTATATGGCTGCCTAACTTCACTTTTCCCTTTTTTCCCCAACCCCCGCTACTTCAGCCCTATACCCTTTTATTTTTGGTTGAAGGTACGTTCCCTCGTATAATGTTCTCTTTCTTCTCTTTCTTCTCGGGAATTGACAATATCCAATAGATCCAAGCCTCCGCCATGGCCGTCACCTCTATTTCAACCCCTTTCGACTGCACCCTTCCTTCCAGCGCCGGTAGCTCCATCAAAAAGCCCATCAAACCAGTCTCCAAGCCATGCTTTGGCTGTGATTGTGGCGATGAAGAATGCGATTGTTGCATATGCACTGTGATGTGAGCTCTGCTCTTCCAATGCTCTGGGGAATTGCGGTGGTCTGATGGCATGTGGATCGAAATAAGAAAATCATGTGCGGAACACAGTCTAAGGGGTCGGGTACCCTACCCATGCGATACCTCGACAATAAATCTTTGTTCAATGGCTTTAACCTGCTATTTTATGTGTAAAGCAAAGGGTATACTTCCAAGGTTCCAACCTTGGAAGGTTGTAAAACACGATTGTATAAAGGATGACATCATGTCAGATGTTTGCCTGAGGTATCTAGATGAGTCAGCGGATATGCTGTCAGCGGCTTTCGGGCCCAGCCATTTCCTCCCGGGCAATCCTTTGAGCTTAATTATTTCCTTCACATTTTACAACATGGATCCTGCATCTAATGCTTCGGACGATCCGCCGCGGACACGGACTTCTCGTGCCTGTGACTCCTGTTATAAAAGAAAGGTAGGTAGATCAAGAATCAACTCTTCCCATCCTACTAAACTGGTCCTAGATCAAATGTGATGCGGCGGTGCCGCAGTGTAATTGGTGCAGCCACCATAATATCCCCTGCACATTCGACAGAGTGGTACAGAGGAAAAGAAAAAATCCTGATGATGAAGGGTGAGTCCCTTCCTCGAGTTTCTTCGATATGGGTCTGACGAAGGTAAGACGCCCCAAAGTTTCACGCCTATCGGAGCGAATTAGTCGCATTGAGCAACTTCTCGCAGAGAACTTAATGGGTGATCATGTCTCTGGTATAGTGTCTCTTCAATATGCAAATCTACCACTCCGAAACTAATTGGCAAAAAGTGCCTGGTGACTCACCTCAATCTTTCGAAGCCAACACGACAGCTGACACGACTGACACGACGGCCAGTAACTCTCCAAGCAACAATCAACCTCCAGACTCGTCGTCAGTGCGAGTTCACTTTGCGGGCAAAGAGTTGGGTGTTATCAGTTTACTCACAGGTACGCCGTTCCTCTTTCCTGAGGGACGGGACTGGATCAAAGCTCGCACCGGACAGAACGTTGCAATTGAAAAACTGAGTCCAACGCGAGCACCTTGGGATAAAGAGCGCGGACAAAACTTCAACACTTTCTTGATGAACATGAACACTTGTAATCCCTATGAACTCCCCGACTGGGCAACGGTACAGGCGTACTTCCAGGCATATAAGAGTTGCAGGGTGATGCGGCGCATCTTTCCTGTTATAGATCCGGAGCTTTTTGAGGAGACTCTCACTACAGCTTACAGTCAATCGCCATCTACCTTTAGATTTGGCCAAGCGAGCGCCAGGGTTTGTGTCATTGCATTTATTACCTTTGTTTCTCGCCTACCTGACCTCGCTCGCGTTGTCAACTCGACTACTACGGCCATCCCAATCGATCATGATCAACTTGCCACCAGGGCACAATTTTTGATGTCTCAAGTATTACAAGAGTCTGCTAGTCTAGACGCAGCACAGGCTATTACCATATTGGTAGGTGGGGATACTCTGGTGCATCCTTCTGATAACTGACCGGTGGATGCGTAGACTCTCTTCGAGCTATCTTCGGGAAATATGCGGGCCACCAACTACTATGCGGCCATTGCTGCACGACTCATTTTCATGCTTGGTGGCAATCTTTTTACCTGTCACGCCACCGCGACAGATAAGCGCAGCCAGCAAAAGCATTCACAACTACGGAATCTATTCTGGATTTGCTACACGATTGATAAAGACCTTGCGCTGCGCACGGGTCAGCCGCCTACTATCACAGACGAGAATTGTGATCTGACCCTTCCGCCGGGCTATCTCGACCGAGCATTCTCGGATGTGGAAAACGAGGAGGCCCCCTGGTACGGTCCAGTATTTCCATTCGACTTGCGCCTGAGTATGATCAAAGCCCGAGCGCATCGAGAGCTATATTCAGTCAGCTCCCTCCAAAAATCAGACGCCGAGCTGCTCAAGTCAATCCGAGAACTCGATGATGCGCTAGAAGAATGGCGGCTATCAGTCCCTCCTAAATGGCGTCCCACCATGTCCTTTTCTTCCGAGACGTCCGATCCGAACATGGGTATGCATACTGTCTTGCTGCGTCTGAATTATCACCTATGCATGACCATCATCCATCAAGCGAGTGGAAGATGCAAGGCATGGATGCAAGGACAAAGTGGCATGATGGATGGGGTGAGTTCAAGCATGGCACTTTCAGTAGAGGCCAGTCGATCCAGTCTATGTTACCTCGAGGCAGCAGAGCATGTGGTAGTCGACGGGGTTTTTTGGTATGTGATTTTTTGTCATGTTGTTGGATCTAAGCTAATGCCCCTTAGGACTCTAATATTTTACCCCATGTCCGCGCTGCTCACCATCTTCTGCAGCATTCTCCAGAATCCACTGGATCCACATTCGCGCGAAGACTTGGGCCGATTGAATGTCGCCACGGTTATGATGGAGCGTATCTTCTCACGAAAACTACCTTCATCTGAGCTTGTGCACTTCAAATTGGTCGGCGATTTCATTTTGGAATTGAAGCGATTGGCTGAGTGTGCCATTGACAAGGCCTGGGCGGAGCAGCGCGCCGCCTCTTATTGATTGCACATTGTTTTCTTCCTATTGTTTTACGGGTCGATGCCACTGCACTTTAGCGTGAAGAGTTTATTGGAGCTTATTGGATATGGTACTTAGAATTGCTGAAGATATTAATATTGATAGAAAGAAGAACGGTCATTTGGATTGCATTCGATAGACATGGTTAGAGCAGTGTTCAATAGAATGATATCTCATATATGATGCAGTGTCTAATTGTAAGCAAGAATTCCCGGTAGAGATTCACACAAAACCGGCAAATTGCTAGCTTCTCGAGTGATTGTAATAGGGTTTTGAGGCAGCCGATCTCCAATAATTCAGTGTTCTGAAACGAGGCGCCGTTGGTGATAGCAGGTCTTTCGAACATCGGAGAACGCGTCCGAGATATTGGTGTGATCCAATATCTGCCTTGGGATGATGCGAAGCGCGTGATGGTTCAATCGACACATCACGGTGTCATATTTAACAGCCAACTGAGCTTGCGTGCTCATGAAACGCTTGGCCGAGGGACATTTTGTCGGGTGTTGACGAGCCCTCGGCTTGAGATTCTTCCTCGTCGGGCCATTCAAGGCGGTTGGCATTTAGTCACAGTTGAGCACATAGCCCAGGGAAAGTTCGGCCATTTGGCTCGGTGAGGATGCTGTTCGAATTCAGAAAATTCAACCCCTTGGTAGGTTCAGTTTTCTTTGTCCAGTAGATCCCAGATTAACCGAGAGTGCTCATCGGCCTTTTCTTTCAGCGCTTTGGCTTGGTCGGTATCCTCTCCTGGCCCAGCAGCAGCCACGCGGTTGCCCTCCGCTTGCAACTGCTCTAGTACGTCCTCAACCTCCGCTTTGACTTTGTCCATTTGTTTCATTTCCTCTCGGCTGTGGTTGAGCTGCTCTTCCATCATCATGATGAGTGATTCGCGGGCTTGGTGAGGACGGTAGAGGTTGAGAAGGTGGTGCGCATTGATGAATAAGTTGCGCAGATCTTCGACCTTGGATTCGAATTGTTCCGGCGAAACCGACAAGATACCGGTAAACTCTAGGAAATTAAGGAGCAGGGACTTGCTGATCTTGAGAAGGTAGTATGCGTGATTGAGAGGGGGCGAGGGCTGCGACTCCTGTTCGGTACCGGTTGAGGGTTCTGGATACAGCTGTTCGATTCCTTGCTCTTGCAATGATGGCAATGCTGTAGAAAGCTATTTCAGAGTCAGTATTGTCAGGTGTAGAGCTCAAATGTAGGGGAACGAACGGTTTGCAATTCTCCAAAAACGCTGTACTGTCCTTCAGGGATGTCGGGCGGCACCAGGTACCGAAGCTCTGGGGGGATCTCTAGAGCGCGCAATTCCGCTGGTGACCATTGCTTGTTCTTATTCAATCGCCCATCTTCGCCCCTGGAAGCTTCAGCTTTGATCTGCTCCACCTTGTCGATATTCTCGCGCGTAAAGTGTTTCCATAAGGGTGGTGGGGGCGCAAATGCCGTGTTTACGGCTCGTTGTTGGCTCTCATCGGCCATATCGATCAGGGCGAGAGTAATGAATGTGAGAGAAAAGAGTAAGTGAACAAAGCAGCGTTGAAGTTCCGTAGAGCGGAGAGCGGTGACGTGGTCTGTGCTTCCGCAATGTGTCGAATGTCAACTTGACTTTCTTCAATCTCGACATGCTCCCTGTGAAGATCTGAAAATCTCTCTAAAGGAGTGCAGGATGCCTCATAATGGTTCGGGGGATGGGTCCCCGATTCTACAACGTGTTGGACTCGCTGGTGCTGCAGCTCGCTTTGCGCAACGCACCTATGCCGCCGACTACATCGCATTGGGGTTTCTAGTGGTAGGATGGATACTAGTAAGTCGCAAATGATATTTATACAAATGGTTTTTTTGACACCTCAATAGATTCAGTTATTCGTGAACCCATTCCATCGCATGTTTTCCCTGGATAACAAAGCCATTCAGTACCCGTTCGCCGTCCACGAACGAGTTCCTGTTTGTAAGTCAATTGCCAATACTACAGTCGCTTCTCTTCATTTAATTTTAACAAGGAGTAATAGTGTGGTCGGTCGTCTTCGCTGGTCTGATTCCTTTCCTTATTATTCTCGCTTGGTCCGCAATGTTTCGCGCCGGTGTGCAAAAGACGCAAGTGACAGTACTCGGGCTACTCGTAGCTTTGATGTTGACCTCGTTTCTGACGGACATAATAAAAAATGCGGCGGGAAGACCACGTCCCGACTTGTTATCGCGCTGCAAACCCTCCCGAGGTACATCGAACAAGGTGCTGGTCGCATGGACTGTCTGCACAGAAACCAACCAGCACATTTTACAAGAGGGATGGCGGAGCTTCCCTAGTGGGCATAGCAGCTTCTCTTTTGGTGGTCTGGGCTATTTATACCTGTAAGTGATTCTTCAAACGTACCGCGCTCAAACGCTCTAACAATCCCGACCCTATAGCTTCTTGTGTGGTCAAATGCATGTCTTCCGTCCTCGAACGGATCTTGGACGCTGCTTACTTGCATTTTTCCCATTGCTGTGTGCTTTGATGGTCGCCCTCTCTCGTCTGGCCGATTATCGACATGATGTATATGATGTGACGTGTGGGGGGCTGTTGGGCATGCTGATAGCCTGGTTCTCGTACCGCCGCTACTATCCACCGCTGCGGTCGGTCATATGTGACGTTCCCTATGATAAAGCCGATCTTGCTGGACCGGATGGCTTTGCTAAATTGGGCGATGAGGAGGCTCTTGCGCGGCCTTTCATTCCACGCGCTGATACCTCGGAGGACAACTATGAGCTCCAAGACACAGAGCCATCTCGATGAATCTAGCGCTTACTTGAACATATCATATTTCTGCCCTGGCGTCCTCGCACTATAAAGGGCTTTTGCTGTTGGACCTTTGTCTTAAAATAACTAAAAGGAACATCGGTCTGGCCTTGAACTGTTCCCATTGCTCTCACACCTACTGTAGAACTTTTCTGTCTCACTTTGCCGAAGGACACAACTTGAGATGAGGTCTCAAATCAATAGTTTGGTCTATTGGGGAACTTCTATCATGCTCTGTCACTCCCTATATGGTATTCCCCAAAACTGAACACGGGACGGATCAGCATCATTTCACCACATAGCTGACTCGTGAGTTTCCTTGTTTTCTTGAAATCTTCTTCACAGTCACAGGTCCACACAAATCGGTCGTATCAACATGCGTACCTCCGCAAGGGTACACTTCAGCACCAACGATGTTAACTACACGAGATTTTTCACCTGCGGGCACCAAACTGCGATCGGGAATCAATCGCTCTAGTCCGCGCGAACGGAAATCCTCTTCATCCCACCATTCGATCTGAACCGGCATCTTGGCAGCGACATATGCATCCAGCTTGTTCTGGATAGCGTCTTTCCATTTCCCTTCGATTGAGCCTTGAAACTCACATGCTGCCGAGTCGGGAAAGTGTGAGGCTTTCAATTCATCGAAATTCTCAATCTCTTTCTCCAAAAGATGTCTGACTGATGCACCTAGTACGTGGCCTGCAGTATGCAACCGGGAATATAGTAGACGCTTTTCCACGTCAATTGCCTGCTCAACGGTCTCGTCTTTGTTGAAAGTGGATGAGCCCTCGAAGAGACCGAGGTGAAGCACCTGTCCATTGGCATCCGTGCGAACAGCTGTGACTGTGAAAGTGCCAGCTGGGCCTTTTAACACGCCCGTGTCAGAGGGTTGGCCGCCACCTTGGGGGTGGAAGATAGTTTTCTCGGTGATAATGACATGGTGTTTCTCGCTGGCATCTTTGAAGAGTAGACGACTGGATTCTTCAAGAACATCGAAAGGGATAATAGCCGTCACCGTGGTCTCAAGAGTATAGAGACTGGCATCATTCTGGAAGACCAGAATAGTGCGAGTTGCCATAGTGAATATACTTGGTGGGGGAAAAAGGAGAAGCGGGGAGATTTCTGAAAGTATTCGAAGCCCAACCCTTAGAAGGTTCTAGTAATTTGCATAATATATATGATGGGACTGTCAGCTTCAGTTATAATATAGTATGATCCTTCTATTATTAGGATATTACTATACAAGAGCAATATACTTTGATTTCACATACCTCAATATACATACTATCCAAGTATATAAAGTAGATAACTAGATCATATTCAACTTGAAATTACAGAGACCAGCCTAATATTTCCGTTCTAACCTTTGGAGTCGAAGATAATCGCTACTCCGGCTATTCTTTACCTTAGCGATTGACAAGCCAATCTTTTTCGGTTATTCTTATATCTTAGCGAATATCGTGCATTTCATTATCTTGGCTTATATATTTGGTTTGAATTATAAAAGGCCGGATTTATCATACTGTCTTCATGATCCCTATTTGCCTCTGAAATACTTCCATCATGTCTGATACACACCCTTTTGATCCTCTTGGCCCCCAGGAAATTACCAAGGTGGTTTCTCTCTATAAAACACAAGTTAGACATCCTATTAACCACCCTATAGGCCGCAAAAGTTGTCCAAGAGGTACTCCATGGAAAAAGTCTCAACTTTCGCGTTATCACCTTAAAGGAGCCACCAAAGCAGGAGATGATAGCTTTCTTGGAGAAGGAACATCTTGAGCAGCCCCAAATCTCCCGACCTGCTCGTATTGCTCATATCCAAGTGATCGTTCGAGGTGACTCTGGACCAAATGAACTCACCGAGCTTCTGGTTGATCTGGACCGAAGTGCTGTCGTTCAACGAGAGGTCCTTATGGGAAAACACTCGTTTATTGACTCGGCTTACATGAAAGATGTTGAAAATGCTTGTATGGCAGACGAGAGGGTTAAAAATGAGATTCAAAAGTTGAAGCTTCCTCAAGGGGCATCAGTCGTCGTTGAACCGTGGGCTTATGCCACTGATGGCATGAACGACATGTCGGAGCGGACTAGCATGGTTAGTACATCTTCGATACTTGCAGTATCTCAGTCCCAGCTAATGTAGATGCACAGTGTTGGTTCTATATGCGACTGGTGGACAATCCTGACGCCAACTATTACGCATATCCACTTGACTTATGTGCGGAGGTCTCTGAGCAGCTCAAGGTGACCAAGGTCTACCATTTACCTTCGTCTGAGAGTGAGAGGGTCCATGAAGAAGCACGACCATATGACCCCTGTAAGATCCATTCCGCTGCTCTGAGTGAATATCATCCCAGCCTGCGACCACCACCGCGCACAACCACCAAGCCCTACCAGGTGGTCCAGCCAGAAGGGGTTTCCTTCAAGTCACAAGGTAGTCTGTTGATGTGGGAGAAATGGACTATGCGGGTTGGATTCAACTATCGTGAGGGTCTCACGCTGCATGACATCCGTTATGACGGTCGGAGTCTCTTTTACCGACTGTCTTTGGCAGAGATGTTTGTGCCATATGGTGATCCTCGTGCTCCGTTTCCGCGCAAAGCAGCATTTGATCTTGGGAACGATGGTGCTGGGATCAACGCGAACAACTTATCTCTTGGATGTGATTGCCTAGGACTGATCAAGTATTTTGATGGATGGCATAACACTTCCTCAGGAGAACCATTAAAATTGCCCAATGTCATCTGCTGTCATGAGCAAGACGATGGGATTTTATGGAAGCACACAAACTTCCGCACAGGAGATGCCGCGGTGGTAAGATCACGTATTCTGGTCTTACAGACAATTATCACAGTTAGCAACTATGAGTATATCTTTGCTTTCCACTTTGGCCAAGATGCTTCGATTCATTATGAAGTTCGGGCCACTGGGATCCTGTCTACCAGTCCTATCAACATAGGTGACGAAGTTGGATATGGTACTATTGTTGCCCCGGGTGTCCTTGCACCATATCACCAACATCTGTTCTCCCTTCGTATTGATCCTGCGATTGATGGAGTTGCAAACTCGTTGCAGGTTGAGGAGTCCAGCCCTTTGCCCTTCAATGACCCATCCGTGCGAAATCCTTTTGGGGTCGGCTACACCACACATTCAAAGATTGTGACAGAGGAAGGTGGACTCGATCTCGATTTTAACAAGAATCGCACGTTCAAGATCATCAATGAGGCTAAGGTCAATCCCATCACCGGTACACCAGTTGGTTTCAAACTCGTTCCATGCTATAGCCAACTGCTGCTGGCCCATCCAGAGTCTTTCCATGCAAAGCGATCTGAATATGGAAACCACGCAGTCTGGATCACTCGTTACAGCGATGATGAGCTTTTCCCGGCCGGAAAACATACTATGCAGTCCCTTGGCGGCGAAGGGATCAACTCGGCAATTGCTCAACGGAGAAATGACCCGGATTCCAAGTCAACGGTGCGAAATGAAGATATTGTTATTTGGCACACATTTGGATCGACACATAATCCAAGAATCGAGGATTGGCCAGTGATGCCATCTGAAAAGATGGTGGTTGGTCTCAAACCAGTCAACTTCTTTACGGGAAACCCGAGTTTAGATGTTGCTATATCGAATCAAGGGGATAACCAGAGTCGACTTGTTGAATCCGAGTCAATATCCACCTGTTGTTCTCCAATTAAAATATGAAGACAAAAGTTGAGGTTCTCAAAGGATGTCTCTATATAGTGGGGGTGGATCCAAGTCGGGTCGTCTTTCCCTCTCGGGCTCTCTTGAACTTTCTATAAATTCCATAACTTGACCTTGACCTTGACCTTCACCCTTTTTTTCACTTAAAGATCATAATTTCACACTCAATTCCACTTCAAATGTCTTCCCGGAAACCAAAAGTCCAAATTCTACTCTCCGTCGATTTCGATGCCGTATCGGGCTTTCTAGGAACTGGTGCTTCGGCTACAACCAATCTGGCCGATTACAGCAGTGGCTTCTTCGCAGCTCAAGTCGGAGTACCACGCTTATTGCGCCTTTTCAAGAAACATGGAATTAGTTCTTCGGTAACTTGGTTTGTGCCCGGTCATTCAATGGAATCATTCCCAGAAGAGACCAAGGCAATTGTTGACTCGGGCGCCGAAATCGGTTGCCATGGATATGCGCACGAGGGCTCCAGTCAAATGACTGAATCCCAGGAGAGAGAGGTCATTGCCAAATGTGTGCAGCTGGCAACCGACTTGACTGGAAAAAAACCTCAAGGATGGAGGGCGCCATTATATCAGTTGCGAACACACACCATTCAAGTTCTAGAAGAGTTTGGATTTTTATACGGTATACAACTTTTTTTTATCCCCTAGGTCTACCCAGGCACTAACTTTAGACCAGATTCCTCTCTCACGCATCATGATTCGTCGTTGTACTTTATCCCTCGGATGTCAGAGCCCAAGGCCATTGACTTTTCTCCTTCCAAGTCTGCTTCCACTTGGATGAAGCCCCTCCCTACCCCTGCAGCCAGAACTCCTCAGACACTGGTTGAAATTCCATGTAATTGGTATATGGAGGACATGACCCCCTTACAATTTTTGCCAGGGGTGGAAAACTCACAAGGGTTTATCAGTCCGGTCACCATTGAGCAAAATTGGAAGTCTCGGTTCGAGTTCCTCTATAGTGAGGCTCTCGAAAAATCCATTGAGGAAGATACTGAGCAAGGCTTTGTTTTCCCTTTGGTTCTGCACCCAGATACTAGTGGAATGGCTCATGTGATTGGGATGATTGACCGAATGATTTTGTGGCTCAAACAACAGAAGGTTGAATTTGTGACATTTGGCGCGTGTGCGACAGAATGGAAAAAGAATCATAAGTAGAATATTCAAAGCATTCAAATTCTTGTTGACTATATTGACTATCTAGTCCCTAAGGCTTAGAGTAGTAAATTGGTTGGAGATTTGGCGGGGTGGCCACTTATCCGCCACCTCCAATTTTCTTTGCCAACTTCACTGTCTTTGGCCCTGATACCATGTGAAGTTTATATATCCCGACATTGGAACTCGTATGCCACGAAGAAAAGCTGCAGACCGCACAGGTCCGGTGAAGACCCGATCTCGCGATGGCTGCAAAGAATGTCGGGCGAGTCGTGTCCGATGTGACACCAAAAAGCCGATTTGCACACGCTGCCAGGAGAAAGGATTGCCATGCATGAAGAACCTGGTTTTAAAATGGGAATCTGAATTCATCAGTCGTGGAGCAGCTTTTGGGCGTGCAGGTGTTTGGAATAAAACCGGCGCAAATCAACCTACACGCGGCTCGCTTTCTTCCGAAACACATGAGTGGTGCCCAGTGCCAACTATTGGCCCTTGGGGTTTCATAAACAGCGGTGTTTCGACATTTGAACGCCCAGATGAAGTGAACGTTGACTTCGATGAGTTGAATGCACTGATCTCAGTTGCTCAAACCTCCAACTCACCCCAACTATGGTCCTGGTTACAACATTTCCCACATCTCAGCGGCCTTTGCACAAATTTCAACCCAAGACTCCCGCCTTCTCTTGCACTGTTTCCAGACCTATCCAGATCCGGGCATGGAGAGTTGTTTGATTATTATCTTCAACAAGTGTGCCCTCGCACAGCTGCCAGTTCCGCATTTTCTTCGCCGTTTGCCTCTGTGATTCTGCCATTCTGTCTATCGGCTTCTCCGACGCTTTTCAAGGCCATTCAAGCGCTAGGGGCATGTCATTGGTCAAGGCTCAATCCAAGCTATGGTGCAATCGGCCTGCGTTATAAATCAGAAGCTTTGAGGGACCTTCGTCAACGTCTTTCATCGGAAGGAAGTTTGACATGCTCCATGGATCCTGAAGTATTGGTTATCATGATCATGCTATGTTTATACGAGATAGTAGACAAGTGTGATCAACAATGGACCATCCACCTCAAAGGCGCTAACGATTTAATTCGACTGCGAAGAAAGCAGCAAACGACATTAGCTCAATCAACGGGCCCATCAGATCCTGTGACGAGTTTTGCAGAGCAATTCTTTGCCTTCCAGGATGTCATGGGTCGAACCGCTTGTGCCAAAGAGGTCTTGTTTGGTACCAACTACTGGAAACCGGACGAACGCAACATCGATCTTTGGATGGGCTGCAGTCCTGAATTGGTGTCAATCCTGGCCAAAATCACAGATATGAGTCGAACAAGGAGACAAAATACGTCCGATGCGGACAAGGCATCGTTCTCACTACGTGCTGCTTCCCTTGAACGACAACTGGCAAACTTAGTTCAAGAGGTGGGAGAGGGCGATGATGAAATTCTCGCACTGGTTGCAGATTCTAAGCGGTTGGCTGCAATGCTTTACTTACATTGTTCTCTGCATGGGGCGGGTCCCACCACACCATTAGTGAAGAGTTATGTGCGCCAGATTCTGCGACTCATATCGGACCTCCTTGACCGTAAGTCGCTGGTCAATGTGACATGGCCAGTCTTTGTGGCTGCTGTGGAGCTTGACCCATCTGATGACGAGGTTTTCCCGGAATCTGAAATGGAATCGGGCTCAGGACGAGCGATTGTGCTACGTTCCCTGGCAACAATGGCCGATTCAACGATCTCGAACATTGCTAGAACACGGGCAGTGATCACCAAGTTATGGCAGACACGCGACTCAGACTTGATGAAAGGGACCGCTTTGCAGAATCAGTGCAATGATTGGGAATGGCATGTGGTGCCAATCAGCAATGCCATGAGTCTAGCATAGGGTATGAACGAGGAAGAACGAACATATGGAACCTTCTTCACATTAGATAGACACTGAATGATCGATTAATTCTGTACTTTTTAGTTCGATTGTAGGGCTCTAGGGATTGGACATACAATTGTACAAGATATAGATCACTCACTATGGAGGGGAATGTCCGGATCGGGTTAGCGCGTTGTCATCTGATCTCGTTAACCGCCCAAAGCCAGCGACCTGCGATGTAATGTAGACCTCACATCGACCCGAATCCTGTGGATATCTTATTATAAGGCACAGCGCATGTGCTCTCCGGGCATTAACTGTGGTGTTGAACCCATTTTCCTGCCTCGGTGCCGACGAATGATGCCCTTCACTCTACGCCCTTGCTCTGTATCGCGAAATCAGACCAAAGTGACTTGAAAATGGCGCTGCGACCTCCAGCGCCAGGGCGCAGTGCATCGGCCCACGGGTTTGAAAGCAAGCTCAGTCAACAATTAGCTCAACCCCACCAAACCGATCTAGAACACCAACTTGAACCGTCACGCTCTCCCAAGTCGCGTTCATTATCTGATGCATCCAGACCTACACCCACTCAACCATCCACTGGTGATCTCAGTCGCCCAAGCAAAGACGATCATGCAATACCTACCCTCCCTGCAACACCTCGAAGGTCAAGTGTAGCTCATTCGAGCCTCTCGCTAAACTTGCCTTCCAAACCCGCCGTGTCGCCATCACTTACAAACCGCGCCCCTCTCTCTCCTAAACTTGACCCATCACATATCTACGGATCTCCGGGGTCTGTTCTCCCTCGACGATCTCGGGGCCTCGACTTCTCACGTGCATGTACGAACCTCCACCATTCCACCCTAGCCGAGTCGTCCCCGGATTCATCTCCCACCGTTGGAGGGCGAGGCATGGCAATACCCCTGCGACGCGGATCACTTGGAGCGACATCCGTCCCACCTTTTTCAACCTCGGGTCCGGGCGACCGTACAACAATCTCAAGTTCCATGTCGAGTGTGAATATGATGGAGTCGGACACAAGTAGTAGCGAGGAGGAAGATGAATCAATGGCTGATCGCGACGACATTATGCTCAATACGCCGCAGGCGACTCGCATAAGTGCACCGAGTCCGTTTGCGAGCAATATGCAGAGCCCAGGCAACGAGTGGATGGGAGGATACTCACAAGCCGCTGCCAGCTTGATGAGTTTCCAACGGGCGCGCTTTCGCAAAGGCCGTAGTCGTCATAGCTCTAGCAGTGCGAGTGGAAATAGTTCAAAGCATAGTCCAGCCCCTCACTCTCCACCCATCATGAAGAGTGTCGAGCACTCCAGTGGGGGTTATTTTGCCCCGCGGCAGACTGCGCATTCACGCAGAGAGAGTCTCAGCTTTGGCGCACGCGACCTGCGTTTGTCCGATATGAGCGACGATGGCGAGAGTCGCGCGACGCGAAGCGGAAGCCCAATTCCCATCCCACATCCAGAAGGTGGCGGTCCACTGGGGGTAATCCGTCGCGCAGTGACCCGACGTGGGAGCTTACTTGTGAGTTGGTGCCTTTCTGTTTCACTGGTCCAGAAGCTAACTTAAATGATAGCCCAAAACCAAGACATTTGCGCGCATTCGCGCCGCTCTGATGGAGGAGGGTGCTCCAGTCGATAGCGATATGAAGCGAGAAGCAGAAGTGGTCCGGCAGGTCCGCGACACCGAACCTGAACCAACCCCTGCACTCGGCGAGTTCCCATCGTTGCAGCCCTCGACCTCGTTTGAGTTGACACCGTCAGAAGATCCCGCGGTCAAAGCGGGAATGGACACAGCATCTACGGATACTTTTGGTAAACAAGCTAGTCGTAACTCGGGCGGCGTCGCGTTTTGGAACTCGTTCGACGGACGTTACCGAACCCCACCCCCGGCTCGTCAGGAAGGTCCCTCGTCCTTGGCAGATGAGGATATGTTTATGGATATGACCCCATCCACGACGATCGGCTCTGTTACCGCGGAATCCTTCAAGCAGCGCTCCCGCTCTTCCACCCCCATGCCCCGGGCATGCCAAGTATTGGGGAGATCTGTCGCAAGCGGCGTCGTGACGATGACTTCGATCCTAACCTTTTCAAGCGTCGGGCTGTTTCGCCCAGTGTGAGTGTTCAGAGCAGTCCAGTGATGACTCACTCCCACAATGTCAGTGATATGGGGCCAAACATCTGGGGTCCGCCGCCAAAGCCAGGCCTCGGTGCCCCGTTCTCTGAACGACTCAGTTCTGAAACGAGCAATCGAACGATCACTCATGCTGGAGGTGGGAAACGCGTCGGTCTGCAAGGGATGACCGAAGCTAGCGATGGCTTTATGAATATGAGCATTGATTGAAAGGCGCTTTTGGATTTGCGATGTGGAATTTGATATTCTTCGTGCGCTCTCGGGGTTTACAGGCATTTTGGGAGGGTTTTCAAGGGTACGGTGTTATTTGGACATATTTCAAGCACGACACACATTCGTTATTTTAGCGTTCCAGATACCTCATGGCAGATTATTTTATGAATTATTTCACTTTACACTGTTGATGTCTAGTTCTATAGATGTATATAGTAGACCACGTGCTTATCGCTCTCCGCCTCCGACATCGACAGCTTTCTCTCCGCAGACTCCAGACAATAACATTTCCAAGCTCCAATACTTCTCAAGAACTTCAATTGTACTTCAACGTATTGCTCAATATCCAATACCTCAGTCGTATTTTCCTACACTATGCCTTCCACTGTTGAACTGGCATCCTCCTTCATCGAGGGTGCCCCGCCCGGAGAGGTATGCACGTCAACAATGATCCAGGATCCCCCACTACCCTGGTCATCGTCCGCCTGAACCTTAAGAGATGATCGCTGACATTCTTTTGCTCAGCTCGCCGATGTTGTCGCCGGTAAATGGCCCTCTTAGCGCTACACTGCCTTTCCCGATCCCCGCAATACCGACCCCTACACGAACGGCGATGCTGATCCGTACTGCTTGATTAGATGTGCAAGCCTTGACTTCCGAGGGCGAGGATATAATCCCCTCCCTTCTACCCGCATTCAAACGGTACAACGAGACGCAGCTCGCAACGGTGAAATTGCCAGGATCGAGCCAGGAGGTGGGTTTCGCTCGGTAGCGGTCTATGTCTGCGGTGGAGCTGACACTTTTGCTGGAAAGGTCATTGTTAGTGAATTTAACGAGCTCGAGGACAACCGTTACTTCGACCCGGAGAGCCAAACCTCATTCGAGGTCGACCACACCACACAGGTAGGCTCCATCTGACCAACTGGGGCAGCACATTGAAGGCTTACCCGGTTGCACCATGACAATAGACTGCCTCTGCGGCACAATCATACCCATTGGAGTCGGAGCACGCGGACTTGATGTAAGAAATGATCTCCGTTGAAGTCTTGGTGGTATTCCGCTTACCGTGTTTAGCAAATCGCTGCTCAAGTCGTTCGGTGTTCATGCCCGTGAACACTACCCCAACTGCTCATATGGTGTCTACCCCATTGAGAATGACTCTGCCGTTGCCATCGTCTTGGTTTCCAACCGATACTCTCCCAACAACTTCTGGTGAGTGGTTACAGTCTTTACGAATAATACATCTTGGGTGGAAACTAATCGTTATTGACGCTTCCCCATCTGGGGAGGATTGTCTGTTTTTATCACAATAGGAACGGTCGTTTCCGCGCAATTTATCAACTTCCCGTCTCCTCCTCGTCCTCTACCCTGACTGGCAACATCCACGTTGACGTGCACTACTACGAAGATGGCAACGTCGCCCTCAACACTACTAAGCCTATCAACATCTCCATCTCCTCCGTATCTGCCGAGTCAATTGTCTCACGGATCGCTGCAGCGGAGCGCGATTACCAGGAGGCGCTGAACCGGGCCTTCGTCCAAACATCCGAGGGCGTATTCAAGGGTCTCCGGAGGCAGCTTCCCATTACGCGACAGAAGGTGGAGTGGGAGAAGGTCGGTGGATACCGTCTGGGCCAGGATATCTCGGGCGGCAAAGGGCGGTAGAGCAGTGACTTGGAAATATTGTGGGCGGTTTGATGAACCTGCCCGCGGTGAATAGCTGATGGACTGATATATCCCTACTATTTTGCAAGCATTGTCTCATTTTGTGTGTTAATTTCACTTTCATGGTTTGCGAAGAGGATTAAGTGTAATTTGTTTTTGTAGTGCTGGGCTCCTTGTGCTGTCGCTTTATATATATCTCCAACACACAACTACCAGCCAACTTCACTCATGCCCAGAGTACCCCAGGTGAACTACTTTCACCGATAATAAATATCCGATTATATGTATAGTGATTTCTATACATTAATTTTCGAGCATGCAAACGCTGAATAAGCAAAACTACTAGTGCAGGTGAGATTAGCCCACTTCCAAGCCTCCCACACACAGATCCCACCCCTATCCCTTAAGAGTGTATTGTTCCCAGAGCTTGTAGAAGTGCTGTAACGATGATTCAACAATTTTCTCGTTTTGTTAAATCAGGCGCTGGTCTTGAAAAGACCCTTCGTTTGATTCAATGCGTGTCCCAGGTTGTCGCTGCACTTACTGTGAGCAGTGCCCTGGCCGTGCAATTGACCACGGTCAAGCTGCAATTGGCATTGGGTAAGTTGACTTCCAATGTCCGAGAGATAACGATGCGCTCCGATTGATTGTCATGTCTGCATGTGCTGAGCTGATACTGGGGTTGCTGCGTAGCGCGGAGATATTTCCGCTTCTTTGGATTCATTGACTCCTTCCAGCGCATGTTTGCGTTGCTGGGCAAGGATGGCTTCAGTTCGGTGGCTGGGATGCTCGAACTGGCTAAATGCACCTGCTTTGGCCTTTACTTTGTCCTGGAAGACCTGACCACGGTATGTTACGTACTGCTTCTTTCGGTGAATAGGACTGACGAAAGCCTAGCTTCACGCAATGGGCGTCTATGCAGTGCCCTGGAATGGCCGTGTTATGGACCAGGCCAATACTTTCTGGTTCTATGCGCTTTCTTTCTCTGTTGCCGGAGCTATTTGGGCGCTTCTTGCCGGATCCGCGGAGAAGCCTCCTAAGAAGAATGGCAAGAGAAAGAACCAGAAGACCTCTGAGAAGGCTACTCCGGTCAAAGCGACTGCTGTCTCTGCCCGAGTCAAGCAGATTGTAGTGGAGGGATGTGATCTGCTCATCCCGCTGGAGCTTTTGGGCTGGATGCCCACGGGGGATGTGGTGGTTGGATCGACCATGGTGTTGAGTACACTGCTGACTGCTCAAGATATTTGGGCCCGTGTTTGATTGGAAAGTAGATATAGCATTGTCAGATGATAGACATAGACATTAGATTATAGATGTCAACATAAAAAAAAGCAAATCCCCAAGGATAACCAAAGGACAAAAAAATGGACTTGCAGGGAATCGAACCCTGGACCACTCCCATGCTAAGGGAGTATTATACCACTAAACCACAAGCCCAATTGGATGAAAGAGACGGCTTCTTAATGTCTCAAGACTGGAAACTAATGTGGGAATTAGCCGAAGGCTCTAGAGTGGATCTGTTAGGAACAGATCGAAGCCATAGTCTTCTATAGTGGGCCCGGCTGTTACAGGTCCCATTTACCGGATGTTCCTGGGAACTGCTGCGCCAGAGGTGCTTCTCGTTAGGGCTGTCTGTAAGCTCGTATCCTTCGCCTTTGGACATGTTGCGTTGGGCAATGATCGTTGAGAACTAATTTTGGAAGACTGGGGCTTTGCGCTGCTGTGAGAAGATGGCTATGCAAATGAGGCTCAGCAAGTCCAGAGACATGAAAGGTGGGCGAACCTATGGACAGACGCCAGGTGATAAGGGAAACACGAGCGCCAAGAACAAAGTTAGAACAAAGGCCCAAATAGGCAAGTCTCGTATCGAATAAAAAAACAGTATATAGACTGTGCCGTCGAGAGTCATTCACACCCAGAGTTATTCAGAGCTCAAATCACCTTAGAAATGTCCACGACCATTCTTGATCCAAAGAAAATGGAGATTCACTCGGTCTCCATAAGATCCAATAGTACTCTAAGTACACTCATCGAGACAACTTTCAACCCATCACGCATTTGAACCATCAATGCGCAAGGCATTGGGGCCTTTTGTCTCCCACTACCATCTCGCCAAACCGAGATTTTTGTCTACAACCCAGACGGCACCGAGGCCTATGTCTCCACGCGGGACAAGCGTTCCTCAGGCAATGCAATCCTGTCTCACCCAAAGCGCGAAAATCTTATCCGAACTGAATACTTCTTCGGTCCGAGCCGCGATCCCGTTGTGCACCTGCTTCAACCTTCGAGTGACATTCCCGAGCAAGTGATTGTTGCTGGAAAATGGACCTCCCGCACAATGCGCTTTGGTATGCCTGGAGGTAAACAGTTTGAATGGGAATATGCCAAGGAAAAAAGGGCAGACGGGCAGAAAGTCAATTTGATTGTTTTCCACGTAGTAGAAGAAAAGGGCAAGAGTAAAGAGACCCAAGGCCACAGAATTGCACAGCTAGTTCGTGGAGTGGATTCTCGGACGCCCGGCACGTCGCGGTCTTCTGCGGGAAATGGGGGTGAATTGCAGATTGACGAAGCTGCGTTACAGTCCCTCGAATTGGACGAGGCGGTTATTGTTGTGACTTGCCTGATGATGTTGAAGGAGATTGACCGACGGAGGATGATTCAATTTGCAATGATCGCGGGAGCTGGTAATTGAGATTGGTAAGATGAGAACGTAAAGAGCGTCTGGTGTATTTTAGTTATCTCAACGCTAATATCTATTGTCTATCGAATATTTGGATATCTTTTCGCTTGATAGGCAGTTCTCAATTGGCCCGCTCGTTCAACAATTCGGAAATGTGGCCATTGAGCCAGTAGCCGTTCAATTCGTCGGTGGACATGGTCTTGGCCCCAGAGATCCAGCCTCTGCAGACTCCCTCACCTGCCCCGCAATTACACTGGAATGCCTGGTCCATCTCCCACTCGGTGCTGGGGTAGAAGAAGGTAAGGGCATCACCTGCCTTCAAAGGGTGGTCGTCCCCGACCCGCACCTCCATACGGCCCATATCGAAGACCAACGAGGGTGCACATGAGTGATTGCAGTAGACGAGGTCGGAGTTGAGTTCAATGTGGGTGTCGCGGCCGGTTTGCACGCTCGTGTAGGCTTTCTTTCCGGGAGTTGCCGTAGTGATCTTGGCGAAGACGGCACCCGCGGGGAGGTCGACGAGAGAATAAGCTCCACTCGCAAATGCTTTCGTACTGCGATCAACACGCAGACATTCAGGATGAGTCGGAGGAGGGAAGTTGGCAACGGGCGTCACAGGAATGGGATCGGCTGATGGAGCCATACTGAGAGATGTATGGAGGACGGTATAATAGATCAAGAGAATAGGATGATAGGATGACTGTGAATCTTTTGAGGTGAATGTAAAAGGGGAATTGGGGGTTTAATAAGTAGAAATGTACGGAATACGAGTGAAGAAGAGAGGTCTCAGGTTGTTCCCTTCAACCGAGGTCGTTACGCTAAGACCGAGGTACATGCTTAAAACACATACATGTAATTGTTAAAAGAGTGTACGGAGTAGAGACATTTAGACTCGTGAACGTGGGTTTCTAGCGGCAGATCGTACGCATTCGTCATTCGGTGAACTTCCACATGCATTAACAGCCCACATTCTCGGCTTCATACTCGAACTAATTTAAATATACCCTGTACCCTGTATAGTCATACGTTTTTAAATTGAGGTAAATCCTGAAACTATTAACACAATTGTTCGGAGCGGACTCCGGATGTTGCTGATCATGCTACTTGTTTATTCTTCCTTTATATTCAAATGACTCAGTTTATATGTCTATTCATCAGTTCATCTTACGTAGTAGCTTCTGTCCATTCAACCACCGCTCCAAATTCTCAGCTGTTTCACGATACCACCCCCGCAATAGATCCTCTTCTCCATATCCCATGTGGGGGGAGAGCAGAACTTCACTGCGTCCATCTTGTCCCCAGGGAGTAGTACGCCATGGGCTATCGAGAGGTAATGGCTCCGGGTCAAAGACATCTAACGCGGCCCCACGAATGCGGCCCGCATTCAAGGCCTCGAGGAGGGCCTGCTCTTCAATCAAGGGCCCACGTGAAGTATTGATGATAAATGCAGATGATCGCATATTTGCTATTTCAGCCGCACCAAGGATTCCACGGCTTCGATCCGATAACACACTGTGTACACTGACGATATCGGCATGTGCAAAGAATTCCTCCTTGGACGCAGCAACGACAAATGTCCCCGCTGGCAGACCCTGAGCCTGCGCTTGCTCGTCGGCTTTTTCCTGTGTCAAGTTTGTTGACCATGCGAGAATCTTCATACCAAAAGCCAGAGCGCCAATTTTTCCTACTTCTGACCCCAATTTTCCCAAGCCAAGCAGCCCCAGTGTTTTCCCAGACAAGTTGACCCCAAGGGAGCCCTGCCATGCGCCGCATTTGACAGCTGCATCATCGCGTGCTATATTTCGAGCAAGTCCCAAGATCAAAGCCCATGTATGCTGCACCGTCGAATTAACTCCGGGTGGGCGGCCCTCGGTACCTGCGACGGCCACGTTGGAACGTGTAAACGCCTCGAGATCGAGCGCCAGGTTGCGGGTACCCGTGGTCAAAAGAAGTTTCAAATTTGGGAGGGCCGCAATTGTCTTGGCTGCAAAAGGTGTTCGCTCGCGCATGGCCAAGATGATATCGAAGGGAAGGAGTCGTTGGACAAGAGCATCGTGTTGTACAGGATCGCGGGGGTCGAGGGTTTCGGGAAAACTGGAAATGTCAACTTGCGACTCGAGGTGAGTGAAATAGGCAGGTGCAATGCCCTGATAATCATCAAGGATTGCAAACTTGAGTTGAGCCATTGTCAAAAATGTAGAGTGAAAGGAGAGAAAGAGAGAATGAGAGTGAGCGGAAGTGCGCGAAATTCCCCCGCGTTCCCGGCAATTCGTTTATCCACGCAGCTATCATACTATGGACGATGTACATCTGTGGATATATATATGCTTGTAAACATGTGATTTCAACCTATTTCGACATGTGTCTAAGGTATTAGAGTACGTTCGTACTCCAAGCTGATCCCAGTTGGTAAGTGTGCCTTGGGTATCTAATTTCAAAGCATATGCCCTGCACTCTTTATTGTGAAACTGGGTCCCTCATCATCAGGAAGAATGATTCGCGCCCATCACTACCAAATAGTGCATAATCCAGAACCACCTCTTCTACCACCTTCCATCCGTGCTTGAGGTAGAGGGGAACACCCTCCGGCGTACCCTCGAGGAAGATGCGCGACTGGGAGGCATCTGCCTTTTCCATGCCCCATTTCAAGATAGCAGAACCAAAACCTCGCCCTTGATATTCCGGTAAGGTTGCTAGCAGATCGAGGACTGAATCATTTGAGCAAGATTGCCTCTCAGGGATGCAGGGCTTCACTTACTGATATCGTTCTCTGTGGTGTATCGCTCACGAGCATCCGCGAGAAGCTTTTTAAAGGCAATGGCAAGTTTCGCATTCATGGGCTGGGGTGCATGTTGAATGGGGTCCTCGGCCAAAACGGCCGCGTCTTCACTCAAGGTAACCTGGCTCGGACCAAATGATGCTGGAAAGTGCCAACGACTGTAGGTTGCCATTTCCCCACCGACTGGATCATGGATCTTGAGGACGTGCATATTGGGGTCGGCAAGATGTTTCATTCCCACAATTATTTTGTATTCCTGCACTCTTGTCAAGCTGGCCTTTGGAAAAACTTCTTCGAGGAGACGGCGACCTTGAAAGCTTTGGACGTTGACTTTGGCAAGTCCTGGACCATCGGCCTCGGTGGCATATTGGATGAGATCCATTAGATGATTAGAGAAGGTATAGAAAGAATGTAGAAAATATCTAGAGCCCGGGAATCCCGAATATATAAGGGGCAAGTTCAGAGAGACACTAATCCTCATCGGTACCCCGGCTCTCCCCCACCCTTAGCGGGAAAGAATTTTGTACATTGTTTTATATATTAGTAGACACTATATATTGGTATTTCAAATCTTTGCTATTTTTCAAGCCTTTCGCTTTCTGATTTCCAGCTTTGCAGCTGGATCACTTAGTATTTCAAATCCCAACTCTATAATCTTGGGTGTCATCCCTTCAGGAATCCTGATGTCGTAAGTCAAAAGAATCTTAGCTACAGCAATCTTGACTTCATTGCTAGCAAAGAATCTTCCAGGACAGATTGGTTTGCCAATTCCAAAAGCAATATGCGCCGGGCTCGTAGATGCGAGCGCTGCCGCACTATTACCAGATTTGCGAAGACGAAGAAAACGGTAGGCATTATAAGATGCTGGATCGGGGTAAATGGCTGGATCCCACATCATAGATGAATCAACAGCAACATTTGTTCCGCGAGGGATAGTCAAGCCATTGGGAAGGATAATATCTTGCAGGGCTTTTCGCTCAAGATTGACTGTGAGAGTGTGAGCTTAGCGCCTAGATATGAGAGAGCACCGATCAGTTGATAGAAGTAGACACGTACCTAACGATCCCGGTTTGAGCCGTAGTGTTTCCTTTACTGCGCTGTCCAATAGCTGCATCTTGAAGACGCCTGCAGTTGTCCATCCACTCTCCTCAACAGCTTTCTGTGCTTCATCTCGTAGAGCTGGAATCAGCTCTGGGTGCATACAAATATCCAGCATCGCCTGCTTAAGAAGCTCAGAAGTTGTGTGCATTGCGCTTATCGAGAATGCGATTTGCGATGCAGCGGCATCATATGGGCGTCCAGCAGCGATTTCTTCAAGCCACTGTATGGTATCCTCGAACTTTTCGCTCTTGTCACCCTCACTAGATTCAGATTGCCCATACACCCTGCGGTCAAAGATTGGCTGCAGCATAACACGAGCAAGACGAATTTGCTGACGGCACTTTCTGAGTTCTGGCAAGAACCAATGAACCAATGGTCGAAGAAAGGCCGGCCAAGCGCGGAGAGCTCGAACCCCCATAAATGTATTAATTGTCGAAGTGAGAATCAACTCTTGCCACTTAGGATCACGAGCCAACTCAGGTCCGACAAAGACAGATGCTGACATTCGCCCGACGAAGCGGACTACGTGTTGAGACCAATCAACAGTGTGCCAGTCTTAAGAATAAGTTAATCGAGAATTATGACACAATATAGAGGCAGCATACCGTTGCGGTCTGTCCAGATCTCTTCCAGGGCCTCCGTAAGGTGTTCATGAAACAGCTCGCACTCTGTGATGAAAGGCCATATTAGGGAGACTCTAATGTAAATCATGAGCTCTGGAGCTGTCACGTACGACTGCTCTGATTGCTCAATTTAGTCTTGATGACATTGATCAGAATCTTTCTGGGATCAGTGACAACTCTCTGTCCTTCCATCCCGGGGTATGCTGCGAAGTATTGCTGTATGAAATCATGTGTCGTCAGTTCCCATTTCTCGTTAGTAAAGGGAGCTGCAACATACATCATGGACCAGCGCCTGATGATCTAAATCCAAGCAATTCTTTAACCATTCTGTATAAGACGCAGGAAGAATTACCCGAGAGCCAAGAGTAGTTATGATGCGAAATGGGCCGTTAAACTGGAGCGTGTACATCAGATGCAGTGTCATTGTAGGAAAGTTACTGAACGTACCTTCTGGATTCCTTCCTTAATCAAACCTCTGGCATCTGAAGTGAATCGTAAATGAGCCTTTTTCAAAGTTATATCACCCGAGTATGAGTTGACAATCGGTATTGTCGGTTCTGTTGTCCGACGCCATGCGAGGACAACAAGGAAGCCCAAGAGAGCTGTCAACAGAAGAAACACGACCGAAAGATCTTTCATAAGAAAGTCATCTGAGGGGAAATATGTCATTATTGCTTGAAACTCTTTTACCCATCAAAAGCAAACTGCCTAGACAAGGGGTGGTTTAAGTATAGATACTAGTCACGTGCATATAACTTTTTGAGTCTGTCACGATGAATAAATATGAGTCACTATGTATGGTCTATAAATAAAAAGTGGGTATCTAAAATTGCATAGCAAAAGATGATATGCACATTTATTAGTGAGGCTTTCTAGGGCACATAAACCTGCCCTAGAAACTTTTACTCTTCGAAACCTGGATGGGTCTGGTAAAGACAATCAATTCCATTGCCGTTCAAGCGAAGAAAGTAAAAACGGAATCATCTGCACTAGTATTTGCAAAAAGCGAATCACAATCCAGTAGATATCTACACATCTCGCAGGAAATTCCCGGACCAATTGCTTTAACCAGCGATCTTGGCAAATGTCTTCAGAGCGTCTTCGCTGCCATTCCAAATTTCCGAATCGCCTCCGAAGCTGTACGCATCCGAGTTCTGCCAGAAGCTCTGGAATTCCCAGCCAGCGGGGATAGTACCGACAGAAGAGCTGTATCGAGCTATAGCTAATGGGTAGTCACCGAATGCCGTGCTGCCACCAGTGCAAGTGTTCCACCAGTCGGTGGTCGTGTAGATCATAGGGTACCGGCCAGCGGTGTTCTTGTAGGTCTGGCCAAAGTCCTTGATCCAGGCAACCATGGCTGATGCGCTGAGCCCATAGCAGGATGCGCCGGACGGGTTGTATTCAATGTCCAGCATACCGGGTAGGGTCAGGCCATCATTGGACCAACCTCCACCGTGGGCAAGGAAGTAGCTGGCTTGTGCGGCACCGGTGCTGCTGGCGGGTTGGGCAAAGTGGTAACCACCACGGATTAGACCAGCGTTACTGGCACCCACGTATTGGCTCGAGAAAGAGCTCGAGATGTAACTGGTACCCTCAGTCGCCTGATATAGTTAGTATTGTAACGGAGAAGAGACCCCTAGTAAGGTTGGAAAATCTTACCTTGATCATGACGAAGCGAGCACCGGCTGCATAAGCACCAGCAAAGTCCACGCTAGGTTGATAGCCGGAGATATCGAAGCCCTGGACACTGGCGCTAACAGCAGTGGCAAACAGGAGGGGTAGGGCGTTGATCTTCATGATAAGAGTTAAAAGTGAGATTGAATAGAAGTGGGAGAGTGTATCTGAAGGTAAGTGATCAAGTTTTTGGAAGGGGAATTGGGGCCTATTTATGTGTTTTCCAATGAAGCTTCAATACCCCGTACTTTAGTGTAGTTGCAACCTCGGTTTCTAAAATAACAAGGGGACATCATGCAGTAGTAACGTTGTATAGTGGAAACACGAGGATCCATTTCTCTCATCCCACTTCAGGTATGTATAATGCAGATCAGTTGCTGGGCATTTGAATGTTTCAAGATTGCTTGATATATAAAATTCGGAGAGTGTCGTATGGGATGTAAGTAAGAGATAGTATCTATCGAACTGATCAGATATTGAAACGATTCAACCTAGGAGGTTTGATCTATGAACATTTTTCAATATGATAGACCTCAGTAGTTCCGGTAGTTGATGTATATAGGCTGAAGATATGCAAAGTAACCCTAATATCTTATGATAAGCCCAAAACAGGGGTCTTTAAGATATAAAACACAATATAATAATAATAGAATTATTACTCTGCATAATCTAAAATAAATAGAATGATAATCAATAGAATATCAAATTAATAGCCATCTCGCAGAATGACACCCTTTCGGCCATTCCGCCTATGTAAGCGAAAGTCCAAGGCTAAGCTCTTCTCTCCCCACTTTTCATATCTTCCCTTCTTCAAAGTACTATGAACGTTCGTTATCTTCAATAACAATTGGTGGAAGTGTTTTGGGAAATGGATAGCCGAAGCCGCCCCCGACCATGAGCACATCTGGAAATAAGGATTTCCGCGATCAGCTGGGGAAGTTTCGCTTGGATTCGATTAATACTTATACCCCAACCTGGCCTCAACCACCTCCGGTTCATGAGTCTATAGATGCCTCGAGCCATGCTCGGAGCAAACGAGTATCGACTGCCTGTGACTTTTGTCGCAAAAGGAAGAAGAAATGCGACTTTCGATACCCCAATTGCTCAGCCTGCACCCGCGCCGGAGTCCGATGCACCATACCCCCGCCCGGTCCTCAAGTCGCTAGCGCCTCCGTTCCCCGAGATCAGCTGGAGAATTTGCAGAAACGTGTACGATGGCTGGAGGAGGTTGTCCGTCGCAGGTCGGGATTATCGGTAGCGGAATTGCCGACGGGGACACCAGTCGATGGCGAGGGAGACCCGGATTGGTGGTATCAGGTCCCCGCTATGGTTGCGACCGGGGGTAATACCTCACTGCCGAGCCCTGCTGGTAGTGGCGGTTCTTCTGTGACGGCAGGACCCTCGGAGGCCTCGACTGGAGTAGGCACTGAACTCCCCAACATCGGCGAGATTTTTCGCGATCAGCTGGAGAATCGCCGACCGTCAGTGGCACGACCTTCCTCCGCGCCACGAGTCATGCGCTTGTCGTCGCTGGAGGAAGCAGAACGGCTAGCCGTGCAATATTTCGATAGTATAGGATACCAATACCCGTTCCTGTCCCGTCCGGAGTTTATGGGCCATCTGCGCCATATCTATACTGGTGGTGTTCCATCACCGGAAATCCATCACTCTTATCACATTGTCATTGCCATTGCGCTTCTGATTGGGTCTGCGGACCCGACCCAGGCCGCTGAATTTTACCATGCCAGCCAAGAGACGCTCCCCCTGGCATTGCAAAATGAAGACTTGCCGGCTGTGCGGGCACTTCTGGGATTGGCCGTGTATACCATGTTTGCAACTTCTGGTCCTAGCATCTGGCATGTGTTGGGTGCGACAATGAGGTTATCGATTAGTATGGGTTTGCACAAAGCGCGGTCGTATCCTAGCATTGCTGAGGAGGAGATGGCCAAACGCGCTTTTTGGAGTCTTTACAACCTGGATCGCCTCATCGCTAGTACCTTGGGTCGGCCATTGGGAATCGCCGACGACGATATTAGCGTGGGCCTTCTGCGAGAACTCAATGATGATGAAACCGAAGCGCCTGGCGCTAGCGCGATGACGATTCCTTTGCAGGTGACACGTCTGCGGCGGATATTTTCGCGCATTTATCAATACTGTAAGTGAAGTGCTCGAGTCTCATCTGCTCTTTTCTGATTATTCTGTAGTATATAGCAGCCTGCCACGACTGCCACCCCAAGAAGCTGCCGCCACGCTTAGTCGATTCCGCCATGAGGTTGATGACTGGCGCATGACGGCTCCAGTATATCCATCGGCACTTCTCTATTCTACCTCTTATTACGATTATCTTTATTACACAACACTTCTCTTGATGTACCGCCCCAGCCCGCGCAATCCGACGCCCGACATAACTAGTATCATCAGCTGTGGTGAATCTAGTATCCAAGTAATTCGATCCTATTGGGATAGCTACTCAGTCGGCAAGCTGAAATGGATTTGGTTAACGCTCAGTCAACTTTATTTTGCAGGTATCACTATCCTGTGGTGCCTTGAGCAGAACGCACGCTCATTACGGGAGTTTCAACCTGCCCCTTGGAACCCCGAAGAACAGACGATGCGACGTGGTATTCAGGCCGTTGTCGTACTCTTGGAAGAATTTGGCAAGCGTCGGCCTGGGGTGGACCGGTTGGCAGAGACATTCCGGCACCAGAGCACAGTGATCTTTAGCCAAATGGCCTATCAGCAACAGCAATTAGAGCAGCAACATCATCACCCACAACACCAACCGCAACAACCACCGCCTCCACCACCTCCACCTGCACTTCTCCCACCTCATCCAATGTCTTTGGCCGCACCCCCTCCACCTCCAGTCCCACTCGCTCCAGTTCTCGACGATGTGTTACTTGTGGATGGGAGTGGGAGTGTCCCGATGATCGATCCACAGATGGCGGAACAACTCTTCTACTCCTACAATTGGTTCCAAGAGGAGATGGCATCATACTATACCCTTTGAACGAATCTCTTTCTCTGTATTTAAAGCATGCTCTACCGGAGGTAGACGGAGTTTTTCATCGGGCCAGGCTTTTTGTTTTATGTGAATACTTTGCGAGTTTGTTTCAATCAAAAAACAGATCAGGCTCAGATTAAGAATTATTTCAGTATCTTCGGCATAAAATCTTTTATATAGTTTATGGACTAGGTCGAAATGAAGATGGATTATAATTAAGACTCCCACTTGGGAGAAATAGATTTATATTTGAAGTATAGCAGCCCTGGAGGGATTATGAGCACATGTTATCTGGGAGGCAGCTTATGCCGATTATTAATGTCTCCCCTCACCTCTAGCGATTTTCCATCTTCATCTTCCCTCTATCTTTTGCAGAAATTACAGCCCAATCATTTAAGAATCATTACTGGTTTGCTTCTTCCATATCATCATATCATGGAAGAACTCGACAAGAATGCGGGCTCTGGGCTGCCCCTCGCCTTCCACGGCACAGTAATCCATTCTCAAAGTTTGGATGACCTCGAGATCCTAGAGAATTGTATTATGATCGTGGGAACAGATGGAAAAATTCAGGCGCTACAAGCAGGGGTGGAATCGGAACAGATCAACTCCATTCTCTCAGAAAATGGGTATGTGCCTGACGTCTTCCCAGTGAAATATCTCAAGCGTGGGGAATTTCTGTGCCCCGGCTTTGTTGATACCCACAACCATGCTCCCCAATGGGCACAGCGCGGTGTCGGACGGGGGATCTCCTTGCTTGATTGGCTTGATAAGGTCACTTTTGCCCACGAGGCCAAGTTCCAAGATCCAGAATATGCCAAACGCATGTACGCCTCTTGCGTGACGGGCTTCCTACAACAGGGCATTACCACCGCATCATATTACGGCTCACATCATGGCCAGGCAACTCGAATTCTGGCTGATGTCTGTTTTGAAAAAGGACAGCGCGCTCTGGTCGGCAAGTGTAACATGAACCGGAATGCCCCGGACTGGTATCGGGATCCGTCGGTGTCCGACTCACTGCACGAAACGCGTGAGCTCATCCACCATGTTCAGCAACTTGATCCGGAATACAATCTGGTGAAACCAATCCTGACGCCACGCTTTGCCATATCTTGTGAGCCGGAATTACTGGACGGGCTTGGTGCCATCGCCCGTGAACACCCCGACCTTCCAATACAAACACATTTCAATGAAGCGAAGCAGGAGATTGAGTTCACACGTCAGCTCTTTCCAGAGTTTGATACGGAAGCTGATCTCTATCAGCGATATGGTCTGTTGAATGATCGATCTATTCTTGCCCACTGTATCTTTCTACAAGAAGGAGAGATGCGTCGTATCCAGGAGCTTGGCTGTGGGATTGCCCATTGCCCAATCGCCAACACCACTATGCAAGAGTTCATGGTAGCGCCTGTGCGAGAGTACCTGCGCCGCGGCATCAAGGTGGGCCTGGGCACCGATAGCGGTGGTGGCTACTCGTCATCCATACTGGATGCCATGAAACAGGCCTTCATTGTGTCGAATGCGCAGCAGATGTTGACCCAAGGACGAGACCCGGCACTTTCTTTGCACGAGGGCTTCTTTCTCGCTACTTTGGGTGGTGCGCAAGTGTGTGGACTCGATGACCGAGTCGGTAACTTTGCAGTTGGCAAAGAGTTTGATGCGCTCGAAATTCATACCACTGATCTTGGCCAGCCAGGAGTGATGAGCCCAGTTGAAGACGAAGATACCACCCATGTGATATTCGAGAAGTTTATGATGACTGGAGATGATCGGAATATTGTCAAAGTCTATGTGAGCGGACGGTCAGTCAAAATTTGACGGACAGTCCTAATTTACGAGAAATGAGAAATGATAGTTGTGAGCTAGGATGTTAGAATAATGTCAAACACCCCTAGTCCAATTAGGGGTGTCAAAAAGACCATGTTCAACTCCTATATGCCTAAGATATTATATATAAGAAATAGGTGCATAATGCGCCTAACACGCAAGGATTATCGGCAATGTATGGAGGTAGCAAGATACCAAAATGAAGCCACGATCAAGCGTGATCACTCCCAAGTGCCCTTTGGGGGGCCAAAGTAGCCTTGAACTGGTAAGCCCATGTAGGGCGTTCCTTTGCCGTCGGCGGTGTTTTCCGACACATTATTCCCCCACCAGCTCAACGAACCGGCTGGGAGAGTGATGCAAAAGAATATGATCACTGTTGCGACCGCAACACCACAGTCTAGCGCGGCGGATAACACATAATCTGCGGAAGATCAGCAAAAGAAGGAATGAGGAACAAAGGATAGACATACTATATTTCGACCACCACGCGGGCCTACGGCGACGGAGTATGCCATTGAATATCAAGTTGACTATCCACCACGATGAGAAGCTGATACCTGTAGCGGGTGGGACTAGACTCATTGCACCGAAGGCGACGGGCCAGGAGACATAATTGGCAGGTTTCCAACGACGACCTAGAAGATAGGTAATGACTACCACCGCGGGTCCGACCAGGAAAAACCAAAGCAGATTGCTATATATCTGCCCGGGAGAAAACAATCGACCGGGACCAACAGCACCTGAAGGCTGGTTAGCTATGAGTTGGTAGAACACCGACAATCAAATGAAAACTCACCCCAGATGAGAGATGAAGAGTATGTAACCTTTCCATGAGGGCAGATAAAATTTCCCTCGGCCTCAGGGGTGCACACACCATCAATCCTGGTGATCATGAACACTGTCACACCACATTGAACGATGGCTCCGATGAGTGTGGCAAGGCCTTGCGCTACAAACAGAAGGCGTGGAGCGATGTGCATATAATGAGCTAACTTCATATCGGCGACAAATCTAATATGGTGTTAATCCATGTCTTGTTTTCGAACAGGATGTAACTCACTCGAGTCCTTGCTGGACGGCGACATAACCATAGAATTTGAACGCCATATTGGCTACTGGCTGGCCGAGGAAGGCATATCCCCCAAAGAATTCCGTGAGGAGATTGAGTTGGTTACTGCTGATATTGGTGAGGGCTTTGATGACTCCCACAGGGATAAAGTAGACCACTGGTAACACGAATGCCACAAGCACACCCCATGCCGGTAGGCCTGTATGCCACACCTCGTTGGTCACGACACTCAAGACAAACATTAAGACGGTTACTGCAACAAACCACCACCAGGGTACGGCTCGATATGAAGACATCAGTCGACTATGGACGTCTTGTTTGCTGGTGCCTTTCCATTGTTGCCACAAGTCTTTCCCATGATACAACGCGACATGGAAGAAGATGCCCGTCAAATTAGCAAAGGCAACACCGAAGGTGATTGCAAAGCCGGCCGGTAAAAACATGGGCGAATAATCCCGATAAGCAGTTTGGTCGATACTCCCGCTCGAACTCATGATACGACTAGTGTTGTAAGGAACCCCGGTATTATCGAAGGTGTTGGAGTTGAGCAGTGGCAGGTGTGCGGAATACCAGATGTTGGAGTAGTAAACGAGGGGGCACACAAGCCAAAAGAAGAAGGCAAATGATCCCATCACGTTCAGACCAGCCCAGAAGGGAACAAGCAGGGGACTCTGGTTGGCATAGACCACCTGGGCCCAGTCAAAGGTCAATACCGACATCCCCAGTCCGGTGGTTTGTCCAAAAAGCTGATTCACCACCACATTGGATGGCACGATCCAGCAGATGAAGGCGAAGGTGCTGAGACCTGTAAAGAGATATCCCGGGACGAAGTACCAGATGGCGCCACCGATGAAAACATAAAGAAAGAAGCGGAGACGCGTGATCCGCCAGCCATCTGCGATAGCATTGGAGCGAGAATGGAGAGTGGTCAAAAGTGCTGCATTTGACAACACCTGCGGCCAAAGCATCGATGCCGGGGCCACTAGCCAGCGGGAGGCCATACCAGCCAAGCCGAAGCCAAACAATTGGGTGGTAATGCACAATAAGACTTCAAATCCACCCTGCGATGGCATGTTATAGAACTTGACAAGCGCCTCGATAACTTGGGTGGCCGCAGCAGAGCCAATAGAGACCTTGGCCATGATTGTGATCAAGGCATGCTCTTTGATATTGAAATGCCGATCGGGATTCAATACCCCGATGGGAATGCATTTCGCCCAGGCGCATCCCAGAGGGAAAGCCAGCAACTGCGCCACCAGAGCACTGATATTCACACTAGGCTGTCGCAAGCTGAAGAACTGGTTGAGTCCACTACCGACCTGTGCCGGTCAGTATAATGCCGATCGTCGGGCCGCATAAAAACATAATACGTACGATAGTAAACAAAATACCAATAGTCCACATGCGGACCGTATTAACAGGTAGGGTCAAGTCATTGACTGGCTGGATGACAGCTCGTACCTCCGGGAAAGGTGAATCATCGGCTTCATAGGGTAAAATCTTCTCGGCATCCCGATCGTGAAGAATGTCGATTCCATCTTGATCCGGAGGGGCACTCTGAGATGTGAAACGGTTAATTAAATATGATATGTGGGGGAGAGTCAAGGTGAAAAAAAACCCACCTGGCTCCATGAATGTTGACATTTCTCAGCCTTGTCCATCATGAACCCGGTCTTGTCAATACAACATATACACCCCAATCCCAATTCAGTGTTGAGTCGGCTTGAGCCGAGTGTTAGACCACGCTACCAATAGGTGCATAAATCTCCAGATACCTATTCGGTACAAGGAAGCCCATGGAACCAATAAAGAAGGATATCGGGACCATCTACCACCCCGGATTCCGTTCTCTTCAATGGGATTGGACAGTAAAGGGTTAAAAATGGATATATAGGAAAAGGGAAAAAGGGCGATGGAGGATGCGACGTCGGAAGAGGCCGTTATAGACCCACTTTATTATTACCTGAGTAAGATATAGCTTGAGATTTTATACGAAAAACTTCGAATTAATTGAAAATTAATTGAAATTTAATCAGATCAATCGAATTTTAAAAAGTCGAAATGCCACGTTAAATGGCTAAAGGCTCAAAACCCTGAACGACCAAAAAAAACCCCCCTTTTCCCTTTGTTCTCGGGTAGTTCGATATATTTTACTTTTAACATCTTTGCACTTTTGGAATTATCTCAAAGGCTACTCTACTTCATATTAAGTATCTCTTCGGGTTTCACCGGGAAGTTATCTTAGAACTTCGGGAAACGTGTGATATCATTTCAACCTTGTACTCACCCCCACCATGGGTGAATGCAGCCAATTTGATAACAATGAGGTACCCTTTTCTCAAAGACCCATTGTAATTCTCGGTGCAGGGATCATTGGTTCTGCGACTGCCCGTCAATTGTTGCTGAATGGGTTCCCCGTGGTATTGGTGGCCGAATATCTACCGGGAGATCAGAATATTTACTATGCATCGGCTTGGGCAGGAGCAGCATGGCATGCTGCTGGGGGGATCACTCCGGATCAACGGTACCTCCAAGCCGTCACACATCGCATACTCCTCAAGATGGCACAAGATGGCCCCGAGGCAGGAGTGAGCATTGTCAATGCACGAGAGTACCTCGAACAAAAACCGGCCCCGGACTCGGCGATATGGGGTAAGACGGTGGTCTCTAAGGTATTTTGTGTCCATGTGATTTGAATATTTCAATGTTGACCAAGTTTGATTGTTAGTTCCGTGAGATGAGTCCTGGCGAATACCCTCCCGATTTCAATTGTGCCTGGGCCTATGAAACGCTGGTCACAGATCCCACCAGACATATGCCTTATCTTAGGAAAGAAGTGGAGTCTCTTGGGGGTCGATTTATCCGCCACCGTGTGGAGGCTCTCCAGGAGTTGTATGAGATGTTTCCAGAATCACGGGTCTTCATCAATGCCAGCGGTTGGGGTAGTAAAACTCTGACGGATGTGCAAGATGACAAGTGTTTCCCGGAGCGAGGGCAGAATGTGTTTCTGGCCACTGATCAATGCAATACACTCTACTTTCGAAATGGCAAGGAATATACCTATGTGATCCCTCGGCCTTTATCCGAGGGGGTAGTGCTAGGTGGGGTGAAGCAACAAGGCAACCTGTACGAAAAATTCCTTGAATCCTTTTCACTCCCAAGCTAACCCTTTCCAGGTCACCTGAAGTTGATATGGATATTGCGAGAGATGAGATTGCTCGTGCGCATCGATTAGCTCCTGAGATTGTTCCCGAACACCCAGCTGCAGATAAGGTGAGTCATATTATTGGAATTCGACCTTCCCGAAAAGGAGGGTTCCGTCTGGATTCTGAGCAAAAGGACAACCGGGTGGTGTTATCAGCGTATGGGTTTGGTGGTGGTGGTTATGCATTTTCATATGGAGTTGCCGATGCGTTGGTCAAGATGGTGGAGACAGCGGAGCGTGAAAATGTGATATTGTAGAAGAGAAAGGATTGTCTCAGGGAAATGACCAATCGCAGAGCTATACACTTATATGCAGTTCAATTAAAACTAAATGTCTAATACCGAGTTATTGCCGATTGAATATTAGCACAGAGAACAACCTTGGGAACTTATATAGCTATTAGTTATATAAGGATATACGTTACATAGTACATAAAGAAGCCCTAGAGATCTACAAGTCTATTAATATATATATACATCTATCAAACACATTACGTCGTCAATTTCCTTATTTTATCCATCTCATCTTTTTCCTTGTTTCTCCATTTTTTTTTTCCCTATCCACTTTGGTCTCGATTCCCCGGCCATTCCTCCCGTCCACTCAATTTCCCGGACTCTTCAGCCATCAAATCCCGTGAATGGGTTAAAGAATCATTATCCTTATCCCTCTAAAATCCTTTTGAATGACATCCTCACTTTCCTCCAGGCTGTCAGCAATATGCCCGTGGATGAGATGCTCCACTTGGGCATCACTGAACGTATGAACAATGTCATGGTGATCACTCCTCCGGCCGAAAGTGACTCGAATCTTGAGAACAAAATCCTTGAACAGCCTACTGGATCCTTCAGTCGCATCCATCGATTGACACCGTGAGAATTTTCTTGAAAACCCCTTTGAAAGGATATATCATTAACCTTCGCAGTAAGCCCACTCTCGTATTAGACGGAACCCTACGAATCGTTGAAGTGTCCAATAGTCATGTGGAAGTCTTCAAGCGCCCACGAGACCAACTGTTGGCAGCGAATGTCTACGATCTTCCACCCTCCATTCTTCCCGCCCCCGATATCGCCTCCTTAAGCGGTGCCCTCGGCACTGCCATATCAACTCGCGAAGTGCAGGTCATTAAGCGTGTTCACGTGGCACAACTCGACGCTTTCTTTTCCCTCGTCGTGACACCCATATTCGAAGATGACTCCCTGATCTACCTCCTGCTGGAAGCCCAACGGACCAAAGGTCAACGGAAAAGGGCGAATTCCATCAGTGAACAAACCTATCTCAACGAAACCTACAAAATATTAGTCGACACCGTACGGGACTATGCCATCTTCATGCTGGACACGCGTGGCTATATTGCGACTTGGAATTCTGGTGCCGCAATTTTAAAGGGATACATGTCATCCGAAATCATCGGCCAGCATTTCTCCGTATTTTACGGTCGCGATGACTGCGAAATGAACAAGCCCGCCCGTGAACTGGAGGTCTGTCTAAAAGAAGGAAAAGTGGAGGACGAGGGATGGCGTTACCACAAGGATGGCACCCGGTTCTGGGCCAATGTCATGATTACCGCCATCTATCAGAATGGCAGCCATGTGGGATTCGTGAAAGTCACCCGCGACATGACCGAACGCCGTGCGGCAGAGGCCCGTTTGATTGACGCCTTTGAAGAATCCGCCAAGCTGAAGTCTGACTTCTTGGCCAACATGTCCCACGAATTGCGCACCCCGATGAATGGAATGCTCTTGGCTTTGACAATGCTACTGAGGACCGAGTTGACTGATGACCAGCGAGAATTCGCCTGCATCCTTGAAGACTCAACCTCCATCTTGCTGCAGGTCATTAACGATGTGCTGGATTATTCTAAGCTATCGTCGGGAACCTTCCCCTTGAACCCAGACGTGGTCAACATCCCCACCGTGATCTCTGCGGTAGTTCGGAATTGTCAGTCGGCGCTCAAGCCTGGGGTCCAAATCATGAGCGGTGTTAGCGACGGCTTTCCTCCAAACCTCAAAGGGGACCCGCTACGATTCCGCCAAGTTTTGCAAAATCTGGTCACCAACGCAGTCAAGTTCACCGAGAGTGGTCATGTTCGGGTCCATGCCACTTATGCCATCGATGAAAAGGACCCTGAGATGTATGTGATTTCCACGCAGGTAGTGGACACTGGTATCGGCGTACCTGAAGATGCTGCGAGCATTCTCTTCACCCCCTTCACGCGATTTGCGGACACGGCCGCCAAAAGATACCAAGGTACTGGCCTTGGTCTGTCGATATGCAAAAGCCTGGCTGAGTTGATGGATGGAGCGGTTGGATTCCATGCCAACCCCGATGGACCCGGTAGTGTGTTCTGGATGACAGCTAAGATGGCTCGCCTTACATCGCCAGTGTCTCCAGTGAAGCCGAGGTTGCCACCGGCTACGCCCGAGGCGTTGGATAATTCTGCGTCACTCCAGAAGATCGCCCCACACAAACACATTCTCCTAGTCGAAGACAACAAGGTCAATCAACTTATTATGTTGAAACTTCTCAGCAGCCTGGGTTTCAAGCGCGTCGATGCTGCCTGGGATGGAGCGGAAGCAGTGCGCATGGTCAAGCAGAAGCCATTGACCTATAATGTGATCCTGATGGACATCAACATGCCAGTCATGGACGGATTGACCGCCACAGAGCACATTCGACGGATGAAACTCGATGTGCCCATCCTTGCATTGACAGGCAATGCTCTCAAGGGAGACGCAGAGATGTATCTGGCCAAGGGGATGGACGATTACATCGCTAAGCCCTTGCACCGGCAGCAGCTGGTGGATTTATTATGGAAATGGTGCGGATCCTGAGTGGTTGCTTATCTCAAGCCGGGGATTGTGTCCCCGCGATTATCACATCTCCAGTCTGCCATCCTTTGATGCGATCAAGGCACGGCAGTTGAAACAGACCCGTGTCGGCGCCATGGACGACAGAATTTGCGGTCGAACCGTCAGGCTGAGAACTTCCAGCCACATCCCCTCAGCGATGCACCAAAAGCTGCCATTTTCACCTGAACCTTTCGGACAACAGTCCAGCAAACAGGGCTTGAAACCATATCCTTACGATGCTTTGAGTTCTAACACTTCTTTCACGTTGAGATCTGCAGTTCTCCGCTAGTCATCTGCACTCGACTATCGATGGCAATGCCGCTCGCCGACATATGGAAGTTCCCTGCACATGAAATGTCCCATGAGCTAGATCTTTTGCTCGCATGACTTATGCCTGGAGAAGGGCACATGCGATTGTTATTCTGCCACCGACGTTGCAACCATGCAGCCTTGGGTGGTCTTCTGTATCAACTCTTTAATACCACTCATGAGATCATCCCTCTATGCGGAGTTTAGGCAGCCGCATAGTGGATAGATGACGGCTGCGGTCTCGCTACAAGAATGGTCATTCGTAGTGTCCATGGGGTTGGAATAGCAGCCAATCCTTTTAATCACCGTAACTTGATATAAACATTTTACCACCTGGGCAAGTATCCCCAATAATTCCACTGTCTGAATTTCAGGGAAATATGATGCTACAACATTAACAGTTCGTCGTTAAGCTTGGGCTTGATATTCAATTCAATTCCTCTATTCCTGTTTTTCACAAAAGTTCAGAATGTATAGCTTCCCTCACTCCACACTTCCAACATATAGCCCTCGATGTCCAGTGGCCCAAGCCTTCTGCGTTTAATCATGCTGGTTGCATTTTATGACCTCGTTACCAGTCAATCCCTCAGGGGTAGGTTTCTCCCGACGTAGCACGCTGATGATCTTTTATCTTCGCATGAGGTCATGACTGTGCTTCCGACGCAGGTCTTTGTTAATTCGGACTGTAATTGCTAATATCCAGTTCGCTCGGAGGTTTGAAAGCAATGGAACGTGTTCTGCGATTGAAGACAAAGGTACATCTTCCAAAATGTCTTGACTCTCGTCGACTTGATGGAATGTAGCGACGGCATTTTCGAAAGTCGCCGAAGAACGCAACCCCGTCAGGGAAGAGATACTTTCCGTGTGAATGATGTTCACATGGCCCCCCGTGCGACCTGTCTCGACTGTCTCTAGCCTTAACCTTCCGAGGGGTGTCGATTTGGTCTGATCTTGTGGATTAATGACTCCCAAGAACTTAACGCGGATGTTCAATCCTCCGCGAGATACTTATAGGCCAAGACGGAACTAATAATGCTTAGCATCTTTGATCGACTGGCTGCCTTTCCTCTTGGGTGATCTCAGTCCTCCGAACTCAAGTCGACCCTGAAGGCCCCATCTGGGCATACACTGGAAGACGGAGATGGTATAAAGTATGCTTTGTCCGCCGTGGGTCTTTTTGACTTGATCCGCAAGTTCGAAGGTGGAAAGCTGAATTGGCAAACTCCTGCGAAGACTGTCATCATGAAATCTTTCATTCTGCTTTGTGCCCTGGCGGCCAGCGCGATGGCAGTACCAGCGCCTCATAACTATCAATTACATGAGCGTCGTGATTTCATCCCAAAATCTTGGGTTGAAGGCAATAAGCTTAACGGAAATGTGTCACTACCTGTGCGAATCGGGTTGACCCAGTCTAACCTAGACTATGGTCATGAGCTACTTATGGACTTGTATGAACTTGCGTAATGGATCTCCCACTGTCTTGAACTGAGATGGGTCTGTTTAGGTCTAACCCCTCCTCGAGCCGCTACGGACAGCACCTGTCCATCGATGAAGTGCACGACCTGTTCGCCCCCACTGAAAAGAGTGTGAATGGTGTGCGTGCTTGGCTGGAGTCGGCTGGTATTTCAAAAGACCGCATCACGCAGTCAGCGAACAAGCAATGGATCCGGTTTGACGCCGATGCCAAGGAGCTCGAGAGCTTACTGCACACAAAGTACTATGTCTACTCACATGTTGAAACGGGTCGATCGCACGTGGCCTGTGGCGAGTAAGGCTGTTATTTGGGTTGCAACTACAGTCTCGCTAATCTCCTGACGATAGATATCATCTCCCGAGCTCTGTGCGTGAGCATGTCGACTATATAACCCCGGGAATCTCTCTGCGCGAGGTGACTGGTGTCCGGAGATCGAATGAGAAGCAGAAACGCTTCGCTGATGGGATTCCCCCTATCATTGAGCCGATCCCCCTACCAATTGAGACACTGTCGAGTGAGGCTTCGTCCTTTTGCGCCCAGGCTATCACACCCCAATGTATTCAACGTAAGTGATCCGAGTGCAAATCCCCACACACTGTATATGCTGACAAGCCTACAGAGATGTATCGTATCAGCGAGGGTCACTCTGCCACAGAAGAAAATGAACTAGGAATCTTTGAGGGCATTGGGGATGTCTATGCTCAGGAAGATCTAAATTTATTCTTCTCGAGATTGTACTCGTATGTCGTCTTTGATCATCTTTCAGTGAGTTGATTGGATTTTGAACTGATGTTTCTGTAGGAAAATTCCCAATGGCACACACCCAAGTCTGAAGTCAATCGATGGTGGTCAGGCCCCTGCAAACACCTTCAATGCTGGGGCTGAATCAGATCTGGACTTTCAAATCTCCTACCCGATTATCTGGCCACAAAACTCCATCCTTTTCCAAAGCGATGATATGTATTACGAGCATCATTGTAGGTTCCAAGGATTCCTCAATACGTTCCTGGATGCCATTGACGGTTCGTACTGCAGTACCATTTCGCCGTTGGACCCTCCATACCCCGATCCGAATGATGGAGGCTACAAGGGCTCCCTGCAATGTGGCGTGTACGACCCACCCAAGGTCATCTCGATTTCCTATGGCTCCGCTGAGGCAGACCTACCCATTTCCTATCAGCGGCGACAATGTGCCGAGTTCATGAAGCTAGGTACAATGGGAGTCTCAGTAGTGGTCGCTTCGGGTGATTCTGGCGTGGCTGGACGTGGAGGTGACCCCACCCCCAGCAACTGCCTTGGCCCAGATGGCAGAATCTTTACTCCAGATTTCCCTGCCTCCTGTCCATATCTTACTGCAGTGGGAGGTACTGAAATCCCCACCGGTTCTTCACCGGAGGATCACAAGGAGCAGGCCGTGACTAGGTTCGCGTCAGGGGGCGGGTTCAGCAACATCTATAAGGCGCCTGATTATCAGGCCCAGGCTGTTGCCGATTACTTTGACTTGGCCAAGCCCTCATACCCATACTATGAGAGCGTGGAAAACAGCAGCTTCGGTGAGAATAACGGTATCTACAACCGGATCGGGCGTGCCTATCCAGATGTGGCTGCTATTGGTGACAATGTCATCATTTATAATAGGGGGATGGCCGTGTCGATTGGTGGGACATCGGCCTCTGCACCTGTGTTTGCTGCAATCCTCACCCGCATCAACGAGGAGCGACTGGCCGCTGGCAAGTCCGCTGTTGGTTTTGTTAACCCTGTATTGTACGCTCACCCGGAGGCATTTTTTGACGTGACCAAGGGCACAAATGCGGGTTGCAGGACCGACGGGTTCTCTGCGGCCAAGGGGTGGGATCCAGTGACCGGATTGGGTACTCCTAACTATCCAGAACTTCTGAGGGTTTTCATGGGCCAGTAGACTAGTTTAATAGGGCAATCTCGCTCTGTGGATACTTTAGAAACAGCCTAGGGAATTCGACGCGATTCGATGGAAGTTCTGTCGGAAACCAAAAGAGACATGAAAATGACACAAAACTGCACGATACTATTGTAGCATTCTCGGGTACCAGTCCGGAGCGATCGCACCGACAAAGCCGGTCCCTGGAGAGCATCGCCAAACAGCAAACTGACAACCAATATGCTAAAGATACCAAAGAAATACTTTCTGTAAACTAAGATCACGATTTTATACCTAAAATGACATCATGACTACCCCGCAGATGGGATAGTCTCTTTATATAGTCTCTTTATATATTCCCCTATATAAGGTGCAAGTATATATACATAGTACCCTATTATATTGGACGAAAAGTAGATACATCAGTAACCTATCAATTCCAAATGTCAATAAATATGAATCACTCTCTTATTACATCTATATTCGACATATAATATGTTGTTCAACCCCTCGGTGGAGTCTACTCCGAAAGGGGTGGGATGAACAGTCCAGAATAGCCCCGCCAGATCACTGACATTTAAAGATTTGTTCACCTTTCTTTCTTCTCTTTCTTTTCAAATTCATTCTTCAATTAAAAAGAAATCATGTCTCTCGGAAAGAAAGTCACTCTCAACTCCGGCCACCAGATCCCGTGCGTATATTCTGCAAAAAAATAGTGACTTCATTACTGACCCCCACGTTTAGCCAGCTGGGCTTTGGTACTTGGCAGTCTGCTCCTGGCCAGGTCGGCGAGGCTGTCTATGAGGCATTGAAGGCTGGTTACCGCCACCTGGTATGTGCATATACACCCATCTCCTTTTTCAAACTATTGGCTAACTCCTACCCCGTCTAGGATTTGGCAACTATGTATGCAGCACTAATTCCTCGATCATGAGAGCCCCCCTTGAAATTGCGACATACTTATCACCTGTTTATAGCTACCAGAACCAGCGTGAGGTCGCCGATGGTATTAAGCGCGCTTATAACGATGTTCCTGGTCTGAAGCGCGAGGATATCTTTATTGTAAGTTAATCCATACCGATTCGGGATGTTACACGATTTCAGCAACTGACATATTATTCTGCAGACTTCTAAGCTATGGAACAAGTATGCTATGTTGAACTAAATTGATACAGTACAAGATTATTGACTCTGCATGTAGCCAGCACCGCCCGGAGGTTGTCGAGGCCGCTTTGGATGCTTGCCTTGCTGAGCTTGAGTTGGATTATCTTGATGTATGATTATTACATTCAGTGATTCTGTGAGCTATTGCTGACAGACACAGCTTTACCTTGTTCACTGGCCCGTTGCCTTCGAGAAGGGCGATTCATACTTCCCCCTCGTTGCCAACAGCACCATCGAGGGTGGTGATGTGGTCATTGATGACGGCGTATCGATTGTGGACACCTGGAAGGGTATGTTATTCACTTGTGCGGATTGGAAAATCGGACACAGCTAACTCTTCTTAGCCATGACCCAGCTCCCCAAGAGCAAGGCTCGCTCCGTTGGTGTTTCCAACCACAAGATTGAGCATGTCCGTATCGCCCCTGTCCCAAAATTTGCCAAACATCAGCTAATACCCCCCGCAGCTCGAGGCTCTCATTAAAGGCACAGGCGTCGTCCCTGCAGCCAACCAGATTGAGCGCCACCCCGTGCTGCAGAGCAATGACTTGATTGAGTACTGCCAACAGAAGGGAATCCACGTCACTGCTTACTCTGTACGTATCTATCTTCTTGGGTTGATGGCGGAAAAGACTAGTACTAACTAAACCTCTAGGCATTTGGCAACAACATGCTCGGAATTCCCCTGCTCATCACTCGCCCCGAGGTCAAGGAAGTTGCCGAGTCTGTCTCAAAGCGCACTGGCCAGGAAGTCACCCCCGCACACGTCATGTAAGATTATACACGCTCTTTCTGTAGTACTGCTTCGGGAAAGCTAACAGTCTTCAAGTCTCGCCTGGTCTCAGGTCGGCGGACACAGTGTCATCCCCAAGTCGGTCACGCCTTCGCGCATTCGTGACAACTTCAAGGAGGTAGAGCTCACCCCCGAGGAGGTTGAGAAGGTCAGCGTGCTGGGCCAGGACCGGAAGCGCTACAATATTCCTTACACTGCCAACAAGCCTCGTTGGAACATCAACATCTTCGGCGAGCCTGAGGAGAAGCCCGCTGATCACAAGGTCATTCTGAGTGTTTAATTGCGCTGATAGCGATAGCCTCAGGCGCCCGCTAGTTATATGGCTCAAATGTGAGGACTTCAAAGACCAACCCCACAAATTTACACTATTGTAGACCAAAATCTCTAGACAGTTGCCTTTTTGAAATTCGCGAACGAGGGGAAAAACCAGTATTACAACATGTTGCGTTCAATAAAAGGGTCAACGGGTATATATATGATTGCAAAAAGCTCTCTACCATGACGCTTATGCTATCTCACGGCTGTTCCATTCGCTGGCAAGCTCATCTCTGCTCGTAAATCGGTCATGACTGTGGCTTTAGCCTGCATTGATTGGTCGCTGATGAGAGCTTAAAATTGGTCCTGCATCCAACTCGTGACATTCCTGATCTGGAGCGGATCCATTCGGCGCCTCGTAGATTGAGCGACTATCTAAGCATATCGCTGATCCCACTGGCTTTCGGGGTAAGAGAGTCTGCGGGTCTGCTGGAGGTGATGGGTCTTCTTGAGGTGAGATGCTGCCTTGAGAAATGGGGGCCTTTTCGTCATGTGCCACGACAGTTGATGGGGTCGATGAAGGTGGAATAGTCGATTGGGTCCCTCCAGCTCTCTTTCTCTGGCGCCTCCGCCGAAGCACAAACCATAGGACCAGCACAATTAGAAGAACAGCCACGATTACACCCACTGCAATCCCACCCTTGGCCCCTGGACTCAGGCCAGACGAGCCACTCAAGCAAGAATAGCCGTTTTTGAAGACGTCGTTGGAGTTTAAGCTGTTCAATGTACTGCATGACATCGAACTGCTGCCTGTGATTATTGTCTGACCTTTCACTTGATTTAGAGAAGGTAGAGACACGCTAGCATATTGATCAGTTTTGTGGAAGATGGCATGTTGATGGCTGTAGCAATGATCATACCTGTCGAATAATCCCGTCAATACCAACTGTCCTTCAACTTCTTCCAATTCTTGGAACCCCAGTGTTTTCAGGTTCGAATTCCCCGTGATGATTAAACTCGAAACTTGTGATAGCGCGCCCATGGATATCGTTGTGAGTGAGTTGAGGTTACTCAGGGTGACACCTCCCTGCACGCTGTCCAAATCAGGGGTAATAATCTTTGTGAGTTCTGAGGCACCCTCAGCAATGAATGCGCCTTTGATTTCCTCGACATTACTGATGGTGATCACTCCACTCGCAGAAGAGGAGATCGTAATACTTCCGTCAAAGGTGTCACAGCTGATCAGCTTGTTCGCATCGCTTTGGTTCGAGATGATTACACTGCTTGAACCTATATGGAATGAGTTACACCGCTGGCCCGGCAAAAAAAAAAAAAAAAAAAAAGCAATACATGACTTACAGGCGTCTGAATCAGCGACCGCTCTTTGCCATGCACTGGCAATTATCAAAAGGTAGATTACAATCATCCGTACGGGTGAGGTTTGTAGAGCTCCAATTGCTTATTTCACACGACCAGCCCCGAATATTGTTCGCGCAAGGCACCGGGCATTCGCAGCTTTAAGGTAAATGATATGGAGTGAGGCGGAGTCGAAAGATTTCCAGCCTAAGGCGATTGTATGTCAATTGATCTGCCGATCGTAGCTGTTTATAGTGTTGATTGGTCAACTTTGGATGTTTTGTTCAACAATACCCGAGATCGCTCTGCCTGGGGGATAAGTTACGTGAGTCCAGTCTCGAAGCATTCTCCGCACTGTAAAGATTTAGTAGGTTCTTCAAAATGAAAGCTACGACTAATCATGGATTGATCATCACTCTCAGCACCAAAACCGTGTTGCTATTTTTGTGCACTCCAATCCCCGTGCGGAGACCTATTGAATGGGGTAGGCAACAGAATTGGCGGTCCTTGGCAGGCCGGTCTGGTTCAAAATCCCCAACACTCAAACGGAGGAATTGAAAGAATTTACATATACGAAGTAGATATGTTACCTTTGGAATATTCCGTATAATATCAAAAGCCGTCATGGATAAATACGTAATCTATTTTATGCCTGAGGTCCTTGGTACCGTGAGTGGCAAGCCATGGATATGGAAAACTTTAATGACTCAGCATACGCGGGGAACCTTAAACATGTTTTTGATATGAATCTCAGTAGTCTTTGAAGTCAATATCCCTATGAGAGTAGGCAAGGGCTGTGGAAGGTGTCGTCATCGCCATATACGATGTGTGATTCCCACCGGTGCATCAACTTGCACTCCATGTTTGCGACTTGGCCGGGCGTGTCACCTCGATCCCCGCTTCCAGTTCAAGCCTGTCCACCACGTTTGCCAAAAGATAAATGGTGCCCCTGCCCGATTCGAGTTAGTTTGGGATAAGAAGCAAGTTTGGGTGGACGTGTCACAGCCCGGTAGGTATCTAGGACCTACGATCTTAGTGATATACTGATCTAGTCCAGTGGCATTTGTCCTTGAGGCGAATGATGGATCGGCCGGAGACGAAGATAGTGCTTTAGAACAACACAACACTCTAGTACCAGAGCAGGTATCACATGATCGCAGTGGATGGACTCAAGGTCTTCACTCGGAAGATATATATCACGATCAAACTCGCAGCCCACTTTATAGGAATCGATCACGCCAGGATTCTACAAACAGTCCACTCAGCCTGATGTCAGACAATGGAACTACACTGACACTAAGAGAGGCATCATTAATGCGCTACTTTATTCAGAACTTAGCACCCTGGGTGAGCCAAAGCCGACTGTTTTGTTAGGATTACATATCTAATCATTATAGGCCGATGTTTGTGACATCCATTCACATTTCAGCACCGAAGTCCCAAGACGGGCATTAGAGAATAACATGGTCCTGCAAGCTATCCTGGCTCTGTCTGCACGGCATGATGCGATCTTGGCCAACGATAGTGACTGGGAGGCCTCGGCTTATCACGGGCAATGTTTGCAATTATTGATTGCGGCATTAGACCAAGCCGAAACAAATTGCGACGAGAACATGCTCATTACGGTTGTGATTCTTCGTATATATGAGGAACTGGAGAACAAGACCGACCAAAAATTTCATCTGCTTGGGTCCAATCGTTTGGTGAATATTGTCACCAGCTCTGCGTCCTCTGGCGGGGTGGCAGAGGCAGTGAGCTGGCAGTTTTTGCGACAAGCTATATATGCATCGGTGGTGCAGTATCAGCCCTTGCAACTCGACATGCAGAATTATGAGCGATCTTCAATGTTTCATCATGACGACGACGCTGCTTGCGCTAATAGGATCATCTATTATTGCGCCCGTATCTTACAACTGTGCTGCGATGCACCCGGTTATATTGTGGGACAAGATAACTGGCGCCAAATATCGGACAGCGTGAAAGAGTGGTATCAAACCAAGCCCACAACTTGGCAACCTATTCGGTACCAAGCTTCGAGTGTGGCTGCTGGTCAGCCTTTTCCTGAGGTATGGATGATATCCCCGCCTGCAGGTATGCTATTTGGACCCAATAATGACGCAACTTGAAATTACTGACCGGGTCAAAAGTGGTCGGAATGCAATATTATCACTCGGCGTGTATTTTTCTCACTTTGTCTGAATCTAAATCGCACGATATGAGTGATTATGAAAGGGCCCGTTCAAGGCGCGTGAAGGAGGTAGTAAAGCCAGAGCTCCGAGCAACCAGATTTGCAGGCTGATTCAAATCTTAGAAAACCATTGCCGACCATCTGGTCGTGGTTATCGGCCTGTCGCTGTCTAACGAAAGCGTCGAGAATGCCTATTTCATGGCATCACATTTATTACATCGTTGTTCGTGTACACTGCATATCCCTTGACCCATTTTCCCGCTGACATGTCCACAGTTGGCTACTGTCTTCGGAATGTAGTCGAGCAGCAAGGCTCGTTGCAATTTCTGACTCGAGTAGAAAAGGTGCTGGGGTGGCGCACTTCATGGATGATGCGGGAGCTGGAGCATCAATGGACTGAGTTGGCTGCATTTGACTCTTGGGACCCCTGAAATATAGAGTAGATATATATCAGCCCAAGAAAGCAAATACTCAGAGTTGAGAAGAATATGATTAGAAGTAAGATTCCCCGGAGTGGTGCCTCTCACCGGTTCTTCAGCATAAGCCTAGATATTTCTGTCTGCTGAATGGCTTCATTACCATCAAAATGACGGATGTAAAAGATAATATAAAGAGAGATTTTGTCCATGTGCAATCCAATCTCATCCCTTGTAGAACAACTCAGAATCTGAAACCTGCAATGGTCCTTCTAACTTCCCACAAGTGACCTCTTATGATCGAAGATACCTCATTGACTCTGCCCGGCGCAGGCGAGGTGCGTAAAAATACATAAATTCAAGAAATACTTGGAAATGGTTAAAAGCTAGAATTGCCACGAATGGCTTCGATAGACCGACCGCGTGCTCTACAATATGCAGGTCTGCCAAGGCACTAAATAACAACGAGCTTATCCCGAGACTATCTCGTATAGGTGTACGTAAGAATCTTACAATTGAACTGCGTTAAAGTGATGATTCTTGGCCTTCTGCTTCTACTACAGCACATTAGCCCCACTATTGCTGGCGAGAGAAGACTCCCGTTTACTCTTTCCCTCCTTCAGCCTCTTCACCTGTAAACATGTTTAGTATCCTGGCCTGGCTGTTGGGGTGAAGGATTGTGGCTCACGCTGGTCGGCATTTTTCAGGTCGTAGACAAATGGGGAGTGGTCAATCTAGGGTGTTAAGCGGTGGACTCCGCGACCGTTCCCGGTCCTCTCTGCGGTCTCGGTATATATTCAACCGAAGCTGTGCAGATTTCCAATTTGGCTCCGGTTCTGTAGCCTGATGCAATCACCACTCGTTGCTCCTGGTTATGGATACCTACCTGCAAGTCCACCATGTGTAGGACCATTCTCTCCTTTTGATCCCCTAGCGCAGGAGGTGAACCGCGCTGGACTTGAGTTCGGTATGGCAATTGCTCTATTCCTGAGGGCCCTTGAATAATATCTTACCCACCAGGAATTGCCGCATGGAGTATGCGAAAGCATCGAGATAAACGGGATCGAGATTGGCTTAAGATCGAATCTGGTCTATCGGCCACTCTCTGATCAGCGGGGAAGGAGGTAAATTTTACCGCATATCAAGTTCAAAATACGCTGGGCCATATAAATCCATTTCTCTGCCGTGAGCGAGGACAGCTGACTTGCATCATCCCCGAAAGCGCGGGCTTGCTCTCTCCTTGTATCGTGATATGAACTACCCATTTGCCATTTCCCTCGTCTTGGGAAGAGGCACCGTGGACTCGGTCGGTGTTGAAGACGTCACAAATGACTTTAAGCGGCCTACTACGTTCATTCCGGATTGCCTCAAGCAAATATCCTCTACAATCCAGATGTCAACCTGTGTTCATAACACTCGACAGGGCACGTTATTGTTATTCTCTTAGTAGCTCTTATTCAAGTGAGCTAGACGTGTTTCATTGGCCTCTGGATCCGGTTTTCCTTTCCCAGTCACCTCGACCTTTGCTATCTATCACCTAGCAGAACTAGCCACACCCATTTGGACATTTTATCCCTGTCATAGTACCTAGAGAAGTCGATAATGTCAACCTTGGGAAATAGTTTATCTAAGGGGGCTCAACTACGAACATACAAATTTAGGACCTCGGTAAACTACACTCTTAGCCTACGGATGTTTGATACATTGGATGCTTAATGCGTTGGCTGCGCATGAGCCTTGCATATAAATAAATGTATCTTCCAACTTCTCTTTCTCTTTCTCTTCTCTCTCCCATCGGCGACCTACTCTTATTCTCTGTTCTCTCTTACCTCATCTTGACGCACAACAACAATCATACATCAATAGCAATGGTGACTGAATCCTGGGAAGTTCTTGTGCACAACAAGCAACTTGAAGATGCTGCTAAAATCCTACCCGAATGGCGAATCTCGGAAGAACTGACCAAGATATCTGAGACATCCAGCATGAATGTGCTTGATGTTCCACGCCAGTCAGGAATCTTGTCAGCAAGACAGCTCGAGATAACTGAAAACCATGATGCAACTGCTCTGCTACGCAAGATTCATCGCCGAGAGCTGTCTGCCTATGAGGTCACCGAAGCATTTTGCATTCGCGCTGCTATTGCCCAGCAGGTGGTATGTGTTGACTTGACTTCTCTCTTGTTTGCCCTTCAAATGCCTAGCCAGTGGCTTACGACAGATTTACAGACTCGATGTCTCACTGAGACTTTCTTTGAGCGTTCTCTGCAGCGTGCAAAGGATTTGGATGAGATATTATCCAAAACAGGGAAACTTGCCGGGCCTTTGCATGGCTTATCAATCAGTTTCAAGGTACTAGAACAATTCTGGTCAGCGAAACTGGGCTTACTGATGATATATAAAGGATTGCTTCAACATCGTTGGGGTTCCGTCCACGATTGGATTTACCTCGTTCATCAAAAATGGTCCACTCAGTTCAACTTCCCCGGTGGTTCAGATTTTGCTTAACTTGGGAGCCTTCCCGTGTGTGAAGACAAACGTTCCCCAAACAATGATGGTGAGTGCTCTTACAATCACAAACATGTCTCAAGTGCTGAACTAGGGTTCCAGGCCGCGGATTCGCACAACTACGTATTCGGCCGGACGCTCAACCCTCACCGATTGAATCTTACCGCCGGCGGGTTGACTGGGGGAGAAGGGGCACTGATTGCTATGAGAGGATCGGTGCTGGGTGTTGGTACAGACATTGCTGGTCCCATTTGAATCCCAGCTATCTACAATGGGATCTACTCGTTGCGACCATCTGCGGACCGCATTCCATACGGGGGACAGACTAGTTCCATTCGCGGAGGTCTGGCTGGGATCAAGGCCTGCGCAGGGCCCATGGCAACGTCAGTCAGAGATCTGGAGCTGTTCATGAGACTCGTGACTAATGCAGACCCATGGCAATTTGATTCTTCCGCTTTGTTTTCTCCATGGCGCACCGTTGTCGCCAAGTCCACTTTGCGACTTGGGCTCATCCAGGAGGATTCTCATTTCCCTCTGCATCCGCCTGTTTTGCGAACCCTCAGAAGAGCAACCGAGAAGCTTCAAACAGCTGGAAATGAGATCATTCCTCTAAACACCCCGCTTATTCGAGATGCCTGCACGTTGGCATTTCGCATGTTCTCAATGGATCCAGCTCTGACTCCATTCAAACACATCGCTGCTAGTGGGGAACCAACCATCCCTGCCTTGGCATCGACATCTCTGAACGATGGCTACATGCCATACGGGTATGCCCCATTGACACTCGAAGGGTTGTATGGCCTGAATGAGGAGCGGAACCACCTCAAGGAAGAGTTCCGCAATCTCATCACGCAAGCAAAAGTGGATGCTATTATCATGCCCGGCTATCAAGGTACCGCTCAGCCCCATGACATGTTTGGCTTTGTGCCTTACACTGTCCTTTGGAATGTGATGGATGTAAGTTCACCTCTTCTAGTCTCATGAAGCTATACTAACTCCCCGAAGTATCCGAGCTGCATCATTCCGTATGGCAAGGCGAACAAAACCGCCGACAAGGCATTCATTCGGAGTGTGAACTACAAACCTCCTTGTAATTTATATATTCTCTTTCCGCCCATTATGATTGATGGATTCAATGCTGACTCTAGAATCTCAGACGTTGCTGATAACATCGAGGGAGCTCCGTGTTGCGTGTAGGTCGTTGGCAGAAACATGCATGATGAGGAATTGGTGAAAGTGGCGGAGCTTGTGTCTAACACACTCAAGCTTTGAGCCAGCCTGAAAGTGAGAGAATGGATCAATTCTAAGCAAGGAGGAATATTTGGGGATACAAGAATTGCACATTGATTTTGCGGAATTTGCCTTGGATTTCTACTTAAAATGCCAATAATATTGGCGAATCACCAACCGTAGATTATCCGAAGCTGTAAATTTAAGAATCTCAAACGAACAAGTGACAATGCGTCGTGTCGTATATCTAATATCCATGTAGGTAAATCATAATTTACCTTAGTCGACGTAAAAGCGCGAGGACAGGATATTATATACCGCATTTTTTAAAAGCCGGAGCGTATAGTACGACTAGTAAACGCTTTAATCCGAACCCTATAGAAGCTAGAAAAAAGTCGGACTTTTGCTTCACTAACCCACCCCACTATATAGTAGCGTTATTGTTAGGAAAAATGACGGTATGGTACGGAATATCAAATTCTCGCGCCAATTCAGAGATTATGGGTTTATCGCTTTTATGGTATGCTTGAATAGCATTTTGGATGCGGCCCTCGATCCTGGATTTTTTTTTCTATAAATGTGATAAAATAATAAAGGTTGAAATTGGAGGGTTGATAGATTTTTGCATTAGACCAGTGCGGCTCAACCTCCGTGCGTTGGGCCGAGTATACACCGTACCCCGCAAAATCAATTTACGAGGAATTTCCACCAACTGGAGAAATGCATATATTTATCCACAGCTGACTGACTCCTCTAAGTTCGTCTAAAATCCGTTTTTTTTTTTTTTTTTCGCGGAGAATGTTACTGCTTATATGCAGAATTTACTCTCATCCTCATCATTCACATAACAATGGGCATAATCGTGAAAGCAATCGATGCTGTCCTCAGTATCCTATCTTTTGTTCAGACATATCCCTCACCTCCTATGATGAAACAATTACCCAAGGCACCATATTTCATCTTGGCAGGTGACAGCACCACAGCCTCTCAATCCTCAGACGGAGGAGGATGGGGGGACGGCTTTCTCAACACAACACTTTTCGAAGGAGCCTGTGGTCGCAATTTCGGTCACAACGGTGCAACTACTGTTAGGTTTCGAGATGAAGGCCGTTGGGACAATGTTATAGGGACTGTGAGACAAGTTGAACATGACTATGATCCATTTGTGACTATCCAATTTGGGCACAACGATCAACTGCCAGCTGCAAAAATCTCATTGTCACAGTACATCAGCAATCTTGAAAGATTTGTGACTGAAGCTTTTGCTGCTGGAGCTACACCAATCCTTGTCACGCCGCTGTCTCGGCTTAGATACGATGACTCAACAGCCAGACCGAATATTGTCATGGATCTCGCCGATGAGACCATGGGCACCATCACTGCCGCCTATCGCTCAAATGCTACATATATTGACCTGAATCAAGCTAGCACCCAATACCTCAATGAAATCGGGCCAGAAAATGCTTCTACATACAACCTCAACCCAACGGACTTCAACCATCTGAATGTGCCCGGGAGTATTCTGTTTGGGGGAATTGTGGCCGAACTGATTATCCAGAAACTTGATGATTTGGAAAAGTTTGGATATCTGCGTGTGAATGGTAAACTCAAGGAGGATGTTGATCATGGGATCTATCACTGGCCTTAACTAAACAAAAGGTTATGATCGCGGGAACCATTTATTGTCGAAGAATACAAGGGGTTACCTCAATATTAAAGGAGAAATTCTATGCTTGTAGTCATGTGGGTTCAGGTCTGGCCTAAAGGCAGGGCCCCACAGTCCCATGAATTTGATCAAATCAATATTGTCAGCTTCCTTATACACCCATCGCACTGCATATCAACGACATGTGGCTACTTCTCCTCATGAGCATGCTTTTGAAGGAACAAAGCCTTCATCGAAGGATAGGTGCGCACTTCGAGATCCTCGGACAAAGCAGAAGTTCCGTCTTTGTTACTAATATCGTACTGGATGGACTCTGGTGTCCTGCCCTGAGCACGTTTAGCAAACCAAATGGCATGGATCCAGTCAATAGAAACTTCGAAGCCTTCTCCTTGGTCGTGAATCAGAATTGTCGCACCATCTTTGCTGTTGAATCTACGGTCAATATCGATCGGTTCCTCCGGACCCCATGATCCACCGATTTTAGCATTGAAAATGATTTGACCTTGAACTCGGCGAATAGAGATATGAAACATGAGATCGTTCTCTGCGTCCATGATTAAAATCTGAGTCATGTCGATGCCATCGTCGGGCTTGACAGGATCCACGCTTGACGAATCGAGGAGAATCACACTGTCCGCCTTGAGAGTCTGCTGGAAGCGGAGGCTGCCATGAAGTGGCAGGTTTTCTCTTGGTCGTTTTGGTCTTATTGCAGTTAGTGATCACATTCCTATCTCCATTCCCCTAATTTATAAGATTGGGAACCTACCGAGGAGCCAGAGGTCAGTCTTCGGCTGCTTCAGCTCTGGATCCAGCGCTCCATCAGCACCACCAGTAATGGTAGGCTCTTTCTTGAAGTTCAGAAAAACTGGCGGAGTCGCGGGGTTGATGAAGTGCTTCGTATCATTGCTGCTGCCAATGATTTCTAGCTCCAGTTTCTCAACTTCATAGCAAGGTAATTCTTTCTCGTTCTGTGAATGGTCAGCTATATTCATGCAATGGATGTAGGCGAGCCAATGGCCTGGTGTGCTTGCCTTGAATACCCGCCAGTATGCGCGCTTTTTAATATATGCTAAAACCTCGTCACGAGTCAAGGATTTCAGTTTCCGTCCGCCCCCGAGAAGCTTGTAAAGAACGGGGGCAATTGGGATGTAAGCGGTCGACTTGACACGCAATTGTTGTCCTTGTGTGCAGTTCCCGCAGACCGAAGAGCCATCCAAATCTGGCTTTTGGCTGAAGTTGTATACTTCGGCGATCAAGTCGGTCAGTGGGGTTTGTATACCGTCCTCTTGGGCAAGATACAGTTTGACCCAGAAAGGTTGCCCTCCCAAGGCATATCTAAATTATTTAGCATGATTAGCTATCGATTCTTCTTGCGACAGATATGTTTCAAGGGCAATTTCAAGGGCAACGTACTTCAAGAATCGAACACTGAAGGCAAAATCGGTAAGTTTGAGCCCACCTTCAATTGCCTCAACGCCCTCTGGAGTTGGAGCTTTAGGGTCCAATGTCAAATCACGCGACACACCATATAGCCTATTGACGATGGTGGTGATATTTTCCTTAAACAGCACTTGGTTGAGTGTTCCGTTCTCTTGGCGGTATCTACTCTCCCATCGTAGCAGCTCTGGATAGGAATACCCCAGATTGGAGGGGAATCGAACTCCTTCAGGGGTCCAGTAATTTCCTCCAGCATCACGTCGGAATGGCTGAAGAGGCGTGCGCCCATTCACGATATGCTCTTTGCCAAATGAATCATGGATGGTAGCATTGTTGGCAGGGATATTATCCATCCACTTGTCCGGGTTGAGGGCTTGCCAGATTGCGAAAAGACGGTCGATGTTGCTGTGAGTAATTGCTGATTAGAGTTGCGTTTTTAGCTGGTTGAAGAAGGTGTACTTACCAGTGGTGCAAGAAGAACAAAGGGTCAAAAGATGCAACTGGCACATTTCCCATGTGCCCTGCAGCACCTGTCCAGCCGTGACTTTGAATATTGTTAGTGTTTGGAGCAACTGAAAACGGCATACAGTAGATATAGCCCTGAGAATTCCCCTGTGATGACACTCTGGGGGAAAGGGTGGAGTACTTACACATTGTTGTGAATCTACCCAGGTGGATTTCCAGTCAGTTCTTGTGCTGTAATATATCAAATCCATATACTCACATATTCTATGTTCAAGTCCTGATCGACGTGTTGGTCTTTGGAGGTTGGATTTGTGCTTGCAAAGGTAGTGTAGTCCATGGGCACAGTAAGCAGCCGATACACCATTTCAGCTGCGGGACCATGATTCTTGTCATTGTACCCTTCATGAGAGTTGAAGGTATCTGCTACTTTGCGGTTATTAACCACACCGTGCCGCCAGCCCTCACTGGTTGGATTCTGGTCCTCCTCATCCGGCCAACGGCTGGTTCCGGTTGCATTGCCAAACTGATTGAGTTAGCGCGTTTGCTTCCACACTGCCCAGGCCTTACCTACGTTCTTGTACTCTTCTTGTTCTGTGTCATTTTCCCATGTGTTCTCAGTACCGACGCCCTCACTTCGCATCGGCTTGTCTGTAGGCATCCGAAATCGAAACAGAGGATTGTTGATTCGAACAGTTCCGCCCTCGGGCCGAGGAACAGTGATGGTAGGGTATTTTGCCAAGTCAGGGACACGGCCATTTCGTGCCCAGTCCCAGAAAGGAAGACCCCATGACTCAGCTTGCTCACGCCAGGACGCTTGATGGGCTTCCGGAAATTGAGGGATAATCTCCCTGATTATGATTTCAAGCACAACTTGCTAGATTGTAGTCAGTACCCGGTGTGTGTAGGATAGGGTTGTGTAAGATTTCCTCGTACCTCGAAAAGAAGCACATAAGGCCGGTGCCAAATGGGAAATATCACATGAGAGTGGAAGCAGTAGGCATTTTTCATGGGCTCTGGGCTAGGATCGTCCCATCGTACAAATGGTTGTCCATGAATACCTGGTCAAATGCAAGTCAGAAAATGTAAACAGAAGCTCATAATTGAGACGTACCGGCGACTTGAAAGTAAGATAGCCTTTCTTTGGGGTCTAGCCTCTGGATATTATCCAGAGCATGGATAAAAAGATCTACTTGCTTTTTGTTCGACTTCGCACCGCTCCATTCGTCAATGTCCTGGCGGACAAAGACCTTGCGATTGATGCCATCATCAGGATTGCAATCTTTGCCTGGAAACCGGGCTTGGATCTGGTAGTACTCATACGGAGATGATTCAGACATCTTATCTCCTGATGAAGTGGTTGAAGCAATGCTTCGTTTGGAAGATCTTTTTTTATCGCCCGAAGAGGTGCATCCGAACTTATCAAGGAAAGAGGTACTTGCTCCGGGTCGAAGTGAATGTTTTATACAATTTCTTTCACACCTTGCGAAGGTAGGACAGCAGTCATAGATTGCATACAAAGCAATTATTGATCGACATTGAATGGGACTTTGGGCACACTGGCACATTGGAATATATGCCGTCTCGTCACATTTTAATGCAAGCCCCCAGAGCGTAGCTGTCAGCTCTACGAATGACAATCTTTCGACTCCTCGCGCAGCGCGGTGTGAAGAGATTATTGGCGACTAAAAGGTATAGGCATTCATTCATAGTCAAAATCAGCCGATGCAGTCGATTTCACAATTGTTACCTACAATTATACACAGCTGTGACCTCGACCTAGGGAAATTGATCGTGCTCGAAGATCACCAATCAACCGTTGTACGGGATTCTTATTTGGCCTGCATTCTGGCTTAGCAATTGACAGGAATTAGGGTTCATTACACTGTCCCAGCTCTTCCAGCTAGCCACACATATATTAATACAACACCTCAGCTACGCCAACATCTGGCAGTCCAACTAGCGGCAACTATGGTTAGATTCGGTGGACTTTGCTGTCGCATTGTTTGCTCAATGCTGCAGCTTGGGCTCTCAATGGTGAGAGGATAACTTTGGATAAAACGCGAATTATTGATGATCAATCTCTTCCTGTCTTTCCTTTTCTCCAATTGGCTCCTACGGCAATTGGGATACTAAGAAGCAAAGGTAATCCAAATATATACATATAGTTTGGTCTTTATTTCGTGGCAGTGTACCCTGAATATAGAGATAGCTTGATTAGTTCTCCATTTTGATAACGCTAGAGTAAGCTCAGAATATCAAAAAGTGCAAGATCAGCACCAGCAGCCTATATTGAAACATATCCATTAGCCACCAATGCAAACTAGTATTCGTATCACACCGAGAGACTCTGTGCAAAGCATTGGTCTATTCCCAATAGTAGGAGACTTGTATAGGCGAATGGAAGTAAAGCATTCCAAATTTAGGTGATGATCACACAATACGGAGCACCTTGCTCTCGCATTACACATATCCCCTGCAGTGAAACCTTTTCTCATTCCCTCAAGCATGGAAATGATATGCTCCCCTAGAATTGGCAGCGATCCTCGAATTCAAGGCTTTGGCTCACTAAACTTGACAAGGGTTGCTGTACGATTGCCAGTATCAACACATGCGGCACTTACGAGGACCAAACCTAGTACTCTGATCTGCCACGACTGTGCTTCGTGAGGAAAACCATAGACCCAGTGGTGCGATTGTGAACATAGTCTTTCTATCGTGTTCCCAGGTCCATATGATAATCTACTACCCTCCAAGACGACCGGCCAGAATTTCCCCACTTTCGCGCGGATGATTGGTTCAAGTACCTCTCTTAATTCGGGCAGACTTTGGACACGACAGCTATTATCAACAAACCACGGGAATTTCGCCATTCTGAAAGCTTCAGCAACTCCAATTGATAAAACATTTGAAAGTGGGGTACCAAGACATATAGGACGTGGGGGCTGTTCGTAGCGCTCAGGACCAGATGGCCGTCATTTTTCTTGAAAGCTTGGTAGGGAACGATACTTGGATGTTCCATACCCCGACGCTTTGAACATTCGCCAGCATTGAGCCATGGAATCAACACATCATGAATTAGGGCGTAACGACACCTGGCCCTCAAATAAGCATGTATCAAGCTTGTGCTCCTGACTTTCACCCCTGTGAACATAAAGCGCGGCAAGGATATACCTCCCGTGATAAATCACTTGAAACCCTGGGTTCTCCTCTTCAGCATGGTTCTTTATGGAGACGTGACAGTGGTCGAAAAAAGGGGAGTTGGTGTCAACGGCATCCCCGCCCATCTTTGGAATTTCAGTCACTTAGACCCGAGGAACTCATAGATATGTGTAGAGGGTCTTGCATTTGGTCGCAAGGTGTCGTGCGAACAAGAATGAGGATCCTCTTAGCTCTTTGTGGAGGCCCAGACGCTTTGTTCTGACAGCACGTACCCATCCCCGGCGTGCTGTTGCCTGCAATTGGAGGGCATTCAAGTCCGTTCCAGTGATCCTACAACAGGCCCCATGGGGACCCACTTTAGGCGGAGTGAGACATCGTTTGCTGGAACTCGGACAGATCGGAATCATGGCTTTGAAGAGACTCGCGTGGGCAATGATCGTGATCAGACGCAGCATGATGCACTCCCCGCTTTGAGTGGCAGCAATCGAGGGAATCGTGCAGGCTACATGAGAAGTTAGAAACGAAACCTGACCAGACCAATCTCTTAGAGTATCTCAAAATCACCCTGTTGAAAAGTAAAAGTCGTGAATATTGGGACTCTGATCTAGGATCAACCTGTCGGCCCGTTTTACAGCCTACATGGTGCGGGGGAGGCAGAGGACGTTCAGAAGCCGAAAAAGCGAAGTGGCGAGGCAAAGGGGTTTCTAGGCAGAAGGACATTGATTTGTATGCCAACGTGGGTCATTTAAAGTTGAAATGGACAGATGTTGTTAGGTACAACCTGGCAGTTGCAAGAAGGTGAGTAGTCCATACCTCAGGCCCTAAACGACCTGGCCATCCCGTATTTACATCGACTTATACATGCACCTGGACACTGTATTTCGTTTTACATGGCCTCTGATAGTAATATTGTCATGATCAAGTCTTTTGGATCTGTAGAGATACTGATGATACTATTCTTAGCCTGCAAGGGGTCTTGTACAAGTTGCAGCTATAGCCTGGGCACGCTATGCAAAGAAAACAAGTTTCTTCTCTGACCTATTCCTCCCAAGGGGTCGGCAGTGACAGTGCCAAGTTTCCCTATTGGTTCTTCATTTCGCGAAGACAAGCGTAAGAGAGTCGACCTATCGCCCTCGTTTGCCAAGAAGCGGTGGTTATTATTGGTTAATCGGCCTATGATGTACGCCCGAGATGGAGTACCATCTCGATTAAATTCAACGGTATATGTCTGATCATAGTCAGAATCTCCTTTGAAGAAACTTTGGAGTCGGCAAATAAAGGTGAATCTGTCACACTCACCTCAATCCTTCCCGGCCCTTTAGCCTCGAAATCGATAAGAGGAATTGGACCTCGTGCAACCCGTTCTAAATCGTTGCTGTTGGAATAAGGTGCCCCCTTTCTCGGAGCCAAAGAGGAAAGACAGACGGCATGCTGATATGATAATACACCACCGTTGGCAAGAATAAGTCCGTTGCGACTAGAGCCTCCACGCAGCCGACGAGTCATTTCAGTGATAGCCTGGAGTTGCAGGTGAGTAGTGAGCGGTTTGGATAACGGGAAAGGGCTCATACATGCATTGAGTAGTTATTTCCAGCGCCTCCAAATGAGGTGAGGCCACCCAGAACGGTAATTGGCTTTTTGGGTTGTGTAATGGAAATTCCCAGGTGATGACATGCAAGCTTGGGCACGATTGGGAAGCAACTATCAGGATGTGAGATGATATACACAGGTGGTTGAGGTGAAACACATACGAGTAGAAATCATAGAGATCTATCTCATCAGGAGTCAGTTGACTCGCGCTGAGGCATGCATCAAGAGACTTTGAGATTGCCGCGCTTTCAAAAAAGTTTGGACGTTCCCAAACTAGACAAATATGTTGTTAGCTTTTGCCTTTGTGTCTACAGCTATGCGAACATACAATGGTCGCGCTCCTTAAAACCAGCACCACCAAGTGGATAGATCCACTTGTCCTCGGGTATCTGAAGCTGTTTTGCGAATTTAGTTGTCGTCAAAATGCAAGATGATGATAGATTGATATTGTTAAAAGCATTCATCAAGAGGGGATCTGATATGGATATCGGTAAGCCTTCATTGCTAATGTCAGGGAGCAGGAGAGGCATATACATGGAAAGCAAATCATCCGATTCTTCTTGGATATAGTGCCAATGGAAGCAGCAGTCTCAGCGTCTGTGCCATAATTCCAAGCATATGGATTCTGCGATGCAACTTGACTGAAGTAGGCGTAAAGTGCTACAGACTCTCTATGGTTGGCTTCCAGTGATTGTTCACGATAAGCCCGAAATCCGTTTTCATATAGCGGATATATATGGATTGGTGATCCCACGAAGTGAAGCCCTGCAATGTCTAAAAGTGATTGTCAGAGAAAGGTACAGATTCTATATCAGACACAAACCTTTTCTCGGCTCCCTATTTGTAGGAGAGAAAACGTTGGTCACATTCCGAGCCGGAGGTGACCAGCCTGGGGGTGGCATATTTCCATGTTTGACGCACGCGGCCACTTTTTCACTTAGCAAGGCGGATGACCCGAAAGACCAAAGAGGGAACATATGTGGACTCACAAGAACCCAATGCTTCACCTCCAGTTATAACTGCGACGGTTGATTCCCCACGTGCAATACGTAGGGCAGCTTCGTCGAGCAGCTTTGCTGGTTGGTTTCCCCCATGCTCGGTATACATTTGATATTTGGGATTGACCCCAAGCCGTTGAGACAAAAGGCCGGGCAAGTCATGATAAGGCCATGTCCAGGTTTGTACGACACTGAGGCTATCGATACTATTCCGAAGTAATTCGGCGGTTTCGCTTGAGGTGCTTGCATCGTTGATAGCGCCTTGAATGGCTTCTAGCATTAACGAAGCAGGCTCCTTGGCATCCTCAACCGCAAGTGATCGGTTTCTGATGTCGGCAACCCCAACTATGACAGGCTGCATATTGCTAAATGAGAGAATCGAAACCACATGTGGAATTAGAGACGGGATGTGCAATGCACAAATACTAAAGAAGCAGAATTTTGGAGAATCCACACCTTCTGTTCCTCGGCCCGAGCAAGGCCCTGTGAATATTAGATATACCCGCGGGGGATAAAGTGCAGTTACACTTTACACTTTGCATGGACTCTCATTTGATCTTCCTCGATATAGATATGTTGTAAAATCAAAATGTAGCAGTATCCTCTATCTCAATTGTGGATTTATCAGTAGCATGATGGAAATAACAGATACCAATATCAATATCGAAATCTCCAGGTCAACCATCCACAAGACTGAAATTCAGAAATCATTATAAGTGCGAAGGAACCCATTTTGGCTTGGACCTTTGGGCAAATGCCTCCACCCCAATCTTAAAGTTCTCGCCCGCAATTAGACGATTCACATATTCATGTCTAGTTCGTGAAGTAGCATGTTCTACGCTAGCGTTATCCCATGCCTCACGCAGCCCCTGACGTGTCACAATAATACCATCAGGAGAGAAGCTAGTGATCTGAGTCGCCAGGCTGAGACATTCATCAAAAACGGACTGAGGAGTTTGAGAAACCCGGTTGACAAGCCGATACTCCAGGGCTTCCTGGGCTGTCAACCTGCGGCCAGTCATGGCAATCTCGGATGCGAGCTGAAGACCAATGATTCGCATTAAGCGAGGCAACCCTCCAGCTGCAGCATATAGACCAACTGCGACCTCGGGAAGTCCGAATAGAGCCTGGGGCGATGCAACTACCATGTCACTGGAGGAACTGTAAGCTCCGGGCACAGAAGAACAAACTCGGTCGCTTCAGTGTTTTACCTACCAATTGAGGCAGATCTCAAATCCTCCACCAAGAGCAAATCCATTCACAGCAGCAATAACAGGGTTTTTTGCCTTTGCGTTGGCTTAAGCCCATAAACCCTGTTGGTGGGTGGTTCAACACAGCAAGTTGGGCCGCGGTCTTGGGGCCCCGGCGGGAGGAGGCTTGTTCTGTCAAATCTTGACCTGCACAGAAAGCTTTACTGCCAGCTCCAGTAACAATAGCTACAAGCAAGGTTGGCTCATCATCAAACCAGGAGAATATGCCATGACCTTCCCAATGAGCCTCAGCAGGCAGTGCATTTCGTTGCTTCTCACGATTGATCGTCACTAGCAGCACCTTTGGCTTTGGAAATGACAACTTTAAAAAGTTTGCCGGTGGTGGTGGCGAGCAAAGACCAGACATCATTGATGTCGCAAATGAAGGTTAATATATTGTATTCAGGGTCTGGGGTGGTTGGGGGACAGAATGTGGAGTGCGGGGAAAGCTTTGGCGCTTTAAATAGGCTATATGAGAACAAATACAGTGAGAACTTTGTTGAAAAACTGGGAGATTTCATACAGTCGGCTTCATAGCCTCTCTGAAGGTGATGAGGGGAAAGGTCAACATACCTCGGGAGCTCGGCTAAGTCACAACGATATGTTTATATCCAGCCCTGGAACGTGAGTTATGACTGGTTTCACAAGGTCTTCATAACTCACCATGGCATCTCAATCTTACGTTTTGGGGGTGGGGATGACCCAGTTCCTGAAGCCTCGTCGCACTCGTGAATGTGAGACACCCTTCTACATATTGCCTTGTCTATATATTATGTCGCATATAGAGACCTGACGGGCAGCTCACCATGTCTTTTTCCTTACAGATCCAGAACTTGGCTATGAGGCAGCGGTCAAAGCTCTGATCGATGCGCATATCACATACGATGACGTACAGGCAGGTGTGGCCTGTTATTGTTACGGCGACACGACTTCTGGTCAGCGGATCATGTACCAACTAGGAATGACGGGGATTCCAATCTACAACACCAACAATGCATGTGCTACCGGATCTACTGGCCTTCATCTTGCTCGTACTCTGGTTAAAGGAGGCCAGGCAGACTGTGTCCTCGTCGTCGGCTTCGAACAGATGCGCCCAGGGTCAATCAAGAGTGTATGGGACGATCGACCTAGTCCGTTGGGTCCATCGACCAAAATGATGGAGGATACGTTTGGTAAACACCAGAGCCCTCGAAATGCTCAGTACTTCGGCAATGCTGGACAAGAGTACATGGACAAGTAGAACACCCCGCGACTCAGATATCGACCTTCTGCTAACCATTAAAACAGATATGGCGCCAAAGCGGAAGATTTCGCTGAAATTGCTCGTGTGTCGCATGAACACTCCCAGCGAAACCCGTACGCCCAGTTCCGAACTGCATACACTCTGGATCAGATTTTGGATCCGAAGACACAAATCTATGGACCCCTTACCAAGCTTCAGTGCTCCCCAACTAGTGACGGTGCCGCAGCGGCCATCATTGTATCCCAGCGATTCTTGGATGCGCGTCCTCACCTCAAGTCCCAGGCTATTCTCATGGCTGGCCAACAGCTGTTGACCGATGGACCAGAGGTATATTCTCGAAGCGCGATAGACCTCGTCGGGTTCAATATGTCGCGGCAAGCTGCCCAGCTCGCGATGCAGGAGGCTGGTGTCGGAGTAAAAGAAATCAAAGTTTGCGAGCTTCACGATTGTTTCTCCACCAACGAGCTTTTGTTGCTTGATGCCCTCGGCTTTTCAGAGCCAGGAAAAGCCCACGAGATGGTTCGTCGGGGGGACATCACGTATGGAGGTCGCGGCCTGGTCGTCAACCCATCTGGCGGGCTGATCTCAAAGGGTCACCCTCTCGGGGCCACCGGGCTGGCTCAGTGTGCGGAGCTGACTTGGCAGCTTCGCGGTTGGGCCAACAATCGTTTGGTCCCTGGCACTGATGTCGCTTTGCAACACAATCTCGGGTTGGGGGGAGCAGTGGTGGTAACTATCTACAAGCGAGCCGACGGACAGGTCAGCAGTCCCATTTCAGATGAAGATATCAAGAAGGTTTCTGGTCTGGGGTACAACCCCGCAGTCGAAGCTCGGTATATCACACCTCAAGATGGCGAACGCGTCCGCAGTAAAACGAAGTATCTCGATTATCCGCTCCAAGAAACGGCCGAGAAGCTCAAAGCGCGCATCTAAGAAAGACAGGTCGACCAGAGCTCACGGAAAAACTGCAGGATTTGTGGATATAGTGGGAGGACCAGATAGGAAAAACCTGGATTTTGAAGTGGTCGAATAAGAGAACAGGGAAGAGACTCATCAAGGAAAGACGATCATCATTAGTTTGACACGCATCATTCAGGTTGGGTTTAAGGAGAACACCTTGACGTCATAATAGACGCCATGTTTCCAATTCTAATAATTAGGGATAGCAATGGCGAACCCTTAGTTGTTGATACATGACAAGGAAAGACTTTGGCAGCTGAGGGAGGGAACGCTAGGGGATGGAGAGCAAATCGTAGGTCTCGGTAGCGATACAACATATATTATTTTTTGGTTTTTATTCTACTGTGGTTGATATACAGTAAATAAGGCAGCATTCACTGTCACGTAAAGTTTGGCATGAGCAGTATCGCTGTTTTTTGTACTCCCCTTAGATGTTGGACTCCGCAACCATCACATTCGAAAACCGTCCATGTTTCCATATCACAAATTGGCAAATCTGATGCCGGAATTTTGAGCCGTAAAAGTGGAGATCAGGTCCATCAGCACCGGGGACAGCACGTCGTATGTCTGCAATCCAACTGCCTTGAATTTGGCTCTCACTGCATCCATTTCGTTGGGATGTGAGCCTTGTTCAATGATGGATGAGACGAAACCGGCGAATTGTGGTTCCTGCCAACCCTTTTCATCGGACAACTCCACGTGGACAAAGTCGAGCCCTTTGAAAGGATGGTCCTTCTCGATACGCCCGAAGAGGTGCACACCACAGTCCTTGCAGGCATTGCGCTGGATGGTAGCCTCTTTGTCCACAATCGAAAGCTTCGATGCATTCGCTGTCACCGAGACGGCATCTCGGGGTACAACACCAACAATAGAGAAGAGAGAACCAGATGGCTTCCAACACTTGGAGCAGCCGCATGCGTGGTTGTGAGCAACGTTGCTATTCAGCGTGATCTCGACCTGGTCGGAGGGGCAGTGGCAGTGAAGCTTCCCACCAGAGAAGCTACTGGACCCTTGTGTGATGCCATTATCAATGAGAGGATGGATAGAGGGTGCCATGTTGAGGATATGTAAAATGAAGTATAAAGTTTAGAGTAAATGTTCTTATTTATATATGTAAGCTCCAACAATGTTGAGATCCCCGCACATCTCCTCACGCGGGGTAATCGGATCGTTATCTTAATATTTGGGGATATTACTCCGTATAGGCGGACTTGATGCCATTTATGGCTCACATTGTGAATAGGGAAATAATTTCCCTATTTAGTCTCGGGATCTATATACCGATCTTCCTTTTTAGGAAATTCGTGAGGGGTTAAGGCCTATAAGTCTTATTGTATATTATAATTTCTCAGGTCTATAATGGCCGTAATGGCCAAGAATATATATCCGAGGTCAATCCAAGGTCAACTCAAGGTTATCGTTTAGGCTCATAGAGTTTTCTATTGTTCCAAGGTTCCACGGTTGAGGCTGACAAAGATGATCTCCCACCTCCAAGGCCTGAGCAGGCTTCGATGAATCTCGCATCTTTCTTCAACTTCTTGACCTTTTTGAGATTTTGACTTCTCGCCATATTGATAATAATTACCTCCATTACCTCCTTTCCAACTTCTAACTTCTCCATGACCAAAATTCTGGGGACTTCCACTCTTTCCAATGACGTCATCGAGGAACAAGCCGCGCGAACGGTTCAGGTACAGTTACAATGATCATGGTGTTGCTGATTACCGCTGACCATCATTACTAGAGAATCTATCGTGGATATCGAACGCGAAGAGAGCTGCGTGGTCTTGGTTTAGCTGCTTCCACTCGGTGGGTTGAGGTAAGGGTATATCTTGCGTGAAATTGACCAAGAGGCTAATATCGTTTATCTGCTGCTTCCAGGCCTTTCAAGAAGCCCAGTGGCACCAACTCCATCAACCACCGGAGCCTCGTGTAGCACCCAGAAACGACGGTTTCAACCAAGCTCGTCGAAACTGGCAACGAGCGGTTAGTGTCGCGCGGCGCGTCGGCGGCGACGATTGTGTTTCCGAAGTTTCGTCTTCCACAGGGACTCGAGAAGATAATACAGAGATTGCATCAGGGGCTACAGCAAAGATGATGGATCTCCAATACTTTCTCGAGATGGTTGATCTCAAACATCGACACGGAAGCAATCTGCGCTCGTACCACACCTATTGGCGAAATTCATCAACCCGCGAAAACTTCTTCTATTGGTTGGACTATGGCGATGGAAAAAGTATTGAACTTCCGAAATGCTCACGAAAAAGACTTGAGAAAGACCAAGTCCGCTATCTCACCAGCGAGGAACGTTTGAATTATATGGTGACGGTAGACGATGCTGGCCTCTTCCGGTGGGCCAAAAACAGTGAGCCAGTGTGGACAACTACTACCCATTTCAAAGATAGCCTCCAGGGGATAGTGAGAATTGAGGATGATGTGCCTCAATTCAGTGGAAACTCCATGACCTTACAGCCAGATTCCATCTCGGGCTTATCACGACCGCCATCAACATTGACACCAGCTTCATCCTCATCATCGTCATCAATATCAACTTCTGTAAGGCAGAGCCTCGACAGTCATATCTCAAATGAAGACCCAAAATATTTCACCGACGAGGAGTACAAAGCTACAAAGATGATGAAAAAGGTGATGCACGGAAGCCCCGCTGCTGTATTGAAACGACTTGTGCGCAAGTCCCCAGAGAAAGAAGAGATGTGGTTATTCGTGAGTCTCAATTGGATTATGGTTGTTGAATGCAGCTAAGCCTCTCTTAGGTTGCAGATACTTCTTTTCGTTTGTACATTGGCATAAAGAAATCAGGTGCCTTTCAGCATTCATCTTTTCTTCGAGGTGCCCGTATTGCAGCAGCTGGAATGATTAAGATTAAACACGGCCAACTTCGAAGCCTGGCACCACTTAGGTGAGTTCAGTCAAAACTTTCACCAACTTTATCGTTGCTCCAAGGCGCAGGCTAATGTGTTCAGTGGCCATTATCGCCCCCCAGCTGCCAATTTCAGGGCATTCCATCATTCCCTACAGCAACAAGGCGTTGATATGTCTCATGTTTCCATGAGCAAGTCTTATATCATGCTCGCTGGAATTGAAAGTTACACTAAAACGAAACGAAAGGCACGTGCCGTACATGAGAAGCTTGACAGTTCCAAGGAAAAGTTCCATCAATCCGAAGAATGAGTGCGGGGGACACATGGTTGATATTTCTTGACATCCTAGCGGGCCGAATGAAATACCCCAATTATCGTGTTGCTTGTTCTCTAATTGAAGGTCAACATGGGAAAGTCGGAGTGTAGACTTGAAGCCTTGTCACGCTGAGGTTGCATAGCTTTGTGACGCTTTAACCGCACATGGGTACGTTGCAAAAGTCCATATTGATGTACCGCTGGGTAAAGCAATCGCACAACCTACATAGGCATGGTGACATTGCGCAGCAGAATTCTCGCGGTGGTGACCGGGAGGCTCTATACAGATGAAGATGGTCGCAACTGAGGCTTCAAAATGTCTTGCAAAGCAGGCCTTGCGCATTTGAAAATCCAATGCGACAGGGACGATCCGATAGTGCACGATTGAATGCACTCCTGACTATTGGGCCCACGCAGCCTTATACATTGATAAAATCCGTGAAAAGCTTGACCAGAAACAATCGTTGGAGATCATTTCCCTTGAGATGGAGCTTGAAATGCCAGAAAGCGTATCATCGCAGACTTGTGGGCCAAACTCATGGAATATTTATCACTGTCCTGGGCAGCGACGTCATTCATATCCAAGGATGTGCCCAACCCTAGCGTATTGAGACAGAAAGCAATGATCCATCGCGCGATATCAGTTGATCTCCGAGGTGGATCTATCATGGAAGGACTGTTAGTCCACTAGCCGCTGGGCAGTAGCGAAATGCGGTACTATAGTCAACAAAAAGTACAACATACTAGATATTTAAATAAATATATACAAAATGCGAGATGTTCAAGCATAGGTTGAATTGTGTGGCGAATAATATAAGAATGTTCCGAATTACCCACTTGGGAAAATTTCCCTGACTTACATAATCCGAGTCCAAAACCCTCGGGCCAAATTCCCGTGGACTCGTCGACTAGAAGGTTGAACTCGTGAACTCCCGCAGCAAATCTATATAAAAGCAATGGCCAAGTCCAAAGCGGCCAAGCGCAAGCGCAACGCACAAGTTGACCTTCCACAAAAGCTCCCAAAGGCAGTCCCGAATTTAACACCGCCTCCTGATGGCGTAAATCTCGAGTCCACACATCTCAATGCCGTTGTTTCCGACGAGGAACTCGACATCACAATCGAAACCCTCGCGGCGCTTGCACAATATCCCAGCCTGACAAAGTCCAAGGCATGCAAGGACCTCCGAGTTGCAATCTACGACTTCCGCCAAGCATGCACTACGGGTGTTAATACTGCCGGTATGCTGTGTTGTCTCCGCTAACAGACTATAGCTAATCATTCGATAGAGGGCGGCAACTTGACAGCGCGAATAACCGGTGCATTGGCGGACGAGAAATACATTGAAGCCAAGATCTTGCTCGCCGAGATGAGGATTAGGGGGAGCAACCCAAGATTGGAGCCTTGTGTCGCTGGGTGCGAGATTTGGATGTCGTCAGCGGCCTTTCAACACAGCCGAAAGCACACGACCATGTCCCCCTAAAGCGCAGTGTTAAGGAGATGGAAATTCTCGGTGTTCTTGATGCCATCCTGCGCGTCAGCACCCCGATTGACAGCAACACAAACGCCGTTGACTCAACCGCCCCCATCGCCTTCCAGTCTATCTGGGATCTCCGCCCCTCGACGCCACCACTCCAGGTCTACGCCTCAGTCCTCGACAAATCAATTTTGAACGAGGCGCCCAAGTCTTCATCCTCCCTCCGCGTCATTGAACAAACACCTGGCCCACTCCGCAAACCACCAAACCACCATCCAGCCATCCTTTATACCACCGCCCCGAACGCCGTCCCCCTAGATCCCGTCAGTCCTTCTATAACATACCACGCACATCCCGCAGTTCCGGGACTTGGCCTTGCCCTCAATGTGCTATCCGACGCTGAGTGCAAGGCGATCATCGCTGCTGGCGAATCTGTCAATTTCCTGCCCGACGCGCCCCTTCGCGAAGATGGAGACATAAGCATCTTAGCCCACAACTTTTACTGGATCATTGACACCACATTCCACGACATGCTGTGGGCGCGAATTTCCCCTTATGTGCCGCCCTCGATCAACGGTCGCTTGGTCCGAGGCATTAATCGTCGCTTCCGTGTGTACAGGTACGTTCCCGGGGCCGAATATCGGTGCCACATTGACGGAGCCTGGCCACCGTCCGGTATTCTCCCGGATGACACATACGTGTATGACTCCTCGCCGGAGGACAAGAAGCAGAGCTCTATGTACACCTTCTTACTATATCTCAACGACGAGTTTGAGGGCGGAGAGACGACGTTCTTCATGCCAGCGCCGCGGGAGGGAACCCTCAATGGATACCCAGTGCGACCTGTGATGGGAGCTGTTGCAATATTCCCACATGGGGAGTCGAATGGAGCCTTGCTACATGAAGGTACAGGGGTAAGGAAGGGGGCAAAATATATTATCAGGACTGACGTAGAGTATGATGTGAAGCCTCACGAAGAGTAATGATAAATATATGAATTATGTAGACTTGGCCTTTTGCCATTGAAATGCCATCGAAAAATGCCATACGGGTAGCGTTTAACGGTAAAAATGAGAGCCTAGAAGGTATGGATCTTAATGAAGATTTCAAGCAACTAGTAAGAGCTGTTATAATGACCTCCCTTTCGTCTTTCGCATCGATTTTGAACTGATGACACTGAATGTCTGTATCCTTTGAAAGTAGGTACATGATGTACCTTGGAAAGCCCAGCGCTCTAAAGTTCTTTTGCTTCTAATGGCCTCCGAGAATCGCGCTAGGAATCGCAGGGATTTCGGGAATAATCGCTTTTCATCTTCGGCGGGTGTTGTGCAGGGTGGTTGTTCCTTGCGGTTGATTACCCCTAGGCTTCCTGTTTATTATGTGTGGAGTATACAATCTATGAAGTACATAACCTTGGAATATATGTAATATTACATTCTATTTAGAGAGACCCTTGGTTCGACAAATATCACACATTCATTGATATATGCACATCATTTCCTCTGGTCATGCCTATCCAACTAACCTTCTTCATCAGTCAAAATTTTCAACATTTTGGTCGGCATGTAACCATAGTTCTTCCACTCTCCTTTTCCTTGCCACAGAGCATCTTTCAATGGCGGAGTGCTGTCATGGAGTCCAGAGACACTGCGCACTGCTCGACAGATGTCTAAAATTTACACGAAAGTATGAATGGATCTAAGTCAAACCCGTTTTGCGGTAAAGGAAGTGAGTAAGTTCATGAAACTCTTGCATTGTAATTGATAATGAACGAAAAAAAAAAGAATGTGATCTTCTTGACTGCAACTGTAGTGAGGGATGTCGAGAGTAACCGTCATGGACATGCTGTATTTCCAAATTCCACTTGGGCAAGCCCACCAATGTTTAACGCATATATGTATAATGGCCCGGATTGAATGAAGGTGGTGGAAAAAAATATATCTGGGATAAAAGGATGAAGCAAATCTAATTTGAAAGCCTATAAGTATATAAAGGAAAAAGAAATTCATATTTACAAATGCCGTGGCCCACCACGACATTCCAGATCCCTGCCAAAGTCGGATCCTCCGAATGTATCTAATTGGAACGCAATTCAGGGTTCTCACGCCTTGGCTTCCTCGCTCACAACGACATCATCGGCGCTGGTATCGCCACAATCGGAGTTCGATTGGCGCGCCTGCATTGCACGCTTTTGCATAGCGCGAGCTATCCGAGGGGGATCGAAGATAGACTTTGACTGCGCGAAGATCTCGTCGATCTCCTCCAGTGACCGTCCCTTGGTTTCAGGGGAAAAAAAGTACACGCTGGGCACGATAGCAGCGTTGACAACAGCGAAGATGATATAGTACCGATTTCCGATCGTGGAAAAACCGACGGGAGTTACCTGGGCTATCATGAAACTGAAAGCCCACACAGTGGCAGTGGATACCGCGTTGACGGCGGCGCGGACCTGAAGAGGCGCCATTTCCGCGGCGTAGAGGAAGGTTAGCCCGCAGTAGCCAACCGTGAAGATAAACTGGAAGCAGAACAGAAAAACCACGGCCATGGCTAGAGCCCCTGTGTTATTAGCTGCAGCGGGGGAGGTCGTGCCAGCGAGGCCTGCCATACAGATCGTCATGGCTCCGGCACTCCACAGCATGAGAGGGCGGCGGCCGAGACGGTCGATGGTGAAATAGGCCAGGTAGCCACCGAATGGTTGCATCATTGTCATTGCAGCAGCAAGGACCCGAGAGTCAACGGCGTTCATTCCGAGGTACTGCTGGAAGATCGTTGTGGCGTAGTAGGTGATCAGATTCACACCACACATCTGCTGGAACATCTGGCCCGTGGCAGCTAGATATGCGCGGTGGAAGAGCCGTTGCTCGCCGTTTTTGAACATCTCCGTCCAGGCCGCCGGGCAGTAGGCAAGAGATGTCTGGATGCTGAGGATGTTTTCGTTGACCTCATCCGAATGCTCATCAAGATCGAGCAATGCCGCAAGGACTTTGCGTCCTTCCTCCACCTGTCCATCCTTGATGAGCCAGCGAGGCGATTCTGGCAGCATTGCGATGAAAAACATCGCCATGACTGGCATCACGATTTGGAAGGCGAGAGGGAACCGCCAAGAGACCGAGTTGTTTTTGATGAAATAGAAACCCAAATCAATCCATAGGGCACCAGTCACACCAATTCCAATAAAGACGCCATTCGTGACGACGTTTGATCCTCTCTTATGCGCCGGTGAGAGTTCAGATTGCCAGACCGGGACCGTCGCCACATATCCACCAATGCCCAAACCGAGGACCAGTCTCGCGACGATAAATTGGGCAAAATCGAAAGAGGTTGCCATGAGGATGGCGCCGATGATACTGATGAAGTTGGTTATAAAGATCACCTTACGTCGCCCCCAGAGGTCGCCAAGGTAGATGCATGACAGAGCGCCAAAGATACCTCCGACGGTATAGAGGGCGATGACGGTGCCTATTGGAATATTCCATGAGTTGGAGAACCAATATTTGTCTGATCAATGAACCAACCTTGC